TATATGTTGCGATTCGTTAATCAATTTTATCTTTTAAGTGAATTGAATGGTATACAGGTATGTATTATGTGATCTAATAACAACACAGGTACCTATCTAATCCAATGTAATCACGACCTCATCAGTCACGTTTATTCTTTGGTATTAAATTAACTGACGACAGGATTTAGAATTTACCATTCTTATTTGTTAGGAACCTGTAATATCTATTATACAAATGTAGCATTTATTTCGTATATCAGTGTCTTTACAATACATATTTGCATACGACAGTCAACAATATTCTGAAACCGATTTTCGCCAAACAATCTAGTCATCTAGGTCACGTTCTATCTGTTTAATTAATTTTATTATCTATCAAACAATTTTTTTAATTCTAAGCAAAGCGAATAATGTACTGGTTTAACTATTATGTGTTTTTTTTTTCTAATAAGAAAAAATTTAATTTTCTGAGTGGATCAAAAAGTCCTCACAGGATCAAATTGTACTCGGAGATATTTTGAATTGTCTGGTCATCCTGATCAAATTTTTCTTATTGTTGTTCAGTATACTGTGTGGGATAACTATTAATAGTTCACCTTCAAATTATGACTTATCACCCATTATGGCACCAGGAAAGGACTATTCTTAAAAAAATTTAAATTTTTACAAAACCGATCAAATTGTTTCTGGATCAATATGTCTCATTACCGGTTTCTACGGTCCCCAAATTTGTTTCTTGAATAACTTCGAAACTCACTGTGCACAAACCGATTTCCCTGTTAAAATTCTAATTTGGGAGGAGGCGTAGAAATGGACTTTTTATTTTTCATTTATCTAGATAAGATAAATTTGTAATAATATATCTACCCATAGACCTATAAACATATAATTATATAAATCTATGAACTATTTTTTTTTTTTATATAGTTTATAATATGTCTGTGCAACTATGTACCTATTTATCTCCAGGGTAGGTGTTACGATTACGCGTGTACGTGTTTTTCCCAAAACATCGTTCAATTTTTAAAAATGTTATTTCTTCAGTTTTACACCAATTACAATTATGGTGTCCTTTTATATGGTTCCATAAACACGAGGTCCTGGACGTAAGTCCTGCTTGTCTTATCCTAACGCCTGTCCCGTCTATCTCAATGAAATCCAACAATTATTGTTACTAATATTAATACGTTTTCATTAAAAATGGTTTATCGTTGCGTATAGATGTGAATCTTTTTATTTATTATAATTTAAAACGCTCAATTACAATATATAATTGTACACAGAACATATAATTTACAAATATTAAAATAAGGATTGTGTAAGATGAAAAATTAAAATTAGTTTACCGTTGCGTATAGATGTGAATCTTTTTATTTATTATAATTTAAAACGCTCAATTACAATATATAATTGCACACAGAACATATAATTTACAAATATTAAAATACGGATTGTGTAAGATTAAAAATTAAAATTAGGTAATACAATTACTAATGTATAAATTAATCAAATTAATTTATAGTATCAAAAACAAAAATATCAATATTCAATTTATTTATAAGTTGCAAGTGTTTATTTAAAGCGGAATTTTTAACCTTGTTTTTTTATTTTTTTACCTTTGAACAACTTTTCAATCAGAAATCATGCTTTAATAAAAAAAAAAAAAAAATGTAATTTTGAATCTTGTTTATGTATTTAGGATGTCATTAGGAAAAAAAATATAATATAAAAATGACCTAATTTACGGCGTTAATTAAGACAGACATTCATTTAAATATATATGTAGATGATGTTAATTATTATAATAAATTACTCAATTTTTTATCAAATTAAAAATAAAAAGTTAGAAGAAAATTCAAATATGTAATATTCTGTTATTATGTATTCACTATATTGTATAGAGTGTTTCCAGAAATATTTCTGTCTAGCAACTTTCAATTGACATAAGATTTTCGAAAGTTAATAGGGACTATACCTACAAATTATTATCACATTTTCAAAATGTTAACCCGTTCGTGGCACACAGGCGTGATACTATTTGAACTTGATAAATGTTTAAATCCCTTTTTTTCTTGGGATCCTTAGGGATGGAATAAATTGCAAATATTATTGAATAAAACGTAAACAGGATGACACGTGCCTATTATTAACCTTTGCATAAAATGTATACATAGAATACCGTAAAGTAATATTTTAAAATTTAGATCTGATGTAATCGTAGGTCTGAAAGGTTACACAAATTGGAGTGAAGGTATGGCCATCGCCTCAATAGTTCCTTCAGTCTTGCGTAATGACAAGTACATTAAAAATATTTCTACTATCGTTACGTACATGTTAACAACACGTATCTCCATTTTGTTAATTTTCCAGGAAAGCAAATTTATAGAGTATTTTTGATAAATCTGGAGATAGATATCGTTTACGTGTACGTAACGTTATAGTTATGTTAGATTAGGTAAATAGTAAAATAGTAAAATAGATTCAAATATTATCACTTAACTATATATAATCGTAAACAATACATTAATGTTATTCAGAGACAGTATAAAATTCATGAAGAGGTTTTCATGCCACTAACGTGCATAGCAAGTGAACGCGGAATTGGACACACGGTTATTTACACATACCAATTACTGAAAAAGAACAATTATTACTCTTGTCTGCCTAAAACATCGAAAACTTTCTAAAAAAAATGGAAAATTTAATATTTTCAATAACTTGAACATTACCTACTTATATTATATTATATAGTTTATTTTATATTAATGTTGATCAAAGATTGTTTTTTTTTTTTTTTAAATGAAAATGTAATGGAAATCTATCATTTATCTTTTTGCTATTTATAACACATAGGTATTATAAATTATAATTTCATTACTATGTAATCTTTTGCTATTCAAACAAATAATGTGTGTTTAATAGCTAGGTATGTGTAGAGTTTTATTAAATGATATACCTGTAGACTTGTATTTCAATAAGTATTATAAAAACAAGATAGGAAAATATAATATGAAAAAGTTGATAGTAGCTCACGGCTTGGCAATGTTTGAAGCTATATACATTATACCAGCGTTTCTCAAATTGTGGGTCGCGACCCACTGGTGAGTCCCGAGTCTATTTTTGATGGGTCGCGAAGATTGTTTTGAATTACATAGATTCCAAATAAATTTATTTTGATTCTGAGTGGAGCAAGGAACGTATTGGTTACAATGGTGTTTATTTTTATTATTATTATTTTTTTAAATTTATAAACAATTTTTTAATCACACACCTCATTATTAAAAATGCATTTTTAAAATTATATTAATTATAAATCTATAAAGTAATAAACAAATTGTATAACTACTTTTTGAAAAGCGAAACCATGTAGGTTGCGGTCCTAAAAAGATTGAGAACCATTGTATTATACAGTAGTATGTAGTTGAGAAAGTTGAAGGTAGGATAATTTCGTTTATATGTCCTATTGTAAGCAATGATAAACTATTGGAAAACCCAAAAAATGTTAAAAACCAAACAACAAAAAGTATTTCTATAGGGGTGAACTGTTGAAAATGTCAATAAATGTGTCACATAAAGTACCACCGGGCAAAACCTCAGCATCTTTTGAGGAATGTCTCCATGTATCATAATCAGGGTTCACGGGACTTATAGTGTTTAATAAACATAAGATAAAGTCTGTTAGATAAAATCTAGCAGACTAGCATAGTGCTATGAAAATCTATTTTATGTAACACCAAGCCCATGTGTGAAATTTAAAAGCGCTTTTTTTGCTTATTTCGATAGTTTGAAGTAAAATTAAACGTTTAGTCGAAAAAACTGATAAGAATTATTCAAATACTTATTTGAGTATTTAAAGGGCTTATTAAGCTTTTGAAGAGCTTGCGTTTGTTTTAAGCGATATATCCCCGAATCTTGTTCATGAAATACGGATGGTATAAGCGTGGCGACGTTCAAATCGACCGACTAAGACGCCTTCCCACAAACCGCGTAAACGCATTGTTTTTAATGTTTGTCTGCGGACGATGGTCCGTGACCCGGATTCGCGGCCCGAAAGAGAGCCTACTACACACTCGTATACTAAAAACGGTTTCAGAGCCTTATAGGAATGTATTTATTCCGTCGCGTGCACGTTGCCCGGCCCGTGAAAATCGTGAAGAACGCAATTTTATTATTACGACAATGTGATGCGGCGCGAGAAATGAAAACGAGAGGCCGCCGTCGTCGTCGCCGCCGACGACACGCCGCGGTTACAGCACGAGATCCAGAACACTGCGAGTGTGTCGGCACGAAATAATGGCGAAAAGACGATGTACGGTGTTACGGAATCTTAATAACGCCGTAAACGTATGCACGGGTGCCGGTAATGGTGACGTTTTGATGACGCGCGAGCACGGCGGTCCAAGGGCGATCGCTCTCGAGTTCGGTGTACAATAGTAATGACGGTAGTAACAATAATAACAATAATAATAATAATAATAATAATAATGCACCCAGATGTGCCTGCGTGTAACACCGTCATCATCGTTGTAGACACCGCCGTTACAGTACGATTACAACGGTACACGTCGCCGTCGCCCTCCCGTCCGAACGCGGTAATGGGGGCCGCGGGTCCGAAACGCGCTGCGACGCGATCCGAAATCGGGCCCGCGCCGGGTGACGGACGGGTGCGCCGCGGACAATCGAGACCTCGCCGGGATTGCCGCGCGCGCGCGCGCGCTCATAAATACGCCGGGCGGCCGCGCGCGGGTTGCTGTATCATACACGTCTTGTGCGTTGCACGGAAAATATTGCACGGAAAACTATATAATGTTGCGGATTCGTGCGAGCACACTCACAGACACAATAGCCGCGGTACAGTGCGCTACAGGCTGCGGAAAGGCGCGTGCCAGGCAGATACCCGTATTATTGTTATTGTTATTGTCGTTGTTACACTTGTCTACGTCTAGAAGCGACGCACTACCCGGTCATCAGCCGCTGCGAAAAACGCGCGTCGCGTTCCCGCAGCCGTCGCCGTCGCCATGGGCTCGCGTTCGTGTCGTTACTTCTTCGGCGTTTTAACCGTGAGTGTGAAGACGGACTATGCGTTTTAAACGTAACAAAACTATTATATTGCAGCATATATAATGTACGCACGTCAGACTCGCGGAGGTCTCGATTGATTTGGTTTTGTTGTTTTTTTTTTTTCCGATAGCCGTCATACAATTGTGCTCAATGATCTTGCGCGTGCCGATATTGTTTAAATGTTACCCTCAGATATGACGAATTTTTAGCTGATGACTTTTTTTTTTTTTGCTTATCGGTCTATTTAGCGTATAACATAATACATAATAATGCATAACTACTTTTAACTATTATTTTCGACTATTTCGCAATTTTGCTCGAGAATTAAATCGTTAAATTGCCTACTAGTATAATTATCGGTGTAACTGTAAGTCTATAACATCACCCCTCCATGCACCTCCTATCACCGGCCCTGAGTAGATTACTAAATAACATTCCCCTAGGTACAACTCGGATTCGAAAAGATAATGGTTTTAAAAAATGATTATACCCTCGTGCATATCTATAAATTATAACCCACCAATGTTTATCGGATATATAGAACTATGTTGAGCCATTAGGCACCCAGGAACATTAATTTTTAAAAACCATCTCTTAAGGTCTTACTTGAGGATGATTTTTTTGGGGGTTGATTCCGCCCCTAATTCGTTGTTGTTACTGTTATACTCAAATTTTAACATTTTACCTAGACCATATTAGATTCTCCCTTACTCCTGAAATTTTTGCTATGTACACAGAATATGTGTTATATTATTACATTACTAGGTTTGCATTTATGCTATTCTAATTACCAAACAATATTCATAATTACTCTAAACAAAGCGTTTAAAAATAAAACAAATACCAAATGATACATTATAATGTGATATTTTAAATTTCATTTCGAGTTTTATGTTAAGTTGGGCGCTCCATAGTTTTAAAAAGGTTTGGATCAAACGCCTAAATTGCCCCCTCATCCTTTAACATAACCCTGTGATTATAATTATTTCATTCATGATTAAACCGTTTAAAATTTTGACTAGTGAAGTAGAGAAGGGTAATAAATTTCATATTCAAGTTATAAGTCATATAATTATTATTTAACTGTGTTTTGTAGGTGTTGCTAATTCACGAGGTTGTGTTCTCTGAAGGCGATTTAAAAACTAAAGCGCATAATCATCTCACCAAATCTTATGATAATGGATCTCAAAGAAAAGAAAGACAAGCAGCAATAGGTAATGACTAATTTATAGTAGATAGACTAACCCAGTGTTGGAAACTTGGAAAGTTCCTTTTAAAAAGTAATTTGTTACCGTTCCTCGTTCAAATTGCAATAAAAGAATTTGCTCCTTCGTTTTATTTACTTATACATAATATATGACATTCTCTGTTTTCGAGGAAAATTAGACAAAAATACGACTTATATCCAGGGGACGTGGGTGCACGTGTTCCCTCCCCAAATTTTTTGATTGGTTATTTAGGTTATTTTATCATCTTAAACAAATTAAATAGTAATACAAATTATTAATGTCCTCTACCCCGAAATTTTATTTCGATTATCTATGACATTGTTTTCAATAGGTATAATTCATTAAATTACTATTTATACTTCACTCATTTATTACAATGACCTATCCATTATAGTACGAAGTTCATCCGGTTTGTTTTACTTTTATTTTAATACTTAATTTTTACTATTATCTATATAGATCCATCCCGTATGTATTTGCCACCCAGAAAAGATTCTGCTGCATCAATTGGATTCGGAGAACAGTCAAACAATTTTGGTGGTAATAATAATAATGGACTTGTTGAAAATCCTGCTGGACGTAGTCAGGAAACATTTACAAATAGTATAGGAAACAGTAATAATTACGGTACGCTGACAAAAAACACTAACGGTTTCAGCAGTACTCCGGTAAATGGACTATACGATACAAACATTGCGTCCGGTGGTTCCGAAGGTTCATCTTTCGATCAAAGTACTACCTATAACACTTTAACTTCAGGAGAAGGAAACACTTTAGGGCAATTTTCAATCAAAAATAATGAGTACAGCGGTTTGGGTTTGTCGACAACCGACCGCAATAGCTATAACGTCGATGGTTCTTCGGGCACGGCGTGGACACTGAATAACGATATTTCTGCTCAAACCAGTATTAGTGCGAGTGGTTACGGACAAAAGAAACCTTTAATTGCGGCTCAAAATCAAGATCTAAACGAAAATAATTACAACGGAGACATCAGTCAATTTGGCCAGGATAAGGGAACAAGAAATCTACAGCATGACAGCCAGGGCACAATAATTCAAAATTCAATTTCTGCAAGTAGTTATGGTACACCAAAAGGTTCATTTCAAGTTAATAATTCTAACCGAAATGACGGTCAAATTGGTTATGGCAATCAAGGAAATAGTGGAAATGTTGATCCTAGTAAACAGTTCTCAAAAGACAGCGGTGCCGCAGGTTACGGAAATACGGGATCCAATTTGCTTGACCAGAAAATTGGCATCAGTGGCGGAGACTACAGTCAATTCATATTCGGAAATATGGCAAACACAAAGTTCAACAAAGGAAATAACGCAGATGACTCATTCAATCATGATTTCATTGAATTCGATGATTCTACGTCACGTTTTAATAACCAAAACAATCCAAGCAAGAGTTCTCCATCTGCACAGGCTAATAGTGGTGACAACAATGGAAATAGTGGCCAGGGTAACGGCCTGTTAAATAATCGTGGCTTCCAAACTAGAGGGTATAATCAAGAAGAAATATCAACCCCTGCAGAATATGGACGACCTACTAGTAGTTCGAATCAGGGTGCATCAACTTCGTCGACTTACGGAGAAAACCGTTTTGGGGAACCAAACGGCAATCCTTTTTCTCCTAGTTCTAAGGATTCAAATTTACCTACTGTTGACAAACCATATATCCAAACATCGCCAGATAATAATGTTTTAGGGAAAGTTAAAAACCAACTAATTGGCGATAATTTCCAAAACCCTGGTTCCGTTAATGGTAACGGTGGAACACCGACACAAAATTCTTACGGTCAGAGTTCGTCAGGAATTCATAGATTTGATCAAAAGGATTCGTCGACTTATGATAACAATTTTAACTCACAGAGTTCATTACAAGGGTCAAACAACTATGGGCAATCGGGATCTGATGTCTTAAAAATCGGGGAAAATTATGGTCAAGTTTCTACCTGGAATAATGAATATAATCAAGGTGCAGGTAGTTCATCGAGATCGTCGGGATTCGATCAAGGTGAGCGAAATCAAAAGTTGTACAATAACTACGGAGAATCAGGACCTCAATTGCTTGGAAACAAAGGAAACTACGTAGAAAGTTATTTGAATAGACCAGCAAACAGTGTGTATAATAACCATGGTAGACCGTCAAATGGACAAAACAATGTTGATCAGAGTCAACCGACTGCGTCACAAATATCAAACAATGGCCAAACTGAAGGTCAAATATTATCATCTTCTGGTAGCGATAATTACGACCAAAACGGTTCGGTTCCGTCATTTAATGGAGAATATAATCAAGGAATTTTAGCTAATGTGAATAATTTTAGGCAAAACAGACCACCACAAGGAGGTTTCAACAGCTATGGATCAACGGGATCTCAAATATCTTCAACTATAGAAAACTACGGACAAAATAATCAAAATATTCTCAAAAATGGTTATAACACTCGAGGAGGTTCACAAAATTCCGGAAGTTCAAGCTCTTATGGAGAAAATAATCTATTAAATCTAGGAAAATTAGGATCATCTCAATTAGGAGACTACAGCGGTAGAGGTACTTCAACATTGACACCTGAAAGAAACAATTACGTTCAAAATAGTTTACCCACAACGACGAAAGGAGAGAATCCGATTTCTAGTTCGTCGGCTGATTTTGAACAGGGGATAGGACCTTGTAGTGCTTCTATCGCTCCTAATAATAGTGAAAAAAATGGTTTAATTGATCCTTCAAGTACAGTATCACGGCCAGATACCAGTAACGAAAGTCGAAATCCAAAAAAACATTCTACTGTCGTTCCAAAAAGCCAATATCAAAATTCAAATTTACCAAGTCAAAACGATTTTGGCAAAGAAAGAAACGACGATGATGATTTTGGTGAGCCAGGTTTAAATGCATTTTCAAATTTCGCCCCGGGCAATCAACTGAACCAACCATCTTTCGAATCTGCTAACAACAATTATGCTACGAGTGGTAATAATTCAAATAAACAAATTGAAGCAGTTTCCTCTTCTTTAAATACTGGTTACTAATAAATAAGTAATAATATAATATATATATAACAAAAAATTGTACTTTTTATTACTTAAAACAATGTTTTTATAGTTAAAAAAAAAATAAACAATATATGTAAACAAATTACTGTATAAGATACAATAAACTATTCTAATAGTGATTTGGATATTAACAATTTACTTTGCAAATTCGTACTAAAATGAATTCATTTACAATCCAAATTTACGTACTACCATTATTAGTATTATTAAAGATTATGTTGAGTAAAAACTATTTGAGACTAATCAATTATTATGTAATATATTGTCTCTGCACAGTATTAAAGGAAAACTTAATAAGAAAGCCAGACGTAATTCAAACTATGATGAATAGGTAGATAATATAGGTAATAAATATGTATATAAAATCAGAATAGGGTATTTTGATTTAAATACTGAAAGTAACGATTATCAATTGTAATTAAAAAAACGATTCTGAGCAAAGTAGTAAAATACTACTAGTCGTCTTACCCAAAAATTAACAAAAAAAAACCGATGTATTCACATATGCTATCGATTTTTAAATATTATAACACTATTGAAATTTCATAAAAATGAAATCGAGTAAAAATCAAAATATTTCAATGTTTGATGCAAATGATTTAAAGTATTTTTATTAAGCATAAAGGTGTCTTCCTAAAAAAAAAAACACATATATTATCTTGATAAAACTAATTTTTTTGGGAAGATGGACCATTGACCGACAGCATAAAAGACCCGCTTTTTCATTATACCTACTAAGAAACTAAAAAAAAAATTGCATCTCTACCTAATGATCCAGTTCATTATTTTTAATTATTGTTTTTATATGAATAATAATGTATTATTTTGTGGTTAATAATGAGAAAATAAATATTAAGCAAAGTGTGATATTTGTATTATTATAATTTATAGGCACGGTGCCTATTAAATTCACTATAATATAAATATATAATAATAGATTAACCTATTCGGTTCCCTTTTCTAGAAAATATTTCCGCCATTACTGGTGATGTTGACAAAACAAAATTTGTACCCCCCTGCCATTAGGGTCTGCGCACGTCTATAACCTCTCCTTACATGGGTGTATATAAATTTCTTCGAAGGGAGGAGTAGACTAATAGCTTATTTCTTCATACAATTGTGTGCAAGTGTCCGGCCAAGTATAATCGTATGATTAATTAACATGTAAACAAATAATTTATACTTAGAAATACCTAAATAAATAAATGAATGCGTCACCTAGAGTATAGGCGTGTGTATAGTATATCATATGTGTATTGTATAATCGGTTTCGAATTAAAAATTTATCATCAGGTAAACCAGTCGAAAAGTAAAGAGTGCTTTTTGACTTTGTAATTTACCTAAAATATACTTTAAAATTGATAGTAATTCATGGAAAAATCTATAAACGGTAATAAATGTAAGATTTTCATATTTCACATACTCATGAACTATTGGTTTTACTAAGATGTTTATTTCTTTTTTTCTTAGTCTGGACACATATTTAAATATATAAATCATCTATTATCAATTATCATTTTTCCATAAAATTGTAACGTTAGTTGTCTTTCTAGTATAAAATACACATACAGGCAAAATAATGTTTGTGTGTAGTTATCACCACGGTTTAAAATCTACAGTGGTTGCCAATCACGCGCTTTTGGGCTGGGAGATTGTAGAGGGTGGAGAACGAATAGTACGTTATTGAGCACATGAACTCTGTATATGCATTGAATACACTAATAATTTAAGTAATAAATATTTTAGATTCTCAGCGTATCGAGGGAGCTATTGGTTTTACTATGCTATTTAATTCTTCTTTTTTTTCTTTGTTCTAGTCTGTGGACAAGTTTTTTTTTTTTTTTTTGTAAACTTGCTCCGATTTTTACGTGTAAAAACTTTTATGAAACCTCAAGTTATCTAGATTGTACTTTAGAGACGTCAATATTTTTGACGCCATTTTTTAAATAAAAGCACTTAAGTGGGAAAAAACGTAGGAAAACGAACTATTTCATTATTATATAAAAACACGGATGCCGTTTACTACCAGAAAAAATGATTTAATCGAAAAATCACAAGATATTTTTTTTGTTGCCTTTTTTTTTTACTTTTATATCGCCAAAACTTCTGAGCTTTTAAGGAATTTTAATTTTTGGGAGTTCTTTTGCTGTAATTCGGATATAAATACACGTATAGACTTGAAATTTGACAATAAAACTTATAATGGATTCACCTAGACGTGGTAAAATTTCAAAAATCATCGGACCACTTTATTTTTTTAATAAGCGTTGTGAAATAAATTTAAACGAAAATTGAAAAAAAATTATGGCACTTCAAATTATGTGTTACTGAACTGCGCTTAGAATTGTCTTTTGTCAATCAATGGTTTATCGATGCTTACAGATATAAATGAAATAACGTTTTGTATCTTACCTTCCCAACTTTACACCTACGACAGTGGCCGCTCCCACCTCCATTATCAGCTCTTTTTTTTCTTTATTCTTCCGAGGGAGCGATTTGTTTTACAATGCTGTTTATTTCTGTTTAAGATAGTTATTTGAAGAAGCGGCCAATCAGCTATTTATTTTATTTTTTTTTGATTTTTAAAGTGCTTTTTATAATTATCGGGAAAACTCAAAAACGACGAAAAGTACGATTATTTTAAAATTACAGCACAACAATTTCATTATTTAAAATTTGCAAGGCTATTGTTTTACCATAAATATTGCTCAATCAAATAGAAAAACTATAAGAGACCTTTTTTGTTGCATTTTTAATCTAGTTCGTGAGTAAGTAATTTCTTTTATGATTTTCTTTTTTTTTAAATATTTGAGCAATACTAAAAACTCAATAAAAACTGAAAAGGTTACGAGATGCAATCGAATGATGCCAGATTTTTCGAGCTGAATTTATGGATTGGATTAAGTCGGATCATAATTCGGGTTAACCATAAAATTATTATTTGAATATTTTAAAATAGGAGTTAAAATATTGGTTTTATAAAGATGTTTATTTTATTTTTAGGTGAACACTTTTTCTATCAGAAAGCTTACTCCGACGTATATAATGTAAATCCTTTTTTAAAAAGAAATTTTCTTGGGGTGATACTTTAGGGAGGTTATTTTTTGATTTTCTTATTAAATGTGAAAAACAGAAAAAAAAATCGGAAAATGTACGAAATTTAGGTATTAGGTATTAGTTAAAAAATAAATTGGTTTTTTTTTTGATCGTGAACAACTTTGCTACCAGCAATTTTACTTTGTTTTACAAGGATAGCACATTTTCTGAAAGCAATTTTCGTGAAACACATGGGAAATCGGGAAAATCAGTATTAAACAGATATTATTAAAGAAAATATATGCTTATTTATTTAATTATTTTACCATAATATGACATACCTAACAGTCCTACCTATGTATTGTTGACAAAGCATTACTAATAACTGAATAGTTCCGTTGAGAATCATTTTTAGTAAGCAATGGTTTATCGTCACCTTCAGATTAACTTTACTAACTTTTCACTGACCACAGGGATTTCAATGATCCCCATTATCCTAGGATAATGTAAAGGATAGCTTTTTTTTTTTGCAAGCAACTTTTATAGGTACCATAAGTCTTGCTTCAATTATCAAGTTTAGTATATCTTCTAAATTTAGTTTAAGGTCAATTTTTGATTTTTCCAAAGGATTTCAAAATAATAGAAAGAAAAAAACAGGAAAATTTACGAAATGTATTATTTTAAATTGTGTTTTGTGGTTTTCAGAGAAAAATGTGTATACTTAAAATTTAGACTGAAAACTTATATTTGTCATTTCTAGACGTGGTAGTTTTCAAAACATTTTATATATTTTTGAGCTATTTATAGACATTTAAATTTAATGAGTTTTTAAGAATTTTTATTCGGTAGGAACACTGGATAAAATTGTTAGAACAAACTGAAATTACTAGAAATTTAACAGGAGATTAATTATAAGTCGTACTAAGCAGTCAACAAAAAAAGAAATTTTAATGTATGAAAATAATTTTATAAGAATTTTAATATTAAATTTTGATGAAAATCGTAATTATTAAAGCTTTTCAAAATATGTATTAACAAAGTCTTCTCAGGAACGTTTTTTTTTATTAGCAATGATTAATTATTGCATTCAGATATACTTTAAATTCCCTCTAAATCTTACCTTTCCAACTTCTCACCTACAACAGCGGCCCACCTATCGTGTGAAGTATGTCAGTTTCTTTTGTTCTGTCTGCGAGCAACCATAGTTTGCTCAAATTAAAATCGACAAAACATTTTTTTTGGTGCATTTCAGATATAGTCAATGAGTATGAAAGTCTGATTTTGATTTTTCAATAAATTTTCATAACAATTATTTTCAATTTTATTATAAATCGGTTAATAATAATGTACAAGATGAAATTTTCAGGGAGTTCTTATATTTTTAGATTCTGAATGAAGAGTGTATTGTATTGGTTTTATTGTATTTATTTTTTTTACTGTGAATAAATTGTACCAGAAATTGTGCTCAGATTTTTAGGTGTAGAACATTTTCTAAAAGAAAATCTGACTGGGATAATACTTTAAGAAGGTAATTTTTTGATTCTTCCACAAGTTTTCATAATAAATGGGAAAAACAAGCAAATTTACAAAATTGTCTTTGTTTTGTTTTAATTAAGTTAAAACTATTTGTAGAGATTTGAAATTAGGATAAAAACTTATATTTGCCTTTTCTAGTTGTGGTTAATTGTTCAAACTATTTATAAACATTTTAATTTTATGGTATAAATAATGCATAGGTATGTAATTATTTTATCATATGACAAATATATTGTTGACAAAGTAACACTATTAACTGAATTCCACTCAGAATCGTTTTTTTAATTAGCAATGATTAATTGTTGCATACAAATATACATTAAATATCTTTTTTACCTTCTCAACTTCTCACCTACAACAGTAACCCATCTATTTTTGGATCATACTAATTTGTACATTTTTTGAGTTGGATCAGTTTTTAATATGGGATTGGACCAGAGAAACTTTGAATTTCTACGATATCAAATCTGATCAATTTTTTTCCTCTCATGCAAGGATCTAAAGAATACAATAAACTGACAATTAGGGATGGTCACTTTTGATTAGTTTATACTATCAATAGTTTTAACAACTAATCGAATATTCCATTCAAATATTTTTTCCCATAACCAAATACTTCAAAATTATCAAACAATTTTTATTTTGGTACTTTTCCCCATATTATTAAGTGTTTCTCATTTCTGTTCATGATGATTTAATTACTAATAATATAGTACAAATTTTAATCATAGATACCTCATAATTTTCAAATTTAATAACAAAAACGGCAATATATAAATGAAAAAGTTTATTTGAACTTTAAATTACCCGATAGAAATTATCTGAATATTTTATTTGTATATTGAAATGTGTATATAAACTGGTATGATTTAATTTCATAATACATGTTGATCTAAATAGTCTTAATCAATTGATTAAATGAAAATTCAGAATCTTAAGTATATCTAAAGATAATAATAAATAAAATTACAATTTTTCAATGTGCCATTAACTATTTAAAGTTTATAAAAAAAAGCAGTAAATGTTTTAATCTTTCTCTTCAGGAGACAAACTAAAGCTATTGCCATTCCTAATTTTTTGTTTAGATTTATGATCTGATGAACTAGAGTTTGATCTTGGATTGTCTTTCTTCTTTTTGTTAGAATGTTCCTTATCCTTTGAATGATTTTTTTTGTCTTTGCGTGTATATCTATTATCCCTATTGTCCCTAGCATATCTATTTCCATCTCTTTGCCCTCTATCTCGATGAGAACGGTCATCATATCGATGTTTTGGAGAACGGTCATCATATCGGTGTTTTGGAGAACGGTCATCATATCGATGTTTTGGTGAACGGTCATCATATCGATGTTTTGGTGAACGGTCGTCATATCGATGTTTTAGAGAACGGCTCCTTGAACGTCTATCAGATTTTCTTTCAAATTTTTGTATTTTTTCTTTAATGTCACCTCGGTCTTTCTTTTTAATATCATATGTACGCTGATCTGTGTTTTTACCATCATATTGATTTTCCATACCATTTTTTATGTTACGATCCCGTATGATTTGAAATACATCCTCAATTTTAGCCATCATATCAATTTCCATTTTGTCATTTTGTTTTTTAAAACCCTAAACAAAAGTATGATATCATTATTATTTAAATATTAAACCTTCAGTACACTTTGATATACCTTAGGTGGGGTTCCAGGTGGTGTGTCTCCACCATCTTTATCTTTTTCAAGTTTTTCTTTTTCTTCGTGTCTTTTTTTCCTGGCTTCTTCCCGTCTTTTAATTTCCTCTTCTCTTTCTTTACGCTCAATCTCCTTTTTCTAAAATTTAATTAAATCATAATTATTATATAGAAAATTTGCTTTATTGATCAACTTACTTCAAATTCATTGAATGTTATCATTTTTTTTTGTTCTTGTCGCCAATGTGGTGGAGTGTAACTTTTGGATCTACTGCGAGATGGAGTTCGAAATCTTAGAGTTCCACGACCTTTAACAATACGTCCAGATTTTGTAACACCGCGAATTCTATTCCTTCTTTTTGGTCTATCATCAGCATCTATTTGAGGTTTCATTAAAAACATAGACGAAGGACCACCACGAGACAAAAATCTATTGGGTGGTCCGGCTGGTATTTCTTCAGGATCAATATTGGAAACTGATACAAGTGGATGCAACTGACCTACAGGTTCAGCATCTTCATCTTCATTTTTTGAGCGTTCGAACCTAGATAAAATATAAGGTTATTTAGTTAAAAATCAAATTAATTAATTTGATCATACTTTTTTGAACTTTTTCTTTTTGACTCTTTTTCCTTCTTCTTTTTTTTTTTTCTGCGTTTTTTGTCATCATCTGATGAACTTGTTTCACTTTCAGATGCACTTTTTTCAAATCCTATAAACACATTCATTAGTATTATAATTTACAAAATAAACTGCATACAGTTACAATACAAAAGTACACTAAAAATAAAGTATTGATTTTTGATTGATTTATTTAGAGATCTGATATTTTTAGTTTAACTATATTAAACCTTACGTTTAGTTTTAGACTTCAATACAAGCTCTCCACTTTTCACGACTTTTGCATCTTGAAGTGGTCGCGAATTTTTGTCAACACCAAGTTCTTCAATCTGCATAACAACTGGCTGACCGGATACCACTCTTCCAAATACCACATGTATTCTGTTAAACATTTTATAAACATATAAATATTTATAATAAACACTTACAAATAAAATTTCACTTACCCATCCAAGTGAGGGGTTGGTTGTGTTGTTCTACAACAAATAACATGGCATACGACCAAAATTTTAAAAGGCTATTCTGATATACTGATCCCGTCAACACATTTTCAAATTATAAAATTAAAATTGCATTAGTAAACATCTTTACTTCTAATGTGAACAAATGAGCAATAAAATTCTCACTCGTATTCTAATATATAAAATTTATTTATTTATTTTAACTGTAAAAAATAAACTACTTATATAAAAATCAAACAGGACTCGAACAGTTTGGTTTGTATTATGGATTCATGAAACAAATTACAAATTAATTAGAATTAGTGAGATACAAAATTCAACTGATGATATTTTATGGCGTTTATGATTTAACAAAAAGTTGCGCACTTATTCCAGTTATTGAGTATATTCAATTTAACTGAAATTTAATAAACCAAAGCAGTGTTGCAAGTTAGATTTGACTCAGTGACTGATGTGAATCGAGATAAACTGCCAATTTTTACATTCTGCTAACAACTATAAACTCTGTTTGTCCAACACGAGCATAATAATAATAAATAATTAATATAGATAAATTATATTTTATTATAACAGATATTGGGTATTTTGCAAATTTATTATGGCATTAATCGTCCTAGTCAAATAAATATTAAACATTATCATAATAATATTATGATAATATCATAGTCATGTTTATTAATATACATAAAATACAATTTTTGAATTTTATGATAAAAGTAAAATTGTATTTTTCGTATTCAATTTCAAAACACTGGCACATTGTCAGTGCAAAACTAATGTATTCTAGTGGAATTTCAGTGCACATATTTTGCCAAATCGAAAACACCATTAATAACAAATTATTTTATTTCAATTAATTTATAAATAAAAATGATTTTAAATATCCTAAAATTTGCATATATATATATATATATAATATGTATATTTAAATAAAGTTATTAATATAAAATAAAATTTAAAAATTTCAAATCTATAAAAAAAAATATATATAGTAATATTTAATAAAATCTCTAATTGAATATGTGTTTCATATACATTATCATTATGTTATCTATATAAACTAAATACTAATTCACCTAACAAATATATTAGTTATTCATGACTACTATTATTATAATAAGGCTATGAATAACTAATATATGCATACTGCATAAATAATATTAATTTCCAAAATATCCATATTTAACTAAAACAATAAATTTTAATAAAATTAAAAATATATTTATTAGAAATTGAATAAAATTATAGAAACAAATTTAAACCTAAAAATGTTTTGGTTATTTATCAAAGCAAATACAAAAATAGGCATAATCAGTGACGTATACAGAAATAATGTACAATATTAGTCTAGCCACAACTAGACATTTTTGAGGAGGGATTATAATTCATTTATTATGATAAGTACAATGTTTATAATAAATATAAATTTAAATTGTATAAGTCATAAAAATAGTGTTCATATGATAATTAAATATTCAGGTAATATTACTTAAATTGAATATTAATTAATTTGAAATGGGTACCTACTTTTAAATCATTACTAGTTTTAAAGAAACAATACTGAAACATGGACTAATTATTTAAAATATTTCTCATTAAATATTTATACTTTAGTAAATAATATGTACAGATATGTAATTAATTTGTATTCGTGTTTTACAGTAAAGTTTTTTTTAAAACTTTGGGCATGTTTATGTAAGATGTAGGTATTATACATTAAGTAATACCCATACATAAAATGTTTTAATTGAACCTGAAATGATCCGTGATAAATAATGATGATTCAGGATGCCCCTGCCTCTTTATACATGTCTCTGGTAATAATATACATTAAAAATTAATTTCTTTAAAACTTACATAAAAAATTGAGAACCATTTGTATCTGGTCCTCGATTAGCCATTGAAAGTAAAAAAGGTTGATCATGTTTCAAATCAAAGTTTTCATCTGAATACAAGAATTACACATAGTTAAATTATCGTTTACACATAAAATATTTAATATACATATATATATATATATACCTGGAAATGTTCCACCAAATATTGATTCACCACCTGTCCCATTTCCAGCAGAAAAATCTCCACATTGTACCATAAATGATTTGACAACACGATGAAATATAACACCTTGATAATGCAAAAGTTTGCCTGTGGTTTTACCCAAACCTTTTTCACCTGTACACAATGCCCGGAAATTTTCACAAGTCAATGGGCAAAAGTCATCAAACAGTTCAAAAATAATACGTCCCAAAAGAATATTATCGACAGCTACATCCATAAAACATCTAGGACGCACATGCGTTGTTTTAATAGATTGACTTTCAACTTGATCATCATTGTCAATCCCCATTGTTAATATTAATTCTGAAAGATAAGACAGAAAGTTTTCCTTATTTTAATAACTTAGGTAAACAATTCCACTTAAAAAGAATAAAGAAAAATTAACAATAGGTTAATAATAATTTAAATTTTAAATGAAATATTTAAAAGTGTGTAGGTACCTTTAAGACATTTGTTCGACAAAATACAGAAAGTAGGTAAGTATATGAACTTATGTGACATGGTACAAGAGTTATTGATCAAAAACTATTAAGTTTAGCTTTATTAGTTCGGACTGAGCTACATAATAAGTTATTTACAAAACGAAGAATAAGAATTTTAAGGACTCCACAAGTCTACAAATTAATTTTTAGAAAATATTAAATTTTCTAATAACTTCAATATAACCTAACCTAAGCGAACCTATACTTTTTTATTCGAACCCGAACCAAACCGAATTTTTAAAATATTTCATTTAACTCAAACTCAAACATTAAAAAAGTAAAATGGTTGGTTATGTTTGTTCGGTCCAAAAATTTTACATCTGTAAAATTATAATATTATGCAAAAAAACTAATACGAAACAATAGAATTTTTCTTTTACATAACAACTCTGTTTTGTCCCATCACAGAACATCATATTGGTGAATCGCAGAATCGTCATCGAATGATTTTCGAAATAAACAATCTTGTATTTGGTTCGATTCGATTTTTTGCAATTGTTCGTTCGAAAATTAAACAGTTTGTTACATCTTTAATAAACATTTATTTTGATAATCAATTTATCTATTCAATGAAAATTGGTAGGTAGTACATAGATATTCTAATTTGTCTATAAGAATGCAATTTTTCATTTAGTTTATTACTATTTATTCAGAGATAATCTCTGAATTTTTTAATGTATCAATTTCTAATCATTAAATATTTAAATGTTTGACTATTAATATTGCTAAATAGTAAACAATTAATAATACATGTGTCTAAAGTTCTAAACATTTCCAACAGATATCTCGTAACAATATAACTATTATTAAAATTTGTGTTCGACAAAACAATACTCACAGTAAGTTTGGAATGGATGATGCAGAAATATACAGTTTTAAAATATTTATATTCAATAAAAGTAAAATTACTAACTGTTTAAAAAGCCAAAACACGAAGGTCTGCCATTTTTCGTAAGCTAACAACCTAAAATAATATGTACGTTCCGCTGGCAATATTTGATAAGAGACCCAGTGGTTCTTAAAAATGCGTAAACATTGTAATTTAGGCGTAAGATGGGCAATAAATACGCAAAATTGCACGAGAGGAAGTCAGGAAAATCGGTACTAATAAACAAATCATAAGTAGTGACGTGCAATAGTGCAATCGGCTGAGATGGCTGTTATAATAATAATAAATGATAATATAATTATTTAATAGGTAATAAAATATGTTATACATAATAGACATTTACCATTTTAGACTCTGAGTAGAGCGAAGAAGCTTATGGTTTTACAAAAATGTTTATTTTTTTTTTCTGTGGTCAACTTTTCCACCAGGGAAATCGTTCCGATTTTTATGTATAGCATTTTTTCGGAAAGGAAATCGGTGTGGAGAGGTACTTTGGGGAGGTCAATTTTCTTCGATTTGCTCAACGGAAACATGTACGAAATATATTTGTACAATATTACGATTTTTTTTTCTGTGGAAAACTTTTCTACCAGCAATTTTACTTCAATTTATAATGATAGCGATTTTTTTAAAATGAAATTTTACTGGGGAGGTACTTTAAAGAGGTCGTTTTTCGAGTTTCTCAGGACTTTTCCCAGCAAGTATGAAAAACCGGGAAAATATTAATATTCACGCGGTTAAAAAAATTAACCTTTAGTCTTTGATTTTAATTCCTTTTGCATTGAGTATTAAATTAAATAATACCTGGGAGAGTTAAAATTGTCTAGAAGCCATTCATTATATTCAGTACCACCCCAAGGGGGGGGGGGGAGGGCAATCGATGCGGCCCCGCAAATTATGTATTCTGAATATCACTTTATATAGAAATAATCATAATAATATTGTCTCAATAGTAAGTAAATTTCGACTTATGTGCCGTGTGGCCGTGTGGTTTTTTTGGACACGGGTTGTTATCGACGAAAATCAAGATGGAAGAACCTTAATTTTTGTCAGCCACATAGGTCGTTTTGATGAAAAATTGATGGGGTTTGTAGGGACTTTCATGAAATTTTAAATCATTTTTAGTTATATTATTTTAGTTTAGTCAATAGTAAAATTAAATCTATAACTTAATAACTGAAAACAAGTTACATAATGCAGGTGAAGTTTCTATTTATTTTTTCGAAAACATCATATGTAAATAATTTGTTAGTTCCTATTCATAAACGGGAAATATCAATTTCATTTTTTTCACAACCTGATCGTTTCTAGAAATTACTCCATTAGTGGTGGTGTCTGCAGGAACACCGCTAGGAACTCCACCACTGTTGCTTTGCAATTCGTGTAATCTTTTAACAGTCATAATTCTGATTTCACTAACGCTCAACAACAAATTGTAGTTTCTTTCAAGTGTCTGTTTGATTTCAGCTCCCATCAAAGAAACCATACAAAAGTCCGCCAAAGTATTTGATACAGTAATATTTTCGGTGTTCTTGATACCAAGAATTTTAGTAACAACATTGATAAAACTAATTTGTCAGCATTCAGAATCAAGACTAAACCAATCAAACCAGAATCACTTTTCTTCTCCGCTAAAACCGTTGAAGCCAAAACTGGTTGAGGGTGTTGTAAATATACATAAAATATTTTCAAACATGAATTCATACGCTGAGGAAATGTGCCACTGACAAATTTTTCATTTCCACCTATAGTATCCATGGTGAGACCAACATCTCCAATAGCACCCCATTGAATAGCTAACTAAAGTAATAATGAATAAATAAATAAAATTAAATAGAATTTGTATAAGCAGTTGTTCAGCAATATTATGAGTCATTAATGACTAACACCTTGAAGTCCAGCTTCTTGTCTTGCTTCACAAAATTCGTTCCATAACAGAACTACCAACCTCATAGTTGGTTTGTCCACGTCCACAAGACACGCAGGAGAATACAATAAAATGATCGGGTTTCAGATAAAATTTCCTGGTAACGATATCCAAATTTTTAGTTCTTGCAACTTTAGGTTTGCTGACAGTTTTTCGAAATTTTGTTTGATTTTCTAAAAGCGTATCTCTTAATATCTATAAATATATATTGTACATTTTTATTGTGGTAATAAAATAATGCTTATACAAATTGAATGGTTTGGCCATGTTAGTTATTAATTTATAATTAATCTTAAAATATGATAGTTAGGAATTTAGATTTTAAAATTACACATAACTATTATTTACTAAAATAAGTTTTTTTTTTGTTCTGTTTAATTAATGTATACATGAAATATATACAATTTTAATTTCAAAAGCTATTTGACAAGATAATATAAAATACTTACAGCTGCCATGTTGAAAACACCTCTAACGGGTCCTAATTTGTTACGGTCATCAATCAATTGTTGAGCTCTCTCCAAAGTTAAACAATTAGTCTTCGAAATTAATACGTTCACTCTTGCTTCCAATTGCTAATATTATATAGAAGCTTGGTAATCTGTTGTGATTCCATTTCGAGCAGCCAGCATGAGTTTCTTTGTTCCTTTAACAATTAGCCAATCATGTAATTCAAAATCAAATCCTTTAAGATCTCCAACTAGTATATATATCTTTTCTGAATTCATGTATGATCGTGGAATAGAAGTAAATAGTTTTGTAGTTGGTTTAATTATAGCCTTCAATTTTTCATCTCTAATTTTCAATACAAATTTGCCTATATGTTTTCCAGATTCAAAAAATCGGAATACAACAGGTATTTGAGATTCTGAGTATACCGAAATGGGAAGAGGGTTGACAGTGCCAGTTTCTATACCTTCATTGAGCAGTCTGACAACTTCTTTCTTATCTACACTTTTAAATTCAGCATCAAACAACGAATTTAATAGAATTCTATGGACTGTTATGTTTTTGGTCGTATCAAATTTATCAATTTTCAAGAAATTGACATCTTTAGCCAAACAATGCACAGATGATTGTAGTTTGTCTTCTGACAATGAGTTTAAAACTAAATTAACACTACGTCCTTTGGTTTCCCTTAATACATGTTATTCAAAACTGGTATCACGGTAGTTCGCAATATTTTTATCAGTTAGCTGAAATCCAGAAATATATAATTAGCAGGGCTAGGATTTATATGCAACAGCATGTTTTTTTTGCGACATCTGATAATAGATTTTGTCAGTAATTTCCACGAATCACCTCATGATGAGATAAGTGGCGGTGTTTTTATTTTGCATATTTTGGATACAATGCATATTATTGCATATATTGAATATAATGAATATTATTCCATATTTCGATTATAAGAATGCGAAAAATTCATGTTTCACAGTATATTTCGTATTTAATTCTAGTCCTGCTGATTAAAGTATAAAACTTGATTTTTTGTCAAACATAAATTTTATTTTTATAATTACGATTTTATGGTACAATAGGTATGCGATAAATGATTAAATAGTTTGATGGATAAAGACTTCATGAAAGTTTACAGATTATAAAAAAATGCTAGGAATCGACTTCTTGAGTGTAACGGAAAAGTCGCAGATAAAGTTAAAAACAAAATATCTCTGGTTTTACAAAAAAATAAAAGATTTAAACCTCTACAATCAATAAATAAAATATTAAATGGCGAATCGAACGAGGACAATTTCAATTGTAATTTAACACCAAGACAAATTTCTTTATTTAAATATGCACTAACTACATCATGTGACGTTGAACTGAGCTTCACTTAATATAAATTAATATTACGATCCAATCGCCGATCATATATATTCAAAAATTTTCAAAAATATGTTGTCGTAGCATGTAACACACGTATTTCCATTAATGAATGTGAATTAAAAATTTTATTTCCAAATTATTTTATTTTATTTCTCAATAATATTATATTAAGACAAACAGCCAATCACTAATGTATTTCAATAAATAAAAATTTTTTTTGTAACTATATTTTTGTGTTTATCTTATAAAAATTTAAATGCATATTTTAAATTTTTTTATTGTATACAAATCCTAGCCCTGATAATTAGTATAACAAATTTTAAAAAAAGAGCTGATACTGCTGATGGGTGTCATTGTTGTAGATGGGAAATTGGAAAGGTAGAATATGTATATACGTTATTTAATTTTTATCTGTAAGCAACGATAGACAATTATTCTGAGTAAAATTCTTTTACACATGATTTATTAGACCTTAATATTTACGATTTTCTTTAAAAAAAGACCTTCAAACAATAAGTATAAATAAAAAGGCGCAGGGCTTATTCTAAAGTGCAGTTTGATCTATTTTGCGTATTTAGAAAACCTAGATGCGCACTTGATAATCAACTTTTACGTATTTGATTTTTCATAATTTATTGTTGTATTAATAAGATAATACAGCAAATAATTGTTACTATAGGTATTAATGTGTTATGTGTTTTTGAAATAAAAAATTCATTTTGTATACTTATAACTATGATTGATAATTATAAATTGAAAATGTAAACTACTAACTATATTTATTATTTTAAGTTAAAAAAAAACATTTTCGGAAATAATATCTATGCCATTGCATTGCGATTGATCAGTGGGTCGTTCACAAATAGATAAATTTATATAATACTCCAAACAATGTCATTAAAAGGAGTCGAAGAGCAGTATTATTTTGGGTGCAGTGCAAGTTTAACAAAGAGGTGCTCTTTGGATACCAACATTTTTTCAAACCTAACCTAACCTTTCTATTAGTATAGTTAACGCAATATGAATTTCATGGAAAGCTCTGGTTATATATGAGTCTAACGTGTTTTTTTTATTATTATTAACTAATAAGGACACTATTTATGTATTAGCATTTTTGGCAGATGTGTTGACCATTTTTAGGCGTTATCAACAAATTATTCAAAGTGATAAAATAATGGTTTTGGATTTTTTTAAACATACTAAGTTAGTTGTAAACAAAATTAAATTAAGTTCAATTAATTTAGTTGATGGTTGGGTAGCTGTACTCGAAGATAAACTGTTGGAACTGATAATGATACTGATGAAAAAGCTCTAAGATTAGGTCCAACGAGTTTAAAATATTACTATTTTATTTCCTTGTGTTAACACAGCTATATTTATAGTTGCAAAACCTCACAGCGCTGATGTTGAACGATAAATAAGTAAAAGTAATATTCTTAAATCAATGAGTCGTCAAAAATTTTTATGTAGAAACGGAAATTGAATACATTTTTATTAACTTTAATATGCCTGCTCTTCGAAATTGGGACCTAAAACCAACAATACAGATATAGTTAAACCAAAATAAGCGCTGCATTAAAGACATATCTAAAACCAATGATTTAATGGGATATTTATTGAAGCAACAAAAAATAAAATAAAATCTAAAGAGCAAAATAAACAAAAAATTTAAAAAAGAACGTTCTAAGGTTCTAACGTTGTGTTCTGTTATGTATATACATTTTATGAAAAAGTAACGATACATCATTGTTTATGAAAAGTTTCTGAGCGGAGTTCAGTTGATGGTGATACTTAGTCAACAATATATGTCATTTTATAGTAAAATAATTAAATAAGCTTTAATATTTTCTTATATAATATTTATTTAATGGTGTACCGATTTTCCTACTTTTCTTACATACTACCTCCCAACACAGATTTCCTTTCAGAAAAGCTGTTATACTACAATCTGAATAAGTGTTTTGGTTTAAAAATGTATGCAAAGATAAAAAAAAAAAATCGTTGTAAAACCATAAGCTACTTCGCCTAATTCAAAATCTAAAAGTAAAAACAATGTAATCAGTAACGCACAGTATGCTATACATTTTGTTCTTTAATTTTTTCCCGATTTTTTCTGATTATTATGGAAATCCCTTAGACAATTTAAATAAATGACCTCTCCAATGCACCAATTAGATAAAATTTCTTTTTAGAAAAGATGCTACAATTAATACACTGGCTTAAATTAAGTTTTCTATTCAAAAATGGCTCAGACAAACACACACACGTACATAAAAAAACACATCATAGTAAAACCAATAAACCAATAGATCCCTTGCTGTGCTCTGAATTTAAAATAATCAACATAACTCATTATATATAGACGAATAGAAATACCTTAGAGAATGTTTTTTTTATGAATTCTCTCTAGTTTTTGTTTCCTATTGTAGTGTAAACAATACCTTCCATATGAAGAGCAATTGCAATAGCTGCTTGATCAAATCTTCCAGCACCAGCATGAACTAATAGTGAATCGCTTTTCTTCATTTGACCTTTTACACACAGTGCCTAGTATGCCTAATACATAATAAATAATTAAATCACATTGGTGGAAGCCTGTTCTAATGTCCATTTGCTTGGCACTACCAATAAGAAATCAAGATTAGCAAGAACACTTGTAGTTAATCCTCTTGTAGTTAGCATACCTACGATTCTCTTACCCTTAGAGTCACGCCCAGAAAATGTCTATTCCAAATAATGATTTTTAACACTTTATTTTTTGTAGTTTGGTATGTTCAAAATTGTATGATTCCATAAAATAAGTTTCCCCTGGCACAACTAGTAAATTAATTTTTTTTGGACACCAATTAATACAAATAAAGATCAATTCTTACTGGTCTGGGCCTGGTCCGTGACACAAAATGGCACGATCTAGTTGACTTGGATCAGGCATTCAGTAATTTCACTGCCCCATAAATTTTCTAACAAAAAAATATATCAGTTTTTATAAATTTGCTTCTTTATTTATTAGCTTCTTGCAGTATTATTATAAATATCAGTGGGAATTATAATGTATCTTCAATACCTAGTCACAGTTCACAAACAAAATATTATTCTGGAAGTCTTAATACTTTTCAAATGGCTTCTTTCTGTGTGGAAATATTATTGTTTGGTACTGGTAATTGATATAGAAAAGCCAATGCAAGACTATTAAGACTATGGAATGACCTTGTTAAATAAATTAGTTTCATATTACTTAAAACAATATAATAATATAATACATGCTTATTGTTCATACCAGTTATACCCATAAACAAGATATCTATTTGTAACAAACATAGTAGGTTGTTATATTTTAGAAATCATATGTTGTTACAGTTTTAATTTTATCTTTTATTCTTTAATGTGTCAATGATGTTTAATATATTTTAAATTAAATATTTTATTGAAAATCAGGCAAAAATGTAGACCAAATGATGAAAAAAAAAAATTCATCATATTAACCCATCCCGTTCGTTAACATTTTTTGTAATCCATATAGGTATTGAACGACACAATTATCTATATATATAGTGAAGCAGTTTTGAATTTTAAATCGTAGGACAAGTAAACTTTGATATTGTGACTCTTTACTAAATGTTTTATTCATTTTCCATTTCTATAATTATACAGTTATTAACAATAATGTTGCTACAAGTTTTCTTCAAACTAAAATAATTAACAAAACACATGTGATTGGAAGTGAATATTTTTGTTACAAAGATACATAATAGTATATTTGAATTAAGATGTTTTACCTCTAATAATAAATTCATATTTAGACGCTTAGGATTATCAAACTGAAAATATAATTATTTTTGCACTTCAAATTATGAATTCAATGAATTAACACAAAGTATAAATGGCGCGTCATAAAATTTATTATTGAAGTTATTAGCTGGTAAAATATTATCTTAGAAATAAATTTATTAGACATGTTATACGTAGCTAAAATAGAAGAAATGATTTGAATAAAACAAATAATAAATACTTAACAAATATATATTAAAACAATTGTATTAAACTGAATTTCTGAATTAACTTTAATATTATGAAATATTTATTAAGAAAAAAAATATATGATTTGTATTATATAAATTTTAAGTATAAAACATAAATGTATGCATCTATAAATTCGATTATGTTTTTGCAATATTTTTTTTAACTTATACAAAATAAATAATTGCAATATAAGTACATTAAATTAGGTAAATAGCATAAACAGTCAAAAAATTACAAATTCAAATTTTGAATTTATTTAAAAACTACTTAAAATTATTAATTCAAATATTACCATTACAATTGTAATCAAATTGTTATTTACATACCTAGTGTATAGTGTATATAATAGTAGAAGATAATACATGACATAATATACAATTTAAAATGTATTTCCCTAACTGTTCTGAAAAATTAATCAATTTTAGAAATCTATAGTTTTAACAGGTCTTAAAATCCTTAACAAAATTAGTTATATACTTATATAATCAAGTCTGTTTTTGATTACATTCTATCACATTATTTTGGTTAGATCAATGAAACTATTTGATTTAGTTTAGATCAAATTATTATCTTAAAAGTTACATTAAAACAAAATATCTTTAAACAATCTTTTATTTTAACAATACGATTTTTTCAAATAAAATACCAACAAAAACGTTTTTCAATGTGTAGAAACTATAAAAATATGATTTCATCTACTAAAAATAATCCTTATTTAATAATGAATATAATATATAATATACAAGCACATTAGTTTCAGTGTAACCAGTCTCCACACAAAATTATTATACAATTATTTATACTAACTGAAGCTACAATAGTTAAACAAATTAGACAAATACGAGTTTTATCAACAGTTCAGGGATCTAACATTACAATGAACTATGTAATTGAAACTATTATTATAGAATTGCATAGTAAGGTTTCAACTGACATCTAACTTCAATTGTTTTCTATTTTATTAGGTTCTGAAACCTCATTTTTAACTGTCACAGTTTCTGTTGAATTGTCAATTGATTTTTCAGTTGATTTTTCTTGAGATAAAGGAACTTTATTTTCTAAAATAGAAATTGTATCCTGGATAGTTTTGATAGCTGTTTTCCTAGCTACACGCACATCATCTCTTCCTGTAAAATAAATATAATTACTCGTGATTTTTTTTTCGTTAACATTCAAATTAGAACTACAATTTGAATTTTCCTATGCCCTTTAAATCTAATATGCATAATAGTATTTTATCTCAAAATTATAAATTTTTAAAATTTTGATAAACAAACTTTCACACTGTTTCCAATTATGTTTACCTTTAATCAACAAAATTCAATGTAGGTTTCAAAATTAAAAAATAGAGTGCAATTTTACTATATAGAATAATGATATTATTTATTATTAAATGAATATACTATAATATTTAATTACATAGATTTACCTTCAGTTTCAATAATGTCTAACTTGATCAAATTTCTTGTAAGCATCTCATCTAAATAGATATATTGTTTATCGCTACGTGATGTACCAGAGAACTGATTAACAGCTATTGCCAATTCTTCTATTTCTGTTTGAACATTTTGTACTTTTTCCAGAGCATCTACTGGTTTGACTTGTTGGCGAGGAGTAGATGGCGGTGTTGATCTGGTGTCCTGTGGAGGAGTTTGCTGACGTTGTTGTTGGGAAGGAGGTGTTTGACGACGTTGTCCAGTATTTTGGTCAGGGAAGGAATGGTGTGCAAATGGAGATGGTTTACTGGATGTGCGTTTTGGCAAAGTTGAGCTACCATTATCACTAAATATTTTATCAACATTCTTTGGATATACTGGTTCAGAACGACCTTCCACATAAATAGGAATGTGTCGCACATTAGGTTGTTTTTGAGTTCCATGAGATGGTGTAAATGTATCATTTTGAGGTTCTTTTTGATGTGGTTGTGTCTGTGATGGTTGTTGAATATTTTCAGATTGATTATTAGGATTTACTGGTGTAAACTCTAATTTAGAAACAAACCTTTGAGGTTTGTCATCATTTTCCTGAGATCTAAAATTATTTTCAATTGGAGATTGTTGCTTATCCATATTTTCTTCTAATCGTTTTTTATCAGGACTAGATTCAGTGTGTGTCGCGTAGTTGTGGTTGAGATCTGATGGTCCCCCAGTTGCGTTATCTTCCTCAGATACAGTGCGTTTACGACTCCAACCTCTCGAGCTTGGTTCACCTCCCCAAGGTGGACAACGTAAATGTCCTGCAAGATCAGGATGCCTTTTAGCCAAATCTTCTAAATGTGAACGAACACTTAAATGACCTTTTAGCATGTCATCATCAAATGGAAAATCATCCTACAAAAAAAAAAAAAAAACAATTTTAAACTATATTCATTGCAGAATATGAGGTGTTAAGAAATACAGCCAAAATAATAGTTGTCATAGATTTAATATAATTTTGTAGGAAGTCAAATAAAAATAATATCTAAAAATATGTTTTTATTATTAAAAAACAATACAATATTGGAAATTGTAAAACAAAATATATATTATATAAAACTTATAAAATATCGTTATATTTAACAGTTATTAAAATTAATTATAAGCTTAATTTTTTTTTATTCCAATCAATTTATATTCTAGAATGATTTTATACAACTAGAAGATAACAATAGTGGGCATGCACGTGTTCATGTGAGAGAAGAAAGATCACAAAGATCATTTTAATATATCACTACATCAAACTTTGACATGTTTAATGTTTATACACAAGTGCAAATAAACTATAACCTTAAAAATTGGTATTTGGTTTTGTATCAAACAAATATAATATTAAATATATTATGTTTTGTATATTTAGATATTGTGTGTATTTATTTTTATTTATCTCGTATAAATACCACATGGGTTTATGTCAACAATATTTTTTATGTAAGTATATGAATCCTTATCTTTAGTAATTACTAATAAAATTATACAGTCATATTAAGACAGTTTGTGCAATTAATAAAACAATAATATTTATCAAATCACAAATTAATTAACTGATTATCAAATAGAAATAATTTATCTAGTACATGACTACTAATAACGAAAATCTAAGTATTACAAATTATAATTTTATGTATTATCAATAGTAAATGCTGAAAAACAAGTAGTATTGCAGGATTATAATATAAAATAGAAGCAGCCAAGATAACTATGCCGGGACACAGGCCAATAATTTGTTGCTAAAAATAAAAAACAAAAACCTATTACACATATATGTGAATACATCTACTAAAGCACTAGAACAATAATTAAAATATTAAATTAAAAAGTTAATATTATTTATTATATATATATATTAAATATAATAAATACAAAGACACTATTCAATTTATAAATAGATAACATTTACTCAATATGTAGATACATACAATAATAAAAAACTACCATAGTTAATATTTTGTAATTATTTATGGGTATCAAAATGTATAACCCGAAATTCTAAAATATTCACATTGTATTTTTTTATACCCACTCTAAGAACTTTCGATACAAATCCTCTAAATCTTGGTTCAAATTTAATTTTGTTCTCACTTTTATACATTTATTTTGTATTTTTTTCAACAATTTTAAAAATTGACTGGCCAGATTCCAGAAATACATTTTATACACATAATCAATCCTGTTAAGTTAGATCAGTGATAATAATGTTCATCAATTATAAATTAGAAAGTTCAAGTAGGTTAAGACGCATTCAAAATAACAAATTTATATGGTATTTTATAAGTTATTAACTGTTTGAAATATAGTAGGTAGGTTTTATTAAAATTAAGGAACACAGTTCGAGACAAACAGATAATTATAATGAAAAATTATCATTTATTTTTTAATATCAGAAATAAAATATTTTAAATTCATACACATTTTGAACTTCCTGAGAAATACTAAAAAAATCAATAATACCTATATAAGTAACAGTTATTTATATATCATAAATAATATAAAATACATACCATCGGTTGTTTAAATGAACATTGCAAGTTGAAAAGTTGACATTGTTTTTTACAGATTTTAATATAATTATCATGGAATAATTAGATGTATTTTATTAAATAATACATAAAAACTCATAACTATATTATTAATAACAAATCCTCACAAGTCAATGTTAATATTATAATAAACAAATCATATAATAAAATGTTAGGTTTTATCAATAGAAAGATGAGAGTTTAAAAACCTTGTTTGTTAAAAACATCACTAGAGATACCATTAAAAACTTCTTGAGCCTAGACTCACTAAGTGCAAGACATAATTAATAGATATTTTGTTAGTATACAATATTTTAAACAACCTCATTAACTGTTCTGAGCTATAGGCTGAAATTGGTTTTCGAATACCAAGTAGAAACACTAAGAATTTAGATTTATTCGTAATTACTAATTAAAATACCAGCTATGGAAATTATACATTTTTTTGTACTTCCCGCAATATATTCAGATTTAAGGCTTTAAAATTAATAAAATTATTATATTAATACTAATTTTGATACAATAGTTATTTAATCTTGTAAAAAGGGCATTTACCCATATATATATATGTATAAATAAATAATAAGTGGCTATGATAAGAATTTTATTAGTTTTAGTACACTAAAAAGTTATAATAACATGATATTAAGAATATTAAGTTAAATTACTTGAAATTAGAAAAGAAGATGAAAAAGTTAAAATTGTTCATAAATAATAAATATTAAGCAGTGTTACGGTTTTTCGCTTCTCCTGTACAATTTGATAAAATTAACCTACAAAGGTTTCGTTGTGTTGATGACAATATTAAATTACATACTTAAATAGTAAAATAGAATTGAATATTTCATACTAATATAGCAATATAATTTAGTAATGATTCAGATTAAATGGGGAATAATTAGTGAGAACAAACATTTTGAATAAAGGAAAAAAACCGATAAATCTTTTTTTTTTTTTTTTTGTGATCATTTTAAGTTATATACAATTTTAATATACTTGAATGAATTTTAAATTATGAAATGTTAATAAAACAACATTTAAAATATAATATTAACATTACAATATTTTAACTTTAATAATTAAATAATGATAAACTTATTGGCAGAGAAAAAACTGCAAAGGGGACCATATTTACCAAGGCTTGGAAGTTTAGTCATTTGCAAATTTGTTTGGTAAGTACATATTGTAATTTTTTACAAAAATTGTTTTCTATAAATTGGCATATTTTGGAACTTGTTCGAAATAATCACATATTTTAGGTTTAAGAACATCATATAACTGCATAATTTGTGAATTAATTTACACATGTATATATTTTTTTTTTAGATTCTGAGCAATGTATTGGTTTTACTATGTGAACAACTTTTCTACCACAAAATCTTACTTTAATAAAAATGAATAAAATTTTACATCTAGTCGGTGCAAGATGAAGTCATATTTTAATTTTCCTTATGCATTTTCTTAATAAATCTTAAATATAAATTTTCATCAAAATTTAAATATAAAAAATTCTACATTAGTTTGAATTTTATAAAATGTTCTACCACAAAATACGACATAAAACCTCCATTAAATTTTCAAGCATTTCTGTATGGGCTAAACAAACAATTTTCTACACAGAGGAACTACCAAATAAAATTACGTAAAACAACTCGCAAAATTAAAATGTCTATAAATAAAAAAGTAAAATATTTTTAAAAGTTTACCAATAGTAGAAAGGGCAAATATAAGTGTTCTATCCAAATATCAAGTCTTTACAAATATTTTTAGAGTATTTCCAATTATTAAAAAATCTTCTTAGCATATCAAAAATGACATGCCCAAGACCACACAGATAAAATTTCCTTTCAGAAAATGGGCTATACTGGAAAATCAGAGGAAAATTTCTACTAGAAGTTATTTAAAGAAAAAAATTTAAAAATAACATTATTGTAAATCCAATAAATTTCTCACTTTGTTCAGAATATAAAAAAGGCTGATACTGGGCATGGATGTACCATTGTTGTAGGTGAGACGTTGGGAACCTAGAAATTTAATGTATATTAGTAAGCAACGATTAATCTTTACTAACGATAAATAATTCTGTGTGTAGTTTGGTAATATTTAATAATATTGTCGAAATTTGATGGAAGGATTCTCATACATAAATAAACATAATAATAAACCACTATAAATTAAATTTTTAAATTTTTTTTTTCTTACCACCAAGTTATAATGAAATTCCTGGTGAATTTTTAAGGGTTTCTGTTTAGTCCAAAAATTGAATACAAACCAAATAATTAAGTAAAAAACTTGCAAAATGTTAAATTTATATGAATATTTTCAACTGAATTAGGTAAACGAAAAAATGAAATTTAAAATAATAAAATAATTTTTTTTTCAATTTTGCTCAATTAATATGAAAACTACTTAGGAAATCAAATAATGAGTTACTAACTAATCAACTAGATTAAAAATGCAACAAAAAAACTTCTTGTCGTTTTTCTATTGGAGCAATAATTTTTGTAGAAAACATAGTGTGTACAAATTAAAAACAATGAAATTGTACACCGTATTTAGTTAAGCCAGCCAACATATACTAACTATTAAAAACTACATGAAAAAATGTAATAGCCAGAGTAGCAACAACTAATATTATAAAATAACATAACTTCAGTTAAATTTAATTAAAACAATTTATAATGAAATCACCCAAGCAATTTACATGCAAATATTAAAATAACCTAACCTACCGTATACCTATTTTTGTAATTTATGGCTATAAATCATACAATTTAAAAACTTAAATGTTTGAATAAAAAATAAAGGTGGGTTTTTATACTTACAAACTATATTATACAATATTATATTTCAAAAACATATATTTACTATTATAATTTTGCATGTCTGTTATGTAAAAATGCAAATAAAGAAATTACTAAAGATCTAGTAAATTGGGATCAAAGATTGAAATTACTTGACATTAAGATAAAAACAGTTAATTATTTTTCTTAGTAAATTATTGTTTTGAATAATTTTAAGGTATTAATTTTTTAAATTCGATCTTTAATTAAATGACTTTGTTACTAAATTTAGATGTAAATTAATAAACCTATTCTAGGTATTTGGCATTTATCTCAGAATTACCTATATTATAATTTAAATTTTTAAACAATAATTGAATTTGTAAAAATGATTCTGAAATTTAAGTTGAAATTAGAGTACTGGTCTAGTTGACCCCGTCACTCAGATTTAGTTGACACCCACCATTTTTTATCTCTTGTGTTTTCAATGTTCTAATAATTTGTTATAAAATAATCTCTTGATTAAGAGAAACTTCTTAGATTCTTATTTGGTAGAGTTTATGTGGCGAAGTAAATTAAATTGACGTGAACAATTTAATGAAATTCTGAAGGACATAGCAAAATTTTGGCTACCAGTATATAATGTATGATAGAATATGTTGGTTTTTTTAAATAATTTTTTACTTTTTACGATTTATTTATTCATATATAATTTATCTATTTATATATTGGCCACATGAATTTTGTAAAATTTTTAGTTTAAATATATAATCTATAAATACAGAATAATAAATGCTTCAAATAGTTTTTGTATCTATTTTATACATTTTAAAATACAAGATGTAAATGGCTGGTGTCAATGAGACCAGTACCAAAGTTAGTTTATAAATGTTAATAAATCACTTTTCAATATCAACATTAAATACAAATACATAAATGAAAAAAAATAAAAATTGTTCCTTAAAATGTGCTCATTTAAATGTCATTAGAACATTATATTTTTTTTTAATAAATGATTGAATCCTAAAACTTAAAATTACACATTTTAAGAAAAATGGAAAATTTTTATTTTTTTAAAATTAAGCAAGTATGTATATTTTATATTTATTTAATATAAAATAAACGAACGGATTACTCAATAAATTATTTTTATGTAAAAAATATATAGGTCCTATTCATTAGCATTTTCATTGCTACATTACTTATAATCTGCAAACTGTTAATGTCACATAAAGACAAAATTATTTTCATTTTTGTCTTAATAAACTAAGAAAGCAAAACAAGTTTCAAAGTCAAAAATGACTAAATTTGTTTTTGTTTTTCAGTATTATCAACATATTGATATTTTATGTTCCATAGGTACTAAATTACATAATAGTATAGCTGGAGCAGTGAAAAGGTTAATAATTAAATATAAACTAAGTTCTCTATGAAGAAATTTATTTTATTTGTATATAACAATTACTTTTAGTACTTATTTAAAAAAGTTATAAACAATTTGTTTTTAAAAATATGTAAATATACTATATAAAATTATTGAAATTTTATGAAACAGTCAAATTTGTCATAGAATACAAATTTTTTCAAAAAATCACTTATGTAAAACCATTTGGAATCATAAATTCTAAAATGTTACATTATCCTTATTTTTAGGGGTGTAAATACTACCCACTTCTGGTTTTCAAATGGCAATTTATATTAAAAATTGTATGAATAGCATTGGTTTAAATATATTTTTGTGTTGAAACTATTGACTTCCACGTCTCTGTTGACGAGACATTTTGAAGTTTGAATAGGGGAAGAGTTATAGAGTACTATTCAAATGTGGTGTGTGTGTAGCTACTCAAATTATGCTCTATTACTTTTCCCCTTAACCAATCTTAAAGTGGAATATTTCGTCAACAGGTTAATAGAAATCAAAAATTTTAATACCAAAAGGCATTTAATTGTGGAATTTTATAATACAGGATGAGACATTTAAAAATCAAAAATAGATAGACGTTTCACTCCCAAAAATGAGTAACAAAAAAACAGATGGTAAACATTTTAGAATGATTCTAAAATGTTTTTACGACTTTTTTTTTTTTTTCCATAAAAATAAGAATTTCAAGTAAAATTTGACTGAATCATGAAATTTAAATGACCCTGTATGAGTGAAATAATATTGTTTAAAATAAAGTGAAAAATATTTTAAAAATTAAAGTTCTGCAGATATAAAAATATAAATATAGGTTTATTAATTTAAACAAATAAAATTAATTTATAATAAAACGTAAATTACCTTTTAATGCTGTATGTACTTATGCATCCCTGATATAATAAATATTTGTAACTTACCAATGTATAACTATGAGAGGACGGTAAAGAATAAATGACAGGATTAATTTTGGCCGCTTCCATAACATCCAAAAACAGCAAAATATTTGTTACTCACTGAAGGAACACACACAAAAAAAAAAAAAAAAAAAAAAAGTAATAATAATAATATATCACACAAAACAAAAACATGCAAATATATTAGATAGTGATTAAATCTGTCAGTAAATAATATACAACTATAATATACTATAAAGTAACAATAGGTATATTGGGGAGTAGTAACATCTTTAAACTACAGTGACTATATGTTTATTAATAACAGATTAAAACAGTTTTCATTTAAACACCACCATAAATGTGTGGGCATGAAATATGTAGGCGATAGCCACACCAACTGCTCTAGAATATTCATCAATGAGGAATGTTAGATTTTTGTGTGCCAAATAAACCATACCCTAATTAAAAATAGGTTCTTAATTGAATAAACTATATTTTGGATTGGATAACAATTAATTTAAATTAATGCAAGAACATAGAACAAATAGAAAATGATCAAGTCATATTATTATCATAAAATAATTTGAGTAATAGTCAAAAATACCTATCAGGTACTGTAATTTAATAAACAAATAAGATAAATATAGAGCACAAAATATTTAAGCACTTAGTGTAATTATTTTATATTAATAAGATTTTTGACCATTCCTACAAGGTCATAACTAAAAAACAAAATATAATTACCTACTCTAAGTATATGTATTCTATGTATTATAACAAAAATTATTGATTTTCTCAAGCAATAAATATTCATATATAAATTACTATTTAAGAACTGTATTTATTTTATATAAATATAAAAAAAAATTAATATGAATTAAAGTTCTTAAAGTTATACTATTTTTTATTGCCTAGGTAAAAGATTAAAAAGTATATCTACTTAGTAAAAAATATGATTATGTTGTAGTTTATGTAGTTAACTATAAGAATAATTTGAAAAATAAAATTAAAAAATACAACAATTTCCTGTAAACCACTACCTATAAGAAAATAAAATAGTGTTTAAACTTGTGGTTTTATTCCAAATAATTTGCTTATACATAACTGTTAGTCAATATTAAATATAAAACATTACACACAACACAACACAAATTTAACATGAGGTTTATCATAAGTTGTATTTTGTGGTAAAAAAATAATACAAATTTAGTTATATAGAAGTTTTTTTATAAATTCAAATTTTGAGGAAATCTTAAAAATTGCATAGTTTCATATGTTTAACAGAATTTCATTAGTAATAAAATATCATTTCTTATAGATTTTAAATAAATAAGTAACTTATGTATCGTACATTTTCAATTTCCCACCTACAACAGTGGCACACCCATTAGCAGTATCAGTTTTCTTTGAAAAAAAAAAAAAAAATAATTATTTTATTAAATGTATGTATAATTTTCTGCACTATCGGATTTCCATCTATTTTATTCAAAATAATAAATATTAGATATTATTATTATTGAACACGCAAATAAAAAATAAATAAAATCACTGAATTATTTGGTCAATAGGTAAGAATGGTTTACATACCCCTTGTGGAGAAGTCCTGGATCTGTCCGACTTGTCGAAAAACATGCTACTTCCACTGTTGTTATCGAATTCTTTCTTGATCTCTTCCAATATTTCGTCCGTAGACTTTCCGCGAATACGATCGCCAAACTTTGACTTATTACGATCTCGACGATCAGCAAAAGGCATTATTTATTAACAGCATCGATTAACCTAACAATAATATAGTTCATACGCGGTAAAAATGAATATTATGATGGTAAATACCGAAGGCAATATTAACACATTTAAAACGGAGCAAGAACTTCGTAGACGGTCACGTTAACGAAAAATCTGGTTGGGGGTAAAAAACAAAATTAAAAAACACTCGTATAACAAACAGGCAATAGTGATATGGAATTATGGACTATTCTAGAAGGTTCGAGCATCCGCTCGATTGCGATAGCATAGATATAGATGCGAAAAATAAGAAATGAGTGTGGTAGTGGTGATTGGATTGGCAAATAACGAATCAGACAACCGTTTTGGTCCCCACTATAGATTTACTTTAATTATGGTGGTCCCCCCACTATCTACGGAGCAGACAACGAAACGAACGTATATCAGAAACGACCGAACACCGAAAGTTGTAGGTACTGCAAATGGTCTATGGAAAACAGATTTTCGGTAATTGGACAAAATTATAAATTATTTATGATAATCCAGATAATGGACTATATATTGTAATATTGCACGGTATTTATAAACACATCTTGAGTGCACCAATAACTATTATAAGATTAACTATCTATGGAAATATTATATAGACATTAATTTATGTTATCATGGCCATGTTTTTATCCATAACTGTGATTAGGTACTGACTGGTCTTAAGCAAAAATATTCACGTCACTAATCACTATATCATTGACTGTTTTTGTTGTTTGACTGACGACTACTTTTTCGTTATTTTTATATAGGTAGTTGCTAATATAATAATCGGTATAACAACAAGTATCGCTAAAAAATATTTATGAAAATAATATTGAATTTGTATAAAATCATAATTAATAAAAATTAATGCATTGAAAATAGTATATTTATTATATCATATATAATACGTGTTAAAATGTTTATTTTTTTTATATTTACTTATCTAATCAACTATTACAACTGTATTCAAAAGCAAATATAGTGAAACCTCGATATCAGTGGTTTTCAATTTTTTTAACAATTTATCTTCTACAAAATTTTCGTGACACACTAACCCACCATATAATACGTGAAGCATATTTTATATATAATATATATACATATATATTTAGGTACACTGTTTACAATCTACTCTATTAGAGGGTTAATTATTGTGAAATAAATTAATAAAATGATGAAAAAATGTGTCAGCAGAAATATTTATTTTATATGATAATATTGTTGTACAATGAAATACAATTACATCGATTAAAATGAGACATTTGTGCTTGATGTGTAGTGGACAAGTGTTTTATTCGAGGACGAACTGTTGACAAACTCAAACTCAGTTCTTCTACGTATCGAAGTCGTTTTCTTTTTTTACTTTTTATTGTTGTGACTGCTGAGAATCCTTATTCGTATACATACGATGTGGAGAATGGTAGTAAAATTGTTATTGCTTTAATAGATATTTCAGGAAATTCTGCTTAAGTATATATCCGAAATTTGTTAATGGTCATTTCTTTAAATTTTAACTTCAATGTTCGATAATTTTTTAGTGAAATAAGATTGTCTTCTTTGGTGAATGTCAAACCAATCACCTCATTAACTGATACACTAAATGGATTCCGCACCCATTCATAGTCTTCGACATTTATGCTGGGAAAGTATTTCATTTTGTTTTTTAGTAACATGATAGATTCGCTTATTAACGATAGGAGGTTTGTATCTGCATCTCGCTCTGCAGTTCGTAGGAACATTGTCAATTTTTTTTTTGATCAACTTGAGTTTTCCATAGAATTAATTTTTTATTAAAAGCCATAATTTCGTCAGATGATGTTAAGATATTTTCGTTACGACCTTGCATGCTTGTATTTAATTTATTCAAAAGTTTAAAAATATCAATTAAAAAAGAAATTTTTAACTACCACTTTTATCTCCAAGAAACTCGTATTTCGATTCTTCTATTGTTAAAGATACTATTATTTTTCACTCAATCATAAAAACGTAATACCCGGCCTCTTGATAACAATCTTATTGCGCTGTGAAAAAGTAACTTTGAGTTGTCTGAATCCACACCTTCACACCTTTATAAATTTGATCGAACAACCTTGACTTTAATGAACTATTTTTAATATAATTTATCACTTACACAATTTGATCCAAAACTTCCCTTAAATCATCTACCAATGTTTTTAACATAAGGGCTTTTCTATGTATAAAACAATGGGTGAAAATTATATTTTCATTTTTTTCTTGGCAAGAGAAATAAAGCCTTTGATTGGCTTTAAGTTATATTAGGAGCTCTGTCGGAACATATTTCAATGCATTTATCCCATGGTAAATTGACGAATTTCAGATTTTAGTCCATGATTTTGAAGTGTTCCTGAGAAGTGTTTTACAATACAAAACGTTTTCCACGATATATTCGTTGGCAACTAATCGTATAGATACCAAAAGTTGTGCTTGCCCACTTATGTCAGTTGACTCGTCAAGTTTTAATGCAAATAATGAAGAATCACAGGATTGTTACAATACTTATTCTTCAATATCTTCAGACTTGTGTTCTGTACGCCTACTAATGGTGTTGTCAGATATAGGAATTTTTAGTATTTCTTTTTCAGTTTCTTGGCCAAAAAGTACTTTTACGGTTTCACAGCAAGCAGGTAAAATAAGTTTTTCTGCCATAGTGTGTGGTTCCATTTGTTTAGCTACAAGGTCTCCTAATAGATAACTAGCTTCTTGAGTTTTATCAGAAATGGTCACTATTTTTGTCATTTTTTCAGATTGTCGTGTTTCTGATTTTAATAAACGTTGAAAATATGAAGCATTTTTATCGACCAAATGAGGATGCTTGGTGGAAAAATGACGTTTTAGTTTACTTGGAATCATTGTTTCATTGAATAGTTTTTCGTCACATACAAGTCACCACGGACAAGAATTATCTACATTACCGGACCAAGAAAATCCAATGTTTAAATAATCTTCATGATATTGACGTCTGATATTTGATTTAGTTTTTTTTTTGGTTGTTCACTTACTGAAGTGCTGTCAGTTAAACGAATTATAAATGTATACATTATACAAATTATAATTACAAGTATTATTTAAAATATACCATGTAGGACATAAGTCATTAAAAACACAAAGAAATACCTATGAGTATAGTGCATATAATACAATATTCCGCGAAGCTACTTAAAACGACCGAAAAGGCTGCGACGGGCATACTAATATTAAATGCTATAATAAGTATCTACGATTAATGATTTAACCAGTCTTTGTTTTTTATTTATCAGTTTTCACCGAATATCGATAATAATAATGGTAAACACAAAATTATAAAACTATTAATAGATTTATTGCAGTACATTTCAAGGGCGCTCGCGGGACACCGGTTGAAAACCACAGCTCTATATAGAGGACAACCATGGGGAATAAAAAACTGTCCACTATTGGGACAACCTCTACATAGTGAACATTTGTGAGAAATTACAAAATGTCCACTAAAGGGGGACGTATAAAAGATAAATATAGTATTTTTATAACTTAAATCATTTTCGATATGTACTATTTTGTCATTTATCGAATAGGAAAACTATTAAGATAAAATATGAATGAAATGTATAAAATATAAATATAGTATTTTAAACATTTTCAATATGTACATTTATGAGAGGTAATTTTTAATTTTGGTACCATATCCACTATTAAGTGGTTATACCTCCTATTATGTACACACAGTTTAGCCGGGGAATTTAAAAGTGTCTATTATTGGGAAGGGTTCACTATTTAGAGGTTTTCATTAATAGAGGTATCACTGTAGTTTGGTTTCCAGAAAAATCAAGGGGAACACCATAATGTTTATCATTATCATATCAAGTTTTGTTTTCAAAGTTTTGCAATTTCAGTTTTTAGTCTTAGTAAAAATCTAACAATATCAACTGATTTAAAGTTTAAACAAACAGTAAATTGTTCTAGGATTGTAAAAATTCTTTTTTTATTTTATAACCATATAAAGAAAATTTGTATTTTGTAAAAAATTATGATTATTATTACTTCTTAAATAAATTGTGTTTTACAATCATCAAATATTTGTATTAATAATAATAAAAATAAACTTAATTACTTTTGCTGTTAAAGGATGAGTGACACTAACGACTAACACGGGAAAAAATTTGGTGGGTTTATGAACAAATATCATCTTTGTATCAATATTAATAATAATACTTGATAGTATACTTCTTTTTTTCTAATAATACAAATTATGTAGTACTTTAATTTTTGTGGAAGGGTGTGTAGTAGGTTTTGGTTAACACTAAAATGCTAAAAACTCTAGAATGAATTACTTAGTAAAAGTTAAAAACACAAATAAAAAAAAAATACATTGAAAAATTATAGTATTTAATAAATAATAACAATCCATTATTGCACTTTAGTAAATCAAATGTAATACTAATTTTAAAAATCTGTTCTAACAGTACAATAATATAAAAAAATATTGAATTATGGAGTACACTTTGAACATGTTGATTTTCTAATACTATATAACTTAGTGTGCTTAAAATTTTTCAATTTAATACATTTTAAGTAGTGATGTAACAAACACTGATTTTTAAAGTTGAATTAAACTTTTCTTAATATTAAAAAACCTGATCTGAACTGAACAGATCGTAAAATCACTAACTTTAAGAAATTGTTTTAACAAATTAAAAACTTAAGATAGAATTAATCTTAACTCTTTACATAACTATATTATAATTTACCAATTCCATACCATATATCTGATTTTATAATAATAATTCAAAATATGACAGTTTAAGTCTAATTACGTATAAATATCAAGAGGATATGTCACCACCTGAATTCAAGGGATAGTGTTTAATTAATTTCTACATTTTAGAAAAACTAAAATTTATCGATTCAAAAAACTCGTGTCATTATTTTAAGTATTTATTATGTAATCTTCATAAAAAAAACTAAATAGGTTATAGAGAAACATTTTTGAGCGGGAAAAGTCACATAACTAAATTTTTACCACATAAAAAGAGGAACTTTTGTATCAGTCACTAACCAGGAAAAAGTAATTAGAATATGAAAAATTCATATCAGATTAAATTATCATAGTAATAACTTTGTGATATCGAAAAAATAAAACTAATGTACAAAGATCTTTTAATGGTAAAAAAATGGTTTCTTAATTAAGTCTATAGCCTGAAAAGTTTTTACATGCACAAATTAGTTTTTTAAATTGAATTATTAGTGGTATCACACCCTCTTGAATAATAAATGTATTATATAGGTGGATTTATACCATTGGTAATTCTTAAAACTTAACAATTTATTGTACAATTATAATTCAAAGAGGACTTTAGAACTGAATGTACTGTCTCCATCTTATAACCATATGACATTAATACATTTTTGTTCAGCAGGGACAATTCTATGCAGTTAGTTTTAATATTACAGTAAACTGATCTATTACCAAACTTAAAGATAAGAACATTATATATATATCTTGTTATTTTTTTTTCATAACTTTAATTTTCAAGTTAAATATTAGCATTTTTAAATTGTGATATTTCACACTCATATATCCCTTGTAAAAAAACCAATAACTTAACTTGGCAACTCTTAAATAGCTTTATCGATGCGCCTGATTTACTAAACAAAGTTAATTTTAAGGCACCTTCTATACATTCTTGCTCATTGGCTCTTTTTATGTCTCTATTCACTACACCAATTACGTACAAAATCAACACATTCACAGAGTGATGCACTTAGCGAATATGTTTCCATTTAATTATTAAATTCTACTGTCACACCTATTCTATTTGTTTTTACCTTTGTAAATAATATAAGTCAATGAATATTCCATATCTGTACCTTGTGCTCGCTTGTAACAAATGTTAAAATAATAATAATAATAATGTTCTTATCTTTAAGTTTAGTAATAAATAAATTCACTCTTATATTAATACTAACGACATAGAATTTTCCTTGTTGAACAAAAATTTGCTATATCATGTAGTAGTAGGATGGAGTCAGCACATGTGAACATCCTCTTAATTACTGGAAGGCAAAGAAAGAATGAGAAAATTAATTTTTAAAATAAACTAAAAGAGAAAATAATTAATAATACCTACTTTTTTTTCTTTATTTTCTTCTTATATCCTTTTCCAAACCAGCCAGCAGTAACTTTGGCTTTTTCTATAATTTCATCATTTTTATCAGTTATTTCTTCAGTCTTGAGTTCTTCTTCATCTTCTTCATCTGTATCATCATCACAACACAAACAAATAGCTACATCTTCTTTAAACTTAGACTCATATTGATGATAAAATAAGCATTTAGTTGAACCGTACACTGGATGGCAAAATGTACAGTAACGATTTATAGAAACATCGGTTTTTTTAGTATCATCTTTATCATCACTAACATCTTTTTTTTTTCTACTGGCATTATTTGTTAGCTTTTTTTCTATTTGAAATTTTTCAACTGCTGCTAATCCAATACAAGCTTGATATACAAAATTCTTATAAAACTGATCAACAGGTGTTGGAGACAATCCTAAGGTTTCCATATTATTAATAAAAAAAGGATTTAAATATGGTACAATTGGTTCAACCAATGACAATATATTACGATTGTCTAATGAGTTTTGCTCAACACCTTCAATAAATGGTCTCCAAAAATTATTTATACTTGGAATAATTTCCATATTCGAACACGATGGAAGGCTAAGTAATTCACTTTGATCAATTATGGAGGAAGTATTTTCTAATTTTACTAAACTGAGATCAATAGGTTGATTAAGGTCTTTTGATCCTGAACACATTTTGGTATTATTTTTACAGTCTTCTTCTAAATTTTCACTTTTAATAGTTAATTTAGAATCATTTTTTTGCACATCATCAATTGGAACAGCTAATATGGGATGCACAGTTGTATGTTCTTCAGCTGCTAACAACATTGTTGAATGGTGGAATATAGGATCAAGACAACGTTGATATTTAGGTATATCCAAATTTAAGATTGACATTACTTTTTTCATAATTTCATCACATTTACCTAAAACATTATTTAATTTTTATTATTTGTTTTGTTATAATTTAGTGAGCTATTATTTCTATACCATTTATTTTCAAAGTAGCTTGATCATCTTTTGGAGTCCACTGAAGATTAACAATATATAATTTTGGTCTCTTTTTTATTGGTCTATCCATTGACCAGAGCCATGGATACTTCTTAAGAACCTAAAAATTACTATAATTAATATTTTATAATTGTAGTAAACAAATTATTCATTTCATATTTATTAAATACAAAAATAGAATTATTTAATCATATAGGATCATATTATATAAATATATCTAATTAGATATGTATAAATATTAGTATTTTTTGTCTTATTAAATATAATATCAAGTCTAGCCTAACCAAGACAATGAAATAAATTATAAAGTTTAAATGGCTGAGTTATTCAAAATATTAATCCTAATAATTGTATAATATATTACAATTAAATATTTCTTTTTAAAAATTACCTTTAAACTTGACCCTAAACATAAAATAACATCCGTTTTTTCAGCATGTTTACAAGCTGTTGACCAATTAATAGGCCACTGAAGTTTACCACGTTCACCAAAATGAACAATTGTGTCTTTTAATGGTTTGTGACAAGCATAACACAATCTTAGCGTTTTGTGGTTAAATCTTGCTGTATGTTCAGTTACATCAAACATTCGTAAATAGTGTCTATTTGGCTTACAATTATTGCATACCTATAAGATTAATTTGTATGAGTATTAGAAATAATAATAATTGTATTAATATTAATTAATAAATGGGTGTGGGCTTAATTGTATAGATAGTTTGCACACATGTTAAATACAGGAAATAAAATTATGTATAAGAACTAAAAAATATAATGAGATAAAATTATGTTTAAAATAAATAAATACTTCAATAAACATATTGCCGTGTACTTCTGACAATGCTGGTCTTGGTAGACCACTTCTCAAATGTAATCCATCACAATTTTGAGAAACAATATGTCCAAGTAGACCTTCACGAAATAAGCGATATAATGCCATGTGTGTTAATGTTGGTTCTGCTTGGCTTAGGTCATGGCATCTAAATGTATAATATTTTATATAAGAGCTTTGTTTGTTATACAATTGATGGTGATTATCAAAAGTTTACACTATTTTTTTTTTAACCAAACATAGCTTTTAATACACAAAATATATTAAAATAATATTTGTTTGCATTGGGATTTAGAAAATTGTTTTAACACACAAAAAATGTTAATTTGATTGAATAATACATGACAAAATTGTGAAAAAAAGACAATGTGCATTAATACTGAGCAAAAATAGACTAAATAGCAAAATATGCGCAACAGTTCATATAACATATCAGTTTTTTGGATATAAAAATTGTGTTAATAATATATTTGGTATTTCAGCAATAACATATATAACAAAATATGTAAAATCATTGAAATTCTAAATTCAGTGGTAAAATCAAATAATTTAATTGCAATTCACGGGGAAAGCAAATTTATTGTTTGCTTAAATTAATTAATTAGTTATCAGAATACACATTGTTTATTAAAATTAAAGCACTAGTTATTACATACCCAATATCTTTGCCTTGATCTAATAAAGTCCATATTCCATTCGAGCCTCTATAATCAGGTATTTTAGCAGCTGTACTTATTCCTGCTCCAGTATAAACAATTAAATTGGATGCAGACATAATGGCTTTTGCTAGTTCTTCACATTTTGTATCAAGAACTTCAACTGGGTCTTCAAATTCTTGAGACCGCTCTTTTAATTTCTTTTGTCTATCTAATCTGAAATATAAAACAATTACATATTACCTTTTAATTAACCTGTAAATATATATAATATAAGTAAGAAGTAAGAAGTCCAGGCATAGTGCACAATGCCTGAAAATATTGGGCAATATTTAAATTAATCATTTTAATACTCCGATTTTCCCTATATAGAGTGGGCACAGTACAAGAGTGCCTTGGTAAAGTGTGCCCTGCCAAGATTTATGTGAGCAAAGTGAATTAAATACAGCACATACTTATATAAGTAATAAGTAAATATACCTACCTATATAAATGATGTTATTTGTTTGATATCCCAATTTTTGAGGTAAGTACCTATTTAATTTAGAAACAAAATATACCTTGATATGAACAAAGGGGCAAACCACGGCAACAGCTGTCGATAATACAAATCAGTCTAGAAATCTCATATTTCTACAAATATTTTATAATCTATTTGTTATTTTATAATTATTATTGTTCTGATGTCATATAGTTAGTGATTAGTTGATGTTATTAACAGTGTGTAGTGCAAATGCAGATCGAGTATTTATTAAATGCGGGGATTTTTTTCTGTTTAGTCTATTGTACCTTAATGTTTACACCCTTAGAAGAATGAGAATAAAGTATAATTTTATAAAAAGAACCTTGATTAATTTTATGAACAGATCTGAGTTAACAGGATTTTTTAAACCATGTAAGCGCTAGATAACATATTAGAATCACAAGTGTGTAATTCTTAAATTATAATAAAATAAATTTTATTATACACTACTTTAACAACATTTATTATAATATAAGTACTTTAAAAACCCAGTATTACTTTTTTTAAGAACTTAACATTTGAAAAACATCAAACCTAAAAACATTATCACCAATCACAATTATTTTTTTATTACAATAATAATTGTTGTTAATATTATTAAAAGAATAAGGGCCACTTTCATCAATGTAAATAAAGGTGTGTGTCTGATTTTTTAACTGATTTTATGGCCGATAAACAACCATAATTGGTCAATCAAAAATTTCATTTAAAATTCAATGTTTATATTAGTGAGAACGGTGCTTGATGTCAAATAATTAATTGTGTAAATATGAGTTTCTATTAAATATTTAAGATATTTGTAGGTAACCTCTAAATAATTGTTTATTAAAAACTAAAAGGTACCTATAACATAATATTATGTATTTATATATAAATAATAAGCAGTATACAAATTAATGAAAATACCTTTGAGAGATTTTCTGTACAGTATCCTTACATGTGTTGAGTATTTCTTCATCATCAATGGTTCTTTCGGCTAATGGTTTCTGAATAATTTCTAATATCTGTAAATATTCAATATATCTATTATAGATCATATTTTGTTCCCAAGTACTTTCTTATTAATCTTCTATTTTAAAAATACATTGTATATAGTATATACTATACAATCTATATTAACTACAAAGAAATATGGAACAAAAATTTAATTTGAAAGAAGTTGCTGCAATTTTTTTGTTTAGTTATATTGTTATTTACTTATGTAATTATAATTAGGGTTTGAATGAAAAAACATACAAGTTGATTTAAAATTTATGTTATAGCTATTTTATCATGTAAATATTTAAAATATTTAAAAATGTATAATCCAAACATTTTTTGATTTATAAATATCTAAAATAATTTGTAGATCATTTTTTACTATATTTTTGGAGGGAGGAGGGGGTAAGCATCAACTTTAGAAATTCAAATGAGAACCTTTATTCAAAATTCTATAAATAGACAGAGTATTAGTTTAAATAAATTTTAGTGTTGAACATTTTGATTTCTGTCAAACCTTTAACATACATTTTAAATCACTGTATATAAATATAACCGGCTTACAGTAAAAAAGTTGTAAACACTTATAAATACATTTTGTGTCTAAAAATATTATAGGTCTTTATTTAAAGAAATATATTCTATAACTAATTTATAATTTTCTTATAGCTAACTTATAAAGATTGTAAGAATTTTCTGATCATTCAAATTTGATATTTTTTATTTAATACATTTCAGTTTATTAAGGTAAGTTTTATTAAAGTACCTATTCTACTGAAGAGTATGCCAGTTACATATGAGTTAGGTAACAAAAATAGTAATATTAGGTTTACAATACATACAATTGTGATAAAATAATTTGTCCTATTGATACATAGACTCAAATTAATAATATACATAGGTTTTCTATATAATATAGGCATATTGAGGATATGTTTTATCTTATAAATTAAATAAAAAGAAATAAATGTTGAATATTCAATAATAAAAAATGTTAAATAAATATTGTATATTTTGAAAATTATAATCAAATATTATTATAGGTACTAACTAGTTCAGTACTATTTTGAGTAATTGTTGTAATTTATCTCAATCAAGATTCAAGACCATAAAAGAGAAGTAGATAAGAAGGTAATTATTAATTCAAATATTTGTTCAGATAAATAGTGCACATTATTAAATAAATGTAAACCATAAGCAAATATTTTAATATTAATAGGTAGGTAAATTTACCCAGATTGATTTAAAGGTCTTACTTCTAGGTAAATCCCTCAGCAATTATTAGGTGTATGTGGGTAAGGATAAGTTTTTGAACATTTTAAGATATAATATTAAAAAAACCGTTAATTGTTGATTTTATTCCTGGTGGAAGGAAATTTGAATACTTCCACAGTACCTCTACATGTCGTAAGAGGTGACAAGAGGGGAAGTGTTTAGTCGACATCCAGTGTAAAATTCTGCCAAATAGTATGTGGAGTTCTATACAAGACTTCAATGAATTTTTCAATTTCAGATATGTGCATAGACAATGGGTAAGGGAAGTACCATAGTGTATGCAGATAATATAGCTTTGATAGGAGAAAATATGGAACAAGTTAACAGAGAAATACTTGAGAAATAGAAAGTACCACTTGAAAGAAAAGAACTAAGAATAAGTAAAATTGAAACAGATTACAAGATTGAAGGAACAGGACAAGAGAGCTAATGGCAATGGTTATAGGTGAGATTGAAATTTTTAAGTATCTAGGATCTTTTATTTAAAAGAACAGTGACTTTTATAAGGATTTGAAAAATAGGATTAAGTGAACTGTCAGATAAAACTATGACGAGAGAATTTCAAAGAGACTTAAATTTAGTTCTATAATTGCATGGTGAGACAGACTATGCTATTAGGTTCAGAGTATAGGGTAATAGACAAAAAAATAGAACAGATAATGAGTGTAACAAAGATGAGAATGCTTAGGTAGATGAGTGGAGTGACAAGAAAAGATAAGAGATGAATACTTAAATTACAACTTACATTGTTTGATTATAAAACCATTACTTCTTAAATTACCATAATTTATAAATGCCTTACTTTTTTATTTGACGCGTTTCTCTCTTTTTTCACGCAAAATGAAATATTTGATGCAGCTTTCCGTTTTCTGAATTTTAGTTTGCAAATTTTCTGAGAATCCATTACATACAAAAACTATTGTTAGCGTGAGGGTGTTAACACAATTAATGGATTTTCTAATTTAAAAGACATTCAGACGTCATTATTGCATAAATTGATGATAGCAGTATGTACAGTAGTCAGTAATAGGTATGTCATATCTCTGTTGCCTAGTTATACTGCAATATGTAAACGAAAAAATAAAAAATACTCAAGATTTAAGCGAATGATTAAAAAAAAAAAAAAAAATTTATAATATTAATAATGAATTAGTTAATACAAAAACGTCAGAATGTCGTTCCGGTTTTATATAATTGACGTTTAAAGTACTTATAAGAACTTATTATTTTACGTTTCTAGCATTATGGTTTACAAAAAAATTGAGACTTGCGAGTGAAAATTATAATTTGTTGTAACTTATTATAGTAGAATCACAGAATTGTAGAAGAATAGCTGCAGGCCAAACAGCAGTAGCAGATGTTTATTTATTATTGTTTTTAAAGTTTTTTTTTTTTTGGGTAAATGAAACGTTCTCAGGCACTGTGCACATAATAATATATTATATAACAGACTGATAGTGCCAACAAAAATTCGAAACGACAAAAAGTCGTCACTATGCATGGTAAAGATTATATTATCATAATCACACAAGTACTAATGATTCATGAACAAAAATTGACCATTTATGATTGAACATTGAAATACGCAATATTTTAATCGTTGATATAAATTTTATAATAGACATTAAAATTAAAGATTTCTTGATTCTTCAGTTTTCAATGTATGTATGGTATTGTTGGACGTACTGCCGCATTATTATTAGACTACTTTTGTTTGTAGTATAGAATAGTTGACTAATGATTAGTTTAGAAATTTGAAAGTATTTTATATTCATTAATTCTTTAAATATAATAATGGCAGAGTCGCGAGGTATGTTAAAATATTTATTATGATAAATTAGATGGTATATTGTATGAATTATGGCTTTTGTGCCTGAAAAAAGAAAAGGCAAAATATTGAAAAACTTTACATAGATTTGTTTGTTTGTATACTGTCCTAGAATAACATCCATTCGTCGGGTATTCGATAATCCTACTTTCTGACCAATTGTCATGAACACTCGTGGTTTTTGTTTTTTAAATATTTTGTTATGAATTTATACATTTTTTGGCTTTGAAAAGTAACTTTTATAGGGTTGAACACTGGATGGTGGGACAATAAACACTAGAGTATCTTTTTTAAGTACAATATGATTAAATTACATAGTAGTAGTTTGTGGACTGCAGTAAAATTTGTATTCAATATATGTTTTGTTTCTTTTTAGGTGGTTGTCATTTTGAATTTTCTTCTGAAAAAAATTGGGGCATAGAAAATGATGATTGTAAAATATTTGATTCAATTGATATTACACATTTAGCTGACAGTATAGCTAGTGTGCCATTTAATTTACGGCATAATATTCCTATTGAATTATTCACTGTAATATGCTAAATACATAGAAATACATTTTATTTATTTCTCTACTAATACTAATTAATTAAAATTTAGGTAGAACAATTAGAAGAATTTGAAGTAGAAGCTTCTCTTGCTTTGAGTCGACATACATGTAAGTAAATACAAATCTTACTTTTAAATATAATTTTAATATCCAAAAAGTAACATGTTACTCCTACATTTGTTGTATTATAGTTCAATGTAATTCAAAATTAAAAAATAAAACTGAAGTAAGAACCTCTATCAAGTGCAGCCAAAAGCCAGAAACAGATAAACTAATGAAATTAATTCTAAACAATTTTTCCAGTTCAGGTGATATATTAAATTTTTATATAAGGTTGAATATTGAATATTTTTTTCACATAATCCAATATTCTATTATTGAAAAGTGTTTATGTATTAAATAAGTTAGTTAAAAAACTATTTATTATCGATGTTAATCAGTATAATAAATCGGTACTTTTGTGTTATCTCAACTACCCAAATATTTCCAAGACTACCTGTTAGAATCATCGAGGTTATCTCGACTACCTCTGTATCTATTTATAAATATATATTCCCGCTGTAATCTCTATCATTGTAATATACAATTATATTAATTTTGTCAGTCAGTTGACAGTCGTCCTATTGTCTATAGTATAGTTGTCAGTTATTATTACTATACAGTACCTACACGCTTCGTATAACCAACATTAATTTTTTTAATTCGCCATTGTCAGAGAAAAAAACTGTAGAAAATTATTTACTAAATGTTTTTTTATTTTATTTTTGTTTTACATTTTAAGATATTAACTAAATTTTAATTTAATGTCAACGATATAATATAAATATATAATCTTTTTATTATTTAATAAATTCCAGTAGTAGTCGAGATAACACAGATTATCATTATAGGTAGTCTTGGAAATATTTCAGTAGTTGAGATCACCCGGAAGTATCAATAAATTTTACCTCTAAATCTTGAGTTAATACAATTTCTACTACAAATCATTGGCATTATTTTATTTAGGTACATTTTTACTGATGTTTTCTTAAATCTACTTATTATTATTTTTATAATTTGTGTAACTATAGTACCATATTATAATATTGTTAAAAATAATCAACAAAATTCATGAAAATACCATAATTAATTAAGAACTGGTATTATGGTTCACGATTATTTAACAATTTTGATGTCAAATTAATATAATTTTGAATTTTGTAGAAGAAAGTAATATTACTTCTGATGGTCAACTGGATGCAATATTGGGAAATATGAAACCATTGATTAATATATTACAAGATGAAACAAATGAAGTTAATAGTATAGGTATATATACACTTACACAGTAATAATTTAAATATAATTATACTTGAAGTTAAGTTAACTTAACTTTAAATTAACTTAAAATTTAAGTTCAAAAGCTTGTTTTCTTGTAATTTAATGTATCTATTATATATATATATATATATATATTTTATAGGCTCTAGAAAAACTGATTCTAAAATAGTTGAAAATCAAATGTCAACCATTAAAATTGATTCAGAATTAGAAACAACAAATGATTCAGCTCATTGGCTTGATTCCATGTTAGATAGTGACGAATAACATTCAAAATTTATATCTCATTGTTGATTGTAGTTAAGTAAAAATATTATTTAAATTGTATTATTAAATTATACAATTAATAAAATCAATAAAAATGTCATCATTATATAACTTTTTTAGTATTTTAAAAATTAATTAAAATATACATTACAATAATAAATCTATTAATATTATATTTTTTTATAAAATTAAATACTAGTTTAAAAAGATACAAATCTCTGTCACATGGTACTTTATTTAAAATAATTCTTTACTCACAACAGTGTAATATTTTTACATTTTTTAATTGTTAAACTAATGACATAAATTAAAAAAATTATGGCGCTTCAAATTATATATTACAGAACTGTGCTTGGAATCGTCTTTCATCAAGCAATGGTTTATCATTCCTTATAGATATAAATGTAATAACCTTATATATCCTACCTTCCCAACTTCTCACCTATAACAGTGGCCACTCCCATTTCCAGTATCAGCTTTTATTATTTTATTTTGAATTCTTAAGTATTAAAATATATTAAATAGAAAAAAGTTATTACATTTGTTAAATTTTCCTATTCCCTGTATATACATCTATTAAATTGATAAAAAAAAATTGTATACATTTATGTAAATAACAGAAATTATTTTAATAATTTTATTAAACATTTCATTAAGCACAATTATTCAATTAGTAAAAATAATATAATTTACATAAAAATACTCTAAATATACAAAAATTATAAAATTTGAACACTACAACTTTTAGTTTAATGCAATTGATAACAATGCAATTATCATGTACATAATCTTTGTATGTAAACTAACAAGCCAAAAAAAATTTAAATGATATTTGTTTATTTTAAAAGGGAGAGTTCATACCAAGTTTAGTTCCAAAGTCTAATCTTGCTCTTTTTTGATAACGTACATTTGCCCTACAATAAAATAAACTGTATTATATTTTTATTTTATTGACATCAATTACAAGTAATTATATGAATATACCTTATTTCTTGCCAATGAACAATCTCATTTATAATAAAAACCAAAAACATAGATACAAGCCCAATAATCAGAGTCAATATTGATAGATTGGAAATACTAATATGATCTTCAATATTGTTAAAATATTCATAATGGATAGTATATACCAATTGAACTAAAATACTTTTAAAACATTAATTAACATATTTGTAAAGTTATTAGGTTATTATATTTACTTACATGAATATTGCAATAAAAACATAAGGTTTATTTAGATATATAGCTCGTTTCCAAAGTAAATAATCTCGATGAACAAAACTTAAAGATACTATAACTAATAAAATTAAAATAATTAAAATATTTTTTTTTTTAATTAGAATTTCTTATTACCATAATGCATTACAAGAAATAGTAACATCAGTCTTTGTACACTGACCATAGTGGGCTCAAATTTCGACCAACCTCCCCATTCAGTATGTTTAGGATCTGGATATACATACCAACATTCTTTAACTTTAGCGGTTGAGTTATTAGTAGCAGATGTGTTTAAAATCAAATCACATGTTTGACTTAGTGACCAAATAAAGAGCAATATCATACTAATTACAACAGGAAAAAATTTCAAACCATAAAACCACATCACGTAATAGGACAACTATAACAAAAATATTTGTTTACAAATTATATTCAAAAATAATATAAAATGAAACCTACTTCAGATGTAATTGAGCATTGATTTTTACCAGTGGGTTTTTGCATTACCCCAGCATCTGTTGGACCTCCTACTAAAGATACTGACAGAAGTGGCACAATAAAGCATGCAAGCCATAACACTTGACCTAAAGTTAAATACTCATTTTGAATTATTTCAAATAAATTTAAAATCAAAATTGAATAAATAACCTAGAATGTTTTTTAATTTAATTAATTTGATATTATTAAAAGTATAAATTTATTAAATTTGAGTTAAACAATTTATTTATATAAATGACATTTAACTTAAACATACTACATAGTTATTAAAATTACAATGAGTATTTTGAGATGAGATTACTAAAGAAAAAGTGTATTAGCTATCTACTAAAATGACATTAAAAAAGGATTATTTTAAATAAGGCAAAAATTGAGATAGATTTTATAAATTATAAAATTATTTTCTTATTCGCCTTCATCCCAACTATTTGGGGTCAGCCACCCTCATTCTAAACTTCCATTTGACCAGATTTCCCACCTCACATACACTGGCTATTCTCATATTATTCTTAATTGCATCCAACCACCTCTTTTTGAATCTTTCTTTCCACCTTTAACTTCCTACGTTTATTTTCATTACAATCCTTTCTGCTTTAAATTCCTTTCTTCCCATTACATACCCAAACCATATCAGTCTAATTTCTCTCATTTTATCTACTATTGAAACAACTATTTAACCTATGATACTTTTTATGTATTCATTCCTTATCTCTGTTCCTAAAAGATCTTAGGGTATTTAAAACACTCAACCATGCCTATAACCACTTATTTTCATTAGCTGTCTTGTTTTGTTCCTTTAAACTCATACTCTGTTCTAGTTATATTTCTCCTTAGTACCTTTCCTGCAAGTGGTACTTTCTATTCTTAAAGCATTCCTCTGTTAAATTATTATAGATTTTCTCCTATTAAAGCTATATCATTTAAAACCATCATGCACCATGTTAAGTCCTCTCACCTGTTGTTTTCGCACACATCTGTGATAATCCACCCAACTCTTGTACAGAACTTTTTATTTTATTTGACAAATTTTTACACAGGTTGTCGACTAGACATAACCATATATTTAGCCTCTTACAACAGGTAATGGTACTGTGGGAGTATTTTGATCCTCACCCACAGGGAAAATGGTACTGTTAACTATAAAGTGAATTCCTCCTCTTTACAGAAACAATACTATATTTCTGTTGGAATCATCCACCTAGGGTTTTTACCAGTTGGATCAAGGCTCTGGATTCACTAAACCCATACTAACATATGTCCAACTGAGGTGATAAATTATAAAATTAAAAGTAGCTAAATTACAAACCGACTGATAAAATAGGAGGTAATACAAGAGCAATTGCAAGTAGTTGAAGAAAACTAAGCGAAACCATGCAACTAGTCCAAAATTGAACACAGTTCCATATTCCTTGCATTAAATATCTTCCCTGTGAAAGAAAAGAATATTAAGATATTGAACTTATTATGAAACTGTAATTTAATTATTTACTTCCATAATGAGATGATATACTGGTAATGGATCTTGGCGATTAAGTGATAGACAACAAGGAAGAGAGTTCAATAATTCAGAAAGACCCACTGGAGATATTGGAGCATCTATTGGATTCGGTTGATGCATGATGCTAATTCGTTGACATACTTGAGGGTAGATTGGTTCAATAGCAAGGCTATAGTTAGTATATTAACAATAAAAAATAATTGTGCGGTATAATAAAAAGTATTCATCAACTGTTTAAATATAGTCACATAATTTAAGATTAATATATGAATTAGATATTTACATTTTTTTCCTATTAAGTTTTTGTTAAAAAAACTATTCTTTTTGTAATGATGTCTTATTTTAACTTAAAAACAAAATGCTCCAATTCAGCTATTTATGGTCTTGAGACAAAATTTTATAACAACACCTATAGGTTCATGTTGTGTCTTAGCAGGGAAGGTAGTCTATCTATCAACTAATGAAAATAAGAACAGGTTATTTATAATAAAGTGTTCCTGAAATTTGGATATTTTTAAAATATTCTTTAAGTTATATATATGCAATCTGTACATAATATATATTACAACGCAAGTATGTGCTGTGGAAAATAATAGCATTAAAAATATGATGGACAATGCCGCCGAAAAAATTCAAATTAAAATACTAAAAGAAAAATGTATCAAGCACAAACAATTAAACATGATAAGATTTTAAGAAAGGTGCATAATTAGATAATTATGTGCGAAGTCAAAAAAAATTATGAATAAATGGAATTAGGATCATTTTTGTAGTAATTACCTTGCATCAGCTTGCATAAATATACCAATATTTTCAGCATTAGGTGATGATCCTAACACACAAACAACTTCTCCATATTGTTGCATTATCAATACCATTTCTTTAGTTGCTTCTGGAGTACAATCAGTGAACAGAGAAACTAAAAGTGGAACATTGTCTATACATTCTAAATGAGGTCGTATATTTTCAATACCGCGAGGTAGTTTCGCCTAAGAGATATTATTATTATTTTAAGTAATCACATAGTTAATTATTTATAATATTTACTCGATTGTACATATCAAAATTAACAGGAACACTTTGATCAGTACTATCAGACATACAACTTAATGAATGCCATTCTTCTCCATTTTTTTCAATCTCGACTTCATTACAGTTGTCAGTTACTAAAATGTCTCTTAAAACATTTTCAATATAAATTATAAATTATACAAAAACTAAAAATAATAAAAAAAACCAAAACTATATTATTACTTTTGAACGAGCATTGGCTTTATAATTTTTTCTCCATCATGTTCTATTGTAACTTGAGCATAATCCATATTTAAAGCAGTTGGTGCTGACATACTAATTGTTCGCGACATATTGAGAGTAGTACTAATAAAATATATTATTATAAAATTAATATTTTACATATACTAAAATTTGAAAAGAATTACCAATTTATATTTAGGGGAGAAAAAAAATCAGCCGATAAATTATGTTCATGGTCAACTAGTTTTTTCTTCGACTGACTGGTTGATGTTAGTGGTATCAAAAAGCTAGTTTCATCATCACAAGTTGCTGCACCCTCACTCGATTCAAATACAAAATACAAACACTCAAATTTACGTGCTAATAATTTTAAAAATCAAATGGTGCATTTAAACAACAATTAGATGGATTAGTGTCTAATAAAATTAAAAAAAAAAATGTCTTAACTAATATTATTTTTTAAAAATATTAATACCTAGGGTCAAGACGAGTTCTTGTTTGAGTATCACCTAATAAAGAAATATGACAGTTCCATCCACTTTCCAGACCCATTTTTTCAGAAAACACCCTTGATCGAAGTTCATTTTCTTTACTAAAATGCACAAACCGTATACATGCTCTTTCTAAAAGCTCAATCAATTGAACCTATAAATTTAGATTAATACAAAATATTTATTTACATTTGGTAGTAATTTAAATAATATAATTATCAAGTTTTAAGATGTACCATATCATACTGTGGTTGATATTGCATGGTAACCATTCCTAAAAATATCTGATTACATTGTGTTTCAAAACAACAATTTACATCTTTGGAGTTATATTCATTGCAATCACCAAATATCAATGAATCTAAAATACAAATTTTCTAGTAAAATACTAAGTGAGTAATTATTATTAAAATAATTTGCAAATATTAAATATTTATTAGATATTTGAAATAAATACTTTAAGTTGAAAAAAATTATATTTATAAAGTATTTTTGATTAACTGTTACATAGCATTATATTTAAAGTAAAATTTTGATAAAAATTGTTTTAAATTAAATGTTGAATGTTATGAAACACATCAAAATAAATAATTTGTTAATAATAATCAAAACATTTCAGAACTTCAACATTTAATTATTTACCAGAGGAATGGTATTGTGGTAGCCTTATTGGACGTGTTGTTGATTTCCATGGATGTGGTATAGGACTATGACATAATTTTGAATACAATTGATGACAATCAGCTGGTAACTCTAAATAGATTTCTGAGAAACTTTTATCTGGAGGTAATGGTAGTGGTCGATATGAAAATGCAGTACAATACGCAGTTAAACTAGTTCTTTGATAAAAATCTAGTACTTTTTTCCTACAAATATTATAGTTTATTTTTATATTATTGATCATAATAAACAATTATAATTTATAATACAATTATCAATTACCTAACAGAAGGAGAAACAGGACTAAGATCATGACCATCCCAGAAATCTATACAAGCATCCAATATTATATCTGCTGTACCTTGGCTAAATAACTGTAAACTTGTAGCAGCTTTACCAATACTTCGCTCTCTTAATCCTACACTCACCATGTGAGGAAATGGAAATTTCAATTTAGTAGTAACTGGTAATGATCTGGCAAACTTAATCTCTCTTCGGACAGCATCTGCTTTCTAAAAAAAACACAAAAGCACAAAAAGAAAATTAAAAATTATTCAGTCATTTTATGTAACCAATTATAGTGCTTAAAAAGTTTTTGTACTATCAAAAGTTGTATTAATCTATGTAAAGTGATACCTATCTACTTGTACCAGGATGAAACTTTATTACATACTGGTTTGTATAGGTTTATTCCTTTATATTTAATATATATACATATTTTATTATTTTATATCTTTTTTACTTTATTTTAATTAATTTTGATTGATTAACTCTCTAATCCGTCATAAGCCTAGGCTTAAAGGAGTAGATATAATCTTTATTCTCCTTACTGTATTTATTGTTATATGTAATTGTAGTAATTTGTAAATAAAGATATTAAATAAGAAAAAAAAAATATATATATATATATATATCAGATATTTCCTGATACTAAAAAATATTGTTCTATAATTTAATAAATTAAGTATATTTATGCTAGGTGGATTATAAGTACACTACTACTGGAAGTTTAAAAATACATTTTAGTGACAATATTATATTAATATTTCACCTACTTAATATTTAAAATTATAACCAACACTTACTACATGCCTATATGTGGATAGCTGCAACTGAAGTTCAAATATATCATCAGCAGATTCTGAAAATCCTATTTGTCGAGCTAATTCACATAAACATCTAATTCACAAGACAAGATAAATTATTATTTGTTTAAAACCCTATATTTTTAGAAAAAACTTAAAAATTGAATAACACTTTTAATTATTGTTTACCTTCGGTTGGTAACAGGAACAAGTACTTCACTATATAAAGCTTGGCAAGACACATGAGCACAAAATTGGGCATAATGAGCATGAGTTGATGGATTACAAGTATTTAGCAGCACAGCTAAGCCTAGAGGCTTTAAAGAAGATATATGATTTGGCCAACTTGCATCGTCAAATTGTAATCTCCACGCTGAACCTCGATCATGTGTTAGGTCAAGTACTTCTACTGTATAATTATCTGTTATATAATAAAATTTTTTAGTTATAGTTCAAATTCACATTTAATTTATATTACATACCTTGGTGGTGCATAGTATTGTCATCATTTTTTTTTGGGGTCTCTTTACAGTTACTTGGATCTTCATAACTAGACTTTGATGAAGATTTGGAAGAATTTTGCAAAAAAAAAACTTTTTCAGCAGTAGGGTTAGGCCAGGATAGTATACCCTTCTTATCAACACAACATAATGCCTTTAACCAATAATTAAAATATAAGAATGTATTATATTATAAATAATCATTTATTTAAATTACCGTAACAGACCCCATAACATGCAATAGATTAGTAGATCTATGTAAGAAATTAGCATTTCCCCGCATACAAGAGTAAAAATTTTTCCATAAATACTTAAAAGAAAATTCTAAAGAATTGTTTTTCACTTCAGTTTCGGTTTCTTCAAAGATATCTTTATTTTTCTAAAACAAACAAGGATACAAATAATGAGTTTTATTACCATTCACAAATTTAGTTTGCACTAACATTAATTAATAGAAGATTTGTATAATTAGTAATTTCAACAACGAAAATCATTTTAATTGTGTCATTGTGATTATATATAGCTTTAATTATATAAACTATGACCAATTTTTGTAATATTATTCTCTCTCTTTTCTCTCATAGGAACCTTTTTATCACTTGTCTTAATCCAATACATTTTAATGTCTATATGAGTACTATAGCCAAACATATTTCTGGGTTGGGTTATAAATGTTTCATGTATGTAGATGTCATAGTTATCTTCTCCCTGAACAAATTTCTTGACTGTGCCATTGAGTTCCTCAATTTAGCCCTCAATGAATTAAATCTTATAATTAACAGTTATCTTTTTTAATTGCTTTTGATAAAGGAAAATCTGTTATCTTTACCAGGCGTAGATTCACAAACCCTCCTAATGTTTATCTTGATAGTAATATTATCCTTTTTATTTCCAATACTATCTATCTAGGAATTATACTGGACTCCAAATTACGTTGGCTCTCACACACCATGTCACTCAACTCCTTTACTTCCTGTTGGGCTAATTTTCTAATTTTCAAACTCACAGCTATTCTAAATTCTAATTCCCCATCTATTGCCAAAATCATTACTTCTTTTGTCCTGGAAGCTGGCTTACTAATTTGAGTATTACATTGTACTTTAAACTAATTTGTCATATATTCATTATTTCTATTATCATTATTGTTTCTATTATTATTTTCAATTTTACTATTATTATTATACATTTTCTCTGTATAATATCATATTTGTTGGGCTTAATAGTTTTTACTAAAAGCTCTGATAAAAAAAAAAAAAAAAAAAAAAAAAAAAAAAAAAAAAAAAAAAAAAAATAGAAATAATAGAAATGCAAAAAAAAAATATTTAATTAAACAATTTGCAAAATAAACAAATAAATTTTAATCACTTGAACTATGAAAGATGATTGTAGTACTGCATTTCCATAACATGTCAAAAGTGTCCATGCAACTGGTAACATCATTGGCAAAAGTGGAATTAGTACAGATATTGGAATTACAATAAACATTGAAACCCAAGAACCAGGTTTCAACCATAATGTAATATAAGACCAACGCCACCAAATGGTTAAAATGGTACTCCCCTATAAATTAAAAATATACAATATATTTGAATTTAATAAATGAGCAATGAAATAAATTATTTACCAAAAATGAAGCTGCAGCAAACTTTTGCAGAAATATTATTTGCAATAAATATAAACATTTTGTATAAAAACTACAAGGTCGTTTTTGTGCTAATTCCAAAGCAAGTTTCAAATTATTTAAGTATGGAGTTTCATTTAGTATATATGCAACACTTTTCAATGGTTTACGAGATACCATAGTTGGAACAGTAGTTTTGTTTGGTATGGATGATGAAATATCTGGATTAAAAATTTCCCATCTGGTTAGTTCTGCTGGAGCCCATTTCTCTTTTTCCTGTAAACAAACAATTCAATTTAAGGAAATAATATAATGTAATTATAATAATTATGATTTATGAGTGAAAATTATATTTGTGTGTAATGACATGATTTTACTGATACTACGTAGCTCTAATTAGGTAAACTTTCTTGACAATATACAAACGTTTTTACTGCATCAAAACATATCTTTAAGTAGAAAATAGAATAATTCAGACAAGATAACATGTTTTAAAAATTTATTGAAATTTAGGTATTTTATGAATTTGTATAAAACATCATTATATATATATACAAATTCAACATATAATTATGTTAAATTCATTAAATTGTTTAAATAAAAAAAATTCTACAGATTTCAAAGTGATTATGTTATCGCCTAACATTCCTGAGTACACAGTTGAGTAATAATATACTTACACTAAGTCTTGAAACATGGCAAGGAGATGTTTGTCCTGGTTTTAAAAAAACAATATCTCCTTTTACCAATAAAGCCCAAGGTAAATTTACTAATACACCATCACGCTGAGTCCACTGTAAAGTAACTGATGGAGAATATGGCATACATAAATGTGGATAATTATCCTTTTTCCATTGACATTTATCTTTATAGCCTGGAATAATAAGTTAAATTAAGTATTTATGTGTAAACTATAATAATAATGTTGATAATTTGTATTTAATTCACTCACAGTTAAGTTTTTTCATTACATAATCAAGTTTGGTAAACATTTCTTCGTGTCTTAATTTGTTATCCCATAATACAGTGGCGAGGTTAAGAATTAATAACATTAATATTAATATGCCATCATTAAACAGATACAATAATTCATCATACACTAAACTGATTATGATTAATAAAAAACTACAAGTAAAAATGACTAATGCAGTAATCCAACAGATACTAGTAAATTGACTACTATATTTTAAAGTATCTTGAATCCACAATTTGTCTTTGCCACTATAAAATATTAATTATTAATTTATAATCATAGTATACACTATACAAGAACATAAAATACAAATTTAAAATTACTTTTGTACGTGTTGTTCTTTAATATGGTTTCTGAGTGATAATATTTCATTATATAATGTTCGTAAAGCTTCAGTAGTAGTTAATCCCGGAAGCTCTTCAGTAATCATAGCTTTTATTTCATAGAAACTTCATTATTTTGAATAACGTATAAAAACGTCAATTAAAGAATCAAAATCGATAAAGTATTGATAATATAATTGAGAAAAATACAAAATTGTGTCAAAAGTTATTATCATGACTTCAGATAAATATTACCGAATAATATACATAGGACAGGTACTGGCTGGTATTGTCCAATAAACTCTATTTGATAACCACGGTTTAAGATATACCTTATCTTAAATCGTGTTGGTAATTTATATGTTATCTCTATAACACGAACCTTACTAGAAATTTGTTGGTACATAGCGGTATACCGATAGATTTTGTACCGGCTTACTGACACTTGATACGAATTATTTTACACCATAGACAATAGAAAATTCTATTATATGATCGTGGATATTATAGGACAACAATAAAAGGACAATGCAATTAAAATTGCTGATTTCTAAGAGAAGAAGGGAATTTAAAACTCTACCATTGACCGACACGACTTTCACCTTAGGCATTAGATAGATAAATTGGGAAGGTGGAAATAGTTGGCACAGCGCCTTTTTTTTTAAAACTAATTTCCCACTTACAACTGCTTTGTCATATTTACTTTTAGCAAAATGTAGACTGAATAAAAAAGGATTTATTTGGATTTAATGATAATGTTACTGATAAGCGCCGGCAGCATTTCACCTGTACCCGCACGATTTATTTATATGTTAGTTCCTCGGTTTCCGTCAACGACGACTCAGTTAACTAAACGCATACACTCGTCACTGAAATTAAATTTATATTCATATGTATTAAATATTAATAAAAACAATACTGCTTTTATACAAACGTCTTTTTATACGGTTCGAACCGGATTGGAGTAATAGCAAAAGTAGAATTGTTGTATTGACGTATGAAAGTGCATTCAGCAAAAAAGAGGCGTTCAAATCCACAAAGTGTGACAGGAAAATGGTGAAAAAAAAAATGATAAGTGAGTATTACCTATATAAGGTTGTGCGCAAAGGGGACTTTGGCATTATATAAGATACCATTATATATGCAATAACATGGTAAAGATAATAACGAGAAGAGGAGGTTTGGTATATATTTATAGTACAGTTGGGAAGAACGAATAACAGTTTCAGTTTCAATTAAAGTCCAAATAAAGGTGTGTAGGTAACACGTAATAGAATGCGTAATAGAATAGGTCTATAAAGTCAAACAAATATCGATGAAGGAGCAGGAATCTCGGTGCAAAATGAATTGACGCAATGGAACATTAAAAGAGGACAGATAAAAAGCCAATTAACAAAATCTCAAGCATTTCCAACTCAGTTACAACTACGAAAAGAAAAGATAGAAAATTTTTGAGAAGAATTCGATAACATATGAAGTCGTATACAAACGAGGATCAAAGGAATTATAGCGATGCGTTTGTGGACATGTATTTGGATGTTATGTCAAAGGCTGAAGAAAGATTGGCGCCTGTGTGCGATACAAGTAAAGAAATAGAACAAAATAACGCAGGAAATGGCTCAAGTAGGGGAGTGCACAACTCAAACTACATAATATTAAAGCCGTTAAAAATTTTTATATTTAACGGATCGTTTGAAAATTAGTTAGCATTTCAGGACATGTTCAAATCTTTGGTGCATGAAAACGAGGGATTAACTAAAGTAAAAAAATTGCATTATTTAAAAATGTCAGCATCAGGTGAGGCATCAAAAATTATCAAGAATTTGAAAACATTAGAATTAAATTACGCGTCGGTATGGAAAATCATAACAGAAAGATATGACAACAAGCGATTGTTTGTTTTGTTTAATTGATTTGTTGTTCAATCTCAAACAAACTGTATTTATGAGTTGCCGGGTTTACTGGATGAATCCGCGGAAAAATTAAGGCAGTTCACAAACACATTAAATCAACATAGACAGACCCTGCAAGCATTAGATCACAATCCGGATCTATGAGGTGCACTATTATTACATGTTATAACATCGAAATTCGATGCAAACACTGTGCGTAAATGGGAAACACTAAACGAGCAAAATGAGTTGTCAACTATCCAGAAAATTATAGATTATTTACAGAAACGATATCAAATTCTGGAGGCAGTAGAATGTTCCAAGGGAAAAATTGAAAAAACTAAACCGTTTCCGCGAAAATTACACAGTTATACGTCGGGAGGTGAATCGTCAATGAACATGAAATGTTATATGTGTTAGGAACCGTATCCTATTTACAAATGCCCAGAGTTCCTAAAAGTTGAATGATGTTCGGCGCAAATAAAAGATGGGTGAATTAAAAATTTGCAAAAATTGTTTCCGAACAAATCACACGCTAGAGCAAAGCTCATAAATGTTATCAATGTCATGATAATCGCATGATTCGCTGCTGCATCAAAACAATAACAGTAAAACGGATAACAAGCAATTGGATAAGCGTGATAGCAAGCCGACCGATGTAATGGCAGGCAACGATAACGGCGACAATACCGAACAAAATTCAAAAATAAACGCGATGTCTTCTACGGCGGCAAATATAGAGCGAGTAGATAACAGAAAACAGGTTTTGCTGGCCACGGCAATCGTACACGTATTGGGTAATGATGGTACATGGTACACTTGCCGTGCGCTTTTAGACAGTGGGTTGCAAAGTAATCTTATTACCGAGGAGACGATGAAAAAATTAAAGTTGCCTCGAAAATGGGTAAACGCGCCTATTACAGACGTGGCAGAAGGTAAGCATAACGCGGAATACAAGCTCAGTATAGTATTACGATCGCTGGTAAATTCAAGTGACTAGACAGGCATTAGTGCTGGAAAAACTAACCGGGTGTTTACCAACCAATACGTGTAGTGCACTAATATCGTCGGTGCCAGATAACATTACGTTGGCCGATCCGTATTTTTATAAACGTGGGAAGATAGACTTATTAATTGGAGCAGACACATATTGGGAGATTATGTGTAATAATATTTTCAAGGTGGAACCATACAGCTGCTCTATATTTGCAGGAAACCAAATTGGGCTGGATAGTAGCGGGAGGAAATGCACAAGACGCAGCGATATCGTTGAACGGCTATATGTTTATGTGCACGAAACATGACGTTAGTTTATCGGACCAAATTGAAATGTTTTGGACTATACATTGAAAGAAAACTGGTCAAATGAAGAAAGAATGTGTGTTGACCACTTCAAAAAGAATACAAGAAGGGGGGATGAATCGGGAAAATATGTTGTTAAATTACCGCTGAAAAATAGCGTAAAGCAGTTGGGTAAATCGTATGATATCGCCGATTTGTATCATTAGAGCGGCGGCTAGTAAAATGCCCGGAAATTTATACTCGGTATAGAAATTTCATGCAGGTATATCATGAAATTGGGCCTATGGAGAAGTAATCGATGGTGATATAAATAATGATAGACACGGTAGTGTGTATATTCCTCACTCGTACGTAATAAACGAGGATTGCCGTACAACGAAATTACGCGTAATTTTCGACGCATTAAGCAAAACCGATTCGGGTATATCGCTTAACGACGTCTTAATGAAAGGGCCGGCCATACAGGAAGAACTAATCAAGATTATCGCGCGTTTTAGAACGCACAAATATGCATTTTCCGGTGACATCGCAAAAATGTACCGTCAAATTTGGGTCGATAAGTCGCATAGAAAGTACCAATAAATATTGTGGCAGAGTTATAGGGATGAAGGAATTAAAATATATCGTTTGTGTATTGTCACTTATGGCACAGTATCAACAAGTTTTCAAGGTATAAAATGTTTATAAACCTTATCGGAAGAAACCTTTTATAAACTATTACCAAACGTAATAAAATACGATTTTTGTGTTGACTGCTTACAGGGGTTTATTATATAGGAAACTGTGCAATTACGTGATGATTTAATTTCTGAATTGAACAAGGGAGGATTTGCTATGTCAAATAGACGGCAAACAGCTTTAAATTAATTAAAAATATTCCCAATGTCGACTCTACGTTTACATTATTACATTTAGGAGAAGATATTGTAAAAACGGTCTGGTTATTTTGGGAACCTCGTGGTGACTATCACATAGAATAAAATTATCTGAAATTAAAACATGTACAAAACGAGAAATATTACCACGTTATTAACTCGATTAATGTGTAAATATTATTGTCAGGCTATTTGATCCATTGGGTTTTGTGGGACCAGTCATTGTCATTGCAAAAATAATTATGCAATCATTGTGGTTGGAGAAGGTTGAATGGGACGAACGTTTATCAAAGGAAATTTGTACGAAATGGAAGCATTTTTGAAGTGATTTAGGGCATATTAACACAATCAAAATACCAAGGTGGGTGAACACGGACAATGGCACGCGTATAGAAGTGTACGGATTTTCGTACGCGTCATCTTACGCATATGGAGCATGTTTATACGTTCTTAATGAAACAGCCGGTAGAGAAGTAGTTATTCGAAATTTTTCAGTGAAAATTCTATAAAATGGCATTTTATACCAACACGGACACCGTATTTCGTGGGCCTTTGAGAGGCCGCTGTAAATCGGTAAAACAGCATTTAAATAGAACAGTCGCAGCTACTAGTTTAACAAATGATGAAATGTTTACTGTACTTGTGCAAACCTAGACGTATTAACCCCCACGCACTTCTTAATAGGTAGTTCACTCGTATCTTTGCCTCAACCAGATCTAACTGATCAAAAGAAAAATTCTTTATCTCGATGTGAAAAAGTCCAAAAAATTTCTCAGAGAATTTGAAAAGGGTGGAACAGGGACTATCTGAAGGCGAAGTGGCATAAACTGGGCAAGGCGGACATGAGGATCGGAACAAAGGTGCTGATCAAGGAAACAAACATGCCACCTCTCCAATGAGTCTTGGAGCGAGTTACCGCAGTGCATCTAGGGCAAGACGGCGTGACCAGGATGGTGGAGGTAAAAACACAAGGCGGTATAAAGAAAAGGGCAATCAGATTGATTTGCCCGCTACCCGGGCAAGATTAACAAGAAAATGAAATAGTTTAAAAAAAAAATATGTATTTTTATGTTTACTGTACTTAATATTTAAAATGTTGTTCTAGGTATTGGCGGTGTCAGCGAAAATTATTTAAATTGTATGTAAATATCGATGAATTTTTTTTTATTTTGAAATTGTGCTTTAAAGGGCGTGTATGTTTGGGTTGAGTGATAATTTAACTGATAAGTGCCGGCAGCGTTTCACTTGTATCCGCACGATTTATTTTAATGATAGTTTTACGGTTTCCGTTATCGACGACGCAGTAAACTAAAAGCTGACATTCGTCATTTCCAGTTAAATTTATATTCATGTATATTAAATATTAATAAAAACAATACAACTTTTATACAAACGCTTTTTTATACAGTCCACAACTAATCGTGAAAAATAATGAAACATAATTACTACTTGGTTTGAAATTTGTTCATCTAACAGCATGTATCTATAATTTAGCCTTTTATTATCATTGAGTGGAAACCTTAGACCATAAAAATACAAAGTTAAATTATTTATTTAGGTATCTATAAAGTAAATAAATTGTACAATAAATACAATTACGAAATAATCAATCACAATTAACATTAATACTAACCTGTGAAATATTAATTCTCTTTTCACTTTACTTACACAAGTGCAGTTAAAGACACTGTAAAAATTAACCATTGTTTAATTGTACCAAAAGAATTAAATAATGAAAGAAGTTAAAAAAATTAATTATATATAAATTTTAAAACAAACAATTCTTAAGAGAGCTGAAATACGGTCGGTAAGCGTTGAAAAATGAAAACGTGAAGGGATCATCATCATTATTATCCATACTTAAGGTCTGTAAAATTAATTAATCTGATAGACAGGACTAGAAGAAGGACAATGAAAATATTAGGTTGTTAACGGGTACCTACCTCAAATTTAAATTATTTTAGTAAATCAAAACTATTATTGGGAATTTGAACTCTTGTAGTTCCCAAATCAGTTTCAACTTCATCTTGGTCACAGTATATTTCTGGTCTTTCACATGAGGTGTTAGGTAAAAGGTCTGAATTTTTCATGACTTCACCAGTTAAGCATTCAAAGCTATCAAGAAAACTCTCCTCCACTCTATCCTCTGTATTTCTATTTTCGGTAAATACGACATTTGAGTGTTTACCCAAAATGTACTACCTATGACTAATATATAATGGCAATTTTTTATGAAAACTAAATAAAAAATATGAAATAAACATATAATAATACTTTCATATTATACATTCCATTACATAAAATCAAGTGCTGTTATACAATTACTGACCCGGCCATTCCTTTTAGAAAACTAAATTGGTTTTCCAAAACACTTTGATTTAGTTTCCTAGTTGTGATGTAAAAAACTCCATATTCATCTGCATCTTTGAATAAATTAATCAGAGATGTATTGGATATCACGATTCCTAATTAATAATTTATTATTGAAATGTTAAAAATACATTTTGATACACATGTAGTACATACATAAAGTTTGATTTATATAATTTCAAGAATATACATGCTTAATGTTCACTTTTCTGGAATGGTAATTTATGTTCATTAGATCAAACCAATTATAAAGACTTATCATTTCTGAGGCCTAAACAGTTAAACATTAACCTTTGTTTAAATACTTAATTTAATATTTTGAATTTTACTTCTTTCTAGTTAAAATTATTCATATACTCATTATTTTTATAAAACAGTGTGTGTCATTAGAAACTGTATTTGAAAATACAATTGCAGCTAACCTTACATTCATTCGAGCTGTACCCTTTATGGAAATATGACGGTCAGAAATCATATGTGCCACTTGAAATCATTTCCTTCATTTAATCAATTCTTGTAAAACATTTTTATCTATGTACTAACTATTAGGTAAAACAAATCCTCTGTCAAAATGATATTATTTCTAATTTTTAATTATTTGAATAGTAGTTGACCTGGTGGTAATAGACAATTTACTGATCGAGAAAATGATTCCTGGAAAGTTTCAATAGATGGGGTACATCAGTAAAAACATGGACCTTTTTGTCTGTCATGAGATTTTTAAATGATGTGTTAGTTATAGTAATACCCAGATCTCTCCATAAACCAACATTAGAGAAACCCATGTCACTCACAATAGCTATTACATTAAACTCACTTATACAGCTCTTAGATAATATTAAATTATTATCTCTTTAATCATAGAAGTGTAATACATTTAAAATATTGGCTGTTTACAATTGCTCAATATTCCTGTATTTAAAAGCATTCTTAAGTACAATTCATACATAAATAGTATTGGTAATACCTCTAGCAACTACAGTTTGTACACATCTGTGTGGTTCATATATCTGTTCAAACTTTTTATCAGCAGATTCTTTAAAAAATGCAAGTCTCATCAAACAAAATCACTGTTAACTTTTCCTCAATATTTAAAAGTTCTCCTTAAATACAAAATACAATTTTTAGAATGATTTATTAACCTAAAATTTGTAGATTAATAAATTATACCTATGGCTTTTATAAGATTTAAAACATTAGTTAAAATACCAGGTTGTATTGTAAAAGTTGATGCCTAAGATCTTAAAGTAGACAAATCTATGTACAGGTAAAACAGGATAACTTAGTATTTCTGAAGTAGTAAATTGATAAATTATAAATATAAATTACACAACCTGGTAAAGAAAATTTTTCTAATTTCTTAAATATCTGTAGGCTTAAGGAGATATGGATCTCAATGTTATTGTTGTTGAAATGTCATCAGAAGTCTATTTGTAAACTTTCAATTTTGGGTTCAAAATCAAATATGCGTGGTCGTAAACAATTTTGAGAGCAACAAATTGAACTTCAGTTTAAAATTATAATCAATTTTACTGACAGCTTCTGCTAAAATGTTTATTCCCTTGTGTTTAAATGAAATGACCTTTCTCAAATTGTTTTGTACCCTTTGAAGTTGTTCATTTTTCTCCTTTTTTGACTACAGTTTTCTGAAATTTAAAATAATTTACATAGATTTATATTTTGGAAGTATTCCAATACAAAACTACTGAAATATATTTTTATAATGTCTATTAATAATTAGATAAACAACGGTTCTTAATAACACATAGATATTTGTGTTTTTTTTTTTAAATTATGTTTTGTTGTTATTATAATACACTATAATAAATAATCAAAATTACTTTTATTATATTATCTTATAATAATTATATAAACAAATTATTAATAACACATAGATATACCGTTTTTGACATTTTGTAATAGAAGATTTCTTTACTAATAGTTGGAATCTATACTCTTTGTCGAAGGGAACCAATCGATACATGCAACATAAAATAATTATTTTTAAAAATGTTTTGACAACAATTGTACTATCAAGCAAAAGGAAAAGAAGAAGAATTATAAAATAAAAATCATGTATTACTTTTGAACCATGTCTTTTAAATTAATACAGTTATCAATACAGTAATCACCAAAGTGTATTTTGATCTACACAAAATTTCACGGCCACAGTTATTTTCAGACCGATTTTTAATTCTAGGAATAAATTCTTCAAAATTAATGAAATATTAGTATTTTTAATTAAGTTAGCTTTTAGTCAGTAAATTTACACACTAAATATTCCAGCAGGTGTACATATTTTGTTTTCGCTCTCTTCGTACTTGTCAGGCATGTTAAAAAATGTTGGACTCTTGTGGTTTAATGACAAATCATAATACTCTGAACCATAAACAATACAAAGCATTTTGAAAACAATATTAAAACCCAGTTTTTATCATTTGCAATTATGATATATTATTATTCACTTCAAAGGAATTGCGTTCAGTTAAAATTTCAGTTACCGTTTAAGAAAGTATTTTAAAAGTCACTCAATTAATAGTTTTTCAACATGATGTCGAGAAAAATTCAGGGAACAGACAACAGCTAGTGATGAACGTCATGAATAAAAAACAAATGCATTTAATTAAAATGTTAATGTATCAGTAGAATTGGTTGTTTCTGTGATATAAATATGTCAACAAAATACAAGTTTTTTACAAAATGTTACCAGTTTCAAAATTAATAGGTTTCAAGCATTCTTTTGGTTAGCCATAATGTATTTGTTGAAACCAAATACACTTTAATCGTTCATTTTTTGGAAATTTATATAACTAATTTTCAACTTCTCCTTTTTGTTGACTTTCGCTATAACAATTCCTAAATAAACAAACAGGTATTTTTGTCAATATGACAAATATGTGTGTCTATATTGTACTAAAGAATTTGCAATAAATAAATAATATAACAATATAATTAATTAGTCGGAAATTAAAATTCAACATTAATTTGTCTCTTATACGCAAGACGTGGTTAACCGCCTTTTTTACACGATAATTTGAATGTAAATATTCCAACCAATAGGATGAGCAGAAAAGCTACGTCACCAATGTTGTCGGAAGGGAGTAGAGGGGAAAGAATATGGGTAAACACGATGAATATAGAAATTTTGCATCTTTATCAATAAAAGATAAGGCGATTATCACTCCACTAGGGACAAGAAACTGGTGGAGTGAGACACGTCTAAGATAAAAACCTGCACTAAATATGCCCCAATATTCCATAATATAGGACATAAAAATATACACTAGTGTAGTCGGTGTAGTCCGGTGGAAAACGCTATAAATATTAGCTATAGATGGGAATTACCATAGAGTGGATAAAATATTTAAATGCGTAAACTTAAATTTAATTCTATAATATAACTAATTAAATAAATTTATAGAGACTTGGAGGTATTTTCTTGACGCTGAGTACTATTTTTATGGTGAGCGCCTGTGTTTTGGACTTTTCCAGTTTGGATCCCACGGCCTTGTTCTAGACCGTGGGCTATCGCTATTCATACCCCTTATCAGTGTATCAAGAGAGACCGCTACTCCATGTTTCACAAAATGAGTAGTTTTATCTATATAGTGATGAATGATAAATCGCCTCAGTGTGTGTGTTTGTGACATATCAGCTATAGCCGTTGTTAAGATAAAGATAAATAGATTATCTACGGTTATGACCATGCAATATGATATCATTACCGTTCTATGGCATCATGAAGGGTTTTCTGCCGTAAATAGATAGCTGACATTATCACTAGCGTTACTATATTAATTCTCTTGCATAATAACACTGCAAATTACCACCTTCTTTGTCGTACGGACGTTTCGTTGAAAGATAAATATTGTTTCTCCCTCCGTTACAGTTGCTGCAAAACGTATGTATGTATATTACACGAAAGTCACATCCATATGTTTTTCTGTTTTCTCCTCCCAGTGTTTGGTTTCTGACGGACTCGTCCGTCGCTGCCTTTGACGGCATCACGCATGCGCGCGCCCGCGTGACACCACTGCCGCCTAATACTTAATACACGTACTATACTACTACTAGCTATAAAACATAATACAGTCAACTACAACCATCGACGTTGCGTATATTACGAATTTTTATTTTTTATTTTTATATCTATGACTTTCTTATCCAACCGTCGCGTTATATTACCGGTATGAACTCATATTTATTTATTAGTATAATGTAGGTATAATAATATCGTTAATGAATTTTTATCACACGAGTGCCGCATGCCGATGTCGCTGAGTATTATTATATTCTGTGGCACTAATGATTAATAAACAAGTTTCGAGTGCAGTGTTTAATCACAGGTACGTTGTAAGCGGTTAACCGATAGTACCTATACGTATCGGTTTTGCGCGTGGGTGTCTGTTCGAGCCGATCGTATCTATATATTCGTCGAGGAAAACGAATCTGTGAAGAAATTGTTATTTGTAATTCTGTGAAGAAAATCTTAATTTCAATGTGATTATCGTACACCAGAGGTTCAGGCACTGTTGTGTTAGAGAAAACGAAATGCCGGCAACTACGACGACGACGACGATTTACGCGCCACGACCGAATTGTGTTCTATGTAGCAGTTCCTTCAGACGGTGATTGGACGGAAAACCGATAAAAAGCTTAGACCGTGTAACTTGGTGTAACCGGTGTCGACCTTGCTATGAGGAAACTCAGCGGTGAGTGACATTTCATTCTGTACATTTTTTTATTTAATTTTATTAATAAAATAAATAACTACTACCTAGGCACCTATTTTTGGTAAGTTGTTTTTGATTAAACACGCTCATCTCGATTTAGAGTGTTTTGTAAAAATGTGTAATTATTAATGCCAATTATCTATTCCTTTTAACTTACGAGACTTGTATGCATAATACCTACATCTGGTAGTACTAATATTAATAATATAAAACATAGACGAGTAGGAGTTGTGTAAAACTCCAAAAGTAAAACTTGAATTGTAAGAAATGAAACTTTATTAGTAGGTATTATGATTATCCAATAGCATATAGATCAATGTTAAAATGTCGAGTAATATTATGTACCTACGTAATCAGTATACTTTTGTTGAATCATTCTTGAATGTCTAGGTATAAACTTTTTTCGCCAGATTTACTAAGATAATGAAAAATATATTTATAAATCCAAAAAATACACAAATATATACAATATTAATACAATATTTTTTTTTATAAAAATATATTGTATTGTAAATATAATTTATTCCCAGGAAATATAAAAAAAATGTTATAACGAAATAATGTAGATAGCTGTGAACATGAACGACGGGTTGTGGGGGTCCCTCTGAGCATATTATTTAACGTCGGCCGAATCACCATCAAATCAAACGAGTCCATCTAGATCAAATGCAAGCATTTTCGCCTCACTTTGTTTTATGAATATTTTTTGGACTTGTAATATTTTTGTGAATTTACTTAATTTGGACTTAGAATATTTTTGTGTGAAAAATATTAATTATTTATAAACTCAAGTTGGAGTTTAATTTATTTCAACATTTTTCCTCAGAGTCCTAATCCTACGTTGGGCCCATTAGAAAAATCTCCCTTTAGTCTTCCTATCCCATTTTCAGAATTAAATTGTTATTAGATAGTAACACATTTATATATTACGTAATTGTAAAATGCCTAGCAAGATTTGAGAGAAAGGTGTTAGGACAAATTTTTGGCCCCAGAAGAAACTAAAACACGGAAGAATATGAGTGAAAAAAGAATGAAGAGTTAATAAGCATGTTAAAGAATTCAGACATAATAGTTACTATGAAAAACAAACGGATAAGCTGGGCAGGGCACGTATGGCAAGGTTGAGAACAGATAATCGGTCAGTCACCTTCTGGAAGCCGAAGAGCAAAAGACCACTCGGCCGTCCATGACAAAGATGGATCGACAGGGTCCATAAGGATCTAGATATGCTAGGAATCCTGAACGGTGAAGAGCTAGCCAGAGACAGATAGTGACAGATGGAGGGAAGTGGTGGTTGCGGCAAAGAACTGAATGGTCATATTAAGCCAAAAAAAAAAAAAATTACAAAGGTGCCAGTTTTCAAAAATATCATGGGGGCTCACTATTTTATAAACACATTCACAGATTTACCTAAATCTTACTATATATTTCTTGTTTTTATTTTCCTTAAATTGTTCATTAAAAACATACAAAAATATTTGCTCTTTTTTAAATTGAAAAATTGTATAGCATTATGAAGAACCACAAGACAATCTACACTTTTTCTCTGCTATTAATATCATAAAAAAAAGTTACTTAATCTTACTCAAGTAGTTTGTTATAAATAAAATTATTATTTTGAAGATCTACATGACAAATATTGAATTTTTTTTTATAATATAAGAACCATGGTGGGCTGAGCTTTATTTTATCAAGCTTATGGGGGACTGCAGCCCCAGAGCCCCTCTGTATACGGCGCCCCTGCATACCTATATCTGTAAAAAAAATATGTATAATATATATCTTGATGATCATGGTTTACCATTTCAAATATGATAATAATTTGGGAATCTAAATTTAAAATCCAATGTTTTCTATTGCACTATTTTATTTTCTAAAATAATATAAATTAACAACAATAGTATCACGGTCTTAATTTTAGTAGCCATATTTGATCTGATATTTTTTTGATTACATCTTTGAATTATAAATAATAAAATATAATTACCTAGGCAATTATATATTTTGAGTTTATATAACTGCTAGAAAAAAGTAGGTATCTGGTTCTTTTCAGCAAGATGATAAAAATACAAACAAATATAACCTAGGCACCTAGGTATCCAAAGTGTTATATTTTTTATTATAAAAAAAAACTAGTTAAATTTTTTTAGTTTTAGCTTACTATCAATAATAATGTATATTAAAAATCAAAATAATTTTAATGTTAAATTGAATTATTAAACTTACATTTAAACAGATGTTAGACAGATGGCATATTTATAAAACAGTGTTTTGTTTTCTTGATTCCCATGGGTGTGTATTATAAATTATAATCGAGATTATAATGTGGTTATAAAAAATATAAAAATAAAGGTCATCTCTCTAAACAACAATTTATTAAATTTGTTTGTAAAAAAATTGATGTAGGTATTAATTTTTATTGATTGACATTGGATTAAAATGTTGATAAGATCCAATTATAACTAAAAGTTTAATGACTTTAATTTTTAAATATCTATAATAAGTAGGTACCTATCTAAAATTATTTTATGGTGTAGCCCATTATGTATTTATTTGATACATGCAAATTTTAAAACAAAGACATTTTTGAATTTCAAAATGTTTGTTTTACTAGATGTTACAATACTAAAACTGATGAGATTTTTATAAAAAAAATGGTCACTTATACTAACTTTTAGACGAGCCTTTAGAGTTATAGTAAAAAAAAAAATATATTAATAAGTGGTTGTATAAAATATTGAGTATAAAAAGGATATACTTATCTAATTGACATACATCTCAAAGAAGAGTATCCTACAGCAACAAAATCCTATACTATTTTTATTACAGTTTTTATACAGGTATGTATAAGACCAAAAACTTGATATGGAATTCTTTATACTAAAGTATAATGACCTTTTATCAGTGTTCAATTTTTTCCTAGAAATATACCTATTATTTATTTTTTATTTTGATATAAATTGCAATATTTTTTGTTTTTGAAATTGTTTACATTAATATGATACTGATTAATTACTTTGTAAAATCTTTTTAAGTGGCATTATTTTATTTTCTTTGGTAGATATTATTTTTGCTTTTTGATGATTTTCTAGCTTCCAAGTTTGTTGATATTATGCAAGGTGCTAAGGTAGGATATTTAGGTACCTATTATATCACTTCTTTAAAACTTAAAATGCTCCAGATTTAATATTCATTCTGTATGAATCATAAATCATAATTTTTGAATATATATTTGAACTGTTGATAAAAATAAACCACATAGTGTATTTTCTTTATAGACATATTATTTGTAGTATTATATGTACAGCCAGAAAAACTAGAAGCGTAACCGTCACGCTCATGGTGGCCTTTTTCGTGAAGTCCAGGGCTTCCAAATATTCCAATGTTTATGTGAGAAGCGTCACACTTATAACAAATAGCTGATATAGCTGTTATAGGAAGAACTTTGAGTATCCTTACTAAATATACATTATATAGATATATATTGTAATCAATATGTATAATGTGAATTTACGGACGATTAACCAGTCATAGAAAACCTAATGAAAATTTGCCATCATGCGTGCGACGGTCACTCTTCTAATTTCGTTGTCCGTACTATAATACCTAATTACCTAATAAGTATATCTGTATATAATTAATATTTACATTGTTCAGTAGATATGCAATTAAGTATATAGAGGTTATTTTGGCTAATATTTTGGTGGTTTATTGGATAATCATATGTATTTATGAACAGTAGACACTAAACAGTATTAGATATTTTTTTATCTGTGCATAAATAGGTAGAATCTTAAAAAATACTGATTAGGTTTTTTTTTTTACATCAGTTTACATATACTTGTGAAACATGTAAAAATAATTAACTGCTACATATTCATATCATATTAGGTATTTCTATGTATTATTTTGTTGATAAACTTCAATAACTTAAGTTATTTTGAATTTATATTTAATGGTAGTATTAGTTTGTTAAAAAGTTAAAAATATTCTTGCCTAAAATCTAAAAATTCTAAAAGAAAATTCCAGTTGAATAATATGTCATGTGATTTGGAATAGATGTATTGTAATCATATTAGTATCTACCTAATAAGTTTGTAACAAAGTATTAAAATTAAATGAGTATAATATTATATGACTAATTATAAAAAAAAAATTGTCATTTATTCATTAGGTTAGGTAGGTAGGTACAAACATAATTAATATTCACTAATAATTTATTTTGAACTACCGATTATGTAGTTTAAAAGGTAGGTATGGTAGGTATGGTTACCTATAAAGTTTTAAATATATTTTGTATTTTCTGATATTTATTTATTAAAATTAGTAGCCTAGATTTATTACCTTCAGTAATAAAGTAATAACCATGCATGCGTAATCAGGTTCTCATTGTGAAATATTCCTTCTGGCACATTTGAAATTTTGTGTTTATTAGAATAGTGTGTGCCCTCAACAATAATTATATAGCCTTGCATTTTGTAATTGTTACTTTTGTACCTAATAAAACAAAAATATCCTCAAAAAAATAGTTATATAAAAATTAAAATTTTAAAATCATGTAGGTATGAATTATTACCTATTGTATTTTAACTTATGTTGACAAATATTTTTCAAATTTTAGTAGGTACATATTATTATGTTTTTTTAAAAAAAAAAAACTTGTATTAAACATTTTCAAAATCTAAAGGTCTAACTAATTTTGTTATGTTTTGTTATGATTGTCCACTACAACACATGCGAGTAGTTTAATGACCCTAGTAAATAATGACTAATGACAATAAACAATTTCAGATGCCAGTTATTTTTTTTTTTTTTATTATTCAATTTATATATTATAATATTTAGTTGTTTTTCACAAGTAGATATTTATGTATATAAAAAACAATAAATATATATACCATAAATTACCTACATGTTTTAGTTTTTCGGGGGAGGTTTTGCATCAAGCAAATTCTTCTCCATCCATATCTATTTTTAGTAATTTCTATCTCATTGGTAATTGAAAACATTGCCATTATGTTAATTTTCACTTAATCATCTCATCTTAAACAGATGCTTTTCTATCTGTGAAACCTTTCACTTTTTGACCAGTGTAACAGAAATTGTTATTATGTAAATATTTCAATTTTTTTATTAATTTTTTCTCATTTATAATAAAACTAAAAAAAAAAAGATCACTTTATTTCACCAATTAATTAAAGTGTTCTACCTGAAACTACCCCACAAGTTGATGATTGAAGCAAGATTTCTAAAAGTTTTTTATAGACAGAAAAAAAACACATTGTGGGGTAGAGTTTATTTTTTTGTAAATTACTAATTGTTAATAATGTTTCAAAATTTAAGGAAGTCTAGGGAGGCGAAGTCCTCACAGGTTAATTGCACTCAATCATTTTATTGTAAGGAACGCAACATTTTTAAGTTTTTCATTTGTTTTTTCAATTTGAGCACCGGTTTTAGTATCTCGTTTGTAATATTAAGATCATCAAAAACCTATTTATATTATGCAATATAGCTAATAGATGATAAATGTTATGACTAAAACGTGTGGTTTATTCTGAGTTTATTAAATGTTTTTTTTATTTATTACTACTGTTAGTTGGTCAAATAAAATATTATGATTCAACACTATAACGGTCATTATTATTTAAAGTGCTTTATTATTGATGCATAAACCTTGGTCTAAATTGATAAATACTATCATGAGTAAATCAAATTGTACAATTATGTATTGAAATTATGATCCTAAAAATCAAATTTACTACCTTCCTACTTAATTAATAATTTTTTTCACTATAAAATAATTGAAAATTTATTATAAATCATTAATATTTATGTGATTATTAAAGTACTTATTACAGGACATAGGTACATAATAAAAGTAGTCAATAATGTATCCATTGATGTAATAGAATACCGCTATTTTGAATTATACATCAGTATTCATTATTATTTATTCTACCTGTATATTATTTTAATCATATATCTTTTTGGTTTAGGTAGATATTTTTTAATATATTTTTATGTAACTAATGTAATCAATATTAAATATTAATGTACTTAGTGTTATTATTATTATATTTATAAGAAAATTGGCATCAATATTTGAGTAATGAATTTTAGCTCACGTATCAGGTATAGTCTAGAACAAGTTAAAATAAATAATCTTTTATGGGTCAAAGTGTAAAGACGTTTTTAAAGCATTAAACTTTTGTAATTTGTGCAAGTTGTTATGATCTTATGCCTATTATTGTTCCTAAGTTTAAATACCTACCTTAAAAAAAAACATCATTAAATATCATTTTAGCAAGTACTATTCTTAGTATAGTATAATATATATATATATATATATATATCATATTGTTTAAACAGTTAAGTTATTTAAATTTAGCTTAAAATATGAAATAAAAGTTTACAAGAAATAAGAATTGTATTAGTATTTTATAAACTAAACATTTGTTTATATAAACAATGAACGTGTGATGCAACGGCACAACAGTTTCAATTAAAATCAGATAAGTTATCCAGATCAATGTTCATTTTTGCTTAAATGGTTTTTTTTTTAAATTTTACCGTTTTAGAATCACTGTTCATTTAACAATATTAGGTAATATATAAATTGCATACAACTTACAGAAATAATGCTTTTGGCCATTGAAATAATGGCCCACTAATGTTAAAAATAAAGTGAAAATGTTTGGGATAACATGTACAATGTTTAGATGAAAATCATCTTTGGGGATTTTGGGTAAAGACAGATGTTGTGGGATACAGGGATTTATGATAATTTTATTTAAATATTAAAAAGATTATTTCATAGATACTTATTGCAAATATAATTGTAAAATTATTTAAAGGAATTAAAATGGTTGACATTGACATTTATTTTTTAGGCTTTTTATATTAAGGGCATTAAAATGAGTATTTCGAAAAATGACCTTTTAAGTTACCATTAAGTTCCATAAAAATTAATTGTTCTAAATTTGTTGCGAATATTTTGAATACCAGGAAAATGTTTTGCAAGCAAAACAAATTAATTGTAAAACCATGGTCTTTGAATATTAAGTCTGGCAACTTGGTGGGTCAAAAGCAGTTCTCTTAAAAATGATAAGAAAAACAAAAAATAATATCTCATACCAACCAAAAAAATGTAAATTATTCCAAATAATAATTTTATACTGTGTGTCAACTTGTACCACGAACTAAGATATACAGGACTGAAAAGAACTAAAATGTTATTTTTTACCAAAATATAAAAATTGAATTCAAATTTAAATAACTGTAGTCCTTATCCCTGTCTTGAATTCCTGAAATTAATGTCAAAATTAGAATTTTAGAGTTCCCGTTCATAAAAATATTAAGTTAATAAATAACTTAATATCGTTAACATTGTTGGTACCTATCTGGCTACAATCCGATTCTAAGAACTCTTGTATGTCGACCCTGTGTATCTAATCATTTTGATTTCAAAGATATACAAGTCTTATATTCAGTTTATTTATAGTTTTTCTCATCATTTTCTAAGTTCACCTACCTTCACCAAAATATATTGTACGTAAAAATGTTTGCATAAAATATAATTATCATTATGGTAATAGTCTATGGATTTTAGGTTTAATTGTTGGTCAATCTGATAAAATTATATTTTGTTATCAGTTTTAAGAGAACTGCTTTGTCTTTTAACTAATGAAATCCGTGCTCTTAATAACCGGATAGAGAATAGTGATGCATACGTGTCACAATATCGCGGATTAATGTTAATAATTATTATCTATTAAGCAGGGAATTCACTCTGTAATTGTAAAATTGCCTAGTTTTTAAAAAAATATATATACCCATAAATAATATAAATAAATTGTATAATTATTTATTATAAGATAATATCATTGACATGAAACTTTTAGATCGTCATACGTCGTTGAAAGATGACGGTACTTGTATATTAGAATTCCCTGTCCCCTCAATAAAAGCACGGGTAATTATATGCTAATCTCATAGAGTTGCATAGGGCTGTGTAAAACTATTCGCGATAGATAGCAAATATGGTGGTTCTGTAGTTACTTTTACTAACGGGACCACTGTCTATGCTGTTAACTGATAATAATCAATTTCGCAATGCTAGTTATTAATTTAATTGATTTTTATGAATAATCGAATTTATTTTATTCGATTTCATAATACCTAATCAAACAGAAAAAAAAAATGTTTACTTCAGTTGTTGAACTAATTGGTATTTTAAGTTTTATTTTGAACAACCATTGGTTGAGGATACCTTAGCAAATTTGTTGAATTTAGATGCATGGAAAATGATAATAAAATATTAAGAATCGTTGCTATGTGTCTTAAAACTAGTTATTCTGTGCCAGTGATCTCAGTGGAAAACCTATGTTTCTGTGTTCCTATGAAGTTTATGGAATTGTTAAAATTACACCCATTACATAACAACCATATTAATTTAATAGTTAGTAGATATTTTATATAATTTGAGCATTAGTTCTAAATTATTTAATTAGAATTAATTAATTAAAAAAATAAAAATTAATTTTTATCAGATTAAAAGAACACTTTTTCATTCAAAATTTAACAATCAACATTTTAGCAAGTACATTGTTTTTTTATTATATATTAGTATTTTCAGTTCTGTATTAATACCTAATAAAGTGTTTATATATATTTCAATTCGATCAGAAAATACAAAAATAGTAAATCAATAAAAACACTTCTTGTTAAAATAATACCATTTCAGATACACATCAAAATTAAAACTTAAATTCATTAATACAAATCACATCTATTTTGGTAAATTTATTTAAATTTAAAATAAAAAAATGTCTTTTTATCTTAAAATTTAAAATAATAAACTAATTAATAATTATTAAAAATAATCAACTTAATTAATACCAATTAAAATGAAAATAATTAAAAAAGATAAACTTATTTAACTATAAAAACACGACTTTATAAACTTATTAATAGTTATTGTAACAAATTATACCCGATAGCTAATATTCAATGCAGTTTAGTGGCTTGCGCAAGGGAGAGGGGAGTTTAGGGTTATATCCCCCATTGATATGTGTTTTACATATTTAATGTATTCTACGATTCAATCAAATACTATAAAATAAAATTGTTTGATCAAACAGAAATGCTTGGAAATTTAACACAAGGTTCATTATGAGTTTTACTTAGTGGTAAAAAAAAAAGTTGAGTGTGATGTAGTAGTTTTTTTACAATTGTTTTTTAGATAAATTTTTGACGGTAATTGTAAATATTATGGAATTTCAAAACATGTATAACTAAACTTTGCTCAAAGTCGTATTTCGTTAACAAAGGATTATTGATGCTTAAAATTCAAATTAAATATCGGTATGTACCCTATGACGGGATAATTTTTTTTTTTTTAGGTGTGAAGTTGAGAAGGTAGAATACATAAAGTTAAATATTTAATTTATATAGGTACACTATCTTCTCAATATTCCACCTACAATAGTGGCGTGTATCTATCAACAATATCAGCTCTTTTTTTTGTGTCTATTAAATAACTTTTTTAAAATTATCTACCTACTTTAGATTCTGAGCAAAAATATTGTGTGCCTTTTTTCCAACCTTTCTATCTGTGGACACAGGGCATTGTTACTGGTTTATAAATTGATCATATATATTTTACTGACTCGTCAATTTTGAACTACGTTTTTAAAATTAATACCATCCGTATTCGTTAGGCGGATTTCGCTCAGTTACGTGACGGATTTCGTGTGACTGATTTGATCGATATTTTTGTTGCAACTTTCCAAATCGTATGCATTATTTGTGGCATAATGACACCAGGTATGGCCAATGTTATCTGATAATATATTACAGGTAACATAATAATAATATCTTTCTCAGCTTATTATCATTATTACAATACAACTTTAATATTGTTTTGTCACATCGTAAATGTCGTTACTCGTTGGTACCTACGAATATTTTGTAAATAATAGTACCTGATGTTTGTTTTTACTTTATAGTGTATACTTATTAATTTTAATATTAAATTATATTTAATATATTTAATATATTAGGTACTTTATAGTTTTAATTAAATACTTTTTTAATGTACGAAATTATTTTATAATACAATGGGAGTTAATAAATAACTATATTACTATAATTATTGATAATTTAAATTGATTAACTAGATGCCTACTTATATGTAGGTTATTTGAGTAATATTATATTGATGGTTTTAATGATAGATTATCTGTTAAGTGTTATTGCTTATATTTTTTTTTTTAAATATGACATTTTAATAGTTACTTAAGAATACGTGATAGACTGCATGTCTCCGTCTTACAAGAGTATTTCGTAGTTTGTGTTGTTATTTTAGATTTTGAGCGGAACGAGGAATGTATTGGTTTTACAATGATATTTGTATTTTGGATTCCGAGCGTAGCGAGGGAGCTATTAGTTTTAAAATGTTTAATTTGTCTTCTTTTTTTTTCTTTGTTCTAGTCTGTGGACACGTTTTATTCTAGTAAATTTGCTTCGATTTTTACGTGTAGCAACTTTTTTGAAAGCTCAAGTTGTTTAGATGGTTTTTTAAAAAAGTCATTTTTTGATTTTCGACGCCATTTTTTAAATTAAAGCACTTAAATGGGATAAAACGTAGGAGAACTTAAATTATTTTAAAAAATACGGACGATGTTTTCTACTAGAAAAAATAATTTATCCGAAAAATCGCAATACTCCCTTTTTGTTGCTTTTCTGATTTACTTTTTTACGATATCATTGCCAAAACTTTTAAGCCATTTTTGAGCTTTTAGGGATTTTAATTTTTGGAAGCTTTTTGCTGTAATTCGGTTATAAATACACGTAGAGACTTGATACTTGGTAATAATACTTATATTAGACTTACCTAGACTTGGTAATATTTCCAAAATCATCAGACGATTTTTTTTATATTCGTTTTGAAATATAAATTTAAACGAAAATCGCAAAAAAAAATTACGGTGCTTCAAAGTATGTGTTACCGAACTGCGCTTGGAATCGTCTTTCATCAAGTAATGGTTTATCGTTCCTTGCAGTTGTAAATAAAATAATCTTATATATCCTATCTTTCCAATTTCTCACCTTCAACAGTGGCCGCTCCCCAGTATCAACTCTTTTTTAAAAATTTTTATCTATGAACATTTTTTCTACCAGCAGTTCTTCTCCGATTTTTAACTATAATACTTTTTCTGAAAATAAATTTGACTGGAGCATGGTACTTTAGGGAGGTCATTTTTTGATTTTCTCAGCTGTTTTCATCATCAATGGGAAAAAAACGTTGGAAAAACGGGAAAATAGACAACATTAAACAAATATTATTAAAGAAATTATATAATGCATACTATGTAATTATTTTATCATAAATGGCATATATATTGTTGACAAGTCCGCTCAGAATCGTTGTTAGTTAGCAATTGTTAATCTTTGCATACAGACATACATTGTCTTTTTAACTTCCCAACTTCTCATTTACAATAATGGCTCACCCATCGTTTGAATTATGTCCATATCTTTTTACAAAAAATTTATTAAAATCTATTTTAAAGGAAATAATCTGTGCTTCTACGTTGTTTTTTAATCAAGGCTTAAGCGTTTTTAATTTTGTATACTGTATAATTTTGATAATGTTCTTATCTTTAAGTTTGATAACAGATGAATGCTCTGTAATATTTAAAATAACACGCAGCTCAAAGTTGTCCCTGCTGTGAACGTCGTATCCGAATTTATTGTTTCAATCTAACTAACGGACAACAAAGTAAAATAAAGTTATTTATGTCGAGTTGCACCACATATTTACACAGAAATAAACTTATTTATCTAGAGTTAAAATAAATTCTGTTTTAAATTTTATCTGTTGATAAAAATGCATGAGTTAAATTACAGATCCATTTATTGCTGTGTAATAATGTATGTATAGTTAAATTTCGTTTTCAATGTGTTTGCGTTATTATGGTGATAACGGAAAACATTAGATATTATTAATATTAAATATTTTTTTTATTATTTTCTTTTTTGACTGAATAATTTACATTAATAATGAATAGTTATTAGAATGGTCTTCACCAGATACATCAGATATGTTTGATGTATAAATAATATTAGAAATATTTATTAGAATTCCAAAATCTAGAGTCATTCGTGACAGTTATAATCTTTTAAACAATTTTGATGATTATGACTTTAAATGTCGATTTGATAACCAGTATCCTGATAGTTATTATTTTATTTAAAGAGCTGTAACTTTTTGGTACGAACATTTATTAGAAAAACAACTACTTACAGGCCTCGAATATTCTCTCCTGTAAAATGTGTTATTTGTGTTTAAACTCTAATATACTATCCCTAAACGCCACAATTGTAGTAGTGGTAGTATTCGTATTAGGATTTAAAAGTGTTTAATATTTAAGTATTTATACGTTTTTAATTATGGATAACTCGGTTGGCAATAATACGATGTGCATGAATGGAGGAAACGTGTTGATGAATATAATGTAAGTCGATACAATATACATCCCTATTTCGTTTGTGGTAACTAGGCCGGTCACGTAAAACGAGGTTTTTGTGTGAATACTTTCCCCGTCGGACAATATACGCTCTGGACTCTACCGTGCTTACTTTCAAATATAAAGTATTAAAAAGAACGCTATTTATTATACTTACATGCACCTATGTCGCAGAATTTTATTCCTGTAAACATTTTTAGTTAAAACATCCATTGTTGGAATAATTTCAGTCCTTTAGTTAGGTATTTAAATTCAGTGGCGTATTTGTGAGAGGGAGGTGATGTGTGGATCGCCCCTCGGAATTTTTAGCTGTGATTTTTTTAATCTCTGTTATAGCCTATGGGTAAATAATATAGTATTTATACCCGTGATATTTATTATTTATTGGGTATTTTTATCAGCGTTGCCAAAAAGTATTGATAATGATATACTGAGGGCAATTTATACCCCCATATTCATCAATACCCCTATATGTATAATACACAGGGGTATCGATGTGGATATCCAAGCAGTATTTATAGATCGGTTTGTAGGAGTAAAAAATATAATATTGCTCTTATAAACTATTATAATTGTTGTAATAACTCTTATAATTGTTGTAAATATGTTTGTATACTCCTACAATTGTTTGGAACAAATAAATGTTTATATATCATTTTAGATTCTGAATCAAACGAGGGATCTATTGGTTTTACTATGATGTGTATTATTTTTTTCGGTCTGTGAACAACTTTTTCCTAGACATCTCGTTTCAATGAATACATGAAAAGAGACTGTTTTTGTTGCATTTTGGTTCAAGTCGGTATTTTAAAAAGGTTATTTTTTGAAATTCTCATTAATAACTATTCGAGATAATGAGAACATTGGTTCTTTAAATTAAAAAAGATTAAAGAATTAAAAATTCTTATTAATTCTTATTTATTTTTTGTTATTATTTTAATCTATTTTAAACAATTGTTATCGTGGAAAGACACATTGTTTTAGATTCTGAGTTTCGCAAAGAATGTATTGGTTTTACAAAGATGTTTATTTTTTTTTTATATGTGAACACTTTTTCTACCAGAAAGTTTACTCCGATTATCAAGAGTAGCATCTTTTCTGTAAGGAAATGTTCTCTGGATAATACTTATAAGAGGTCATTTTTTGAAATTCTCGTTAATATTCAAGATAATGAGGAAAACCTGGTTCTTTAGGTAAAAAAGATTGAAAGATTAAAAAAAAGTTTATTAGGAACAGATTTTATTTATTTTTTTGTTATTATTAATTTAATCTTTTTATTTAAATAATCATTATTGTCATGGAAATGCACATGTTGTAATTATTTTACTATATATATACATATATTTTGTTGACAAAGCAACACTATCAACTGAACTCCTATCAGATTAGTTTTTTTTTTTGCAATGATTTATCGTTGCTTACAGATATACATTGAATTCCTTTTTTTTTTATTATTATTATTCTATTATTTTAGGTTTTTTCTTTGTATAGAAACGTTTTTTTTTATTAGAAATGATTAATCATTGCTTACAGACATAAATTAAATAACTTTATGTATCCCACCTTCCCAACTACCCAGTTACAACAGTGGCCGTACCCGTCCCCATTATAAGAAATTTTTTTTCACAATATTTATAGTTTATACTTATAAACTATTATTTTATATTATATATAAAAATAAAAATAAACTGTTGCTTTTTTAAGCTCCTCGCGATATTTTATGTTTTATAATTTTTAAACCGCCCCTTCCCCCTCTACTTTGATTCAGTTCCAAATACACTACTGTTTAAATCAACTATACATTTTGATGTGAAATAAAAAAACAATTTTTTTTTCGTTCGTTTCATAGTTTTTAAATGGTTTTTGTTTATTCAGATTTTTACGATTATTTTTAATTTTGTTATATACCGAATTATGACAAAACAATTAAAATTAATGAAACGGTTAATACCAAAAACTTTTCTGTTTATTCTACGTTTTTCTTAGTTTTTTTTTAATTAGTAAGAAAACTTAGAAAACTAAAAAAAAAAAATAAAAAAATGAATTTCTTACTCACTAACTTGACACGATTCTCTTTCAGAAAAGATGCTATTGGTGCTCTTGAAATTTAGAGTATGGTTGTTTCTTATAATGAAATATATGTTATTTATGAAATACATCATGTCAGTATGAAATCCGTTAATGCCGTAAATATGTATTCGTTTTTCTATTTGTTTTTTCTGGTTTTTATCAACTGTAATGAAAACTGCTTAGAAAATCAGAAAATTACTTCTCCAAGTAGAAAATTTCTTGTCATTTTATGGTTGGCGCAAGATTTTTGGTAAAAAAAGTTGTTTACAGACAAATAAAAAGCACACATCATCAAAAATATATATATTCCTTATTTTGCACAGAATCAAAAAAGAAACTTAAAAAACGTACAGGTATGCCTACACCTACGTAATAATTATGTTTAAATTATTAATTGTTTAGTTTTGTTTACGTATGTTATATTATTGTAGCCTAAATCTGTGGAAAAAACTAGTAGTAGTTTTAAGTGGTATAATATTGGGTTTTTTTATTTTCTTAAATTATTGGACTGAAAACGTCGAAATTATAGATTTTAATTTTAAGATTTTATACTATACCTAATGCAAGTACGTGTACGTGTTAGGTAATAATTATCTTCCGAATTATGAGTTCATATCTACCTAGTTGTTTTGCAGTCACGGTATTATGTTATTATTATGGCTATATGTTATTTGTAAATTGCTACTCGACATTTTCTATTCCATAATAACAATAATAACAATTATAATATTATACCTGTAAGTGTATTAAAAGCATAATTATCTAAAAGAATCTTTTGATACTTGACCGTGCCTTCTTGCCTTCTTACTGTTAATAATTACTAATCAATACTTACAACAGATGTTAAAATTAAAAAAAAAAAAATCGATTATAACTAAACAGCACACAATACTATAGAAACGTGAAAGTGAAACTAATTAGTAAAATAATGTTTAAATAATACATCTATAGGCAGATTTTCTCTTAGAAAATGTTCGAATTGACAATGATGATTATGATTTTCATGATAATATGTTTCCAATTATTTTTTTTTATTTTTATTTCCTGCGTATCCAGTACGTTTTCTGAAATAAGTACATAAAACATTATTTAGCACACACTTGTTCGGGTTTTTTTTTTAAATATTTCAAACATTAAACTGAAAAAAAAAATTATAATTAACGATCATCTTTATTTGTAGTCAAGGCCGTTGTTTTGCCTAAAGTACGCGTAAATCGTTAAAATAAACCTAAATCACTGAACGAGGGGAAGAGAAGGGGAAAATCAGGATGCCGACCATATGGTGTGTTGTGAAATTCCTGAGCTGCCCACATTTATTGTACCTGGCGCTGTAACTTGTAAGCTACTTTCAACCGTTATGCATTTGCATACACCAGAAATAATACTTACGTATCGAAACTTCGGCACTTCAAATATCAAATCCATTACCCATTATTATAATAACTAATTTATAAATTATGTGATACGCTTCATGTATATTTATCCAAATGCACAAGTTTTCGATGCTTTTGTATATCTTGGAGTTACTTCTATAATAAATATTAACATTATTTTAAAATAATTTCCACGTGCGTCATTAATTATGTATTTATTCATTATTGTTATTATATGTGTATTAGGGTATGACTCGTATGTTACGGTAAAAGTACGAATGAAACCTTGGTTCGATTGCAAGTAAAACCTAGATGCAACAAAATGTTTTGATGCTTGTGCAATATTAGTACTATTGAATTCGATTTTTTAACTACATATAGATATAGGTACCTATTAAAACCTATAACTTACAATAAATAGTGATATTGTTGAAACGGTATCAATATTTTATTGATATTGAGTAAACGGTTGATGCATTGTTTATGTTTAATAAATTATTGTATTATTTTAATTCGAAGTTTTGTAACAAAGGTTAATCGTAATAACATAATAACAAAAATTAAGATTATCTGCATATTATACGAGCGATTGTATGAGTAAAACGACCAGATATTATATCTCGTCGTAAATTAGGTTGTATTTTGAATATTTATTTGCGTAATAATACACTACCTACCTGTTGTAATAAGCGTATTATTTTTTTACAATTTACGTTACACACTATTATTTATTTATTTTTGTAGGTATTTTGGTGTTTTACTTCAATTTACTTAAAACGTAATTGCCTGTACCTACTTCACTTAGTTTGGCCAAAGATTAGATGAAATTTCATCTATTTTGTGATTTGGCATTTATATGGTACGCATAAGGTGCTTAAATGATATAATGCATCGTATAATATAAGAAACTATTATAGATGTCGCTGGTTGTTCTCGTTCTACGTCCGCGTGGGTATTTGCGGTACAGTTAGTAGACCAGTTGTCGTGTGTTCGTAGGTTGTATGACGGTATAGTAGGTCGTACCTTTTTTTTTTTCTAATATATACGTTTAATCTTTGTTCATACGGTTGTACGTTAGTATCGACTGTGTTCTGTTCAATTTTTTTTTTTTTCAAAACGATTTCTGCGGTAGTGCATTGCAGTTTATACATCAGAACTTTAAACGTAAGTGACTCTCGTCTTATGTATTTATTATCATTTTTTCGTTTTTCATAATTCGCTAAATATGTTTACTCTTTTAAATTAATTATTTTTATTAAGTAACGATCGCTATTGATATATTGGTATAAAACAGAAAAAAAATTAATACTTCTATTATACACATTACTGAACTAACTAATTATTTTCTTCAGCTTAAATACCTAACAATAAAGTTATTTATTTTCTCCCATTTATATTTATCTGACGTATCTTATGACTGCAGTTATTTAATTATTAAAAGTTATTTATTTCCTTTATTTTTAACAATAAGATTGATTGTTATCCTCATATATTACTTTATGGAATAGTTTGTTTATCTGAAAATAATACACCATTTAAGTTCAATTATTTATCGTATAGATACTTAGATTGTATCATTCTTTACAATATATATTGCAATTCAACTAATTTCGTTAACATCTGGTTAGGTTTCAAATAACAAAACGTTTTCAGTACATAAAAGCGGGAAAATAAAAGGTCCCTTCTGATTTAGTAATTTTCGACCCTCGAAAAACGACCCTTAGTAAAACTCTAAATTCATCTTTATTGTATACAATAAAACGTGGGTGGATCATGTATTATTTATTTATATACTGCCTAATTTCTTAGTACTTGCATATATTGATACCTTATTTATATTTCTAATTACGCAATTCTGATATATAACAATAAACTTAATTGCGAAATGGTACAATCAATGCGTATGGCAATTATATATTTTCAAAATTGTTGACTGCTCTTGGCTTCATTTCCAATTCAACTCTGTACATTATGGCCACTTCTCTATTAATCCGAATATCATATTTTTCAATGTTTTTTCTTACGTCTTAAAACAAAAATCGGCTATTACCTATTCTAATACTCTTAGTAGTTAGTATTAATTATCGTCTGCACGCGGGTGTTCAGGATTATACGTGATTTCGTGTCAAAACATTCCATTCCGTAATAGGCGAGGAATGTAACGTCAAGAACCTGTAAAACAAACGCAACAACATTATCTTTTATCCTATCATTCATCTTGGTCATATTCATTATTTTATGCAGTTCCAAGAAAAATAAGATTCAAGTTCAATATTATTGAAGTGTTAAACGAAACACGGAAAACATATAAAATATTTCGTGTGCAGGCGTACTGCCAAGTTGTGAAACATGTTTTCATATTCCTACCCAATTTATAATGCCTTAATTTCGTCAAATTATAATTACTAATACTAAAATACTAATATTTACCACTAATATTTAAAATACTAAATGTGTTTGATATAATATTCATATAAATCTTTCATGTTTTAAAGATATGCGTATTATACCTGTAATACATTAATACTTCACAGCCTAGTAAATATTGTATTGAAATGTTTTAGTTAGATACCTACGTATGTTTTTATACATTTAATTATTCAATGTATAGGTACACTGTTCATAACACAACTTTATCTGTTTTGATAAATAAATGCATATGATTAATAATTGCTTTTCGTTAACAATCATTCAGTTCGATCATATGTTCTGTATTCAACAACAGGTTATAGAATTGTCCTTGTGCAGTTGTGCTACTACTATACTGGCTTCGTGATTTTTAATTATTATTTATTCATCGTGCATATTAGACACTAATTATACAATGCAATCGTATTAGCTTCTTATTTCGCCTATGTATTGTTTATTCGTGTAGTTAACGAGCCAAACGGATATAATTTATTCGAACGCTTGATCACCATGTCTGGTATACCGAGCGGTCTATGGGCACATCCACCCTTACCACCCGGCAAACGGATTTTAGATCGTTCGAATTCTGAAGATAGGAAGTCTACTTTTGGATTCATGCGAAAGTTTCCTTCCGTGCGCCGTCGCAATAGCAAAAAGGATAGTATGATGGATACCACTTACGAAAGTTTTGACAGTTTATTCGAAGACAATGATATCGTTATGGCTGGAACGGAATGCGCCGAAAGCTCGAATAGGAATCCGAGGCCATTCACAGCGATGTTCAGAAGCAGATCTGATGGAAATTTAGCTGGGTCTTCTAGTTGCTCAGGTTTGTCTCACGAGTCTGCAGAACCAAAAGGTTTTACGAAATATCTGAGAGTACTGAGTGGAAGTTGGAAAAATTTGTTAAATAGTAAGTGATATAAGATAATAACAATGTATGCATTATACTTATATAGCTGGGTTGCAAGTTTAATAATAACTTGTAATAATGACGACGATTGCATAGTAAATGAACATTCCGACGGATTTGTTGTATAATAATATTATGCAGGCACGCTCATGATTTAAATAATATGCGCCCGGACGTACGACACTTATTCAAATCGAATTATGTAAACTTAAGACCCCTAACCGAAAACAAAAAAATTATAGTTCGATTATACAGAATAGGCTATGTAATTGTATATATTTTTGTATTCAGTCGTGTTTTCGGCCTATTGTCCAAATACATTCGTGTTTCCGTCTTTTCTGTCCCCCTTCGTATAGACTTAGCAATCATTTTTTTTAATAATAATTGTGGTGTGTAGTCAACTCGTTTAAATATACGACCGTCGACCTTAGATCATCGGTTACGGCTGTTCAATCATTACAAATAAAGGCATAATATTTTTTAGCGAAAATCGTTATTTTAGTGTAATATACCTAATACCTATTTGATATATCTTGGTGTGTATTATTACATTTATGAAATCTAACTCGAGTTATTTGTTTGGTATTTATGTCTGCAGGTGACTGAAATTTAAATAATAGATGTAAAATATATACTTAGTGCTGCATTTTATTAAGGCGAAATTATGGTTACTACTTAAAATTAAATCTATTAATTTTCAGTAAATTTTGAGTGCAAAAGTGCACATAGGTGCTCTAAGAATATAATTGTTTTGTATCAAAATTAATTATCTATAAAAAGTAAAAACGTATTTATATCATTATTTGATTTTAATTATAATAATTGGTCTTCTTTTATGGGCATTGTAAAATAATTGTACACAATTGTTATCGAATGAAATCATATGATAACAAAAGCTGAGTTATGGTTTTTTAAATTTTTAACGTTTCAAAGTAAAAAAAAAAAAAATGTACAAAATTAATTAATTTCTGGTTGTTATTTATTATGTTAAGTATTTGTTGTATGTAGATATATTTCTAGACTAAAGTAAAAGAAAAATACATTTTAGTATAAATATATATTATTACAAATCGACTGTAAATTACCAAGTAATAATCAATATTTTAAATAATACCTATAATTATTATCACTCTGTAGTTGTTTTTATAACTAAACGCGTGTCTTATCTTGAGCCATACTTGGTCGTTGGTTTTGGTATTGATAGTAAATATGCAACTATTGCAAATAGGTACTTAATTTATGTGAATAATTGTCAGATATATACGTCTTAAACAATAATGATTACTAAATAAAATACGTTTAATATATACACTCGTACGTTCGAAAAAGAAACCGCCTCTTGAAATATTTGTGCGATTGGTGATAAATGTTTTTCTACTGCATACATTTATTACCTAGGTACCCAGGTACTTGATATTTATTATTTTATTATCATAATATTTTTGTAGAATTTTGATATACTTTTATAAATACAGAAGAACTGAATAGAGAATAATTTTAATTGAATGTCTAGATATCAAAACCATAGAATATTTTATTAAATAAAATGATTATTATATTACATTATTTATTTAATTATTTATTCGTGCATTATTATCCCATCATTGAAATTGCGTTCTGTGAATCGAAAATACTCCTGAATTTGTTATACTTATGTAAAACCACTACTGATGGATCCCAGTGAATTCATAAGAGGAAAATGTGGACATTATTACGATTATTATACTTTAACGTCATCGACCACGATCACGACAACGATTGGCGGAAAAACTATATAGTCAATGGCTGATAATAAATGAGTATCGAAATTAATTAAATATCTGAAACATTTTTTGTTTAAAGAGTAAGAGAAGTGGTAAATTTCTATTGAACATCAGTTTACCACGTGTCACATTTATAAAATCAAAATTAACATGTGTTTTATATAATATTTAATACAGGATACTGGTTTAGCTGCAGACTGCATTTTCTTATATCTTGTTACTTATCAAATACTTATAGTTAACAGAATGTACAAAATTATATTTTTAGCTCTCCAACGTAATATACTCACTGAACACACCCTATTTAATGAAGGTACCTACTCTTTGTATATAGTCTTTGATAATACTCGTATTGAATAATATTTATAAAATTCCAGAACCATAAAAAATCTGTATGGATATTTGCAATTTGAAATATGATTATTATTTATTACAACAATTTAGAGAGCTTCATTATGAAAAAAACATTGAGACAGAATTATTACATTGCTGCGTCCCACTAATGTTTTAACAAAGGTGTAACACCTACATTTTAGTTGTATTCGCAACCACGCAAATTTCCAATTTAAGAAAACTGGTTTCTATAAATTATATACCTGCGTTCTCGTATACCAGAATTTATCCAGATAAACAAATCAAGTGCATTAAACATTATCCAGACGAACATCTTTTCAAACATTGATCTATACATTTATTGTAATTTTAGAATAACACGTTTCTATCTCCTTATTGTTACGCTAAATAAAATTATTATATATATTTATGTGCGAGTGTGTGTTTTTTTTAAAAAAAGCGTGCCTATTAAAACAAATATTCCTAATGGTTTAAACTTAAAAGTGTTAAAATTGAAAACACATGTCCTTTCTTTTGTTCAACAAATATTTAATACTATTTATATTTACTTTTTGTAGATGTTTACTTGTGTAAGTAGGTAGTATAGTTTTATGCATACTTAATTTTAAGTATATAATGAATACGATGTACATCAAATTGTCAACATAGTTGTAATGAATAGTTTTAAAAATGGTACGGTATTAGTGTATTATCACTATATTCTAAATAAACAACTATCTTATTGCTGTCCAATTTGAATAATAATTATTAATTATCGGCCATAATCAACTAATATTTAATAAATAAACTGAGTTTTGCATATGTGAATAGTGATTGCTTCAATCATTGAATCAACATGCTTCAACTACCCTGATGAAGCTTTTGACCTCGCTCTTTAAGACCGAGTATTTATAATATTCCCTATCAAACTCTTGAGTTACGGTTGAGTAGCTATTGTAAATTTTGACCCATTGTTTACTTGAATACTGAACCTTTATAAAAAATTGCATAACTAAGTGCCCATAAAATAGGTTATTATGAAACAATATTTATGACCCATGTAATTTTATTACAGTTAGCAGTATGAATAAAACCCAGAAAAATGTTCCTCAAGTTAAGAAAGTCCCTCCACCAGCCATTCCAGATTCGGTTGCTTGTCGACATTCTGGCAGTAGTTTTGGATCTACAGGATATAGTAGTTCCAGTGATGACGCATTTCTTGATCCTAATACTTTTATAAAACCAGGTAAATTCCAAAACAATACTCTTAATGTTTTATACATAATAGTTTATTTTAGATTCAGAGTGGAGCGAAGAAGCTTATGGGTTTACAAAGATGTTTATTTTTTTTTTTTATCTGTTAACAACTTTTATATCAGAAGACTTGCTTGGATTTCTAAGTTTATAAATCTGTGTGGGCTGGTATTTCAGGGAGGTAATTTTTCGATTTTCTCAAGAGTTTTCTCAGCAAATGTAAAAAACTAGGATAAAACATGGAAAAACTTAGAAAAATTTGGAAAATCAGTACAACATTAAACAAATACTATTAAAGACTTAAATACTTTGTTTTGCTTTTATTTATAAAACAACATTTTTTTATTGTATACGAATATCCAATCAAAAATCACATTTTAAACAGTTTTGCTATTCAACGCATATAAATAAATATTATTCTAATATATTTATATATTTTTATGTTTTTATAACTATTTAAATAATGAAACTGTATGGGTTTTGAAATTTAATTGTTTATTAATTTATTTGAATTCAATATAGTTTAACATGTCAGAGAGAATAAATTTAGTTTTTTGTTGACTCGCAGAATTACTGTATGCAACTTTTAATCAGTACTCATGTACTGGGTGCACATATAAATTTCAAAAGGGTTATTATATACTTTTGAACTACTTACTGGCTACCATATTGAAGTGATTATTTCTTAATTATTGGAAAAAACACTGAACTAATCTAATTTGCTTTTAGATCGGAGCTGTGGCGTCACCGTTTTCATTGTTTTTATTATGTGATCACTGTGTTTTCAACCATAAATATTGCTAGATAGATAGATAGATAGATAAATGATAAGAAATCTTTCTGTTGGATTTTAATGTAGAAATAATGAGAAGTTTTACAAAAATAATGCTTCTTATTGTTTAAAATTCTGTTTTTTCATTGTATTTCAGGTTAAAATATTCTTAGAGACTAAACATGTTTAAAGAAAATTTGTATTTACGTTTTCTAGGCATGATAAACCTTTCAGATCATTTAAGACATTTTTGAGCTTTTATTAGACATTTTAATTTTGAGAGTTTTTTAAGTAATTTTTATTTGGTAGGTATTTTGTAGATAAATTGTGAAACTTAACAAAAATGCTTGAAAATTGTTTAGGAGGTTCATATAAGTTGCACTTAGTGGTCAAAAAATAAAAATTAGTTTAATGTACTATTTTTTTTTTTTTTTTATAAAGAGTCTTAAAATCAAATTTTAATCGAAGTTAGGAATATTCCAAAAGTAGTATAGGACCAAAATGAATGACAAAAGCAAGAGAAGTAATCTCTATTTCCCTAGATATTCATTTATTTACCTATTTATTTCATTGCATTTGGGCTCATTAAAATATAATTTATTTTTAGATATTTATGATGCAGCAGATACATATTGTTCTGCAGGAAATAAATCACCATCACAATTTAATCATTCTGCATTCACATTTCCTGGATCTTCTTCGGTAAATAAAATTATTATTTATATCTTACATTCCCATTTATTTAATATTTTTATGTTGTTTATTTAGTATCTTCATACTTCTGGAAATATGAAAATGTATTACCACCAGTTGTCACTTCAGGAAGATCAAGGAATTGATATGACCCAGAGTCCTGGTCGCGATAGTCCTGGTTCATCAGGATCAGGTTCAGGATCGCGGCATTCCACTGCTAGTTTAGATAGTGGTCGTGCTTCAGGATGTCATCTTCGAGGAAATAATCATTGGCCTCCCGAACTTAGTCCTTCTACTAGAGTTGAAAGACTTCTTAATCAAGGGGTCCCTGTGAGTTAATTTGTTTAAGTAAATATTGTAAACTATATAAACTAATTATGAATGTTATTTGTTATTAGGATAAAGACATAATGTATAGTTGGTTAGTAGATCTTCATTTAGAAGAATATTTACCTTTGTTTTTATCAGCGGGTTATGATATGAGAACAGTTTCTAAAATGACACCGGAGGTGAGTTATTATTTTTAAATATGGATGGAACCTTATTAAACATAGTGAAAGTTGGACACACATTATTACATTTTGAATTATTTCTGTACTTATATTATTTATGTTCACAATAGGATTTAACTGGTATTGGAATAAAGAAACCAAATCATAGGAAGAAATTAAAAGCTGAAATTGGTCTACTAAATATATCTGATGGATTGCTAGATTATATTCCTGTAAGTGTTATTTTTGATTTTATTTGTTGTATTATTTATATTATAAATATAATTATTTAGGGATCACTAGATGAATGGCTCAGATTACTACGACTTGAAGAATATGGATCAGCATTAGAAGCTCAAGGATATTCCACAATAGATGATGTAACTCAGTTAACGTGGGAAGATTTAGAAGATATTGGAATAGTTAAGCTAGGCCATCAAAAACGATTATTACTTGCAATAAAACGAGTTAAAGATATTAAGGCTGGAAAATCATTTATACCTCATTCTCCTTATATTATTCAAACTCAAGTGAGTACAGATATTATATTTAATTAAATTTACTCTTAGCAAAATCTCGAAAATGTATAAAAATAAATTATTATATAAATTATAGAAAACAGTAACATATTATTGGTTAAATTTAAATAGTATTTGTTTAATCTAGGGATGTATAAATTTGTATAACTAATTATTATTCTACAGTATTTTTGTAACTTTATTACCTACTCAACTATTATCATATGAATTGTTTCATGTTTACTAAATAATAGAATTATACAAATTATTGAAGTTTAAATTTAACCTATTGGCTATTACCATTATACTATTAGTTTATATGCTAATATTTTAGGATAATTTAAAAAATTTCATAACTATGACAGTATTTATATCAACTATAAAACCAAACTTTGTCAAATTATTAATAATTATATATGGTTATTAATTTGATAAAAATAAACTAAAATGGAAGATCTGATTATATTACTATTTTCTAAAATATTACATGAATATTTGAATTGTAATTTGTTTTATTTAAAATGTCATAAACCATCATACCATACCGCACTGCATATATCCTTATTATTTTAAAATTCCCTTAGATTTTTTTTTCATATATCATTTTTAGTTGCCAAATTTTTTAAATTTTATTTCTATAGTAAACAGTATGGCACTATGAATTGTGAAAATAGGGATTGTAAGTACTAAAAAATTTTGCTCGTTTTTTAGAATTTGATTTACAAATGCATGTTATGTGTTTATTTTGCATGTTTAATATTTTTTCTTTGATGCTTTTAATTTGCATTCACATTTTTATTTAAATCGTATATTGCATCCAAAAGGCCTGCATCGAGTCGCCATTAAGCATTGTGAGCAGCAGTTCTGGATGTGGAACGAGTATCACAAACATAAGTTCCGGTATGGGCAGTGTTGAACTTGATTTACCACGCGTGCACGCAACGTATCACAGCTTTCATCAACCTTGGGAGTTAGAAAGTAGCAAACAACTTTATTGTCAAACAGATATTGTCCCTATCAAGGTATACATTTTTATTTTATAAAATATATTTTGCTATCATCATGTATTGTTGCTTTTTAAAATTTTTGAGCGTTTGTCAATTTATTAAGTCCCTTAGACCTACTCCGGATTCGAACTGGACACTCGAATTTCAGGAATCGGTAAAGAAATATGTTTTCCCCATTTAAATTTTTTCTAGATTTGTTTTTTAAATGAATTTTTCTATACTAATATCAATTAATATTTTAGCTTAGAGGAACACATCGTGGTAAATCGTTGGAAAGTTTACATGAGAACAGTAATTCATCCTTAGGAGGAACAAGCAGTTTTGTTGGTCCTCCTCAATGGAGACATCAGCAAAAAAGTTTTGAAGATGGTGATGTAACTCCTACAAATGAAATAACTATTCTCCATGAATGTACCGCCACATTACCTAGACCAAGAGGACTAGTTAAGCCAAGGCTTGTGGCTAAAGTTCCCGCATTATATAATCAACCAAATATGTAAGATCATTTAAATTATTATTTAATATTTGATTGTTAAAAAAAAAATATAAATTTGTATTTGTATTTTTGTATTTTAGAGAAGACTGTTCAGGATTAAATACATTGAAACGTAGACCACCATCACCGCCTAAACGACAACAATCTTGTGAAGATCATTCAAAGTGTCACCAAATAACTGTTGTTGCTGATCTTCATTGTACTTCAGCTTTACAATCTAAATCTTTAGGCAAATGGACAACAGATAATATGTCTCCTAAACATAACCCAGAGGATCATATTGGATCAAATGCAAGCTTTAAAGTAATTTTTTTTCACTTAAGTTTCAAAATTGTATTCTTAATTATTAATGGAAATTATTAATTAAATTAAATAATACAATTATTATAGTCAAATTCTAGTGCTGAATCAGATACTATTCCATTTGCCAATGAAAATGCTGGTACTATTAAACAAAGAACAATCAGATCTACTAATGGTTAGATAACTTAAACAAATAAACATACTTATGTTTAAGTTTATTTATTTAATGAGAAGTAAAAATGTTAATTATGTGTATTTTAGAATTAATTCAACCTAGTATGCTTTCTGAAGGATCATATTCTATGCATACGACTTCCAGTTATCCAGTACATTCCGCAGCTAGTCAATTTTCTTTAATGCCTCCAAGGTAAAAATATATATTTATTTATAAATTAATGTTTATTGTATTATGTATATAGCTAATTTAAAAACATTTACTATTTAAAGCAGTGATATAAATATAAACATTATTATTCAATTCTTAAAAATGTTTAGCATATTTTCAAGGGATAATCTAAACAAAATAATTCTAAGTGTAAAAAATGTATATTTATATGCAATTAACATGATTTATTATGTATTTATGACAGTGGAAAAAAGGAGCCAGCAGATGTTCTAAATGATATTGGAAACATGCTGGCCAATTTAACTGATGAACTGGATGCCATGTTAGAAGAAGAAAAAAGGCAAGGTCTTAATGATTAAATGATATAGTTGATTTTAGTTACCCTATTTTCAACAATTTATATTCAAATATAAATTGTAAACCTTTTTGTTTTGTTCAAGCAAAAAAAGACAATTTTGTATGTTCCTGTGTATTGTATTGACTCCAAACGTGGATAAAAACGTGTAATCTTATTAAATCTATCAACATAATTATTTTAACTTAATTATTATTAAAAAAAAAAAAATATATTACAGTAATACACTTTCTACTCTGGGTTGAATTTAGATTTATGGCTGATACGATCTTTAGTTCACCTTAACATTTTTAATTGATATTGATTTTAATCAATGTAAAATTATAAAATATTATATCAATAATACAGATTCCCCTCTCAAAATTATTTTAAAATTTTAAAATATTTTTTATTTTTAGGTAACTAAAGATTTGTATGTTTTGTTATTGTTAGTGTAGACTGTAGACATATCACCTTAAACATGCGTCTTCCTGTTTTTTTATTATTATTTTTTTTTTTTTATATCAAAAATTTAACCTTATGATTTAAACAACTTTACTGGAGTTATATAATAAAAGCATATTATGATATTGTATTTCTAAAATATAATTTTAAGATAGCTATGTTGAATAGATTATTTATAGTAGATTTGTAGATATTTTGAAATTAAATATTGTATAAATTAATATTCATAATCAAGAAAAAATATTTGACTGATTAGAGACAGGTACAGAGTTATTAATTTTTGATCCATAAAGATTTTTATTATTTAAGTAATATCCAGTATCTATGGGTGTTATTTTTATATCTTGTTAGAATTAACATAAGTGATATGGTTCAACTTTGTTGAACTATTTATATATATATATTATTTAAAAGATAATTCTCAATATTTTTTTTTTTTTTTAAGTGAAACCATTTGAGAATTTCATTTTATTTAAATTATTCTCTATGGGCATTTTCATTTTTTAAAAAATACATTTTATATTATATATACCAAATAATGCAACTATTGTCTTTTATAAAATATAAAAGTAAAATAAATATTCAGTGTATATGTGGAAAAAGCATTGTGTTTATAAAATATTATTTAATGATAAATAAAATAAATAATATTTAAAATATAAACATTTGTATATTAAGGTAGTTAAAAATATTAATTGAGAATAACAATTTTATTATATTTATGTACTGGTAGATTTTTATACCACAAATTATTATGTATATTAATAAACTATCTCAAATCATATTTTGTGTTAATTTTATATTCCAAGTTTCGCAAAGAAACTAATATTTTTCCTAAGATTATAAAAATGTAATATAAAATATAAATGTAATCTTGACTTTTTCGACTAAAAACTTTTCTGCTAGAAAATGAACTCCTACGTTTCTGTTGTTTTCTCAGAAGTCTAAGAATTTAGATTTTTTCTCAAAGCGACAACCTCTTTCATTTTAGCCCATTCATCGCAAAGTCTTATTCACTCGTTACTTTTCGAAAAGTTAATCACTAACTAACAAAAGAAACGAAAAATTGGCCGTCGACATAATTTTCATGATAATCGTCGTTAGTTATCGTATTCTTATCAGTGGAGCAACCATGATTTTTTTTAAGGGGAGAGGTTTCAAAAATATAATTGTTTTAAAGTAGCAAGCAAATTAAATTATTATTGTATTGTTTGATTAATGTAAGTATTATAATTATAATGTACATTTTAATGATAATTAAATGTAAAACATACCTTTATGTTCAATGTGTATACTGCTATAATAACAATAAAATTACGGTACGGAAAAAAAAAACTATGTGGTTTATAAAATGAAATTTAATTGGTGTTTTGAATTGCTTTAATGACATATTACCTCCTCAGGTGTAACACTGACTTCGTAGTAGATATTGAGATTAGCTAATCCATTAAGTCTTCTTTCTGATATTTCTGAATTCCTTAAGTAACTTTTTATTCTTTTTAGTGTTGAAAATTATTTCTCTGTCTCACATGAAGTAATTGGAAGTGTGATTAATATTTGTAATAGCTTCTATATATATTTGGGAATAAATTTGGATTACATTCATTAAGTATTTGAATTACATTATATATATATATATATTATTGTTAGCCAAATAACGATTCCATAAAATTGTTTTTGGTTTCACTCAATCAAAATCATTAACACCATTAGTATAAAACTTAACAAGTTCTCCAAGTTTTTATCTCATCAAATGCTGAACTTTCAACTAATATTTAATCCACAATTTATCATTTTCATGATTAACAAAACGGTCATTTAATTGTACAAACAAATAAAGAAATCCTAAAATATTCTTCGGGATCTTTTGTTGGAATATTAACTCGGTTTTCTCGACACTTAGCTAATCTAGGCAATACTATACTAAGTTCAAAATCGTTCAATCTTTTATTAATCTCAATAAATAATTTGTTAAATTCAGTAATAACGTTTACCCTAATAAAATTAATTTGATTTTTTAATAGATTAATATGTTGAACAGCTTCCACCAAATCCATATTTTTATGTTGTAAATATTTGCTATAAGAATGTGTATTAGTGATGGGAATAATCGAGAGAAAATAATCCAGTAACTCGATTATTTGAATGTATTGAGTAATTTGATTATTAGAAAAATAATAGAATGAAAAATTATTAATTACTAATCAGTAGTTACTATTTTTATATTTACTAGTTCAATAATTTAGTAGTTGGTGATTACTCGAAACAGTATCAGTAATCATTCTTATTTCTTTTTACTATTTTATTGACTGCTAATTACTAATATTACCTATATCACTATTTTCTCATTGCGGACAGTGTATCAAAACAGCGGCAAGCTTGCACAAGTACGTTCTCATCTCTCGCAAAGTATAATAATATACAATATGAATGAAAATAAAATAACCCATAGTTTACTATTATGCACAAATGCTAAGTAAATCATTCTAATCATTTCTAGATAATTCTAGAATCATAAATGAAATAGGTAGTCGGTAATGTTCCTATTCTTATTTAGGTACATTTTATTGTATCGTTTGTTTTATTTATTGAAACCATCCGTTTTACGTATCGTAAAACATCGTATACGAAATTAACGCGTATCGCAAAAATTCAAAATAAATTTTTAAATTTTAAAATGCAACCAGGCAGTCAAAAACGTTCTGTAGTGTGGGAGCATTTAAAAAAAAATGCCGATAAAAGTGTAGTTAATTGTCAAATCTGTAAAAAAGAATTAAAGTTTTACGGAAATACAACTAATTTAAAAGGTAAGAATGTTGTAGATTTAATGAATAATGAGTGTTGCTGCTCAGAATCTAAAATAGTATGAATTTACACGATATATTGAGTGATTCTTAGCTACTCGATTAGATACATCGAATAAATCACTCGATTATGAAAATCAAAATGTTTATCTATTAGATAACGATCTTAATCCATTCGATTAGGTACAATATTTCGATTATTTTAATCGAGTGAATGAATCACTCGATTATTCCCATCACTAATGTGTATATTGAAAAATGTTGTTGAGAATATCAAGGATGTAACGTCCAAAAACGACCATCTCCCGTTATCAAAGGACAAGTATACATACTATCGATACTAGACGACCGGTTAATAGATTACGCCCGCGTCGACGGACATGTTATGTCATCATTAGCAATAATTCCCCCTTCCCCCCCCGCGCAAATGTTTATGCGATCGCAATCTGTTGTAATTCGTAATAATATTATATTTTTGAATACGGGTTAACAGCCAATCATATCACGTTTCCCCTTATCGCCAAAAACGTCGGCCCGCGGTGACGTGCCACGAACGTCTTTGCGCTCCGCTACCCAGTTGTTCTTTTTCTGTTCGTTCTTTTCCTTCTTCGTGTCTAGACCTCGCCTCGAGATTTCTGTCACCGGGCGGTCTCTAGGTACAGTTCTCTTAATAAAATACTCCCGTGTATTACACCAAGTTTTGCCGCCAAGAAAAGGCCGTGTACCTTGGCACGATTTATGATGGTGCCTCGAACAAATCAATGAAGTGAGTCCCGATCTGGTCCGCTGGCGGACATCTTCGGGAAAACGATGGTAATATGTATGTAATTTACTAATTGGCCGATACCCCGATAGTTAGTTAATTAGTTTTTAAGGTAATTGAATTAAGGTTTCTTCGTATGAATGTATTTATATAAAATGTTTTTTTTTTCGTGTGTTAAATCCTCCTGATATACTTATGGGAATCAACCAGCTAGATTTGTGTGTCCGTCTCATTATGCCAATCCCCGCGTTCCACATCCTAAGTGCGATAGGCCGAAACCCCCCCGTATTTTGTTTTCTTTGTTATTTTTTCTCTTACCTTTAAGTGCTAGGTTTCGCAACCACGTGTTTATGTGTGTATATGAAAAAAAGGAATATATATGTAGATCGATTTTTCCCATTTCAAGATTTCTATACCCGGACGCACCCCGAAGGTTCACCCGTAGGACCATCGAAACTACGGACCAGTCAAAATGGAACAATAAGCGTTTCCGCTATCCTTCCCGGTGGTAATCTGTGCAACCTGGCAACCGCACATTCCTGCCGGGGTCTCCCCAATACCTAAGGTGCCCACGAACGTTCCACGTGGGGGTGGGTCCGTCTCTGTCAATACCCATATCGATCAACACATATACACGTGAATGTGAATTCATCTTTACCCATAAATATAATTATTCCCGGCCTGCACATTCCCCGTGATGTCACTGTCTGCGTCCGGACAACACTTACGACTGGTTGATCAGTGTCAATGTACATATTTTTAAAATATAAACTGTCTGTAAATATTAGTTTATTAGCCTATATATATATCAATGTTATAAGTCGTACCTATTATCCATTCTTTCTTAGTTAACAGTTTTTATGCCCCGGGCTTTTCCGTTGTAATAACTTAAATTTTTGATTGATAAATTAAATAAATAATTATATACTTTCCCCCAAGAAAACCACGTGTTTACTTATTTAAATTCTCTTTTTTTTCCTACCCTCCTCACAAAATCCTAGGACTCCGGTCTTCGGACCTCGGTTCTAGGTTGGCGACCTTTCCACTAGGCGGGTAGTCAGCTGGGCGCTCGGGTCGGTTTTCAAACAAAACTGACCGACCCGGGACTTCTCAAAGGCTACATTAAATTCTGAAGATTTTAATGCCAACAGTAGTTGATTAGTTTTACTCGATGTATCAACATCTGTCCACGTAATCATTTCTTCTAAACAATAAATAATTACAGGGAAAAATTCATAAAACGTTGTTTCTATTGAATTATAACGCTCAACCCACCTAGTTGGTCAGTTTTTTAAGTTTTTCTTTTTTAGAAGATTTTTTTTTCATTCAATTCAGCCAGATGTATATTAAAAAATGTATTTTCGGAGTATTTAAAGAGATAGCAAGCTTCTACAGTACCCATAGTGTTTCTTATTCCTTGAATATTGCTGGTGTATGGTACCGACAGATTAAGATTATGGGCACTACAATGTATGTACAATGCACTTGGATATTCTTTTCTAATTAAAACAAGACCATAAACTTTGGGCAGTTTGGTATGATTGATCAAGGTACTCTTAGATGTTGGTAATCTTTGTCTCTTGTTGTAAAACATAGATCAGGTGAGGTGGTCGTTCTCCATTGTCCTGATTTAAAAGTTCCACCCTAATCGATGTAATATATTAGATGTAAGCGATGAATAGCGGCCCAGTTGGTGAGTTTTTCCCCATATTCATTTCCTCTAGAGTAAGCCCATTCGGTGCTAGGTGAATTAAAATTACTTATGAAGATTGAAAGGGTTTGTCGAATTGGAAGCACGATGTCTGACCATCTTTCTGAAGGTGGTTTGTAGACGTAATATATTATTAGATTTCTTAGGATATACCAATTGTGTGTGTGTTCGTTACCCTCGACAGGGTTCACTTGTTGTTCTTCAAAGTTTTGGTTTATGTATGTTGCTAGTTCATGCTTTGCGTGTCCTTTGTTGTTTTCGTTTATCTATGCATATGTAAGATTTTTTTGTAGGATATTTTATTTCTTATTTTGTTTACGCGATAACCACGTATACCAGTTGATTAGCCCTTATAAGGGCTATTTTTGTCAAATGAGTCAGGAGCTTCATGGACGTTTGGCTGTCGGTTTGATGCTATTTGATTACGTGTATTCATTGTATGGTTTGCGGGAATTCTTTGGTGGGAAAAATTTGAAAACAGACCGGAATACACTACTCACAAGGGGGACTACTAAGAGGTATAGCATCACCACCCCCACTAATACCATTGATTATAAATATTTATTATAAGTATTTCGTACATTTTCGATAGATGGGTCCAGACATTTAAAATATCCTCCCTGGTGGTGCCACTGGAAGACTTGTTGGTAGGTACGTATCCTATATTTCTAGTCTTGTTATGTGTTACCGGTACTTACATTAAAATATATGTAATTTTGTCAAAAAAAATAAATGCAAAAACCATAGGTATACCTAGCAATTTACAGTTATTTTTTTACAAAAAAATTCGTAAATAATTTAAATTTTAAAAAGAAAAACTTAGTTAATAAAAGGTGAAATAAGTTATTTTCTGACATTTTATTAATTTTTTTAGAACTATTTCAGTTGAAAGTTATCAAAAAAGTAACTTATAACTTAACTTTTTAGCTAGTTCTTATCCAGCTTTGAGTTTTGTGTATTATAGGCAACAAGTAGGTATACTCACTTAAATATCATTTCGCTATTGGTGTTATAATAGTGTTAAATTTTATTTTACCTGACTTCTTCAGAAGAACCTTGTCCATGAAAAAAATATAATGAAATGTATAATAGCTGAATTTCCGGCTTCCTTAATACTTAATAGTTAAAAATGTGTAGTAGGTATGAATTGAAAAAATGATCGCATGAAAACATGGCATTACATTTTTGTCATGAACTATACCTATACCATACCAATATAATAATACATGGGTTTTAAAATTTTTTTTTGGTTTTTAAATACAAAAAAAAAAACGAATTGACTTGCCGCCTGTAGTGCTATAATTAATAATAATATATTTTCTCAAGTCATAAAACATACTAATTAGATGGGTACCTTTACTTTTTTCACACAGTATGATCTACAGTTCCTTTTGAGATTTTGATTTGTAATCAAATATTATGACAATTTATTTCATTATAATCGAACTGTATAATTATTATTTTCCTTTATCGTTATAATATTATGTAAGTACCTATAGAAAAGTATGTGAGTTTGAAAATCGGGAACTTCGAATTCTCTCAGAGGGGCCCCCCTTACTTGCTTCTAAACGTGTTCAAATTCAAATTTTAATTTTAATCTTAAAAAAAGATGTTCTACGATAATGGGAACGGGTGCAATCACTGTTATAGATAATTTAATATGCATACCTGTAAGCAACGTAAATCACTGCTTACGCAAAAACGATTATGAGTGAAGTTCAGTTGATAATGATGCTTTGTCAATATATATGTAATTTTATAGTAAAATAATTAAATAGGTTCTATATATTTTCATTAATAATATTTGTTTAAAGTTGTACCGTTTTTCCTAATTTTCCTACGTTTTATCCCGGTTTTTCTTATTTGCTGGGAAAACTTCTGAGAACATCGAAAAATGATCCCTTTAAAGTACCTCCCTAGTGAAATTTCTTTTTAGAAACATTACTATCATTAAAAGTTGGAACAAAATTACTGGTAGATAAGTTGCTCACAGAAAAAAAGAAGCTCGTAATATATACATTTCTTATATTTTTCCCATTTTTTTTCGATGAGATTTTTTTGATGAGAAAACTTAAGAAAATCGAAAAAATGCCTTCTATAAAGTACACCAATTTCCTTTCAGAAAAAGTGTTACACTTAGAAATCCGAACAAATCTTCTGGTAGAAAAGTTGTTAACAGATAAAAAAAACATCTTTGTAAAACCATAAACTTCTTCGCTCCACTTAGAATCTAAAATCACATAATTTCGCGTAGATACTATTTATTAGTTTGTGTAAATAAAATTGTTTTAAATTTAATATGAGGTTCATCATATCAGTACCATAAGTCCACAGAGAATAGATTAAATCTAGATTTCATCTATTCTGTGGTAAGCCCACAACTGGAAGTTGAAATGAGCGGTGGCCAAGACACGTCAAAGTTAAGGGGCTCATTTGAGTTGGTTAAATAAAGTTATGAAAAAAGTTTGTTTTAACATGGTTTTTATATATTATTTATTATATGGTTTGAAAAATTAAGTTTACGAGAATTTTCTTATCTTATTTTTCATTTGAAAAATGTTTCGTTTATAAAATCGTATTTTATAGTATTTACACAATAGTTCAGAATTATTATCATTTTTTTTATTTCTTTATTTTATAAATTTTAAGTAGGTACTTATCTAATTTAAAGTAACTAGAGAGCTAAATTTTTAAAAATTAAAAACTCATAATATTTAGGATTTTTTTTAGAAATAAAATTGTGTATCAGTACTATTATAGTATACTTATTCAAAAATGTTTAATATATCAATAACTAGATGTTTATAAATAGTTATAGGAATGTAAAAATACTTTTTAGTGACCAAAACTAAAACGATTGGTTCTGCATACTTGTTTGCAGGCCTGAATAAATCTGTTGTTTAAATTGATTATATACAGTGTGAAAAACCAAAACACTCAATTATTAATGGTTTGGGAGACCTTCATGTGTAATAAAAATAAGTTGATATTTATATTATTGTTGTTAAATTTATTATAATTATTTTCTTCTTTTCGTTATTATTATTTCGTTCACATACCAACCAAAATTGTATTTTTTGTAAGAAAAAACTTCTGTTTTGATGGAGTCTATATATATTATATAATGTATAATTACTACACGTTGTTATTTTTTTTTTTTTTTTTTATAATTATTACCTAGGTAGCTATTACCTATTATTTTTACATATAATTTTCCTTATTGCTTATGTCAAGGTCGAATTGAATGAACTTCTGATTTTGAAGAGAAGGTAAAATTAAATACTTATTCCTGATCAGTAAATTTGTCCGTTTTTCCTACACAGCCTTTTCGTATTTTCCCAATTATTATGAGTATTATTTGAAAAATCAAAAAATTGCCTTCTCAATGCACCAATCCAAAATTCAACAAAAAAGTTATTTAAAGAAAAACAATTTTAAAAACACGGATATGCTTCGTACGATGAGCAGGTCACTGTTGTAGGTGAGAAGACGGGAAGGTAGGATATAGAATGAAATTTAATGAATTTTTGTTTGCAACAATTAATCTTTGCTAATAAAAAACGATTCTAAGCGGAGTTCGGTTATACATGTTTTAAATATTTACGATTTTCGTCAAAATTTAATATTAAAATTCTTAAAAAAAAAAAAAATACTACGTTAAATTAAACTTTTTCTTGTTTACCACAAAGTACAACTTATAATGAACCTTTTTTTAACCATATTCGTTTGGTCTAACAATTTTATCCACTGAGTACCTACTGAATATATATTACGTGGAAAACTTGCAAAATTAGTATTGATTGTTGACGTGTACTGATTTATCACCATTTATCTTAATTTTCCAACGTCTCGTTCAGGCAAAGACATTTTCAATTGATTCTTGTAACTTATCAGTTGCAGTTAGCTGCTTCTTACTTGTTGACAAAACTGCCGTATCATCGTTAAACATAGTTATCGTTATGTTGTCATCGTCTAGTATATCAGCTGTGTAGAGTAGGTGCAGGATAGGTCCTAAGATACTACCTTGTGGTACTCCAGCTGATATATTTTTTCATTCGGTTACTGTTTCTTCATGAATGACTCAGAATTGACAGTCAGTTAAATATGATTAAAAAGTGCACACTAGGTATGTGGCAGTTGATCAACAAAATTTGATGAGGAAATCTTTATGCCAGACTTTGTCAAAAGCCTGAGCTACATCAAGGAACACTCCACAACAGTAATATTTTTCTTCAAGAACTTTACTTATAACGTTGGTGACGCGTTGGACTTGATCGATTGTCGAATGTTTGTTGCGGAATCCAAACAGATGATCCGGTATAAGATGTTTTTTTTCTATGATTAGTTTTAAACGTTTAAGTAAAAGTTTCTCTAAGAATTTAGACAAATTTAGAAGGAGTAATATCGGTTGGTATGATGTGATATATTTTAGTGGTTTTCTCGGTTTAAACAACATAATCACTTGTGCCCGTTATCATTGTTCTGGAATGTATTCCAAGCATAAAATAGCATTGTATATGTGCGTAGAATTAATGATATCCTTCTTTGAAAGCTCTTTAAGTATTTTTGTACTTATTTCATCATAGTCTGGTGCTTTTTTTAGGGTTTATGTTGTTATCTTTAGCAACTTCAATGGAGTGACATTTTTATTATATTTACGTTATGGATTAAGCTGTTGACATTCTACAATATCAAGTTCAGAGTCCATGTCGTGTGGTAGAAATACGCGTTCAAGGTGTCGAGCGTAAATTTCTGCTTTATCTTGTTCGCTGCGAGCCCAGGGCCATGTTCTTTGCGGATGGGTAGTACCTGAACACGAGGTCTTTTCATATGTCTTGTGGCTTTCTATAATGAATAATCTGTATTATCCGTTGCAGAGACCACTTACGTATGATCTGAAAGTTTCTTTTTTCCTTTTGTTAATTTTGTTATGAAGTAAACAGCTATGTCTATTTTTTCATTTTACATAAGATGTTCAAGTTCTTGTTTTCGCTGTAGAAGCCCATTGGCATTCCATGTAAAAATTCGAAATGTCCTACTCATTTTCTATTTTTTTGTACTTTGTTTTTTGATTGGTTATTTTCGAGCTTGTTCAATATCTGGTTTATTCTTGTTAATTTTACCATCAAGTCGAAAATCGGTGGAACATTTTTTTCCTGTTATGTATGAGGTTAAGTTTGTGGACCCTTATGTTTGTCATCCGAAGATCTTGCCATCTGTGCAAAAGAAACATTTTGAGTCTTTGGTTTCGCAGGATTTTGTTGTATTCTTTCTACTGCTGATATTTTTTTTGGATGACATTTTTCTATTGGGTTTTTAAAAACAGAGCATTTTTTCTAATTTGAAGTGTGACCTTATCTACAATTTGCTTATTTAGCCATTGATATTTTAGTTTTGGTGCAGTGAAGTGAAGTATATCCTTTACACTTTTTGGTGCTTTAAAACAATAGTTTTGAGTGTGACAAAAAGTTTGACAATTTTTGAATTGTGGAATTTCATTTTTTTTCTTGGAGGTTCCACATTAATTAAATGATAACAAAAATTTTCAAGATCATAAATGTCTTTGTTATTTACTTGTGGTTCCAGATCAACGAAGAATAGTGGAAGCCTCACAATAATAAAATCATTGCCTTTATTGTTAGAGTCAACTTTTTTTTTTAATCTGGATATTTGTAACATTGTGTACAAGATGACCTAATTCGGATACTTAATTTTTAATTTCGCAAAAAGTCGGTTTCAGGGTGTAATCCACGAACCACCCGGAACTTTTTCTCTGTTTTAAGTTAGTATCTGTAGTACTTAACTTTTGGTTCTTGTAACACTTTTATAGTTAGTCGCTCGTTAGTATCTTAATTTCATCATTTTCCAAGGTTTTAAAAATCATTTACACCAAATACATTCAGTGTATTGGAAGTGGTTTATGAATTTTTATATAAGTTCTCGCAATTTCTTTCATCACTTTTATTGCTTTTTTAGAGGGGCTCAAATTAACTTAAGAGATCTCAATGGTCATTTTAGAAATCTGAAGTTGACATTTTTCATTGTTCGATTGTCATTCCGTTATTATTTGTTTCAAGGCTAAATTGTCATTTTGAATTTATGTCCAAATACTCACATTAGCTGCAATATTTTGTGGCGTTTATATTTTTATACATTGTAATACGATCAGTTTACGCGTAACCCACTTAAAATATGTTTGTTTATAAAAACTTACCGTAGCCGTTTTCTGTATTATAAACATTGACATAAAAAAAAAAAAATAATAAAACGAATAACTGAAACAGTACTATTTCACGATATAAATATAAACTCATGAACAATAATTATATTATTTGGTGTATACATTATATAAGTATAAGTAATTTAGATTTTACATTATTTTTAGATTCTGAATGAAGAGAGGAATGTATTGGTTTTACAATGATATTTATTATTTATTTTTTTATGTGAACAATTTTACTACCAGAAAGCATACTCTTATTATCAAGTATAGCACCTTTTCTGAAAGAAAATGTTTTCTGGGTTGCACTTTAGATTTCATGTGACTTATCAAAAAGACGCCCTTCAATACACTTAAAATTTTTTTTATTGTAATGTATTATTTTAAATTTTGTTTTTTTTGTTGTGATTAAGTTGAAAATATATTCGTGAAGACTTTGGATTTGGACAGAAAACTTATAATTGTCTTTTCTAGACGTACCTAGTAAAATGTTCAAAAAATTGTTTTGCCATTTATGAGCTATTTATAGACATTTTAATTGTTTTACATAATTTTTATTCGGTGGGTACTCAATGAATAAAATTGTTAGACTAAACAGAACTGCTTGAAAAATTGTAAATCGTACCTACTAGTCAACAAGAAAAAGTTAATTTTAATGTAGTATTTTTTTTTATCAAAAATTTTAATATCAAATTTTGACGAAAATCGTAAATATCACAGCCTTTTAAACCGTATGTAACTGAACTTCAAAATTGTTTTTCGTTAGCAATGATTAATCGTTGCGTACAGAATGATATAGGTACATTAAATTCCCTTCTATATCCTATTTTACCTTCTCAACCATTCTCATATAACAGTGGCCCACCCATTGTGCTAAGTATGTTCGTCTTTTTAAATAATGTTTTTTTCGATTTTTAATGGTACCTATTATATGTTTGGTAATTTAATTTTTTTTCTTTATTGTTGTGTTGTCGACATATTAACATTTTATCGGTTGAGATCATCGATGAGTTAAGTTTAAATCAAAGCTAATTATTATATTAAATATTATAATGTATTTGGATATAATTTATAACATAACGCATATATACCATTTATTATATCTATGCTGATTTTTCATTAGGAATCATCAGCAGCAGCATCAATGCTTTTTTTTATAGATCGAACATTAAAGTTAGATGTAGGATTGTATTTCAAAACTGAATGTTCAAAGGTCAATTTTAACGAAAAAACTGAGTGTGTGTACTAAGAAAGAAAAAAAAATATTATATACCTATATCTAGTTTAAAATCTAAGTTCGAGTAAGTCATTACTGTATTGTAGTCTTTTAAATACAAATAATACAATCTTAGGGAGGGTTAGTTGGCACTCCTTTATAGTACCTAACTTAAGAATAAGAAGAATAACCCCGCCATGATGGACTTGGGCTCTGATCCTGCCGGCTTGGTTGCCCGTTACGCCCATATTTTCATGGTCCGATTGGGAACCGACCGGTCTGATGTCACGAATCATAACTCCGAATCATCGCGGTTCAGAAGTCTTCACCGAGTCTGCCTGTGCGCTTTTGTTGGAGGTATAGCCCGCAGAGCTGGACGTGTAGGTTTAGGTCTTGAGACAGGTGAGGTCACAAGCAACGCATCTCTATGCGTCTCTATGTCCCTATCACGAAAGACAGAATAGTTAACTCTCATCAGGATGTAGGAAAAATGACCACTGAAAAAAATCTGGAAAAAAAAATAATTCGATAAAAAAAACACTCCCGCTAAAGTAGTATACAGAAAAAATACTCACGGAATTAATAGTCGTTATTAGTGTCATAAAACTGTTAAACAAATTTTGAATTTCAGAAGTACTGTACTACCCTACTAACTATCATTGGTGTACATTCCAAATTTAACATCTTATTTTAAAATAGTGAAATAGGTACCCATTATACTTGTACGAACTTTTAATAAATTGCATTTTTCTTGTCAGCTTATTGATAAAATTATTTGAGTGGTTTGTGTGAAGTGCATTTTAATTGGTTTATATTATTTGGTATCTACTTAAATGTTATCATTGATTACAAAATATATTAGTATAAGTAGTACAATAAACGATTAGTACCGTAATTAAGATGAGACGAGCGAAGCACTTGCTTCAGATGCCTTAGTACAAGGGGGCACAAAAATATCAAACTTATAATAGACTATAATACAACATACATGAAGCTCCATACATTTGGAGGAGAGCATTATAAGGGTTTGCCTTATATTAAATAATTGTTCGGTACTGGCTCTGTAAATAATGTTACGCAGTCATCCTAACTACCTTAAATCATGGTTATACATTTAGATAACAAACCATTGTATAAGTAGGTGTCTACGGTTTAGTGTACCTCTTCATTGAGTAGGTTACTGTAATGGATGTATTAAATTTAAATTTAATAAAACAAATCTTGATTTCTTAGTCGATATGTTAAATTTATTTACAATAATATTTTTTCTGTATGTTTTTTCCGCAATTCCTCTTAACAATATATACTACTTTCTTTCCGTTATATTGTATTATGTTTATATTATTAAAACAATCTTGTAATTTAATGGGTCCAGCATTAGTAAATAGTAGGTAGGTCTCTACAATAGAGATATACTAGGTATATTTATACCAGCGGTTCCCAAAGCGTGTACTGCGGTGTCTATATTGGGGCGCCGTGTCACCATGTGTAATATTTATTGGTCTAAAAATAATTTTGAAACAAAAATAACTGCAGAAATGGTGACGCTGGCGTCCATTTTTAGGTTTTTTTCTTGAAAAACATTTTTTTGGTTAGTACAAATGTTCCAAATTATACGCACTTTACTTTAGCAAATGCAGATCTTTTGACCAGTGGTACTTAATTTTAAAACAAATATCTAGAATCTCAACAGTATTTCTAAAATTTAAAAAAAAACTTAAAATATCGGTTTTATTTTTGTCAATATTTTCGCGGTTATCTCTTAGTTATATAAATTGTATTTTGATTTTTATTCTTGTGCGAAAAAGTATTACGGTTTTAAACAACAATTTGCTCCGAAGTATACTCTGGCCTTTTGGAAAATTAAAAAGGAAAATACGGCTTCCTAATAATAAAATGTAAACGTGTTTGTAATTATTAATATGTGGTATCGAAGTATTATAATGAGAATTTAAGTACTTGCTGTTAATATCAGCTTATACTCTCGTCATCATACATCAATACCAATTACGACAAAATAGATCTATTCTGTCATGGCTATTACCTACTACAGTTAAGTATATTTTGTATGTTTATAGTGCATTTGGATTGGATAGATTAGATAACTATTATTCGTATTTAGTTGGATGAATCGAATTATACATAAAGGATAATATTATTAAAGTATGGAAATGTGAACATTATTGTAGAATAGTTTTACCCTCCATAATATAAAAAAAAAAAAAAAAACACATTTCATATTATTTTTAATATAATATGTCTCCATCACAGTCTGAAGAAAATAACTGAATTTGACAAGGCATATTATATTTTTTTTTTTTTCATTTTTGGTCCTTGGTCAATTCAGTTTAATGTTCTACATGATTGCATAAAATAACCTTGAACACGTCCATGTATCTTCTTCGCATACAGAGCGTTCTTGTTCGTTGGAAGGTAGATAGCCGGTAGGTAGGTACTTGATCTCAAATAACCTTTTTTTCGATAATAATTTAAAATGCAATAAGTAAATATTCTATTTTTCTATTGTTTACTTATCTTCAAGATTTGTCAACACTCTTTCAAATTTTAAGTTTTATTTGTGTGCTTTATAATTATAGTTTCACAATTATATTTTATTAAACCATTTAAACCTATATGTTTCTATGAAATATGAATTCCATGACAGGAATTTCCCAACTATCGTTTTTGAAATATTTATTTTTTTTTTTATTGATTAAAACCTATAACCATAGTGTAATACTCATAGTCATATATTACTAATATTATTGTGACTTTAACGCGGATTAAGTAATGAACATGAGTATATCGGAAGAAAAACAAGTTACGAAGGTTGGATAAAACGATTAATTTAATTCATATTTGTACGCAGTAATAAATCATTGCCAATGAAAAACGATTCTGAGCAAATTAAAAAAAAAAATCGAAATTTATGAAACACCATTATTGTAGTACATTTTCTAACGGGTTTTTCCCAATCATCAAGAAAACTACAAAGAAAATCAAAAAATATCGTCTTCATCTACCAACTAGATACAATTTTCTTTTTAAAAATTCTACACTTTTATTTTAGTTACTTACAGAAACACAAAAACATATATTATTGTAAAACCAATATTATCCTATTTCCGTTCAAAATCTAAAAACCACATCATACTCAAACCAATACATTCTTAACTGCGATCAGAACCTAAAATTTGGTGTATTTAATATTGTATTATTTTCCGTTTAAATGTTTGACTTTTGCCATACACATCAATAACACGGCTTTATTTTTAATTATGCTATACTATTTATGTAAATATTCACAAACTAAATTATATTATGTATAATTATTTTAATATTTATGCAAGACCGAAAACTTCACGATCCCCCAAACATTACTAAAATACGGTGACACTGTTTTTTATTAGTTTTAATCCAAGTCACAGATATGAATTTCAGCCGACAAAATAATATTGTGGTAGGTAACTGAATTCAGTGACGTGTCCAGGAATTTTCAATAGGAGGGGATGTAGCAAATAAGAATCGTGAATTAATTGTAAAATTATTTTTTCTTCCCAACTTGACTATGTGAATTCAAAAACCAGATCCTAAAAAAAGCCAATTTCTAATGAATACATCAAACTTTTGCTTGTAACTTGGCTGAAATATATGTATTTCAATATTAGATTACTCATAATTTGATGTATTTTTAAGCCAATGGGGGGGGGGATATAACCCCTCCCTCTCTCTCTCACCTGCGCACGTCATTGTCTGAATTCGGTCTATTATTATATCATACCTGTACGCATTATAATTGTTACTTTTTATAAATCATATTACAATAGCTAATTATATTACGGATTATTCTTAATATTATAATATCTATTTTATCAGCTATGCGTGTATGTTACTTTGAAATGTAATTTATACCGTCGTTTGTGGTCGTAAAAATCCGGATCTCTCTTTAGAAAAAAAAAAAAAAAACAACACAATAAATCGGCATAATATTATTATACGTTATTCCGTGGTGCGTAAATACCTACTTCTCGGCGAAAATAATCGGTTAGATAGATCTTTCGTACATATTATTAGTTCGCTGGAACAAGACACGCAATTGTATGATTTATGTAAAACATTTATGTTATTTGCACGTGCAGTCTTGCTTAATACATTAAACGATTAAAACCATGAGAATACCTATAATAATTTATAGATAGGTACTTCTACGCATATTATAATAAAGTATAATAATAACTATTAAGGGAATAAGGGGTTCAATATTATATGAGTATGTGACATTATATTAATTTATCGGATTATGTTCAAAGTATTATAATTTTGTACGAAAAAAAAAATCGATCAAAATTTAATTACGAGCTGCGCATAGTTAAACATTATAGTTACAGTATATTATGTGTAATGTATATAATTATTATCCTACATTATAATATGGTGTCGGCTAAATTCGTTGACGACGTAATACATAACGCATTTAAAATCAAATAGAAATTTCAAATAAGACAATGAGGATAATCATTATAGGTAAGTGGTACGTGCATTGGGTACTTAAATTATGTATTTAATCTAATATTGGGTGGAAATCAATTCATTTTTATTTTACATTTTGAATGGAGCAAGTTAGTATAGTTAATAATAAGGTATAGATAGTTAAACATTTATTTTTCCGGTTAGTAAAAATGCTCATATTTTTTCACGCAGTACCTTAAAAAATTCGGACTTTTTGTTTGATGGTATTAATCTACTTTATTAATTTTTCTAAACAGATTTTCCAACAATTTAAAAAAAACTTGATGATGATATTGCTGATAGGTGTAACTGATAGTGTACCACTTATAGGTGGGAACTGGAAAGTTGGTAAGGTTAGAAACATAAAGTTATTTAATTTATAACTGTAAGCAACGACAAAACATTGCTAACGAAATATAATTCCGTGCGAATATATATAAATAGTACAAAAATAATTTATCAAACATATATTATGTTGCATACAAGTATATTAAAGATATTCTAGAATTGCTAAATGGCAGTAATGATAATTTAATTACCGATATATTGTTTTTGTGTACCGATCTTTTTCGGTAAACCAATATTACGTTATTTCATGGTAAATAACGTTTTCCGATAAAAACTAATAATTTGATAAATACCTTTTATTAAAGGGTGGATTCAAAACTTACCGATTGCTATTTAACAACTTTATAACTAGTTCTAGCATTTTTTAACTGGCGTTTACCTATCAAAAACATAACTAGCAACAGGTTGCATTAAGTATAGTATTATATGTTATACTTATTTAGCATTTTCTTACTTATATTTATTTAAATATGTTTTCAGTTAGATGCTACGGTAGTTATCGAAAAAACGGTGTATACCGAAATGCTGTATTTACCGAAACAGCGGTATACCGGTATGCCGAAAATACCTCTAACTGATAATCGTAATCTTAAATGATAATTAATTATTGTTAAGTAATAACTAAGAAGTAATAACGATTGTATTAAATTAATACCGTACACTAACATTTGTGTACTCAAAACATTCGTAAATATACGTTTATTATTTTGAAATTCGCGTGGTAAAAAATACATATTTTAATGGCTAACATAACTTATATTAATTGAACGAAACAAGGTCATATTAGTATATAAAGGCTATTTATATATATATTTGAAAAATTGTATGTACATAAATTGGTATGGAAATGTGAAAATTATGAACGTTTAATTAAGCCCTAAAGGACTTTTGTATTTGAGTGATGAGAAGGTGATTAATAACTGGTAGTGCATAATCATGTACCGGGTCTAAAAATATTAGAAATCCATAATTTGGTTAACCAAGTAAAAGAAATGGCTACCAAACATCCTGAATTAAGACTACGAGCAGTTCTAAGTTTAAGTTCAACATCATTAAGTAAACTTTTACATGTTGTAAATATTGTATTATTATAGTAAACGTTATTAATATTTTTAAAATTTACATTTTTCTAACAATTTCTGAATACTTTGCTTTAAATAATTACCGAAATTAAATTCACTTAAACGCACGATTGGGATAGTATGAAATGAAAAAAGCGATTTTTCCTCCCGATTCAAAATCATTCAGTAAGTAATTTGCTTTAGAGTTATATTGCCCATAATTTTAAATTTTGTGCTATTTAGATTTATATATTATGTAGAGTATTTTATTTTATACAGAAAAATAATTGACATTTATTTGCACATTCATTTGCTGCACTAAAAACCTCTAGGAGTCTTAAATTTATAATAAATATAAAATAACTTGTCTTGACTGATTCATCATCGTCTAGCCCAAACTACTGGACGGATCGGGCTGAAATTTGGCACACAGATAGCTATTATGACGTAGGCATCCGCCTGAAAAAGAATTTTTGAAAATTCAAGCCCTAAGGGGCTAAAATAGGGGTTTTTTGGTATCTTTGGTATGAATATCTAATTGCTTATTTATTTATTTATTTTTGTTTGTTCAAGGGTTACCTTGGTGATACGGATGATAATTTGGTTGTTATGGATAAGAAAATTATTATAATTATTACTATTATTCACACTATATAAATTTCATTGTATGTCACTTTTAATCCGCCGGAGATGGACTACCCACTTTTTACCTAAATGTTTTTATTCAATTCTGATACGGTCAAAACCAAAATAATCCAGTAAAAAAAATATACAAATTGGCACAAATTGACGCCGGTCACGGCACAACTAGTTTATAGTAAAAAAAAAAAAATTTCTCGCGGTGAATTGTCCCGCGATCAATTAAAACCAATAGAACAACTGATTACTACTTCACCTATCTTCATCTATCCAATCTAAAAATGAAAACTGTTATAACTTTACAAGACTCACCTATTCTTCAAAAAAAGCTTCTGGATCAGGTTATGAAAAAAAAATTATAAGTCAACAAAATAATACATACACATTTGCATACCTTTTAAATCGCGTTTTACTTATTGACTTAGTAATTTACCTGATGAAAAATGTTTAATTCGAAACCGGTCGTACAATACACATATCATAATACTCCAGGCAACGCATTAATTAATTAATTAATTTTATTTTTATTTCTACATATAAGTTATTTATTTATTATATTCCTTTTAAATTGTTTGAAAAATCGAGAAAAAGTTATATTTTTAACTTTATTAGATGACCGTATATGGTAATTTTTAAGATGATAAAAACTCATGTAGATCAAATCTTAAAAAAGCTCCCCTAACTTGATACAATAATGAGTGACTATTTCCATATCTCATGTAAGAAAATGTAGGTATGTCGTATTGCATGTGTGCGCACCGTAAGAATTAAAAGTTTGAAAATTACCTAGAATTGTATATTTTAATATCCCCTCACCTTCCAAAAAACAGTCCACTTCGATTTAAATCCATCCAGCTGAAATATATTATGTGTTAGAATTTCAATAAAACACACCTAAATATTAGGAAATTAATGTAGTTTCATATTTGAGTTTTCAAGATTCAATACCTTTCCTACTGATTATGTACATTTATAATATAGATTAAAGTTTTATTAAAATACATATAGGAAATTACAAGTAATTCCTATAAATTTAAATATGTAAATAATACACTGAAACCAAACGAATAAATTAGCTGTTTTTTTTTTCGTAAAACGAAATTGGTTTGAGTTCAATAATACAGAACAAATCTTGTCCAGTTGATAATTTTAATAATTTGTTTAATTTAGTCCGGTGTATTAAATTACATCAAATCTATAGTATCAATAAAATATTTTTTACTCAATACTTCAAGCAATATCTATTCGTCTAATATAATATTATTATTTGTCAATGTATACATGTAAATTTAGAAAGGTTTCATTTTGCTCGTAACAAATTGAAAAAAAAAAAAAATCGAAAATATATATTTTGAACTTGAACCTTTAATCACATTGTCTAGGTCTAGTGCTGTTGACCTTGCTATGGTATTCACTTTTCTTAGATGTTTTTTCTTATTTTTTTTTTTCTTGCTAGGATTGTAATACAATTATCAACCATAATTTTTGTTTGTAGGCATGCGTGTAACAATGAAGAAAAAGTAGGTATACTAACTTCTAAAATTGATAAAAATAAAAAAATAAACAATACTAACAATAATCCAAACATACGTTACCATTACCATAACGACCATTGATGATGACTCGGTCATCAAAGTGATATGCGGTCCCTTGACCTTCGGGTTTCCCCCTCCGTGCCCCTTTATCTCCCGCCAGGAGTAGGTACCTAACAACCTACCTATACCTACACCATTCCAACTCATATTGACGCGCAGCTATCTATGTGCCGGTTATACCTAAACGTACCAGAATCTGAATATTAGTGTTTACTCGCACTGGGTTCTGGATGCATGACTCTACGTGATCTATCCAATAATAATATTATATTGTATTACAGTACTTATAAATATCATATGTTATTATATATTTTTCAACGGATTTTACACTTCAACAATAACAGCTACCGTATGTGTGAACAAATATTGATGAGCTTGTGTCCACATGATTCAAATGGTACGTAATTGCATACCTAGTTATAATATTAATTAAAATTTTAAAAAAACGGGTTTACCTACACTTATTTTTTAATATATAATATTTTAAATTTACGCAACTTTAATACCTACATATTATATTTATATATATATAGTATAGTGAAACGCAATTGGCAGCATATTATAAGCTTAATAATTAAAATATGAAATCGATAAAAAATTAAATTCAATATATATATTATGTATTTTGTATTTATAATGTTCCTAACTTTTTATTACTACAAAAAATAAAAATAAATTGCAGTTTCGCTGTTAGACCCACCTCTGGAAACGGGCTCGTAAACACATAATATAAGTAGGGTTATCATCAGAAATAGCATTTTGAAAGTTAATTCGTTTTATGTGATATATTCATTATGTTATATTGAAATAAATTACATTCAATTGTATGCATTTTTCATTGGTTCAAAATAAGTAGCTAACACATACCTTCACGTATTATAAGTAAAAACCACAGATAGAGTGAAAATAAATTTCATTGAATATATTTATAAAACATGATAAATGTTAGGTACCTAACATTTTGAAAGTATAATACATAATATTATGCACATGTATAATATTTATTTATTGAAACCAATTTTCCATGATTTATTTCATGTAAGGAATTTGCCTACACAAAACGCCTCTTTAAAATTCTATTTTATGAAAATAGTTTTGATTCATAACTATTTTAACTTATAACATTTTACTATTATTAAGATTAAAGTACTTTTTTTGTTCACGGTTTTTATTTGTAATTAAAATACAAACAATAATTTATAAGCATTTAAAAATTATGTAGGTAAATATAATTTTATTGTTTAATGTATTTTTTATGCTTTCTATTTTATATCACTATATCAGAATATTAAAATAAAGTAGGAATAATTATTACAAAACGAGTCTGAATAATAAATGTAATAATACTTCGAACGAAAGTAATATTATAAAAATAAAAATCTGTTTATTTGTTTATAGCGAAAGAAAATATTATGTATGGTTATTTTTTTTTATCGCTATTTTTGTGTAATAAACAGTAAATAATAATTATTATATTGTTATGTTTAGACACTTACATATAACTTATATAGGTACCTACCGATAAGACAATTCTTTTTGCCTGACAAATAAGTATGTTTAATAAATGAATGTAATACTATTCGAAACAAGAACTTTTTACTATATTCATCTTGTACCTTGTAAAAATTAAAGTCTGGAATTAAATAGTTTAGATTTCCCCCTCCCATACCCTATTATGGAATTGGATACGTAACATGAACGTTTATACATTAATTTTTCAAGAGAATATATTCGTATTTAAAATATATAATATGTGTTAGAATTAACTAGTATTATAATTATTTAATTATTTAATTATAATATATAATTATTGTGATTATAAAATATAAAGTATTTATTCTAATAACTACAATAAGTTTTGTAATATTCAAAATATTTGATTACTTATGAATGAAACGACAAAATTATTTTTTTTTTTAAAACAAGAGTAGGTATACCTATCTTAAAAACTTCACAAAAATATACTTAAACTTGTAGCTACTGAAAATATAAATAATATTATGCTGAGAATTGTTTATCAAACACCACGAATCGTGATTTATCGCTGTTTTCAATATTAAAAAAAAAAAAACCAAACATCATGGCACTCATTAGTCATTTTAATGTTCTATAATTTATCTATTGTATAGTAGTTTTGTAAAAAAACTGCCATTAGTTCGAAAAGAAAAAAAAAACTCGTGTTTAAAAATATAATTTTGATTTTTGATTGAAATATGTTTATTTTTTCTAAATTTAATTGAATATTCATTTATTGAAACTTGATAGGTACGTAGTAGGTAACTACTTTATAGTTTATATAGTTCAAACAATATGTATATAAATCAATTTGAACAATTGAAGTTTACAACATACATAAAATGTATGTTTTACGTTAATTACAAAACAGAAAATTTGCTCGTGAATTCTATATTTTAGTCTTTAGGCTAAATTATAAGTTACTTATTTTATTGTATTTTTAAATATTGATTATTATCGTGTCTGTGCGTTTAAGTAGGTTTAAACGTTTATGAAACAAATTTTTTCCTTATATAATTATTATAATAATATTAGTAGTACGTACGACATAAAAACGGGATTTAAAAAAAAAAATTAAGTTTTCTTGCGGAAGTGCCAAATTTTATCAGATAAACAAATTCTAACTTAGATGAATATTGATGATCAAGTATTTTAGATTTAAGTTCCACGAACAGAGTTCAATAATTTGTGTAGGTTGTTAAGCCACAGAATGTACTTGTTTTCCGTGGACACGCCGCGGCGCGCGCGCCGTACATCGTCATTAATAATAATACGATTTTATAAAATTAATTTGAGATGACGAAAGTATTAATAAGGTGGTATATAGGGTTGTGGAAAAATAATGTACTTATACGCCTAAGTATATTCTATATTTATATACTTATAGATATTGTGAAATCTTAATAAAATAAATGGCCATTTAATTACTACTAATTTTAAATTATGAAAAAACAGGTTTTAAAGGTAAACTACAACACTATATTATTATAATAGACAATTATTATTATGTACGTTTGTGTTTTCATTAGATATTCAAATGTAAAAGAAGTGTTTGACCCTAAAATTACGTTTTTATTTAATTTTCTCTATTATACCACCGTTAAAATATTTTTTCTCCCTCCGTCTCCTTCAAAAAAAAAAAAATGTTAAAAACAGTTTTCAATTATTTAGAGTCCATGTTATAACAATCAAGTTTTATTTTTCATGTTAGGTTTTAATTTTATTACTACAATAAAATTACTTTAATATAGATTTCAATTTTTAGATTTTTTATATCCAAGGTGTAATTCAAAGAATTAAGTATTATGCCAAACAAATTGTAATATTCCTATTCAAAAAAAGTGTAGACCAAAAAAAAACTAATACTGTTGGTATGTTTAGTGTAGGAGCAATTTAACATTAAAATAATAATAATTTATACAGAAAAAAAAATAAAAAAATGAAAAGTATACTTTATGTAAAAAAACATACTATTAAAAAAACTGTTTTTTTTTTTTTTAATAAATTCATAAATATAAACTAATCTATAAGTTTTATTATTGAAAATCTAGTTAAAAAAAAAAAAAAAAGCAGTCAAACAACATAATAGTAATAAAATGTATACTAATATGATAGTTGGTATAATACTGTTATAATTGTATCGTATTCACTGTTCAAGGACTGTCTAATTTAGGTCTACATTATAATTTAATTGAGGAGGTTTGAAAATGAATAAAATATAACTGCATTTACATACCTATGTGTTTTATTTTTAATAACAAATCATTTATAGTACCTACTTAATAATTTAGATTTTAGACGATCTATATATATAATCACTAAACACTGGTCAAACACTATTCGTTTCTGTATAATGTTATGTATATACATACATATACATAATTTTTAAAACCAAAATCTAAAAGGAATTATAAAAATGTATTTATTTAAATCTAAAATTATATGTTTATCTGTTAACATTAATTTTCTTAATGAGCTACCTATTTGAATTTTATTATGTATTAGATACTCTGTACTAAATAAATGAAATACAAAGTACATACACCGTAAAGTAACCATATATTATAAACAAAAAACGATTATGATATAACTATTAAAAAATACGACCATGACGGGGTAGGCCGTAAGCATGACGTCTCAGCTGTACTCTGTACTTAATTATTTTTAACATATAATATAAAAGTATTTTTAGGCCACCACCACCACCGTGAATCTTAAATCTTGTGGTAGCAGTTGCTACCTCAAAACCCTTTAGTGTTTGTGGGAAAGCAAAGCAAAGGTAGTTCTTTCACAGATCGTAGTTTCAAGATAAAAATTAAAGAAGATACTACCTAAACCAAAACTTTGCTAAATTTGAAAGTTTGAAATCAACAGTGATTAATTATGTGATTCAAAAATCAATTAAAATAATACATTTTGTTTTTATATTACTTCAACTTGTATTTCAAATCGACATCAAATAGATATAAGATCATATTGTGTATAATATAATTTATGGTGGGTAATTTCTTCGTGTGATAATGCTAATGGTTGTGCTATTGCTATAGGTGGGAAAGTAGATCCATGCAATTTTATAATTCAATCAATAAAAATATATAAAGATAAATCAATGTTAATTAAATACGATTTTGAACTAAGTTCGGTCAAACATGTTTTGAAATTCCATGACTTTTACCATTTTCGTCAAAATATAAAAAAAATAAAAGCTTGTTGAAAAATTACAACATTACGCTTAACTACGCTTTTTAAACCATTAAGAATAACTTACAATTCATAATAAACCTTATGTTAAATTATTTTCAATCTTTTTGTCTTGGCTCAAAAATTATATTGACATGAATTGAAAAATAATAGGTTCACGAAATGCCGCGTTATTTTTAAGATTTTTGTCAAATTTCGAACTTTAAACACACATAAAAAAAAAACTAGTACATTACGCTCAACCTATTTTTTATTTGACTATGAAGTACAAATTATAGTGAATCTCTAGTTAAATGTTCAAACATTTTTGCTTGGTCAAAAAAGTTTAATTAACATAAAACTAATTACGGGAATTAAACTTCCCCCCATTTTATTCAGACTTATTGCCTATTCGGATTTAGGACTGTCAGGTACAAATTATTGCTATTGGTAGGTTAAAAATATTGACTTTGGTCGTTGTTACGCAATTAAAAGTTTTAATCATCTCGCTTTGGATTATTACCAACTCAGTTTTTGTCTATTAAATAATTCAGCTGCATCTTTAATATGATTATGATCATTTGCACGGTCTATAATAATTTCGTTTTTATCATTTTGTTTAATATATGTATAATATGACTTGGACATTTTATTACAGTAATTTTTCCAACATTGTACATCAAATGTTTTGTATTAACTTTATTTTGTATCCATTTATAGAAAAAAGTTATATTTTTTTTTCACTTATTAAAATCACGGATTTCATTTTATCAATACGATTTAAAATCATGCCAACGTTTAATACTATCGTACACGTGCAATGTTTTAATAATACGAACTGCGACTAAACAGACGACACACGTACCCGCTAATAAAGAATAATCTGTGCAAAATAATAATTTGTATAAAACTGTGATTTAATCGCAAAGTATAATAAATGTATAAAATTATAACTTGCACGTAGAAAGGACGCAATTCGTGTGGTCGTTTAGAAAAACCCGGGACGCAATAATTCGTGTAGTCGCTTAACACATTTTGTTTTCTTATTTTGGGGCGCAATTCATATGCAGTCGAATTCTCCTCTCTCTTCGCCGACATGGTTGTACTTTTAATTAACCGTTAGCTAAATAACACGAGTACATCTACCCGGTGTAGATCTATAATAATACATTATTAATGCTTGAGTTATAAAATTCGAAAATAGTCACTGTGAGAAATTAGTGAAACACGAAAAAATAAATTATAGATATTATAGTTATTATTATTGACAAAAACCTGTATGTGACGGGCCGGCGGAAAACCCTAAGCGAAGCGGTCCACCTATCCCCGCCGGCCATCAGTTGCGGTCGATACGTGTAGGATCTGATCGGCAACAGGCTGACGGCATATGAATAACAGCCAACCGCAGTACCCAGGCGCGTTTATAAAATATAAACCGTTTAATATATTCATTAGTAATAGATCCAGTGAAAAACCAGTGATGCGGTAAATAATGAGGTGTTATAAAATTTCGCACTTGACTTTTAACTGTCTCAATAAATTCTCTTCGTTCATTTCGGTTAGGCGTTGGCGTCGGTGTTGTGTTTTTTCTCAAATCCCCCAATGATATGATCACGTTAAAGCCGTGGTTGATGCGGTGTAGTTGTGTATTTGTTACATACATTGTAGGCACCCAAGACTTATGCGCTTACGTATGTTTTTCTAACATTTATATTAATTTTTGTTTGATAACATCAATATTATGGCAGTTCGAATCACACATACCGAAAATAATCTTCATTTAACCTTCGAGAAAAAGATCGGATCTTTAATCATAATTGCAATACCGCCACGAAACCAATTGTTACACACGGATTAGCCATTTAATTCTGTTATTTGTAATTGTTATAATTGTCCGATATATTTTTCTGAACACTCAATACATATCGGAGTAGTGAACTTTTACTTCCCGTTGAGCTATGTTCATTGAACTGCTAAGTGCATTCAAATAACTCTACGATGAATGAATATGTAATAATATCTAATAATAACAATTAGTAGTATGTGATATAATACTGCAACGGAGTTCAACATAAAATTACGGCAATATATTTTTTAATAAGTCATCGAATAAAGCATGACAAAATAATACGTTTTTAGTTTTTCAATATTAAATTTATCACAGCAGTGAACAATAACGATATAACTGTATGTTATATTTGTTTAGATTCTTTTTTTTTATGCCTGTTAACACGTTTACCTGAAATCTTGCTCCAATCAAAAAACAAGATAGTTTTTTTTTCATAAAAATGTTATCTAGTTATCAGTTGTACAGAGTATAGGTTATTTTTTGGTTTTCCTTTTAGATCGTTTACTACGAGTTAAAAAAACCAAGAAAAAAGTCTGGAAAACGGGATAATTTTTTTAAAGATAATGATTATGTTTTGAAACCAAATGATTACGACGATATGATACGATGAATGATATGATAAATGACGTGATTTATAATAATAATGATTTGAACCCAACTTGTACAGGGGTACTTTACGCACCGCACAAATTTCAATGGGCGCTCGGGAACCCGGGCGCCCGTCTTCGTAGTGCCTATGGACATGGTAGAATTTTAAAAACATTCTGGTGTTTTTTTTTTAGCTGTTTATTGATATTTTAATTTTTCGAGTTTTTTCGGTTTATATGTACCTATATAATTATTTTTATTTCTCTAAAATGCATGAAAACTCGCTACAAGATTTAATATAAGTTATTCGTGTAGCACCATATAAATATCACAAATCCGTATAGTTACCTACGATTATTTTTAAAATCGTTTAAAAATCACTGCATTTCGCGTACTATTTTTCGATTTATGTGTGAATAAAATATTTTTGGCCGCATAAAAGTGCTCGACAATTTGAGAAAACGTTCACTATAAGTTGTTCTTGGTGGTTTAAACAAAGTGTAACGTAATGTAATGTTTTTTTTTTTTTTTTTATAAGCGTTTAAAATTCAAATTGTTATACAAATCGTAAAACTCGCGGAATTTTCGTTAGCAATGATTTATTGTTGTGTAAAATGCGTACACGCAGATATAAATTAAATAACTATATATATAATTATTATCTATAGTTTTACCTTCCCACTTTCCACCTATAACAGCGGAACACCTATCAGCATCGGCCCTTAATTTAAAATTTTAATACTTCCGATTTTGAATTTATTCTTATTAAAAATTAAGAGTTACAATTAATCGTTCATATTATATATGTATATACATTAAAGTTACCAAGCAACCAAATTAATTAATTTCATAGGTATTTTTTTTATGCATACTCGTATTGATATTTTATTTATTCTCTTTAGTTATTTTGAGTTTTTTCCTTCATACATCAAAGATGTATGGATTGAAGAAAACTATACGAGTGCGTCGCTTAATAATATCTACTGGCTACAATTTAAGATACCCCAATCGAATATTATAATTACATTTTAAAATTAAAAATAAAAATAGTTCTTGGCAATATAAATTTAGGAAATATTATATCTGCAAATAGTCTGCAGTAGATGATACCTGCAGCGGTGTTCCCATAGGGTATACTACATATATGCCGTATATACTTACAACATTTTATTGTATAATCCGTTCACACGACTTAAAAAGAAAACGAAATAGTTACGACAATTGTATTTATTTCAGTAATTATAACAAACAAATTCACAATTTTCTTACCTTTTATAGTACTTAAGTGTTTTGTTTTCGTAATTTTAATTTATCTTTTTTTTATGATTGTTATCTATTTCCCTATAAACAATACGTAAACCAAAACCGTACGAAAGATATAAAATATCCCATGTAAGGCGCACGCGGTGTTCTCTCAGTTTACTTTCAAAAAACTGATAGAAACACAACTAGGCGATGATACGCGTGCTTTGCACAGTGTTCCGTTCTTTCGAGTCTTGATAGTTTTATTTACGATATTTTTTACAATTTTTTTTTTTTTTTTTTTCGTAATATTTTACCCGGCAACAATTTTGACCAAACCGGTCGTTGTAATATTAATTATATTCGAGGCTCAAGGACGTATTATGTGTATATATTTATATCCATATACATTATATATTATATGCCTGCGTGGTTCTTTATATGTTCTTTATACACGCTTAAACGAAGTAAGTATTAAAATTTATTTAGAACAAATATATTATGTTTGCAGAATCACATCGATGTGTCCGCGGCACAATATAAGCGGATAGTATTATCGTCTGCGGCTTCGCGGTAAATCTGGTCGGTATAGCGTAGGTGTACCGCGTACCTATAATACTTAGGAATGAACAAAATTAACAACCATTTGAGTTATAAAATGGAAAGCGCCCAATCGACCAACGTGAAGTCCACCGACAACCGTAACAACGACGATTATTACAAAAACGTCAAGTTGGTTGGTTTCGCGAAGACAGACTCGGAAACCTTATCATCGTCCGGATACAAGAACGACGGATTTCAGTGGAATTCCTCGGACAATTTGTCGACGAATTATCCGGCCGCCTATCGCAGAGAAAATAACGTAGTTCCTAGTAAGTGTAAAACAGTAATAGTTATTTTTTTTTTGGTGGTGGTAGGGTTATAGTAGTAGTGTAGGGTAGTAATTATACATTTCAACCAGCAAATTTATTTTTAAAACAAAACAAAACGAAAAAATCGATTTATTATTGTTAATTATAATAAAACCGTATCGGGGAGTTTCGAATTATCATTAAATTACTATTGCAATAAAACCTATCTGTATACATAAATATATATATAAAGTAAGACGTCCGATACACTCACTCACTGATCAACGCCTAGCCCAAACTCTACTGGACGGACCGGGCCGAAATTTAGTATACAGATAGCTATTATGACGGATATTATGTCTGCTAAGTAAGGACTTTTGAAAATTCAACCCCTATGAGGTACAATAGGGGTTTTCAGGTATTTTTGGTACGGATATCGAACATTGTTTATTTATTGATTTTTGTTTATTCGTGTGTTGCCTTGGTTAATTTGGTTGTCACGGACAACCGCGTGTGTTTTGTATTAAAACCGAATCGATCAATTAATTGTAAAACTTCAATCATTGAATAGTTCTTACAGTTATTTTTAATATGATAGTGTATTATACAAAAAAACAACGTTTGTGTGCCTGTCCTTTTTTAGATCCAGAAACTATTGGACAGATTTTAACGGGGTTTTTTGCAAATTATTCCGCGTAGTCTGGAGAAGGTTGATAGCTATTGAAATTTCTAAAATTCAACCTCTAAAGGATAGCTGATAAGTATTTTGTGGTATAATTTTTGTTGATTGGGTTACCTTGGTAACAAAGTAAATATTATTTTTTATTTTATTTTTTGATTATGTGGTATCTATGGTATCTACTGAATATATTTTGTTAATTCAGCTACAAAAATAATAATAATAATAATAATAAAATCTAGCAATAGTAAAGCATTGCTGGAACAGCTTTATTATATAAAACGAGCGTTTGTCTGTATGTTTCTTATGGCTTCCTAAACCGATTGTGATGAAGCTTTTTGATCAACATTTTTCCGATAAGGTTATAGGCTTTAAGAGAGTCTTAATGCTCAACCCCTTCACCCTTAAAAATCATCCTTCGTAGTGAAAAACGATATTATTATTATAGGATTTTACATTTTGTTTATTTATTTACCTTGAAGACGCGAATCTAGCAACAAAGCCTAGCAAAATAACATATAGTCCGCTGTAGGACTACTTAATATCCAGTTATTTTTTTTCGTCTAAGATACTAAGTAAAACGGGAATAAAGGTAAAAAGAATTTAAAAAAAATAGCACAGGCAATGCCGGGCGGGGGACAGTTAGCAGTTTCAACACGAGTATTATTTTCTTATAACTATAACATAAAAACTGATAAATAAAAGTTGTAGATAACACAAAAATACTGCACACGGGTGAAGCCTGGTTATTCAGCTAGTTCATAAAAAATAATGTATTATTTTATTATATAATATTTTTAAAAAACTGCAATTTTTGATTATTAATTTTTAATATATCAAAAACGAGCTTCATTATAATATTTTGTATAATATGCATAATCGTTTGATAACTCTCTCGTATCGTCTATACTATATAGACTTATTCAGAAATATTGCGACACGCAAATAATAAAAATGAACCTTTCCTTTTATTTTTTTTTTCTATAATATAAATAATTCTACCATATTGTTGAAATTAAAATGTTATGAAATCGATCCTGAATCTCGCGATTAAATTAATCACTTATTTACATAACAGTAGAAGCGCTTAACGTTTTTAAAAACATTTTTTTTTTTTTTTTACAAACATTTTTATGCAATAATATTTTTGAACTATGTTCACTGTGCAGTTATAGTTGTCGGAAATGATAAGAATATAAAATATAATATTTCGAAAATTTCATCGTAATCGATACTTAAATGGCTATAATATTATACACGCATGCTTAGTTATTGAAATACTATATTTGTTATATATTATTATGTGTTATGTATTGTGTATTATTATGTGTTATGTATTATTATGTATTGTAAGTCGTACCTATCGATTAGTCGACATTAATACCGAATTTCTAAACGAATGAATAATTCATGTACCGTGTAGGCATATTAATGATATTAATATGAGATTCATATCAGATTCATTCGGTTCTAATAATTGTTATGGAATCTATACTTATTATATATGCGTACCCACACAATATAATAATATACAAAAATCAAATTAAGAAAAACTACCATTATACTTACGTCACAGTAGTTGATTAGTTACAGTTTTATAATTACGCACATTAATGTTATTGTTATATTAGAATAATAATGGTAGTCCGCAATCAAAAAGATTGACTATACATTCTATGGCTATAATATAGAAAGACTGGACATGAAAATAAACTTTTCACCTTTTTTATTAATTTAACTTAAGCCTGGATTCTGAGAGTAGCGAAGAAACTGTTATAGTTACTCGGTTGATTTTTATCTCGGAACACCCTTCTTCGATTAGTAAAAGTGATCCTATACCCTAAAAAATACCGACTAGGTGATAAGTTCGAACCAATTGTCTAAATTCCAATCAGTGTTTCCGAACAATTTTAAAACCAATATCAATTTTATTTTTGTTCCCTTGACTATAATGGAAAATTTTAATTTGAATAATATATACTATAACATTACTATATATTTTTTTTTTACATATATTTTTGTTATTGTAATGTTTGGTATTATTAAAAACCTACTGCTGCACCAGATTCACATGTGATAAAAATGTATATCAATTATTACTTGTTCAGTAATATTGTTGTTTTTTGTAATCTTGTTTATGTTAATTCCATACTTCCATCAAATCCCTATTGATCTAAAAGTTAAAATTATGTAGACGTGATACAATTTTCAATACATTTTAGCTATTTTCAAAAGGTACTTTATTAGTTATATTTAATGGTCTAAAAAAAAAATTGGAGTTTATTGCATTCGTTTTATTTTTCATAAGCGTTTTAAGATCAAACTTTGACGAAAATTTAAAAAATTACTGCATTTCAAAATATGTCTTACCGAACTTCGCTCTAAATCGTTTTTCGTTAGCAATGGTTTATCGTCGCATACAGATATAAATTAAACAACTTTTTGTAGAACTGGTGTGAAATTTCGTATAAAACTAACATATAAACCGAAAATGTCTAAAAATAACTTGTCCTCTTTCTCGTGACCTCTATTCATGAATGCATATGTATTTTAGATTCTGAGTGCAGCGAGATAAGTTATTATTTTATAATACAATAGGATACATTTTATTTGTTTTGTTTATATTATAATATTGTATTAACTAGTAAATAGTTAGATGTTACTTCAGTATGCGGTCTACTTAGTTCGAGCGACACAAAAATATCTTTATACAGTATGAAATTCTCTATACAAATATAATAATAAATGTACAAAATAAATTGATCATGATAATTATTTATTTTAGTTTATTTAATACCCATATCCCTGCAAACATTATAGGGTATACTTATTTACACAGGTATAAGGTTTAGATCTTCAGATTGGTATACAGTTTAGGTCTATATTAAACTGATTCGTATGTCAAAACGGAGCCGGTTGGCGTAGTGATTTATTATTACACGTGTAACCTTAAAAAATTAAAGACACTACAATTTAATAATACAAATACATCGGTGGTCCAATCACATGTATTTTTGAACAGTTTTAAGCATAGAAATTTAAAAATGTATGCAGAAACGTACTGGTAGACTGCATGTTGAATTAAAAAGCGGTAGACCACATATGAAAATAAAACCCTGTATAGTTATCTAAAATTGCATCATATAGATATTTTCTAATACATTTTTTAAGTATTTTAAGTATAAAAAAAGACAGACATATTTCGCACGATGGGGGGGCCATTGTTGTAGGTGAGAAGTTGATAAGAGGAATTTAATGCATATCATTAATAGAAAAGATTAATCTTTGCTAACGAAAAACTACTCTGAACAATGTTCGGATATATTTATTTAAAAGTCCAAAATGTTTAGGCTTTTCGTCAAAATCTATTTTTAAAATTTGTATTTTTTTATTTGTAATTTTTTTAAAAAAAAATCAAATTAAACTCAACTTTTTCTTTTTGACTACTAAGTACAATTTATAATGAAGCTCTTGTTAAATTACTAAGCATTTCTGTTCGGTCTTTTACACAAGCACACTATTTGAATGTAGATATTATGAGATATTATTGTGTTTACCCAATAATGTGTGCTGAGTTCTGTTCTGTGTAATAATTATAATTTGATATTCTCGGAAAAGACTATAGTTTTGAACATTTTCATGTACGTACACAAAAAAAAAAATATTTAGGGGATTCATAGAAAATGTACAGTAATCAATATTACCAACATTATATCAATATTTATAAAAATATTAAATTGATATAAATAAATTACACAACTATTAATTAGTTGAACTTAAATTGGTTGATTAATAACAATTCAATTTAAATGTGTTAATTTGTAGCTTTCTTCAAATTAACTTAACTGAATTAATTGTATTCTGTATTCTTAATTAACTGTACTCTTGTAATGTAGTATATAGTATTATGTATTATAATTTATAATTTAATACAGTGTTACATAATATATTCAAAATATTTATTAAATTATTAACCTTACTATGAGTATCAAAAAAAAAAATGCATTAGAAAATATTAGAAAATAATTACAGGAATATGTATATTGTATATTCGTGTGTATTCCCATAAATAAAAGTGGAAAAAAAATAACGGTTATATAACACTTTAGAGTTACTTGTTAATTACATTTCCTAAAAAACAAATTCCAAAAAATGATAATACTTCCCTAAATAATGAATGTCTTCTGTTTTGTTGATCACTCTCTATAATTTTATAGTAATTATTGTAATTTAATTACTATAAAATTAAATTATTGCAGAGCTATATTTCTATTATAATTACTGAACATAACAATAAGATAAAAACGTAAATTGTTTATGTACGTCATCATGTAAACGCATGGATCTAAGATAAAATATTTAAATAGTTAAAAGATGTTAAATATTGGGACAATACGCATAGAAGTGATTGCATCTTATTATGAGAAACCATTTAATTTTGAATTTACAATCTGTAAATGACACAATAAAGTTATAAATTAAAATTATTATTGATATAATACAAATGTTATTTATATTTAAACTCATTACATTTAAAATAATTGTTATTCATTAATCACAGTTGGTTTTGACAGTAATAGTGTATTCAAACTGATGACTAAGAATGTTCAATATAAATTATATTTTATCCGTGATTATGATTCAGACGAACGGAGAAACCTGATAATAATTTTATTCCAAACGCAAAAACGATAACCGGATTTTAGTAGAGAATTGCGAATAAATTATTAAGGATGTTGTTTTCTTTTTGTAGAATCCCCACCTCATTAAAAAGCCTCGGTTATATTGATTTTGACTTGCAAAATAAACCTGAAAAACCTGCGGAAACTAACAGTCTAAACTCTAAACTTATATATGCGTCATACAAAATTTATTCATTCCCTGCTAGCAAATAGGAAGTATAATAGCTTATTCTACCTAGCTTGTCAGTTCAATTATTGGAATTTTAAATTTGAAAATAATTTCCGTTTTACATTTTGACGATGATGATAAATTTTTAATTCGAAACCGGTCGTATAATACACTAATCATAATACTTCAGGTGACGAATTCAGTAATTAATTAATTTTATTTTTATATATAAATTTGTGTTTATACATTTATTTACTTTATTTAATTGATAGGATCTTAGAAAAAAAAAATTAACTAATATTGTCGAGGAAGAAATTTCGTTTTTTTTTTTTTTTTTTTTTTTTTTTAACGTAAATAACATTTATAATAACTAGAGTCTAATATGATTAATTTGAAAGCCATAAAAAAAAAAAAAAAATGTAATATTTAATACGTAATGGTTATGAACAATTATATAACTGATATCGAGGATGTTTATGGTTGATATTAAAGTTGTTATATATCACTTACAATTATATGTAAATATATTTTTAGATTCTGAGCAAAGCGTGGAATGTATTGGTTTTTTCAATTTGTTTTGACTTATGAATAACCAGGTCTGTCTGTACAATTTTTATCAGAGATCTTACCACAATTGTCAAGTTGAAGATTGATTTCTGAAAGTAAGTTTTATCCTGTTGGTCAATCCCGAGGGGTTAATTTTGTGCCGTTGTGTACAATATTAATCGTATTGAAATTTTAAAATGATGATATAATACAACTATATAAGAGATAATGTCAAGATAACTGTGTAAATGTGTGTACCTATCTGTATTATGCAAATATACTATTTCTATGCAAAATGTTTTGTTGGCATATGATTTTAAGTGCGTAAATATTCTTTATAACTATAAGTTACCCATATGAGAGATTTACACCATTATATTGTTTGTATTATTAATATTTTTTAAGCTGGGAACTTTCTATACTAATAAAATAATATAAATTTAAACCACCGAGCATATATTTTATATTTGACTTAATAAGTTTTACTAATAAAAAAAAAAAAATAATAATTATATTACAAAAAATAAAATACTAAATATTAAATTTTCTCGAAAAAAATAATTATCCTTTAGATATTTTCATTTTGTGTCATTTATATATAGTTATTGATTTACCTTAAACTACGGGTATCTGAAAAATTGACCAAGTGCAATAGTTTTTATTTGTTTATATTTTTTAAGTTTTTTTTTTTTTTTTGATTCAAATATTAGTGCCTTGCACAATGATTATTATACTACATTTTATAAACATAATATTATTACACAAATGTTTACTTATTAAATTTCAAGAATTGTTTGAAGTCCACGATAGTTAAAATAGTTTTCAATGCCATTACTAAAGAATTTTAATTATAATATATTATATTTATTATTACTTAGTAATTATTCATAGTTTTAGTGGCGATGAAAAAAATGTAAAATTTCTTTATAAAATTAAAAAAATTTAGAAAATAAACGTTTCATCATAATTAAACATTTCTAACAGTAACACCATTTATACAATTTATAAAATAGCTATCATTGACTTACAAAAGAGACTTTTAAATGAGTTACGGCATCCTTCATAAATTGTATAAACCTATTTTATGCTTATGTAAATTCAATAGAATTATTTTAAGTTATCAATCTGTACTTATGAATACTTGCTTGTTTTTAGTCTAAATTTTTTCAATTTTTTTGAGGAATAAGTACGTATTTATTTATTATTTCTTTCGAAAACCCTTTGGGGAATAAAAAAATGACCTCTCTAATATATCGACTAGACAAAATTTTCTTTCAGGAAAGGTACTGTACTCTGTACATCGGAGCAAGATTTCGTTTCGAAAAGTTGTTTACAGACTGAAAAAAAATTTAAAAAAGCACACATCATAGTAAAACTAATAGATCTGTTGCTACGCTCCGAATCTAAAAAAACGACACACAAGATACATTATTGTACTAACGGATAATTGTACAACGTCGCTACACTCCTCGTTTAGGTTAGGTTATGATGATATAGTGTTAGTAAGTAGGCCATTGTTGAAGATGGGATGTTTGGAAGGGGAGTTTGTATGAAATAATAATTTGACAGGAACTTTTGCTAAATAGAAATCGTATACACACGTGCTAATACTACTCAAACATTTTTCAGCGATCGATTTCCATTTTATAAAAAAAATAATTAACTAATTATTAATAATTACTAATTAGGTATATGTTTAAGTAGTGCGTACCATAATTGTTCGTAAATAAAAATCAGTCGGCAACTAAGCGGTATAATATTTTTAATACTATCGAAGAAGAAAAACTGACAACAACTGTTAAAAGTTGACGGCTCCGACGAAATTAGTTTACTATCTATTATGTTCGCAAAAACGTGTTAGGTACTAATGTGATCTTATGGACTTAGCTCAAATTGTACAGGTCGTGATAGAGGTAGAAATCGGATTACGTATGTAAGTCAAAACTATTAATATTGAGACTTGAAATATTTATATTATCATAATAATAATTTTCAAAAAAAAATTAAGTAAAGATGTTTACATGTGTATTACATGAAGGTATATATAAACATAAGCAAAAAAAATAGAAACTTTTTGACCGAATTACCTCTAACAATAATAAAAAATTAAAAATAATAAAACGGTTATTTCTGTAAACATTTTCGTTTTTCCTTTGTTTTTTCCAGTTTCGTCCAATTATTCAAAAAACCCTATAGAAATCAATAACTGACTTTTTTACATTCTAACTAAACAGATTTTTTTTTTAATGTAAACATGCTACACAAAATGTCGGTGCAGTATTTTAATAGAAAAAAATTTAAATAATGAAATTGTGAATGTAATATATTTGTTTTTTTTTTACGTTTTGTGTTGTTTTTCCCAATTGTTATACAAATTATATGGATTTGTCATAATTTATAAATAATGTAAAATTGAAATTTTGGACTTTTACAATTGTTGATTGTTAATACCTAAGATTTGTTATTTCGTTTGTAAAAGTCCGAACTTTAATAGACAATAATCATTCGGGTTCAACCGAGTTATTTTGTATATTCTACAGGTTTAACTGGTTAAACTTAAGGTATACTTATATTCGTTTTTTTTACTGTAATTTAATATGTAAATACAATAAAAAAAATCGACTTATATTATACAGGTTAAATTTTTATTTTTTTTTTTTAACTAAAAAAATCAATTTGTTTTAAAGACGTTCCGGAAAGTGATACAATCATGTTGCCCGTTTACCCGGATCCAGTACATCGGTGTTGCACGAGAAAAGTATTATACAAACGTATCCCAATTCTTCAGTGGTTACCGAAATACACGCTTAACGAACATGGTATTCCCGACTTGGTAGCCGGTATCACGGTTGGATTGACCGTTATTCCGCAAGCTATAGCGTTCGCTAACGTAGCCGGATTACCTCCACAAGTAAGTAGGCAATATTTTTTTTTTTTTGTAAACGACATTTATCTCAGAAGTGGATGTTATATGAGATTTGCATATTTATCTTCTAGTCTGGCTGTTCCTTTCCGTTTAACATGCATGCAAGGTTATAGGTTATGTACTATTAATTATACATCGTGACGAACGATTAATTCCGGGATATTGAAAAAACCACATAAATAAATAATTTATTTATAATTTTGCCTTTTTTTGTTTTTAAATCAATTTTCAAAAATAATTTAAATAAACTTAAAAAATCGTTCCTGTTCCTGTTTATCCATTGTCTAAAAATATAAACCGGCTTTAACTTAAACCGGAATAGCTTTTAGAATGCGATAATAACCGTTTTTATATTATTTAATTACATTGTATTATGTTATTTACTGAGTATATTATATCTTTTTTACTTAATCAACATTTTCATAACCGGTTACAATAGGTATGTCGTATGTCTATAGCAGCATTTCTCAAACTTTTTACATTCACGTTCCTTATCACAACCTCTCACCACTGCTTTACGGACCCCCAAATGTTAATTTGTTATATATTTTCACATAATATAGATAAGATAAATTTCACTTTTTTTGCTATTGCGCAGTTTTTTCCACGAACCCCCTAATACCTTCTTAAACCCTTAGGAGTCCGTATACCCCTGGTTGAGAAACGTTGGTCTATAGCAGTATTTCCCAACCTTTTTTTTACTCAACGCTTCTTTTAGTTTGTCAAAAAACTCGTATCGCCTCCTCTCCGATAAATTAAAAAAAATTACAATTTAGTTTTTATAATCAGCCATTTAATTAAAATGAAAAATAAATATTTTTTTCACATTTTGAGCTCGGACATTTTATTATTATTACGAATTAGTATAACTAACGTACATGCACACTAAATTATATAAATTCATGTAATAAATACAAGTATACAATATTGTCGAAAATATCCGTATGAAAATGGTACCTTTCGTTGTTATTTCGCTGAATTTCGCTGTTATTGTAGTGTGTATAAAATATTTAATTATTTATTATTTTCTATTGTACGCAGTTATACATTTCATTTCAATAAGTTATGAATTTGCTAATATTGTTTTAATAATAATTTAATTGTATTTAATAATAGCGAATTATTTTCAATAATAAAAGTCACAGTAGGATCGTCCTCTTAAGTAAAAAGCCTCCCTCAAAATTAAAAAAACTCACAAGGAGTCTAAACCGCCCACGTTGGAAATCACTGGTCTATAGGTTAATGATGTGTATAGAAGCCGGAATTATAAGGATCTATGAATTCCCAGTGAGCACCAAATAAATTATAGAATATTTATATGATAAACTAAAATAATAATATGAGTATAAGTTTAGAGGAACAAGACAAAACAAATAACCATAATAAGTGGTTATAGGCGAGGTTGAGAGTTTTAAGTGCCAAGAATCTTTTGTACAAAATTAACGATGGCTTTAATGAGGATGTGAAACATAGAATTAAGTGTGGTTGGATAAAGTGGAGAGAAACGTCAGGTATTTTTTATGACAAGGGAATTCCAATGAGATTTAAAGTTAAGTTCTACACAAATGTAGTGAGACTGACTATGTTGTATGGTTCGGAGTGTTGGGTGGTAGACATAAACATAGGACAGAGTATGAATGTAGCCGAAATATAAAACCACCTATGTGAATGCATAGGTAGATAAGTGGAGAGACGAGATAGGATTACGAATGAGTACATAAGAGGTAGCTTGGACGTGGCTTCGATAGTAGACCAAATGATAGAAAATAGACTAAGATGGAGAGAAAGACCGAAAAAAAGGTGGTTGAATGCAATTGAGAATGATATGAGGACAGTCGGTGTATGCTAGGTGGGAGATCGTATCAAGTGTAAATTTAGAACAATGGTAGCACACCCAAATAGTTGGGATGAAGGTCAAGGTGAAGTAGAAGAAAAGAATAATTGGTACATTAATATAGTATATGTTCCATTATTAATTTTATTCTACAATTATACGACACCGAGATTTTTTTCGCCCAAGAATAATTTGTTAGAATAGTCTAAATAATTCAGAATAACGTAATAATAAAATATATAAAAATTAATTTCAAAATAATCCATGAGTGTGCATTTAATATTCAGAGAATATTCCTATAATTTCTTGCACTTCAATGGGATTTGAACCATAAACCAATAAAATTATAGCTGTTTTACAGGTATCTAGATAAGTAAAATGTGTACGGTTAACAAGTATGATAACAGGGTTAATTACCTACAATATTTTCAGCCTTTCAGTAATTATAGCATGGTCGGTATTTTTGATAATTCGTAATTATCCTTAATACCTATATAGTATTTTCAATAATTCATAATTATCTCTATTCCTTTACAACAGTATTTTCCGTAATTTTATTGGTTATCGTCGATATGTATACATACCTATTACATCCAAGGCACAAACTAATTTTTATTTAAAACCCCTATTTCCCAGATATAAAAATACACCTATATAATGCCGTATTCTGAAGACACAGGAGAAACGTATCCCCCTCCCTCCGATGTTTTTCTTGTTAATTTAGGTTATTGTGCTGTATCATTTTATGTTTTATAATTCTGAAAAATAATAAGTAATATTATAAATTATAAACGATTAATGTCATGCTCCAACCTAAAATTTACTACTGCAATAATCTTATTAGATGATAAATATATTATGGTTAGAACAATATGTGCCGACTGGACTTGTATCTTCATAATGTATGCACAATGTACATGATTTGATACTGCTGATAGGTGTCCAACTGTTGTAGGTGAAAAGTTGAGAAAGTAGGATATACTAGGTTATTTAATTTATATAATCTGCACACAACGATAACCCATCGTTGCTAACGAAAAATGATTCTGCGCGAGGTTCCGTTATAAATGTTTTGAATTACTATAATTTTATAAGTACGAATTTTATCAACATATGATCTTAAAACGCTTACAGAAAACGACTACAATATGTTAACCTGTTTTTATTATTATTTGTTTTTTTAAATCACTAATTTTATATACCTTCATTAAATTGAATTACAATAAACAAATCAAATTGAAAATATTTAAACCGTTAATTCCGTAAACTTTTCCGTTTTTTCCAGATTTTCCACTTAAAAAAAAAAAAAAGATTGTTTTACATACATATAAGGCAACATTTTCTTTTTTGAAAAAATAATACAATTGGCATTTGATGCAAGAATTCTGGTAGAAAAAAATTGAACGAATTTAAAAATATGAAATAGTAAACATTGTAAAATTATTCGTTTTCTTGTCTTGTTTTTCCCAATTGTTATAAAAACTCCTTGGAAAATCAAAATTCACTTTTTTGCATACAATCTAAATAACACGATGACATAATCTTTCTAAAAATAATGCTACTCTGGAAATTTCATGCAAAATTTCTAATAAATACATTTTTTACAGACGGAATAAAAATTACTGATATCTAAAATTATTACTGAACAATATTTTTCATCAGAATACAAAATTATATTTGTTTATCTATGAAAAATACATATTTTTTAGCGTCATTAATCATTACATATTATAAATACCTTATGTCTGTAACGAATATTGATTTTTGACGAATAAAAATAAAAATACTTTGATATAAGTTTTTATTTATTTTTTTTTTACCTACGAAGATGATTTGACAATACGACCTACTTAAGAATAATACCTAGCCAATAATAATACCTAGAATAATAACACAGCCTACTGTGTGTTGCATAGATTAAAATAACAGTTTTAAAACTTTGTATACATATTGCAATCCATAATATTTACCCAATTTTTAACGTGATTTTTTATTTAAAATAAAGTTAAAATTTAACACCAGGTGGGGAGGGGTTACGTTATCGAATGACAATCATGCAGTGAAGGGTTAACTTCGGCTAACCTTAAGGCTACCTTTTTTTAGGCTTCGATTTTGTTATTATAATGAATTAATTATTTATTTTATACATTTGATAATCGTTATATATTTTTATTAGGTACTTTATCATTCGATTCATAATCAGAAATCATTGCATTGTATCGTTTTAAGTATTTATGCCATATTAATCAAATAACCTGTTGAATTCGATAAATAGAAATTATATTAACTATTTATAAGCACTGCAGTTTTAGTAATTTAGAAAAACTTTAATTTCATTGTATTTCTTTTTTATAAAATACATACCATAGTTCGTTATGAAACGCCAAGCAGCCGGCATTGTAAATTATTTATATAGGCACCTATAGAAAAGTTGCAATATCAGCATCCGGTTAAAATTTAATTACAAATTAATAATATTTAGAATTGTACGATGTGTATTATTGCATTCAATATAATAATATAATAGTTGGTATTTAACTTTTCCAATGTTTTTCGACTACATAATATTATATGAATACCTACCGAAATTCTTTATGTCGAGTTCAAAGTATTGTAGTTGTCATTGTCATTTGTGGTTAACCTGTTAACCAGTGACGGTACGTTTTTATATATTAGCAAATTTGTCGATTGTGTCATTGCATCGTTGCAAGTTCGAGGTCAAGTGATTCCACAAGACATATTCTTTCAAAACCGTATAATAATAAATAAAAAAAAAAAAAACACAGCTATAGATTTATTATTATTACATAGAGGTATAGGTACAACGTATAACCTTGATATTGGATATTATAATTAATGGTATAACGAAAGCCTAGTAGTTATTATAATTTAAATTTGCTGTGAATCTCGATGTATTTACAACTATACATACTGATATAATAATTGGAATGATTACAATTTTAGATAGGGCTGTACTCGTCGTTTATGGCATGTTTTGTCTATACGATTTTTGGTAGCTCTAAAGATCCTGCAATGGGCCCTACTGCAATAATGGCAATCATGACTCGTGAAAATATACACAATATGGGGCCGGAATTTGCTATCCTATTATGTTTTATAACCGGTATCGTACAACTTATTATGGGATTCGCTCAGTTAGGTAAGTTATCGCATAGATAAAAAAAAAGAAATGTATGAAAAAAAAAACGAATACCTTTAGGTACCAGTTTATATACCGAATAAAATATTACTGATTTTGGCGTCTTTTATGAATACCTGTTGTGTACAGGTTTTTTGATTGACTTCATATCTGGACCTGTTTCGGCTGGTTTTACATCTGCTGCCGCAATCGTTATAGCTACGTCTCAAGTAAAAGACTTGCTTGGTATTAATATAAAATCGAATTCGTTCTTGGGATTTTGGGATCAACTAGCTGTGCACATTAGAGAAATCAGCATAGGTGACGGAACACTTGGAATTACCTGTATGATTGTTTTATTGCTGTTGAGAGTAAGTTGTTTAGTTTATACATACTATATAGAAAATGATAAATTTTTAAATTCTGTTTTGAAATATTCTAGAAAATGAAAGACATCCAAATTGGCCCTCTGGATATAAAAGAAAAATCGAGTGGCCAAAGAATGATTTCGTCTATTATTTGGCTGATTTCAACGGCTAGAAACATCATAGTAGTAGTTTTTTGTGCTTTATTGGGATACTTGTATCAGAAGCACGGGAATCTACCATTTAAACTTTCGAGTAATTCTACAGTATTTAAGTTAAAATAATCAAAGTATTATAATATGATACAAAATAATAAATTTTTTTCATATTTATTTTATTAGGTTATGTTGAATCTGGTCTTCCAGATTTTAAACCACCACCCTTTGAAATTAGAGCTGGGAACGAGACGTACAATTTCGTCGAGATGACTTCCAAATTAGGTTCAGGGATTTTGGTGGTGCCACTTTTATCTATTTTAGAAAACATATCGTTAGCTAAATTTTTTGGTTGGTTAATTTTAAATATCTTCATATACCTACGTACATTTAAGGTTTTTTTTTCTAGCATTATTTTTTTATTGATGTAAATCTGACAATATTTATCTATTATCTATTGTATACGTGCGTTCATAACTGTAAACCATGTATTGATTAATCGTGTATAAAATATACCTTATGTATTGTATGTGTATGTATGTGTGTGTGTGTGTGTGTGTGTGTGTGTATCGTTATTTAAAAATGTGTATTGTTTTATTTATAGCTGACGGTAAGACTGTCGACGCCACTCAAGAAATGCTCGCCTTGGGCGCTTGTAATTTAATTTCGTCTTTTGTCGGATCAATGCCGATATCTGGTGCTTTATCGCGAGGTGCCGTGAACAATGCTAGTGGCGTGAAAACAACGTTCGGCGGGGTTTACACGGGTAAAATCCGGTTATACAATATGTTAAATTTATATACCTATTTAATCGATACTCGTATTTTTAAAATTCAATTATAGTTTCTAAAACGTTTATAATATTAAAAAATATACATATAATCGCTTTAAAAATGTTTATAAAGGAGCTGCGTTAATGTAAACCGATTTTTTTTTTTTTTTTTTCATAGGAATAATTGTCATAATAGCGTTACAATTTTTCACCCCATACTTCGTCTACATTCCCAAAGCGGCGCTGGCCGCTGTGATAATAGCTGCCGTGGTGTTTATGGTCGAATTACACGTTATCAAGCCAATGTGGCGAACCAAAAGTACGTATAATCGCACGCATAATGACCAAAATGAGTGTATGAACAGTTTTAATTTTTTTTTTTTTTTTTAGAATTAGATTTGATACCGGCATTCGCTACGTTTCTTTGTTCATTGTTAATCCGCTTAGAAGTCGGGATTGTCGTCGGCATTGCGATAAACGTTATAACACTACTTTATACTCTGGCTAGGCCAAGAGTCCGCGTCGAAAAACAGATAGTGAGTATCTATATATTATGTATGATAAAATGCATCGTGAATTTTGCTCGTATAATATTAGACTAATATTCTCGATTTTTTTTTTTCTAATAGAGCGAATTCGGTTACGAGTATTTAGTTATAACGCCAGACCGCAGTTTGGTTTTTCCCTCTGTGGAGTACGTGAGAGCAGTGGTTACCAAAGCTGGACTCAAGCAAGGGTTGAGTTCAATACCGGTCGTGATCGACTGTAGACACATACAAGGAGCAGACTTCACTGCGGCAAAGGTATTATATATACCTAGTTAATTATTTTGATATGGAATCACCATTATTGAGATGTACTATTGGCCGAGACTTATTTTTCGTTGTGTTTACAGGGCGTTAAATCTTTGATAGACGATTTCGTCAGAAGAAATCAACCGTTGATCTTTTACAATGTCAAACCTAGCGTAATTTCTATTTTCCAAGGCGTACGGCCAGCCGAATTCAATTGTTGTAACACCGAACAACAATTACATGAAATGTTAAAAGGTACTTTACAAATTTGTATTTAAAATCCGTTAAAATGGGAACCTATACTGCACCTAACTGTTGTCCGAATAATTCCTATTGATATGATGTGAAATTATAATATAAAATAGGAGTATGGTAAAGTACACGACGTTGAAACGTCTTGTATGAAATTCGTAAAAAATTCAATTGTCGTAGGTATAATTACTTTCAAAATACACGTTCATAAAATATATACATATTCTTTAAAATATATTGTTTACACAAGTCTATCACTGATCCATGTAGGCAACAGGTCAATGTACCAAAACTGTGGTTTGCCATAGAATCATCATACAAATAGGTGTGGTTTAATTATTGTTCACTTGGCGAGACGTCAAGAATCATTTTGAACATAGATAATGATTTTTCGTATTTTACTTCAAATAGAAAATGTATACGACTATTATTATTCCAAAATGTTTATTATTCGCTAAGCCTTGTGTAACGCGAACCGTTCAATTTGATTTAAACAAAATCAATCAATTGACATATCGACAGAAAATAGACTAATAGATACCTACGTCCTACACCGGAAAACTACTCGAAATATTCGTTAAAATAATATTATATTTTGTGTGTAATTTTAATTCACGTATAATATTATGCTTTCAAAATATTCTCTAATAATTTACAAAAAAAATGGTTTTATTTATTATATTTGTTATATTACATATATATTAGAATATTAGATATATACACAAATCGCTATGCTATACAAAAAAAAAAAACTCTTCTTTGCTTCGTTCACATTATACTAAAATTTATTTTAAAAAACGTGATTATATACAACTATAAAACAACAATAATATTTAAATACAAACTGTTCTGTCTATGTTATTCAATGATTTTGATTTTTACTTAAAAATCAAAATCAATCTCGTACTATTTTAATGTAAAACATTATGATTAAACTAGACTACACTATACAGTATACCTAATTATATTATATTTCAATTGGTTTTGCTTTGGTTTTTGTTGCAGGGTATTATTTTAGCAAAATGCAGACTTTGACGTTGTGAGATATATGATATTTACGTCAAAAATCTGGTCCCACCTAATAAGTTGTACAAATAATAAATTATATATTACGTCCTATATTATGAAAATAAACTGTAAATTATAGTTAATAGTTTAAAACTTAAACACGAATAAAGGATCTTGTGTAGGGAAGTATACCTACTGTAGTATGACGAGTATATTAGTTATAAAATTAAAATAGCTATTTAAATTCTGTTCATTTTCACAATAGTTAAGTTGTTTTTTTTTATATAATTGTGTATTGTGATCGTCTATTGTGTATTGTGTATTATCATTAATGTATTGTATAAATCATGATAGGTTACATTTTATTTTATTTTTATTTTTTACGCGTAAATTTAAATACCTAAAATGTTAAGTTCTAAATCTTCGGTCGTAATACTATATACGTAAAGTACCTAATAAAATTAATATTATGTACCTATACCAATGTTTTAATTTATATTAAAACATATATACTTACCTATAAGTATATATAGGTGAAATATTATGATATATTATAATATGAACAAACTGTAAAAATTAAATATAAACAATTCCAAATTTGTTATTACTACTTTTAATCCACTAAATTTCCAGCTATAATCGCAGTTGTTTTTGTATTTGCAATTATAATTTTTGTTAAAGACACAAAATTTTTTATCAATTCTCGAATCGGAAAAGTAAAAGAACAGTGACTATATGACTTAAAAAATAAAAGCTAATTGAGCTGATGAATAGGTAGCTCAGGTAGAATACATAAAGATAGTTAAGATAAAGATAAAGATATAAGAATACATAAAGATTTAGTTTATGTGTGCAATGACAAATTATTGTTGATGAAATACAATAATACTCATCGAAGTTCAGATAACCACAATTTAGAATGCTATCATTTTTACGATTTTTGTCAAAATTTGAACTTACGCTTATAAAAAAAAAACTATTTAACTTTTGTTTTACCTCTAAATTTTGGGTAGCCAACCTATAGCACGCGTGCCTTTTGTGGCACATTTGACGTTAATTAATGACATGCTAGTGTCAGATAAAATAACATAATTTTTAAATATTTTTAAAATTATGATTTCCAATTTTAAATAAATAATAATAGTCGTTAATATTATATCATATAACATTTGTGTCAAAATAACATTAATGATAAATGATTTATTACTATTGCAGTGGAACTTTCTGATTATTATTCCGAAATGAGAATCGTTATTTTCATTAAATTCGTGATTTTTAATAATTTTTTAAATTCCACAGAAAAAAAGTGTTCAATCAATTAGTCATAATAATAATAATTAATTAGCGAATATAATATTTTCTTGGAGCGAACTTTGGGTTAGAGGAATTAGGATAGTTCAAAATAGGCTCTTTCTGCATTTGAAATATCCTCACACTTACATGGCCAATTATTATAATTTGTATACTATATCTATTTATGTCTATCTTTATAAAAGGAGTTAGTTTTACATTTTATACCGTCGCTGAGTTAATATGTTTAATAGATAAATTTAACAACTTTTTCTCAAAAAAAAAAATTAATAATAGTTTTGGTTTAGATTGTTAAAATGTAATATAATCATTTTATAACAATAAATTATTTACCAATTGTACATTGTTTAATTATTATTAATTTGAGTACTATTAAAATCAACGGTTTCGTAGTCTAGGATGTGGAAGATGGGTCTAACGTACAACGGCTTTCCGTTCTAAGAGACTGGGATCGACTCCCCTACACCCAGCATCGTTTGTGCACTTTTTTTTCAGATAAAATTTTCTAGAATCTAGATAACATCGGTTTTCACACGGATTAGTAGAATTTAAAATGGCTGTTACTTAGAAACTATTCATCGGATATAAATGTGTGATACATTAAAATTTTTCGAAAATAATAAAATAGTTATTTTTTTAAATTTTTTTAATAGAAAAAAAACAGAATTTGATTATCTTTATTATCTTCGGAGATATTCAAAGGGTATATCTTCGTGGAACAGCCTATATGTACTAAACATTTAACGTATTCATATAACTTAATAAAGTATTAGTCATTAACGTTAAAATTAATTTATAATTATAAATAGTGATAATATGTTATAACTAATGATGAATTTTTAATTCGATACCGGTCGTATAATATCTTACTTATCATAATGCTCCAGTCGACGCATTCATTCATTTATTTATTTTATTTGTATGGATATATTTTTTATTTATATATTTATTTACTATATATAATATAAGTAATAATTCGATAACTATATTATAGCATTTATGAAATACCTAAATCGAATTAATATTGTTTTACATCGTATAATTATTATTTTTTTGTTTTACAGTAAATTGAGATTAGATTAGAAAAAAAATAAAATATACTTATACCTATACATTATGTTAATTCTACTATTACTAAAAAAAAAAAAAAAAACGTGTAACTTTACATATATATATTTATTTTCAAACTAACTATAATCAATAAGAAATATTATTTTATATAGGTATTTTACCTAACTTCACGAGACATTATGATGTGCATTTTAGGCACCTACACAATTAATTAATTAAGCATACAAATAATATGTAAGGCGTATATATAATTGAATAAATTTAATTTTAATTGTTACCTGCCTAAAAGAAATGAATACAATATAATTGTTTTAAATTTTTTTTTCGTATATCCTACAATAAATAGTTTATTTATTTAGAAATAAAAGATAGTTAAACATCATAGGTTTTTTTATAGTTAATCTTAATTAAACTATGTACTTCTAGAAAGTACCTATAATATACTTATAATATTTAATATTTTTTCGATTTCATTTTTGAATAAATTATATATGATTAAACGAAACAAATTAAAGATTAATATTACGAAAAAAAAAAAAATGGAATCAGGTACCTTATAGGAAACAAGGGAATTATTCTTAATAGTAGTTTGGTAATTTAATGAATATGTAAATGTTCATATGTAGTTAAATTATCATTTAAAAACAATTGATCCATGCATTCTTCGGGTAAATGCATAAATTGTTTGACTTCTGTCTGATCTGATGGACGACAATGTGGTACCATAGAACTGTTCATCAGTGAAATTCGTAATGATTGCATTTTCTAAAATGCAATTAAATATCATAGTTATATTTAGTAGACAATCACATTTAATTTTCATTATTGTACAAAATAAATCAAAAATTAATTTTTATTTTTTGTTCACGACCTAATAAATTTCTCAAAATAATATTACGTATATATTTTTAAATCTATTCAGTTTACCAAATAGTTACTGAGCCACACTGAGAGAAACTTATTTAGAGATCCGGGGTTATTTTTGCTCACAAAAATTTTTATAATATAAATTATAATAGATATATAAACATCTAAAATGTAGTGAACTAACTAAATTATCAAATTTTAATACATTTTAAAGAAGATACCATAATTGCATATAAAATATTATTAAATAAATTGTAAAATAGATCTTTTACGAATTATTTAAAACTGCGATGTTATATTAACTTGAACAAATATTTTTTAGACTTGAATGTAGTATAGAATGTATTGGTTTTACTTTAATGTGCATGTTTTTTTCTGTCTATTAACAGCTTTTCTACCAGATATAATGCTCTGATGATCAAATTTTAAGGTGATTTCTGTTACCAAATTTTGTCTATTTGGTGCATTGGAGATTTTTTTAATCACATTTTTCTCTTTTTGTTTTCTACATTAAAAAAAGAAGTTTGTATAATATTTTTCTAGTGATACTTTTTGCTATGAATATCAGAAAATAATTAGATGAAGATTAAACAAATTAAAATAATTTTTTATTTTCTAGTTTTTAGATTCTTACCTATGTCCAATTTGCCATTCAAATCGGGTTTGGATTTTTTAAATACATTTAAAGGACATTATCTCCCAAGGAGTTATTTCACATAACTATGTAAAGTTTAAATGATTAAATTGACCGAATACATTCCATGAATGGTGTAAAATATAGCTAGGTAGATACATATTTTTTATAATATAATATGTTTTAAGAATCTGTATTTTTATAGCAGACAAGTTACAAGTATACGTACGGAGAAATGCATTTGAAAGTTATGGATATAATGTAATTAATTATTGTTTTTTTATACTTTTCTGTTTTCTCGTGCTACTTCGGTATGTTCGACAATACGATGTGGATAGTCCTTGCCAATAATGCATCCCACCTCTTTTTGAATCGAATCCGGACATTTCCATGGTTGATTTAAGTACTGATCAGGCATATTTTTCAGTTCAGGAACATATCGTCTATAAAATAATAAGAATTTATGATACTGTAGTAATTATTTTAAATTTATTTTTATTATAATATTTTTTAATAAAATAATAAAGTAAAAACAAAATTAATAAATGGTTAATACTTTTTAAATTGTGTTACCTTATGTATTCGCCGGAAGGATCAAGTCTAACCCCGTAACTAACTGGACAAATGCATAAAGGACAATCCAATATCTGTTCAAATGTAGAGCTCGATACCCATATCCAATTACCAGAACAAACCGAATAATCGGCGTCTATCAAATATTTCAAAAAGTGTTTCAATCCTTCGGTCCAGCTAATCCAAAGATCACCTCTCGTCAAAAAACACGCCAACGAATTTCGTACTACATGATGAACCCATCCTTCCTAGAAAACCCCATTGAGTAAGCCGTTTAAAATAAGATTATAAAGTAAATCTATAATATTTTCTTTTGACCAACAGTCGATATATAAATTACTACATTTTTGAGTCACCTGTAATAGTTGTCTCATCCCGGCATCAATAAAAGGATATCCAGTTTTACCAGTTTTCCAGTATTCCAACATCTGTTTGTTTTCTCCTGTTTCTATATCATTCCATGGTATTTTCAAGCATGCCATGTTATCTTCCATCTGATCGAAGTATTCATTGTTAAAAGACATAGAATAAAAATGATCCCGCCAAATCAATTGACTAGTGGCACTATACTGCGGTAATAAATCTCCTTCGAAATTTTGGATAAACAGTTTTGAAAGCTCCCAATAAAGCCTAAGAACCAATATCGCGGTTTAAACAAAATAATAAAAAATTAATACCTAGGTACCATATTTATTGTAATCGAATAAATAATAATTACTTTCTTATGGATAGACATCCATAGCGTAAAGCAGCACTAAGACTATATGATGGGTCCAAGAGGTTCGGGTTTATTTGGTTAGGCAAGTAAAATCCATTAACAAATGCTTCTTTTTCAAAGTTGAGTCGATCAGTCAATTTTTCTAAAGCTTTGGTCTCGCCGCCATACCAACAGTTATAAGAATTATTGATTTCAGGAGCCTCCGGTACGATACCAAAATCTTGTGTGGTTGGATTATCTAAGGCCTGTGTAATCAAGAAAGTATAATACAGGACAATGTTGTCAAAAATTACAACGTGAATCATTAAATTTGTTGATTCGACGTTTTTGTATCATGAATTCGTGATTAAAGATTTGTCTTATCATATTTTATAAAGTGTAATAAAATGTATAATATTACCTTTAACTCTTCTAATAATGTAACCGGTAGTTTTCCAAAACTCACAGTCGACCAGTCCACATTATTGATTGGCTTCAGTGGTTTATTAATAGAGAGCGCTAAAGTCTAAAAATTTCAACACGTATTATTATTTACTACCCCAAGTAAACGATTTAAACTAAATATATACTTGAAACTTTTTAAAAGTCAATGGAGGTTCACCACCATTTGTGTCGATAATCGTCTTTGGGTTCCACAATGTATGGGAAACCTTTTCAATGTACTGAACGTTGTTTGCATTACAATATTGCACGACCAATTCATCACGAATTCTCCCATTGTGCGCGCAGTCCTAAAATGTTAAACGTTAATGTTATAGCCTTCAGAAGGTGTCTAATATAATAGGCACACAAAATTATACCTGTTCGTAAGTAATTAAATTTAGACCGATTTCTTCTTTGATTCTATTGAATATTTTTACAGGATTCCCTTGCAATATATATAAACAACCACCTAGTTTAGTCAAACTGGTGTTTAAGTCGTCCAAACTTTCCAAAAGAAAACGCATTGGATGATATCCAATCACATCCGTATCTAAACAGACAATAATAAATATATAATTATATTAAAGTATGTTAATGTTTTTAAAGGTATTAATTTATTATATTTCGTTATATTTAATTAAATCAAAAATTAATATTCGAGTTTGCTATTGCTGAATATTAAAGTATAAGTAAAAATTATTCAATCAAATTCGAAATTGAACCAGAAATCTAAATTAACAATCATTCTATGAGGTGAGTTAAATAAAAACGCTAAATCGATAATTAAAACAAATCTTTATATTATTTATTATTATAGGTAATCTTTAGTTTCGAGAATGATCTAATATAAGACAAATAATGGTAATAATGTTTTTGGAAAAAAATAAAATAAAATCAGAAATATTTTTCGATATTCGAATCGCTGTTATTTGTTTATTCCTCTGGTCAATCAAGGTCAGAAAGAAACAAATGTTTTCCTTTTTTGTCTCTTTTTTAAACTATATTTAATATCAGTCACCTCAATAGTCAGTATTCTAAATTCCTAAATCTCCACCTGACACCAGTCTCCACCAGTCTTTTCCAATAGTACCCGTATAACCATCTTTTTTTCGGTCTTCCTCTTTCTTCTTAAAAAATAATGTTTAAAACTACCCTTAGAGCATCTGCAAACTCATATAATTATTTTAATTGTTTTTTTAGGTTAAATATTATTATTATAATAGTGGCTGTAAGTTGTATAAACTATTATTAATTATTGGACCGAATGATCTTGGAACTACAAACTATATAGGTACCTACTGACCAAATAAAATAATTATTATTACCCATCCGTACAACATGACGTAACCACAGTTTTCGAAGTCAATTAAATAAATTGCCGAAATTATAATATGTAAGTAAGTAAGTACGTATCATTTTATTAATTGAAAATCTTAAAACATTTATTTTTTATTTTTTACTGAACAAAAATTCTAAAAATCCAAATCTCATTAAAAAGTATAACGACTGTATATTTACTAATTTAACTTGACCTCGTTCATTGAAGTCATTAGTGATTATTGGTCTCATGGGATTTGCGCAAAGTTATGAATTTTAAGTTACAAATTACAAGTTTCACACACTGACAAAAAGTCTTCATTTCTAGTTTGGACATTATACTTGTATTATAAGTGTTGATATCCAAACAGGTAATGAAAACAAGTACTCAATTTAAGCCTATTAATATTATAGGATTTTGTATAATGACCATTTCAAAAAAAGTATATATTTACACTATATACTCGTAGTAACGTATGCATTAAAAAAAAAAAACACGGACATACTTCGCACGTAAGCGCAGCCACTATTGTAAGTGGGAAGTTGGAAAGGTAGAATACCGACGGGAATTTAATGTATATCTGTTAGCAACGTAAACCATTGCTAACGAATGAATAATTCTAAGAGGAGTTCAGTTGATCATTATCATTATGCTCCTTTGTCAACAATATATATGTCATATTATGGTAAAATAATTACAATGCGCGTTTCCATGACAATAATGATTGTTTAAAAAAGATTACAAAAATAAAAACTTAATAATAACAAAAAATAAATAAAAACGGTTGCCAATGACAACCTTATTTTTAATTTTTTAATATTTTCTAACCTAAAGCATCGGATGCAAATGACCTTTCTAAAGTACCACCCAGAGAACATATTTTCCTTTTAGAAAAGATGCTATACTTGATAACCGGAGTAAACTTTCTGGTAGAAAAAGTGTTCACATCAAAAAAAAAATTTTTAAAAAATATCATTGTAAAACCAATACATTTCTCGCTCCATTCAGAATTTAAAAACTACACCGAACATAAAATAACTATTAATTTGTGTGCAATACGTGAACCTTAAATAGCAGTTACACGTTTTAAACGAATTTCATGGAATGGATGGATATTGTAAATGGATTTTATAGAAAACTCGATTAAATTATATGTACTTTAAAATTTATATATTTATATAGTATAAGTTATAAGTTATATATTATAACGCTAAAAAGCGTTTTTTTATCTTTAAATACCATAATTCCGAAATTACATTTTCGAAAACAGTAAAGGTCTTCAATTATAATAATATACTATTATGTTTTTTTTATGAATATGGTGTGCATAGGTACTGTGGGTACACATAAGGTATAACTACTTACTGTACATATTTTCTTCGAAAATGAACAACGTGATAAGTTTGTCGGCCTTATTAACAGCTTCGATCAAAGCTGGATTGTCGTGCAGTCTTAGCCCGTTCCTAAACCAATGCACGGCGACCGTCATATTGTATGTCATTTTTAGTCTATCTAAAAAAAATAAATTACGATTAAAAGCCTGTCAATTGCGGGTATTTTGTGTATATTGTCGCTACGTTCCTCATATATGGGATAATTTCATTGTGAGCAATGACGGATCCAAGGCGGGCGACGATAAAGGTAATCGCTTCCCAATGTACTCTTACCTAGCTTGGTTTTTAGCATAAATGAGTCTGTGTTAAATGCATTTTAAAAATCGCCCTACCGCGATAAGGTTATCTTGCACTGAACCAGATGCTTATTGTTAATAGGCCTTCATTATAGGTGGAAAATTGGAAAGGTAAGATATACAGGGCAATTTAGTTTTTATAATGTATGCAATGAAAAACGATTCTGAACGCAGATTCGTTAAAACGTTAAATTTGTTCAATCGATTTAAATCGAACGTTTTATTTATATTTGTAACCATACAAACAAGATTAAAATTGATCGTGTACTAACAAATTTTAACGTAAATTAAAAATTTTGAACCTAAAACGCTGATCAAAGTTAATAATTATATAATTTTCTCTAAACAAAACCAAAAAAAAAAAAAAAATTTAAATAGCAATAAATTACTAAAAAACCCAGAGTGTATTGAACATTTGACCACGTCTATAAAGTGATAATTTAATAAGTATTCGGTGAAAATTTGAGGGCTATGATTATTTTTTTCCGAATTACAACAAAAAACAAAATCAAAATTAACAAAAGCCGTTAATATTTCCGTTTTCTGACTTTTTTTCTCAGTTATTCCCCAATAGAAAGTACAAGGATAATTAAAATTTGCCTTCCGAATTTATCAGTTAGACAAAATAGAAACCAAAAACCATTCCTGATGTTGGTGGTAGGAGAAAGATTTCTGTTCGAAAACTTGTTAACAGACCGAAAAAATAAAATAAATGAACACATCATAAAACATATTTAAAATGCAGATTTAAAATTATGTATTATTATTGTTTGTTAATATGTAGAGGTTTTTATATTTTAAAAAAAATAATTTAATTATTCTATAAGCACTGATTTTTACGACTGTTGGACGATCATACTAATTACTGGAAATTTACCGGTCATGTTGTTTTGGAATTGGTAGCGATTTATACCTATATGATTGTTCTTATATTAAAATATACATTGACTTATAAATATAGATAACTATGAAAATAAAGTTCAACGTTTGATAATGATAACTTTAAATATTATTATAAAAATGTAAACGATTTACGTCGTATTTGTATATCATATTTGTTTTACAATATCATCAATATTTTACGAATAACGTATGAAATGATAAACTATATTATTTTGTTTACAAAAATTAATGTACAAAACTTATATCAATAAGGAACAAATTCGTCACAAATAAGGAACGCTGACAAAATATAACGCCACATTAAGTCTGTCTAAAGCCCCGCGTCGTACGTTTTGAACAAAAGCATCTTACGCCTCGAAGAATTGTTAGATTTTGATATTTTTTATTTAATTTGAAAGAGGATGACATTGAACTCCTATTTTCATAATTCATGTTCCTATACAATATATAAAAGGTTTGAAAAATTCAATTTTTGTTATTTTGTAATATTTTTTTTTTCTGACACAGAGATTAATTAAAAATCGGAGTTCAATATGATCTATTTGCTAACATTAATTTTGATATTTTTGGAATTTAATATTTATTTTTCTCAAATAAGACTATTCGTTAATCCTTCATAGGTACGTACCCTAGTGTTACCTATTTCCTTCTCTTTAATTTTTAAGCGCTATGTTCTCTACCAAAAATATTGCTTAATAAAAAAAAAATTCAAGAAACGTTTATATTGAATTTTTGATGTAGTTGCTGAGAAAGTAAGTAATTTTTCTGATTTTCTGTGTAGTTTTCTTAATAATTGATCTAAACTGGAAAAAAAACGTAGAAAGACGGGAAAGTACACAGAAATAATGGTCTCATCATTATTTTGAATTTGGTATTTTAATGTAATTCAGTTAAAATATCGTTTAGCGTTGCTTACAGATATAAATTTAAGAACTTTATGTGAACTTCCCACCTATAACAATGTGCACTCATCGACAGCATCAGCTATTTTTTTTAAAATTATTATTATTATTATTTTGTTTTTTTTTCTTAGTTTATTGTATATTATAAAATAATAAAAAATAATTGAATTATCATTTCGAAAATATACGTCTAAAAATTAATATTTTTTATTTATTTACCAATGTATACGAGTATACGAAATACATCCTAATCATTACAATTTATAACCAAATCTCGGACGCCGATTCAAATGCAAATCGCGTGGCATATTGTAGTGCATACCATAATAAATAGATATTAGGTAGTGATAATATTATTATAATATATTATGTCGCAACGACACTCATGTGTCCATTTTATTCGGTTTTTCGTAAAGCACGGAGACGGATGCCTGTATATAATAATATTATTAAGTATGAAAAAAAAAAATTATAATGCGATATGTCGAAAGTCGGTCGATTCCGAACGTCGCCATCGAACGAATCCGGTAATAGTAATATTATGTATTATTACCAAACACTTGGGTGTGTTGGTTTTAATATTAGTGGTATACGGCTAATCGTCATATTATATTACGTATTATATTTATGTTTAAATGTATCATTATTAGGTACTGCGCCTATTATTAAATGGGATTCGCGCAAATTTTCCAGCCGCTTGAAGGAGATAATTTGATATACGACCTCGGATTGAAACAGGATTTTCGGAAAAAGCTAGGGAATACTGAAATACACATTTTAGGATGAATGTCACATTGTCAAACTTTTCGGTGCTTGCATGCGCAATACAAATGCCTTTTTTTGAACAGTTATACCTATTTTTGACATTAAAATCGAATAGTCCAATTAGTTTTTTTTTTTTCGAGCAATTTTAAATAATAACAATTGTTTTATCTTAAAAATTAGATTTAAAGTTGGTTGAAAAACATGGTTCTTTTAAAGCGATTTTTTTAATAAATATAAAATACGTGACTTTTAAAGTGAACCAATTTAACTTATGTTTTATGGTAAAAAAATTATTTCTATATATGATCATAAAATAACATATGCGTTTTATTATGCGATTTAAATGTTTATAAATTGATAAATTGTTATAAAAATTATAATTGTAACCAAATTTAGATTACTGTATCTCAAGTAATTTTTGAGATCAAAACAAATTTTGGGGTAGGGGTAGGGATGATAGCAGTTCCAAAAAAAATACAATTAATAATTAAAACAAATTAATTTTAGTCACGACACTGGGATATTAAAAAAATACATATAAAAATCATTCGAGGTACTTGAGCCCTAATATAGTCTTCCTTACACTCCTTGGCTCTTGAGTGGGCCTTTATTTACCCTCCCATAAAGTTAAATTAGATTCGACACTCCTTTAAAAGAAACCCACTGTGTACTCTGCATTTATAATAATAAACTAAGAAGAGTAACAGGTGTCCCGCGAGAACGCGTTTATGTTTATAGCAGTGGGGTTTATTTGTTTTGCTTTTACCTCCCCCCATTTCCACGATTTCCGACACGATAAACCGAAGACAACGTGTTAATTTATTCGTATATTACATTATTAGGTAATCTACCCGCTTCTAGTAGTGATGTGTTATTCATGCGGATTGCCTACTCATAAAATAATAATAATTACAGGCTCGTAATTCGTTGGCGGTCACATCGATGATAGCGGTTTTTTTTTTTTTTTAACGATTACATAATATCTTTTCCCTAGGCTTGACAAGGGATTTTCGTCTGCGGAATGATTTGTCGTATCGACTATCGAATTATTAAATTTCTGAAATGTTTGAAATGTGCCGCTGGCTTCAAGATTATAATCTAATAACCACGATATTAATAATATTATATTAAAAGTAAGGCATACGGATACATTGTGGGTTAATAGGCGTGTTTTGACGATGCAGTTTTGAGAAACTTAGCAACTAGTTTAATGAACAAATTGTTTTAGTGACATCGGTTACAGCAATAAACTGTGTGATAACTGGATGGACTTGTCGACAATCAGCAACCAATAATTAATAATCACGTTTACTGTCTTCGATTACTGGTTGTCCGTTGGTAAAACATTGTGCGGCAAACAAAACATTTTGACGATATTGTTACCAAGTGGCAAATAATTATTATGGAGCAAACCGCATCGTCAAAACACACCGATTTATTACGGTAATTATAGGTGATTTAGATAGGTACCTGTGTTCTGTTCGCAGTTGCAGCAGTCTTGGCACTTAAGCAATCATCGTCGTGGACGTAGGTGCGACGCGCGCGGTACTGGGCACCTCGTATAGTCGGTAAGGCGGCGTCATCGCGGGCTACTTATATACTGTTGCGATCGTCGGCGGTGGGATACGCGCGCGGGCGATGCGGTCGCGAAGCACGTGGCCCGGCTCTCCGGGTTTTGTGACGTCACGGCGGTGGTACCGCGATAATAGGGAGAACGAGGACGACCGCGTACGCGTTCACGTGTTTAGTGCGTATGCGTCGTTGGCGACGGCGGTAACGGCCGTGGTGCACTTTCGTAGGTGATATTAAATTGCTTCCCAATAAAAAGTTCTTGTCCATAACAGTACGATACGTCCCGTATTTTTTACGTGCCCACTGAAAATCCGTCAAAATACGCATTTGTATACAAACTATCTGTACTAAATGATAAGTGAAAAAACAAAACCTTAAAATCGATTAGTAGCTATAAATTACAGTTTCACAAAGTCAAAATAAAAATTGAAACTGAACTCTGTAGTTGTACCGTAAAAATAAATTTAGTAAACTTTCCCATTTTTCTTACGTTTTTTTCCCAGTTTTTCCGATTTATTATGAAAACCCCTGAGAAAATCAAAAAATGACCTTTCAGTACCATCCAAGAATAAAATCCTTTCAAAAAAAAAAAAAAACTACACTTGAAATCAGAGTCAAACTTCTGGTAGAAAAGTTATTCACAGTATTACTTAAAATAAATTTTGGTGTTTACATTTTTAATTTTCGTCGACCAGTTGGCGAGATATTTCAGCTTTAAATTTAGATAGGGCTGTAGGGGGAGAGTAGTGGAACACTACTAATAAAAGGCCGTGCGCCGTACCACAACGCAAATGATACTCCACTACTAGAGTGACTCTCCTCATACCTAAACTTAATAGTGAAATATCTCGTTAACGGGTTGGCGGAAATCAAAAATTGTAACACCCAAATGTATTTAAAGTATTTGAAGTATTTACTCCATATATCTATGGAATTTTTAACATAGGTTCTCATTTGAAAAACCAAAGTTGTATTGCCACAGGATACTCTTTAAATGTTTGTGAAATATGTAATAATGTTTGATGACACTGGTTTTAACTACACTTGAAAATTCCAAAAATCAGAATTTGAATGTATTCAAAATTTAACTAAAAAATGGGGGTAAGCAATCCTAGTGAAGGTTTATGTGTTTCATTTTTTTCTTCTATGTTTCTTTCCATCTCTGCTACTCTCATTCTCTGTTTTATTTTATTTGTATACCACCCAACACTCCGAAGTCCAAAACACATAACATAGTGAGTTTCACCATACTTTTACAGAACTTACTTTTAAATCTCATTGAAATTACATTTAAATGTCTATAAATAACTCAAATGTTCTAAAAGTTTTACCACGTTAAGATATTTGCGTACTTTGGATAAATATTTAATTTAAAATCTAAAAATTAAAATTATAAAATAAAAATAAAAATATAAAATTTAAAATTTAAATATTGTCCAAATGATTATCATTGAGAAATGTTGTGTGATATACCAGCGTAGTGTTCAACCTTTTACGAATTCCAAACCCCTAATTTTTTTTTCATCTATAAAGTTCCCTTCAAAAATCGTTTAATATTATAAATAATAATACGATATGATATAATATATTGTACTATATCGTAATATATTATATAGTATATACATAATAATTATGGTTTTTTGCGATCTCCTAGCTATCACTTGTGATCCCTTTGTGAGTCGTGACTCTCTTGTTGAAAACCACTCTCACGTGGTAAACGGACACTTTGTACTGTCTATTGTTTGAGTTGCATACCGCGGACACTTTGAATAGTGGAAATAAAATAGTAAAAATCGTCGCGGACATTCTGAAATAATCTGGAAAAAAAACGGGAAAGACGTGAAATATGTTTTACAAGATAAGATAAAATTAAATTCCTAAAAATTTTAAATCAGTATGAGTTTGGTGATCCAATAGAACATAATCAGATCGAATACACTATAAACCAAACTACTAGATTTTCCATTTGTGTCAGAGTGTATGGCGACATATACGAAATTTAGGATTATCCAAAATGTATAAAGATAACGAACAAATTACAAAACAATATAAAATGATAACATCTTTGGCGTTTTTTTCAGTTTAAAAAATACTTTATAAAATAGTATATACGTATTTAACTTTTACTCAAGAGCTATTTCCATTATTATTATTTGATTCAACATATATTAGCGGAAAAATGGTGCACCTATATTCCCTAAACAAATTTGGAATGTTAGACACCAAACGATTAATAATTCACATAGGACAAATAATTTTTGCGAAGGATGGAACAGTTTATCTAATAAATTGGTAAATCGGTTAATCCAAATCCCTGGAGTATTTTGAGATCATTGCAATTGTGCGAATGTGCTAGTAATTTAAAAAAAAAATATAATTAAAAAAATCGAATTACACAAAAAAGAAAAATTCACGAAGCCTGTAAACAGCACGAAAATAAAATAATAACAAATACACAATTACTTAAAATAATTTTCCATACTTTAAATTTTTAAATTTATATATTATTATGACTTAAAATAAATTTATAGTGAATATTTTGAAAATTCACGAAGCCTGTACATAGCACGAATTTATTATCATTATTATTATTTATGTCTGTTACTACCTCTGTTTTTTTTAAACAGTACAAACTCTCTGCGATTTTCATTTATTTTAGGTGATCGTATAAAATGTCCCGTTAACCATCTCCCATACCTTCTTAACCCCACACCAACAGCGGTGTCCTATCAATGGTGCGAGGCATGACCAAAGCTGTTTTTATATTTATTTTATTATCCAAAGCAATTTTTTTTTTCTGTTTTATCATGCATATTTGATAATACTTCATAAAAAAAAAAAAAGTCCCTCTTGTTTTAGATATTTATTTATTACGCGTAACTATGTAATTTTAAATTTCTTCACCCATAATATTAAACAAACTATAGTACTGCGTTGTTATCGTGTAGAGTTGAATCAAAATATGTATAGCTATATATTTTGTTTGTGTAACCGTTAACCTACTGCTCGGAGATTAAGTCTGGGGGACAAATATTAATAGTGTTGGTCACATTAATTTTTTTTTATTTTTATTGAAACCAATATTTTTTTATTATTATTATTCATTACCGTTTAATCGAAACGTTATAAAGAGTTTATTATGATGACAATTTTTTTAGATTCTGAGTGAAGCGAGGGATATATTGGTTTTACTGTGTGTAAAAAGCAATTCTATTGACCGAGCTCGGTTCAGAATCTTTTTTCGTTAGCACTGATTTATCTTTGCGCATATATATATATATATAATTATATATACATATATAATTATATATAAATTAAATTTCCCCTCTACCTTCCCAACTTGTCATTTACAACAGTGGCCCACCCGTGGTGCGAAGTATGTCCGTCGGTTTTTTTTTTTTTAAATAATAATAAAATAAACGTGTAAACATGTTTTTATATTATTGACGAAAATTCGGTTTTGTTAATATTTTTGTTATTATTAAATATCATAACGATATATTAATTATTATACTTACTCGTATCGGTACATTCTATATAATGATTTATCTATTGTTTTTTTCTAAGAAAATAACAATACTTACAACTATAGGTACAACGTTGAAGTTGCAATTGATTGCAATTTGATCCATTGCATTTGAATTTTTTCAAAAAAAAAATAATCTTACCAAATTCAAATGATGAACACGGTGCATACGTGTATAAAGAATATATTATTATACTTTATAACAGAATATAATGTTGAGTTATTTCCTTACTTTCCTATATCGTGGGTACCATCGATAATATATATCAATTTATTCATTTTTGATATTAACAATTATTTTCAAAGATTCTAAAATTTTAAGGCGTTCATTTTTCAAAATAAATATACACAGGTGCTTACGTATAAACTCATTTTTTAAAGAAATAGAATAGAATAAATAATAGAACAATAGTTAAATAACAATAAATAAATATATAAATAAAAATATTTATTAATAATATAATATTAATTATATTAATAACATAATTAAAAACAATAAATAATAATTTGTATTCATTTAATACAATTATATGTTATATGACAATTTTCATATTTCTAACGAATAAAATTAAAATTCAAAGTAAACAATGAACTTACCATATATTCTCAAATAGATAACGAAAAACTGTTATCATCTTCATTCGTATAAATAGTAAATACATTGGAAATAAAAACAGTATACACAATAAATAAATGTACAAAATAATTTTAAAAAGTCAAATGAATATCACACTATTTATTTTTCGTACAATAATTTATAAAGTCCAAATACACTGTAGGTGTACAACATAAAGACGAACTATTGTGGCACATCTTCTATCAATACATTAATAAGGCAAAGTTTAAGGTCTCGTAGGAGACGTTATTGTGTTATTATGTTTTATTATTTCCCCGTTTTATCACAATTTGAAATAAAATTAGAAAACATGCAATACCTACATAAAATTATTTTTACAATGAATGAAATGTGTGTCCTGAATTTATTCAATTACGAATATTACGAAAATATACTTATGTTATCACGGAACGTAAAACGTATGCATTTTAAAATTCATCGTTTATAAATATTATTACCAATGAATTTATTTATTATTATTAAGAATATAATATTAAGTTTACATTATTATTTTAATGGATGAAAATTCCATCACCAAAATCTATGAAGTTTTATCAGAAATAGAGCTGTAAAGCATTGGTGCACTGCAGCCCTCTCCCCTACTTACGTCTCCCCATAAAAAGATCAACAATATAAAAGTGGTATATATCTTTTAAACTATGCGTTTTCGTTTAAGTTCTTACCTTAACATTTTTCAATAAAATATATTTGTTTAAAAATATCAATAAGATTCGTTATAGTTAAAGAGAGTAAAAAACCCAAGTGCTGGAATGAAAATCCATTTTTTCACGTATATATCTTTTTCGTATGTATTTTTATACCTTGTAGAGAAGGCATTACGAGATTCCATCAGGGAAGAAATCGCGGGTAACATCTAACACAATATAATAAAATATATAGGTATATATAATAATACAAATTAATTATTTTAATTTAATTTACTGTATACACAATTAAGCATTTAAATTAGAGATCCCATACGTTCTGTATTATACAGGATCGTCCAGTATTTGAGACAAGCGTTCCGGTGTCCTGAACTAATGTTCTAAACAACACTTTTATCCCGTATTTTAAATCGCCTATTCTGTAAGTCCTTTGGTTTTCTTTATTTTTTAAATTACATAATTTAAATTTGTTTTATCAAAAATAATATCTAGTTATGTCAAATAATTTTATTTGCAAAATATATTTTGATTTAATGAATTGAGATTGATCGTTATAATTACTAAGAAGATCGAAACTTTAGTTTTATTTGTTCGTGTCTTTTTTTCCGACTGGCAGTTAAAATTCCTAGGACCAAACAGTAGACAAGTGATATCATAAGAGTGGGTAGTATCACTGCAGACAAATTACAATATTGAATAATGTTAACATATATTAATAAATACCGTGTTTATAATAAATAAATCTGGGATCCCATAATTTAAATACTTTGAATACTCACTTCTTTGATCGTGAAGTCCGTCTGTTCTTTTGGCTTATCTTCGTTTTAGTCATAGATTATGTTCAACTTCGGTCCTGATATTATAGAATTTTTAATGCCGGAGAGTTTTAATGTTAATTACAAAATATCGTTTTTCAATCATCTTATTTCTTCATAAAAACCGCACAAATACCTATGTTCTGAACAATCTCATCAAGTATACATTTCTTAGTGCCTACCTGTTTAAAATTAAACCTAATGTGTAAGTTTGTTATGAAATGCATGCCTGGTATAAAAAAAAATAACAATTATCTATAGATTAGCGTGTTACATAAAGAAGTAAGAGCCTTTTAACTTTTAATAATACTGGTCTTGGTGTCTAAGATATAAATTATTTTTACACACAACAACGAAAATTAAAGAACACTACATTTTCTAAAAAATAACATAATATCTATTTGGTTAAAATAATGATTTAAAAAAATTACTGCATTTTTTGTGGTACAAAATAATATTATTTGATATTTACTGTCTTGATTAAACAAACTACAAAAAAATAATTCACAAACTTAATAAAATGTTGTAGGTATCTTTAATTTTTATAATGAATAAAATCTTTAAAATCAATTAATTGGAATGATTCCTTTTCTGTGGTTAGACCAATTTCATTTTTAAAATATTAAACGCACGTGATAATGTTAAGGGCAATTTTTAAATTTATTTAAATGTGAATTTGAATATTTTGGAGTTAATAAATGTTTATTTATTCAAAAAAAAACATTGTTGCTAAAATTGACTATTCACACCCCTTAAATATTCCACTTGTCGCATCCTTCTTGTAACTATATCAATAAAAATCATTTTAATTATTCAAGATTTTCGATTAAATACCATTACGTAATATAAATGGTAGTCAGACAAATAAAACAAAATAAGAGTCGATATTAAATTTTATATAATTTTTAACACTAGTAGGTAAGTAGGTAGGTAGTAAAAATAAATTATCAAATAGCTATACAAAAACGAATGTGATCATCAATAATATTGAACAATTTAACTATATAAAATATATTCAGAAGAAAAATGTTGTCATGCCTTGCGTTCGCATATATTTTGTATTCTCATGTCACTTAACGTCATCGATTCAATTCCGTTATGATTGGATTCAGCTAAAACAAAATTAATATTATTTGATCAAACATAATTTATAAATTTATTTTCTAATTGTAGAATAATAATAATAGCATATGATAAAAATCACTCTACAAACACTTTATTTCTACTATTTAACGAAGGGATTTGATTGGTAAATGGTTTTCTGGTTATTATTATTTATTACCTATTATTATTTGTATTATTATGAATAACCTATTAGTGATGTGCAGTGTTAAGTGTCGATTATTTTAATATTACGAATATTGATAAAATTTGTTTTATTTCCGCAACAACATCTTTAACGATTTGCAATCAATATAAAGTTACGAAAAATATTGTATCGTACGTGAAGTTTTATTTGAAGTTTGAGTCAGTATTTATAAATAAGCATACTATCACATTTTTAAGTGCACGTGAGTTGTACGCATTTGATTATAATATTATGTAATTATATGGAAGTAATATTTAATTATTTAAAATGTTGTTTACATCATATTATATAAATTCGAATATTTTTTTAGATTCGGAACGTAGGGAGGGACCTATTGGTTTTACTATAACGTGTGTTGTAGTTGTTTTATTTTTAATTTTTTTTTTTATCTGTAAACAACTTTTCAAAAGAAAAATATAACATCTTTTCTGAAAGGAAATTTTGTCTAGTCGGTACCAACTAGAAAACGTTAAAAATATTCGTAGTCACAAAAGTTGGACAGAAAATAAATATTTGCCTTTTCTAGACGTGGTAAAATTATCAAAATATTTGAGCCATTTATAAACTATTTATAGATATTTTAATTTTGTGAGATTTTACGTAACTTTTTTTCAGTAGATACTCTTTGAATAAAAATTTTAAGACTACACACAAATGCTTGATAATTTAATGGAAGGTTCATTATAAGTTACATTTAGTAATCAACAAGAAAACGTAGAGTTTAATGTAGTATTTTTTTTTTATACGCGAATTTTAATATCAAATTTTGATGAAAATCATAAATATTACGGTCTTTTAAGAGATGTATCCACTCAGAATCGTTTTTCGTTAGCAATGATTAATCGTTTCGTATAAAGATATAAATTAAATAACATTATGCATTCTATCTTCCTAACTTCCCACCTACAACAGTGGCACACCCTTTCCCACTAACGGCTCATTTTTTTTTTAAACTTGGTATAAGTTCGTTTGTTCATATATCACAATTTTATTATTTCGGTACACATACTCATATTATATTTTTTAATGGAATCCCGTACTGGCGCCTTGGATGAAATGTATATGTGCAGTGTCGATTCCAGTAATGCTGCCACGGAAGGTTTAGCGTTGATCAATTCAAATTGAAAAGATTCGGCTTTTAATTCATTTAATAACGATTTGATTCCCTGCGTTTCGAAAACAAAAATGACAAAAATATAATGATTATTAATTATCGGTGGTTGCAATAATAACCATAACGTTATTTTATATTACCATTCTTAAAAATTAAATATCAACAAAAATAAACACCGACATACTTGAGCAGCAGTGTAGTCAGTCTTATCAAAATGTATGCAGTCTATGACAATAAGATTCGGTTTGTTCGTTGGAACTATAGACGATAATTCGAAAATGATTCTCTGTCGCATAAAATCAACGGCGGGGAACAGTAGCCCGCTACTGGGTTTCACGGTCCATGTCACATAACCCGACGAATTCTGAAAGTGGTGTAAGTCCGTAATAATAATTAATATGTTTTGTCAATTTTTTACCGTAGTCCCGTGGGAATACGATTTTATTATTATGAATTATTATTGTTATTTAAAGTGCAGCACAACGGAGCTTCCTCTTAGTGTTATCCACTCCATTTATACTACTAATCAGTAGCGTGTTGAATATATCTATGGATTTATATACGTCCTATAAATCATTTTTTTACAGTACAAACTTTATTCAGCTACCTACACTGACTACATAATATAGACTATCAAATTCGTATCATATGTATATTAATAATATAATACACAAAACTAAAGGTATCGCTGATCTCTGTACTAATTAATCTAAATCAAAATTCAACATATTTGGTGACCCGTCCATCCACCTATTTTAGTCAATCATTGCTACTACTGTCAATAAGAGTGGTATTTACCCAGCTATCACAGTTTTCTAGAATTTCTAAATTTGTTTTCTAAAACAACCCTAGAGGTTAATACACGGACTATTTCATCTGCTATCCTTTGGCACATTTCAGCCGAAGTCTGTGCGAATTGTCCCTATTAGATAAAAAAAAAAAATCTTACACAATTGTGTTTATAACTAACAAAATATGTGCTCGTGCTTCACTTTGCGATAAGTTCCTAGATGTTCACCTTAGTTAATTTTTTTGTTTACAATAATATATTAACAAACTGCACAATAACAACGTTATTTGTCTTGTCAGTTGCGTATAAAATATAAAAATAGGCATACTTACGGTTTCTTTTTCGATGGGAATTGATGGTCTTGCGCTACGATACAGCACGACCAGCAAGTCGACACAGATACCGAAAATAAGTCCCAATTCTACGTCGAAAATCAAACACGCAACGAATGAAGTCCCGAACGGTATTAGATCGCGTTCTATATAACAAAAACACAAACCAAACATGCATTTGTTAGGTACCTAATTAAAGACGTAATATGTTAGATTCTAACAACCTATATTTTAGTGTAAGCAGCGGCGCCCAGTCTATATGGAAGGTGTAGCGGTCGCTACACCTTTAACGAACAAACTTTAAATAATATTTATTAACTAGTGAAATTTTGTTTTGATGTGTGCGGGTAGGTGGGTGTTAATTATACATCATGTTATACGTATTATGAAACACTTAATCGTCACTGAGTGTAAGTGTAACAATTATGACATTTGTATTATCTTTTAATATCAGCGTACATTTCAAGCCGTTAGAAACAATTTTCGTCCGCGATTATAACCAGGCTTTAGTGACACGGTAGAAAACCGAATTTCAGTGCAGATTCAATAATAATTATAAATTACTTACAAAAATGTGAAAACTAAAAAATTGTTTCTCTATTTAATGAACACGCTATACCTACAATACAGATATAATTAGTTCTATGCCCGTCATTTATCAGTTGTTATGACGGTCATTGGAATGTTTATAATTGGCGTATTTACAATGTTTGTAGTTGTAATTATTATAAATTTGTGGGTAATTAAAAATGTTTTGGTTAAGAAGGTGACGTACGAGTATACTCGCATGTCGGCATGTATTTGTTTCTGTCCTACTGACTCACGATATAGTAAAATTACATTTCTTAGAACACAACGTGTGGCATTCAGAATTTTATATTGAAATTGAAGTTTAATCACATAAATAACAAAATTCAAAGAGAAGAATATTTTTGAGGGTTGTACGTAACTTTTTTCTAAATAATTGTCTGGTACTTAAAACATGTGAAAACAAACATCATTGTAACCTTCTTGTATGTTGGTTTTCGAAGAAAAAGCCCTCTTAAATATTCTTCTATTTCAACCTTGTTATTTGCGTTTGAACTCCACGTTCTTTACGTTCTAAGTATCAATATGGGGAAAAGCGTTACGATTTTCGAATTCAAAACCTTTCTCCTCGATACAATTCTCAATACGCTACCGTATATTATATTATATAACTGAATACGCCTGTTAATTAATTAATTATGTTTTTGGCGAATATTCGTCGTCTTTGCATACAGAACGGAGAAGAGAATAGTGAACGGTTTTCGTTCTAATACAATATTAGTCTCGTCGGTTATATCGAGGGACAACAGAAACTTTACAATATTGAGAAAACAATACACCCCCGACTTAACTGGCGAAACCTATCACGTGTCCCTGATATAAAAAATGTACATGTAATAAACAATATTATTGCCTCCCTCACGTGGAGCAGTTGACGGGATGTCGTGTACGATTTGAATATAGAATAAGGTACACGTGAGGACGCCATGTGCCGAAACACGTGCTGCGGTAACAGGATCGATTAAACTCGTTTATAAAATGCTTTAAACAATGTTATAACGTTGATCGTTTTAACAAAAAGTTTATATTTATTTAAATCGATTTTATATTATTGAGTAGATTTGAAAACAATTTTTTTTGTTTTTGGAAAAATTATATTTGAAGATTTACACCTAGTATACCTATTTTTCAGAAAAAAACGCCCTAATTAATTGATATATAGCAAATATATTTATTTTTTTTTTTGACCGTGCTGATTATAAAACGAACTAAAAAATAAACAAAATTGGAAAGTGGCGTTAGTAAAAACATTTTCTTGCATATATACAAATACTATATACTACAATACGGGACATTTATGGTCAAAACTGGCGAAATTGTTATAGTTGTTAAATAATTAGGTTTAGCGTATGAAATCCTAAAACGTAGTCTATAACAATTAATTTAAGGAATCCATTTTGGCAATTATAATAGTAATTAAAAGACAATTAAAGACAAATTGATAAGATCGATCGTCAGGTTTTACAGTGGTAAGTGCATAGAGTTTATAACTCTGAGTAAGCGTCCCGTATTGTCGTATATAGTAAATATTATATAATATTATTATCATATCAAAAAATAAAAAGTTGAAAAAATTGCCTATACGCAACCCCTTTAAATACGGGAAGTATCTCGTATTCTCATAAAGGTTCATTTTAATAATTGTGTTCGAAAGTTAAGTAAACAAAATAGAAAAATGTTGTTTTTCAGTTATGTCAGCTAATAGTCCAAATGTGAATGAATTTAATATTTTCGAAGTATAAATAATATAAAAATAAATCATAGACGAGTACACTAATATATTATAATACATTGTACCTACCTGTTATTTTATTTTATTTGAAATATTTATGTTTCATGCATAACTTAATTAAACAGAGTGGTTGGGTATATTTTAATTGTTTAAAATATTAAAAAATATTTTTATTTTCTACATGTATAATATATCGATTAAACTTTACTGGCCATAACATTGTATTATAATTTTAATCTATTTTAGCCTATACTCATTACTCCTATTAGTATATGAATAGGTTATAAACAAAACTCACATGTTACAAAAAAAAAAAACATGGAAAAATGAGTTTGTAGCACATTTTATATGACTTTTGACAGAGAATCCGATTCCGCAATCGGTTCGTTTCAAAATGTACACGAACAAGTATAAATTTAACCAGAAAATAGTGATTTATATATTGTTATACTCAGAGTATCCGTAAATAATAAATTTTTTAATATTTTAATTACTTAAATAATACATACAAATATGGAAATTGTAATGTAATAATATATATGTATAATAAAATATTATTTTAATTTTAATTCTAGATAACTCGGAAATTCTACTAATACCTATTTAATTTTTAGTTTTTCACAAGTTTCAAAATATTGAAATAATGAAACTTAGCATAAGGCAATGAAGCATAATGCCTCATCCGGGCACCGACGTTTATAATTTTATATAGGTCCGTTAACCACTGATATTTATACATAGATACGAGTATTATATTATAAGAAATATTTAGAAAAATATTCAAGTTTAGAAATGTATGATTATAAAAAAACATGTTTAATTTATTAGGGAAGCGTATTTTCACGAGAACGGGCAAGTTAAAAAAAGCTGAAAAATTTACCCATAATATTATTATTATCTCAGTAAGTCAAAGCGCTTACACACAATCATCTCAATTTCATTGTATTAAAGTTCAAGTTTGTTAAATATAGTTTTACTTGTATGAAAACGGTATAGGTATAGGTATAACCTATACATACTATACCAGTGTATTTATATACTGGTTTGGACAATTACTTGCTCTATTCATACTCAGTTCAACGTAAAAATAGATTGCTATTGATAATTATAAATGTTTTTTACGCGCGTTAAAATAAGTATGTACAAAATTAACATAATAATAATAATAATAATCGTTAATAACGATACAATAGGATATAACGATAATAATCGTTATATCCTATTGTATCTAATCGTAATATACGGTTATAAATAATATTAAATAGTCAAGTCTGACATCTAGAATATACCGTTTCATAAGATGCATTACGTGTTTCCATTGATTATAAGTACATAAATAAATATTTATTATCATAATGTATGTATATATATATATATATGTATTTATGTATAATGTATATTGTATGTAGTATATGTAGGTATGTTTATGTTTTAAATAAATCTACAGTTTTACATACTTGATAGGTTAGGTTAGGTTAGGTGTACTATATTATTAGGGATACGTACATTTTTTTTTAGCTTAACATTACATTTTACCTGATCAAATAGTTTTTCGTATACGTATATATGGCTATTGTTACGTATAATCTGCATTTTTCATTAGATATTCATTAATAAATCCCAATATATAATCCCATTATTAAAATTAGTAAAATAATAATTGTTCCACGATGTTGTAGATTTCAGCGTATTATAAATGTCATCATGTACTCGAATACTGTACAGATAATTATGAATATTATCTAAGTATATATAATATTATAAATTGTGAAATATTTAAATTAATAGTTATACGAAATTTATCAAGTGCATTAGAAGGGGAAAATATTTTTATCGTTAAACCCGACCCCCTCCTTAGCCGTATTTAAGCCCAAAATATATTTTATGTTTCAGGTTGTTATAAAATGTGTAGTTAAATGATTTTATTTAATATTTGATACTGTTATTTATCCTGAAGGTTGAAGGTGTTATAATATATATTACTAAGTAGGTATATCAAACATTTACTTGATAATGGACAATGATTATTGGTTATCTTATGGTTATGATCTATCTGCTATCATGTATGACTTAATAAGGCATGTGTGAGCTCTGAAGCTTATCCTAAAGTTGTATTTGAATGTAAAATTAAAACAACTCTTGGGCTACGCACCTAAAATTGAATTAAAAATATATTGAGCTATATATATCTTATATGTATAAAATTCTCCGGTCACAGTGTTTGTTATTGAACTCCTCTGAAACGGCTTGATCGATTTCCATGACATTTTTTATGTACACTTGGTAGGTTTGAGAATAGGTCGTAAGTATTTTTCACCTATCCTCCTTTTTAATCGCGATTTTAGTATTTTCGCTTGTATATATTTATACGAGCAACACCAAATAATTTAGCTTATAATATAACAAATACAATTTTTTTTTGTTGATTTGTGTTACCCCAGTAACAGGAATGAATAACTAATACTGTGACCGGAGAATTGTATGTATAAGATAAGATTTTTATTTATTCAAGGGTTGCCACAGAAAATAAAACCATAATAATTTTTATTATTACTATTATTTACACTATTCACATTTCACAATAGAACACATTTAATCCACCAGAGGCGGACTACCCACTCTCCACCTATTTCATATTCAATTCTAACACGGTCAACACCAAAAATGAATATGGGTAAAATAATAATAAAACAAATTGGCACGGGCAACGCCGGGCGCGGGACAGCTGGTTTTATTATAACTATTATTAATAAATGTATATATTATGTCGATGTTGGGCATATATAATGCATTATATAGAAAATATGCGTTAACCCATTTTTTAAGACCTAAGTTTAAACACTTATACTTACTATTGGTTTTCCATAACGAAATTACCATATCGTACCGAAACATTGACGTTATCGCACATATGAGTACGGCGGACAAACTGGACTTGGGTATATAACAGAGAACGGGCGTTAAGTACAACAATGATAACATGCCCAAAATAGCTTTATAAACAGAAGAAAAAATTATTTTTATTATAATAACCAATATTTTCAAAAATCGGTGACGTTTACTTGTAAATATTGAGCTGAAAGTCGTACGAACGCCGGTGGTGTGGTTTAGAGCAGATCTAGTCATACTCCCTGCGACAGGCATAGCTCCCATAAACGAACCGAAAATATTGCACATTCCTAATGCTATCATTTCTTGAGACGCGTCCACGACTTTTCCACCACCTGTGTTATACATGGATAAAATAATGTACTCAAATAAACGCCATTGTGAATAACATGATACCTATGGCGAAATACGAGTTATTGAGATATACTAAATATGTATGATCACAGTGAATCATATTTTCGTTCAACATATGCATCTTCTCCACATTCGGCCTACGTCGTAGACCGTAGTTCTCCATCTCCACTATTATCGACAATGCTAATGTTAGCCAATAATATGAAATGGAGAACTACAATAGTAGGTGAAGTAAAGAAATATATTAGCGGAGTGCGCGTGCCAAAAATCTGTGATCATAACTATCAATTTTCAAGTCAAAGAAATAACTTACTGAACGCTTTTGCTACGGATACCGTGCTCAAAATCGAAACCAATGGAACAACTATGACGCCTGGCCATAGTTTATCTAAACCTTCAAAAAATGTAAACTTCTCGTTTTCGTCTTCGTAGTCGGAAAATGGAAATCGAAATTTTGGTATACCACTGGCTATTTTACCTAAAAATAATATACGCTTGTATATTAATAATAGGATTATGTACCTACTGAAGAGCTACGTGGAAAATCAATCATAGTCAATATTCCCAACATCTTCACACTGATCACTTTCCCGTTTCCACTTGGACTATGATCTTTCTTTGCCATCATAGGTACTTTAAAAATTCTACTGTAGCGCGGACCATGAATTTTCTTCCCTAACACGGTTCATACATCGATTCGTCCAGGAACAAAACACTAAAGATAAAATGATGTAACTATCTTCATTTTGACGATCGATTGACTATGATCGTTTTTCTCCACAGCCTTTCAATTATAATTATCCATTTCATATTATTCGAACGTAAAAATGTTTTAATCATACAATGATAATACAATGGTTTTAACTTGCCTGTTATTTCTACTGCTGACTGACCGTCTTTAATCGTATAATACGCTATAGTGGAGGTCACAATAACTACGAGAACGTTACTTCCAGTGGTCAACGTGAACAATAAGAACGAATAAAATTTACTTTTCATACCTTTGGAATTAATTTTTATGTTTTTCAAGCTCTGAAATTATAACAAGCAATATTCGAATAAAAATGAATTACATAATAAATATATTACATAGGATATAGACATTTACTTTTTTTATTATAATACATTTTCTCACTCACTTTTAATAAAATCAATACAATTATGCTTATTAATCCCATAGCGGTATCTGCCATTCGGGCGTTTTTAATATTTTCTGAAAATTTTACCCACATTTCCAAGCAATTTTTGGCATGGTAAGATATTCCGAACAATCCTTTTATTTGAGAAGAAGCCATCATAATAGCTGCAGCCGATGTAAATCCGCCTGTCACCGGCATTGATACAAACTCGACAACAAATCCTATCATATATAAGGTAGGAAAAAAAATTATAGGTTGGGTTATGTTTTCTTATAAAGATGATAGGCAAGGTATTTGGTAAAATAGTTGTTGAGTAGAAACCTAATTGAGGTTAGGTTAATCTACGAAAAAAAAATAAAATAGGTACCTACCTAAATAAAATATAAAAGATTTCTTTGAAAAAAAAAAAAACCATATTATACCTACTTACGAGTATTAAGTAACGGTATTTTAATTTAGAATCGTCAAGAATGATTTCATATTATATATCTTTGACATAAATAGGAAAGAGAAAACGCACCTAATAAGAATAGATTTCTAATATATAGACCGTGGAACATTATCTTGTACATTTTAAAAAATAATACGATTTATGATTCTAAGGAAGAATAAGTAATGTAAGGTAAATTTTTTCGATTTTACTATGATATGTGGGTTTGGTTTATGAAAAAGTTTTCGACTAGAAGACTTGCTCCGATCAAAAATAGTTCTTATACGAATTGTCTTAGAGAATTATGGATCTAGTTGCTGCATTGAGGACATAATTTTTTTTTTTTTTTTCAATTATTTGTGATTTTCCTAAAAATGGGAAAAAATCGAAAAAATCGGAATATTTATGAATCTTCAATTTTTGTTAAATCTAAGTTTAATTTTGTTTTTGAAATTTATTAATAAATAACAAACGTGACATTTTCCCTGAATAATTATGTCAGCATTTTCCATTGTCTCTTTTTAAGATATTTGAAATATTCGATTAGGAATTATCTTTAGGTATGTGAATAAAATTTGTTGGACCTATAAAAAGATCGACATTTTGATACAAAGTTTTATCATACATTTATCTAACTGAGGGTCACAGAAAAAACCAGTCGAAGGTTATCAATTTTATTCTTTTTAAGCATCTAAAGTTTCTATGTTAATAAAACTCGTAAAGATTCACGGAAAAATGTAAAAACTATATAGTAGTTGAAATTGATAAAATATTGAATTTAATAAATTAGCGGATAAAAAGTTTTTCACTCGGAATAATATTTTAGATTCTGAGCAAAGTAAGGAATGTATTGGTTTTACAATATTTATTTTTTTTTCTGTGAACAAATTTTGCTCCGATTTTAAAGTGCAGCACTTTATCTGAACTTAAATTTTTTTGAGGTGGTACTTTAAGTAGGTTATTTTTTTGACTTTCCTAGAATGTTGCATTCAGAATTTAAACTACATATATAGTATATATCATCCTATACTTTTTAAACTTTCTAATCAGTAATCACTACTTCTATTCAAAATTTTCTTTTGTTGTTGTTTTTTTTTTGTTCTATAAAATAATATAGGTAAATATGTAGTCTACTTTTTTTTAAAATACTATATACCGTCTCGAATAAAAATGTTTTTCACTAAAGTCATAGGTGACGGCACCGCGACGTGTAAATTATTCAGATTTATGATGACGGTACGGACGTGATCCCATGTTATTATAGTCACGGGGAAGAATTAAGATAATTTTTCAAAGAAAGAATCGTGGTGAAAGCAGCGGTGTATTTACGGGGGGGGGGACCAAGGGGATAAATCTCCCCAATTAGCTATTTATATGCAAATAATTATAGTCTTATTATTTAAAATGTTTTTTTTTTTATTGATTATTGATTACTGATGTTTGATTGTATAGAGAATTGATATCTCTGGTCAATGACCTATGGTAATTACATAAAGTTAGACCTTATACTACTAGCATAAGTTTGTTATATTACTAGATAAAATGATATCCCCCCCCCCTAAGACAAAAACCTAAATACACCACTGAATGGGAGCACCATACACTATAACATCACTAAATATAAATTTTCTTTTATTAATACTTAGCTTATCGATGATCCTCCTCATCCTATGAGGTTTGAATACTTTGATGATGCGACCAAATAGAGGAAAATAGTAAAAAAGCTATATACATGTTGCATATAAATTAACATCATGGGCATGATTGAACACTGTCATCTATGCGACAATATAATTTATAGCAATCTAATATTGTGTTGTTAAATGAAAGAGGAGAGTAGATTTTCCTCAACTTGTGGTAACAAATTCGATAACAATGACAATAATATATGATCAGGTTTTTATATACCTAAACGGAAAATTCCACAAATGAGTTCAACTATCCCGGACACGAAACACAATATGACCACCGTGGTTGGTAGTTGCGGACTGACGTAGTTGAACGTGAGCAACGCGACGACGGATGCAGGACCAATGGTAATCTGTTTCACCGATCCAAATACAATGTACATTACGCCACCGAAACACGCCGAATACAATCCAAACTAAAATATGCATTCATGATAAATACAATAGACAAAAAAATAGAAATAACTTACATTTAACGGATCATATCATTCAATAATAACAATAATAATGTATTATGGTCAATAGCAATAATCAATTAGAAAAAAATTAAGTTTTTTTTTAACAGTTTTATATAATAGTGTATGCCTGTGTATAATGGTACATAGTGGAAAGAAAATTACGATGGTATTAAATGTGATTTTCGTATTTAATATAATAGTCAGTACTCAAAATTACTTTTTATTGTTTTTATATATAGGTATATATATAATTTTTTTTAACTAAAAAGGATGCTATGAAATCTATGTTTTAGTATCGTCATAATATGATATTATTACAAATTTCCCGAAAGACCTGAAATCATGTGTTGTGCCATTTTTTTTTCTCTACGTTTTCAGTAGAGGTCTCAATTTAAAACGTAAATTTATAAGTTTGGGAAAACGGAATCTGTGTACATGAGAATGAAAAGTTTTTACTCGCGTATACTTAATACACGTGAATTTATTATCCATGTTAAGGTGTTTTAGTTTTATTAACTTTTTACGTAGTGAAAAAAGTGAAAAATAACGCAAAATATATGAATATTAATGTACACTTGAAATAGGGAGCTCTAGTTTTTCCCATATGCCAGATATACCTACATATTTATATGAAAATTGCTTGTGAATTAATTGAATAATCGTTTTAATTTTTTTTATTTGGTATTTATCATAATAATATAACACCAACCATTCTGTTTATAAAAACGCTGCATATTAGGTACGAATATTATACAATTAGACACTATGACTTTTTTTTCCACCTGTATAAAAAGTAAATACACATACATGCCTACAGCTATTTAAGTTATTATTCCTATTCGTGTTATATTGTGATGTGTAGGTATTTATTATATAGACGCGCGCAGACTTAATTCACGGGTTATGCAATTATTATAATATGGGTTCAATCCTTTCGCCAAAAATTTTTCGTATTATAGTATGTTGTGAGAAAATAATTATTTCGATAAAATTAGAGTACCGACAATTTTTAATTAACAACTCCCCTCCCCCGAAATTATTTTCCACTTACGGCTTCATCATAGACCGTGCGCACGCCTGCGATTCATTATAACACCTGTAGTATTATGCCTGATGCTGTTTATAATAATAAATAATATTAAGAATAGCTATCACGTTGTTATCAATACGAAAAATGTGAATTGCATAATACCTATTATGTAATAATTATAATATCATATAATAAGTAACATTCGTTGAATAAGTATTGGAAAATATTATCGTATTTTTTTTCCATAATAATTTTATTCAATAAAAATTATTCTTCAAAAGAGTAGGTATAATATAGAAAAAAAATTTTTAAAAAAAAATGGGAAAACTATACTTACAGTTTCTTTTTTTTTATTACGCTGTGTATTACGTGAATTATTATTTGTTTACCGAGAACAATTCCTAAGTTCAACAATCAATATTATTGAGAAATAATAATACGAATTTTATGAAGTTTATTATACAATAGTCAGTGCCGTGTGATACATTATTTTTTTCTTTGCGTGAGGTTCAGATATAAAAAAAAAAACACGTTTTCGGTGTTAAAATACCACTCTAAGTCTTGTACAAACCAAAAATAGATCATAATTTACCAAAAAAATACTTTGCGGGTTCTTACTAAATTTGTAGGTAGTCAGATGATTTTATGATTATATTACAATTTATTAATGTAATTTTCCACCTCCATGGAAAATGAGTGAAATCCCTTATAAGTTATACTTAAATATTAAATTATAATTAAAGATATTATAAATTAAACCTAGGTTTTTGTTAGTTATTATTTAAAAACAATCTCCATCTCGCTACTGGATATAGTTGTTTTTTTAGTAATATTATTGACCACTTCGTGTTTTAAATTTTAATCGAGTCAATCGAGAACAGACAATTTGCTCGAGACAAATGCTTCGACATAAGAATAAAAACAGACGTGGTACCATGTTAGTGTGTGTTACCTGTAAATAATAGATCCCCGTCCATCGTTAACACGAGTTTGTGACATTAAAATGTATAGACTTTTTGTTATACTGAGGAAAAAGTATTTTAAATATTAATAAACAACATTTTATTGTGTTCTACTTGGCAGGAAGGACAATTGTATTTTTTTTACCTACAAAACTATCATCATCTTCGCCTTTACCTCACACAAATAGCCAAGTAGGATATTTTCGTTTACTTACATAATAACGAACCAGTGAGATATTGATATTTACATACTTGCGGATATAGTGATGAGAAGCTATTGAACCACCCTAGGTCGAAAATCCTGTGTTTTGCTATCCGACACATGCAATTTATTATAAATTTGAATTTTTGTCGAATTTTCCCCGAGTATTGAGAATATTATAGCCTACACACTATCCGTCAATAATATACCTTTTTCTCGTTACTTTTGTACACTTTTAGCGGCTCCTTGATCCCTTTCGACCAAAAACTCAAACTTGATATGTATACTTAACCACATTGCAGGTAAAGGATTTTTCGAATAAAAATGTCCTATGATTCTTGTATTTTACCATATTGCAATTTTACTCGGTTTTATTTAAATTTAATCATAATACACGATTAATTGTACAAATAATTAAACATTAATTGAGAAGAGATTATACAAAAATAATTTATCGTCATTTTATATCCAGGAATGTAAAATCAAAATTTTTTTTCCATTTTCGAAACATTTTTGCTCCCCCTCCTCTTCGATTGAAAACCTAGCTAACCCCCGTGTGCAATTTATATTTGTTTTTAACAAAAATCAAGCAGTGATAATTTTGTTAATGCGCTCTGATACTCCAAGCACTCCCAAATTTTTTTGAACAATTTTTATTTAAAGATAAATGTTTATTTAACCGATATCCAATAAACCAACAGTGCCAATATGACAATATTTACCGTTATCTACAATCAGGTCTTGTCTTCTACCAACTCTAATCAAAATATCAATTTTTTATATTATTTAGTTTATATTTAGTTGAGAGGTTAGCGTTAGCGTTTTTAAACATAAAAGCTTGTGTCAAAAAAATCTTTTTATCTCGAAATGAATATGATTTAGCAAATTTTAGTTATTATTTAGTAAAAAAGTTTAAGCAAAGATAATTATATAACATAATAACGTTACTTAGGGAATGACATATTCAAATATTAATTTATAAAAAAGTTACTAATTTTTTTTTTATTGTATAAGAAGGCCACTTTTTAATCTTGAATATCTACCGTCTCATTCAAATAAATTTAAAATAAATATGTCATACCTTAGATAATGTTGCTGTCTTTAATTTTCAAAATAAGTAACAATTCTAAAACTTCTAAAGTACACTTTAAAAAATACTTTTGCCCATTCAACATGAACATATTGCTTATGGACAATTTTCATGTTTTTACGAAAAATACTTGGACTAGGAACTATTTTTAAATTTATACGAAAGTGAATTTGATTATTTTTGAGTCAATAAATGTTTGTATTTTTTTAAAAATTCCGTTAATTTTATTGCTTATATGCGACACACTAAATATTGTTAGTTTGATCGCTTGAGGTAAGGACAAGTTTATATGACAAATATATGACAGACTCCTGTGATTTTTATTGTAAGTATGTAGGTAAAATTGTATAAATGACTTACGAGTGGGTCTAATCCGGCCAGCGACGCGTACGCTATAGCTTGTGGCATCAATGTCAAGGCGACAGTGACACCGGACACTGCATCATAGAGTAAATCTACTTTTTGGTACCGCGGCATCCATGTCAATATGGGCAAATAACTGACTATAATTGCGTACAGCTTATCGCCACAAGATCTATTGTGCACCATTTTGTCTTCTCCGGTACGGAATCTTCCTCTTACATTTATTAATATCGACACTATATTTATTATGAAATACAGTTATCCGATATTTCCTCCTGTGTATATACAATAATATACACTAGACTGTAAAAAACAAAAATTGTACAAAATTAAATAAAGCCGAAAATACTTAACTCCAGTGACGTGCACGGGAATTTTCAATGGGAGGCAATATAGACATCATGAATAAATCGCGATATATTTTACTGTTATACCTAACCTGCCTATGATATTTTACACGTCGCATCCAAAAATGCCAATTTTTAATCTTTATATCAAGCTTTTCCTTGTGGCTTGGTTGAAATATATGGATAATTCAAAATAATATTACTAAATAAATATTCATAGCTGTTGTATTTGCATGCCAATGAAGGAATATAATCCCTAATCTCCTCCTTTCTGTGCATACCACTGAGCAGGCTTCTGTTTTAACCATTGTATATAAGAAGTTTGGAAGGTATTGGATAAATGGTAAATAAGAGTTTAACGATTAATCATTGTAATCAAAATACGATTTTGAGAAAAGTTCAGTAAACCGGTAAACTTAGAGTATTAATCATGTGTTTTAATGTTTTGTAACCCAAGAAATTAACAAAAATCAAATTAACGTATCGTCATTGTTGTTAGTATTTCAATTTTTTAGAAAACGATTTGGAATATATAAAATGAGCTTAAATTAACATCTGTTAAAAATCCATATCTTTTGAGGACACAATGAATAAAATCGTAGCATTTTTACTAACAAAACTATTGAATTTCCGAGAAAAAAAAATACACTTCTTAGTAAAACTTGTAGATTATTCACTTTAGCATAACTTTTGAAATATTTTTAGATTTCTATATAATATTTTAAAGATACATTATGATTATAACTCAAGACTCTCCAAATAAAAATTGTAGTCATTCCACACAGTGGTCCACAACAAAATAAAATACACTAAAAGATTTAGTCATTTAGATTTAGATTTAATCAATTATAGCAACAAAATTAATACATTTAAATATAATTTTTATTTATAAAAGAAGATCCTACATGTAAATTTTTGTTTAGTAGGTATTAGTAATTATTAATTAAGTATAATTCAATAGAAATATCAAAACACCAACAGAAAACCACCAATGAGCGATACTACGAAATAAGATCAGGGGCATTATTTGTAGGTTTCAGACTATACTTTGGCAGCCCTATATTTTTAAATGTTTTTTTTTTGTCTGCAGAAAAAATTATTACTACGCTGTTGTTGATAAATGTAAAATGCAAATGGTAATCGAACTACCGCCAATGGTCTCCTCTACAGGAGTCCGATTTGAGATGTGAGAGTGAGATACAGAGGATTTTTACCACAGTTACTTGTCAATTGTTAATTTTTATCATGGCTAAAAAAAACAAGCATGTTAGCAAAATAATAGTGCGCGTCGAAACTCGGGTCACGTAGAATAAATCACGATAGTATCAATGTTACTATAATGCTATTAAACCTAGTAATAAATATTAAAATGTAAAGCAGAAATACGAATAATATAAACGAGCGAAGCAAACGAACAATTTTTAAAAATAATTGGCCCGATTCAAATTTTTGTATCTATATTGAAAACTGAAATGACGCCTCTGAATAAGATAGTATTTTAATTTATAATAATCAATTTTAATCACAAGCATAAATAGTTAACAGCTGATAACCACAGTGTGATAGTATTTAGCTTACATATGAAGCTCCTGCTACAGGTTGTGGCTCATGGTCCGATAAATTATTGCTATACATGTAGTTAGTTTAAGTTTTAGTAATAAGTTGAAAAACAAATCTTATCAATTTTAAATGCATTATATTTAAAATAATTATTAACTATCATACAATAAAAAATTATATTATTTGTTACAAAATCGTGTCATCATAGTAGGCCAAAAGAGGTATTTAAAGGCTAAAGCCCACTAGCCCTCCCGAATCCCGCTAATGTCCCACAACCTTAAATTTGGCCCACCGAATACCAATATAATACTATTATATTATTACATACCTAACTACATACCTGTATTATTACATCAATAAATATACTGTGCACAGTTCAACGTTCAAGTTCATTGAAACATACAAGTAGTATTATTAGTCGAGTACATATTTATTTATTAACGTATTATAATATTATTAGACGAATTGGTATAGTTTCATGCACGATAATAAACAATGATGTACTTAATAATACCTATTATATTGTTCTTACACCAATTATTGTTACGATAATTTTCAAACTAATCGTCCAACAATAGTTAAAGTGACTGAAAATAATACGATGCATATAGGTATACCAATCCCACATAATCTCTTTAACTATGGTATATAGTTGTAAAAATTAAATTTGTAACATCATAATATGTATCATTAAATTATATTATTAAATCAATATCGTATAGAATAATTCATCCTTGCCTACCACTTATAAATACATCATTTGATAGATAGGTATAATATTGAATTATAAATTGTAATAGTTTTATTTTTTCTGTACTCTTACGTTTTTTGTACCTTTATTAAGAAAATTTAATAGGTTGGTTGATTTATTTTAGGCTTGGAAACATTTCATATATATGTTTATATATAAGAAGTATCAAAGAAAAAACAAAAAATCGCGACGATTAACCAAAACGATAAAAACGATACCAAGAAAAGATCGGTTATCTTATGAAATTTAATACTTCATAAAAAAGTAATTTCGTCAAAATTTGTTAAAAAAAAAAATAACCTCGCCATGGTGAGGAGGTAGTACCCTGCAGTAAACTGCCTAAAAGCCTCAAGAGACGCAGAACCGTCCCGCGGTCTACCGGGTCACAATGGTTTCATAACGTCCTCGGAGCGAGGATTTCGCCCACCCCCAAGGAGCCCCCCTTGAAGGCGCTTCTCTCCACCGCCCACCAAGGGCACCTGAAGGCCGTGTTTTCAGCAGTTTCGTCCAAAACCCGACAGTATAAACGCACTTTGGACTAGACAGCCGCACTGGAGGTGGAGGTGATGTCCAAAACATCTAAAAGCGGTCAATATCTACATCAGATGGGACGTTACCGACCACACTCCTCTAGCAGATCATCGCCCTACGTTGGGGATCAACCAGGTTATAGTTATAAATAGTATAATATGGCTACTACGTCTAGAAAAGGCCAAAATAAGTATTTTGTGAAAATTTTAGACCTCTATGATTATTTTTAACTAAATTACAACAAAAACAAAATCAACAATGATGAACCATTATTACCTTAAACGATCCACTTTTTTCAGTTTTGCCCAATTAATAAAAAAAAAAATCGCCTGCAACTATACAAAATTTTCTTTCAAAAAAAGTACTATTTTTTAAAGCAAGATTTCTGGTAGAAAATAAAAATCGAAAGATTTAAAATAATGAAATAGATAACTCCGAGGTACCGTAAATATTCGTTATCTAGTTTTTCTTTTATGTTTTTTCCGATTTCCCAATTATTATAAAAAACATTTCGAAAATCTTCGAGAATTCACTAACAAGATCCACAAAGCAACAGTGAAGGTCTCGTATGATGTTTTGATTTAACCAAGATTTCTGGTAGAAAAGTCGTACACAAATTAATATATAAATATACACTCAGAATCTAAAATGTTTAACATCTAGATAAAAATTAAAATCGATTTTTTATTAACCGAAGTATTGTGTTTGTTACGTGGGCTTGAAAATGTCATTAAATATTTCCAATAAGGTATCTTATGAGGTACTGCGTAAAAAAATGTATCATATTTTTTTAACCAACCAAGTATTTTTTTAAAATATATAAAAAGCAATTTTTTGGATAAAATTATAAGAAATTTAGAAATATTTTTTAAATAATGTACCATCAGGTGAAAAATCCGCATTTATTAAGAACATTATATCATGAACAAATCGGATCATATTCATATAGCACATCATCATTAGAACATTTTAAGTTGTATAATATTATCAATTATGATGCGAAATTTTGAAGGACAAACGAGGCTTCTCGACCGATTTGTTTGATTATTTATTGTTATTGTTATTGAATTTTTTTCATACATTTTTACCAACGGGATGCGTCTTTGTTGGACGCGTATCAATGACCTTATTATTATTATTATTATTTATTTTTTATTTTTTATTTTTTTATTTTTTTTTTTTTTTTTTTTTTTTTTTTTTTTTTTGCGGTATTATAAATTATACAGTATAGTATAGTGATTAGCATTAAGACATTATAATAGTACTTTTTCAAGGATTGATATAAAAACAAAAAAAAATAAAATAAAAATTATAATCTCTCTAAATATAATAAAATAATTCATTCATAAGAATATAATCTTATAAGACGAACGACATAGATACATTCTTTAAATATAATATAATTTTAAAATATATTAAACACGATAAGTATATAATGTTTAGTGGCGTAACCATGGAAGGGAGAGGTGAGAAGTTCATGAAATGCCACCCAAATGTGTCTAAAAAGTATTCCTAAAAAGTACATGTTATTTTTATTATAGATCTAATAATTATAATAGTGACTATAAATACAGCTTACTACATCATAAAAACATAGTTGACTATATTTAAATTTTAAGTGAGTGAGAGGATTGCAAAACTTTGTGTGTGTGTGTATGCGTGTTTCTGAACAACTGTCAAAATGCATGCTCTTTTACCTATTGGGACCTGAGCTAAATTAAAATTGCGTAAATTTCCTGTTAAAAGCGAGTTTCTGTGATGCAAAATAAGTGCATCAAGCTGTGCTACAGAAGATAGACGTTCGAAGGCTAACCGTCAATAAAATCGTGGGTTCGTACTTACATAAGAATTAATATTATACGTTCACTAAGTCCTAACGGGTATTTTTGGACTCCATGTCATATGCAAGACTACAAGCTAAAATAAAACGATGATTATTATCTCCAACTGGAACGTTGTTTTATATTTTCGAGAACAAACACCTACCTATTATAGGTATCTTGTCTATAGTAATAATTGGTCCGGATTAACATATATTGGCGAGTTAAGCAAGTATGTAGAGCTAAATAATGGCAATGGCTAATTTCATTTCTAGTAATACACACAATAGTATCTCGAAATTAATCATATTAATATATTTTAAATAATAAAATTTTTTATCATAAAATAGACAATGTGTATAGCTTGATAAACGTTCTAGGCATTGGTTATGATACATCACTTAGGACTGTTCTCACCAACGTAAAATAAGGCGTTTATCTGCTTCTTAAATTGAGTTTATGGCTGATAACCGACCATGATCTGCCGATTATCATATAAACTCGGTTTAAAAATCAACGTTTACGTTGGTGAAAACGGGCCTTAGACTAAACTGGATAGTAACTAGTTAAAAAATTTCAAAATTAAGTTATAAATTACTTTCTTTGATAACCTTTAACTTAACTTAGTTATTTTATTCCGTTGATAAAACCTACTCGTGTTAAAACTAACTCGTATTTAACTATTAAACTGTCGTTTGTAATATAATATCGGAATACTTGACACGTGTGCACTTACTGCAATTAATCAAAACGTTGTTTGGCATGACGTACTATTATTATGCGTGGACGGAGTTGTGGTGTTTGATAAGTTATGTACAGTTATTATTATTATTATACAACAGATTCGCCTTTAATGAATTCAATTATTGGTCATAATAAACACGTATGCACACATATATATAATACAATATAAGGTTACACATTTATATGTTAAAATATTATATTGGATACGGTGAGTTAAAATTTAAATTTTACGAGAGGTACTAATAATATTGTATTTGATCAACATACAACGGCTCGATTACAATCGAATATTTTTCACAACCATTTTTGCCGAGCAAGTCATTTGTACCTACTCAATTTTAGTTAATTATGGAATAAGAAAATATATATATATATATATTTTTTTAACTATTGTAAGATAAAATTCGTTAAGTTTTTATACATTTCTCAAAAAAAAAATTACTTAACTTTCACTTAAGTTATTCCTCTGCTAAATATGATTTCATTTTTATTATTATAAACCTATTGAATGTTTTCGTTTACAACTTTTTATAGAGCTATTCAGTGGCGCACACTGGATAGTGGAGAGTTCTGGGATAGTAGTTGCCACCCCAGTATTTCAGTTGACTGATAGTAGCCTAAAAATAACCTGAACAAATACATTATTTAATCTAATAAATGAATAATAAACCTTTACTACTATAACTTTTGATTGATTATTTCCTCCTAACAGTTGTCACTCGAGTTTACAATAGGTATATATGTTATTGTTATTTTATGTATCGTGTTTTTTTTTCCGTGATTTTTTCAAGTATATTCTTCGATGTGCACATTAATATAACTTTAAGTACGATCATGGTTGCATATTTATTTCACACTAGGCGTCTACCTTTACAATTAGTCAACAACTATACAATATTATATACTGAAATAATAATAATTATAAGGTTAAGAACAATTATTAATATTTCATTGTCACAGGAGTGCATTTTTTTTAAAAATCGTACTGTGCGGAATCATATTATGAATTTTTTTTGTAATTTTTTACAACACGATGTATTTTTATTTACTGTTTAATTGTTTTTATTGAACCTGTTGTACTTTAATTTTGTATAAAACACATCTGAAATTATTTGTATCATTTTTATTTTCTATAATTTTATAAGGAATTTTAAATGTTATAGGTAGTAATATAATACATTATTACTACTTCTGTAAATATTTAATATGTTTTTATTTTATCTTCGTACCTACTCAATATCTACCTAGTACCTATTTAAATTCAATTATTTGAGTTACATGAGTGATTTTAACTGTTAATAATTAAAAATAGTTCGATAACCTACGATATCGTATCGATAAACTATCATTTAACAAATTTTATAGTACACATAAAGACATCGAAGCAAACATATTTTCATACAAATTTACTATTTACTGTGGTGGTATTTAAATCACCTACAATCACAATTTATAATTTATGACTTAGTATTTAACATGATTATAAAGAAAAATTGTTTTATAATGCACTGGTGTATCATGCAAATTATTCGAGTAATTATTTTTCGAGTTATAACTTATAAAACTAGTAAAAATGGATTAAAGTCCGAAAAAACCATACTTTTTAAATTAGATAAAACAGCATTGATATGATGATGATGAGGCCCTTGGATGTTTTTTAATATTAGGGGGCTCATGGCTTAAAAGAAATAGGAAAAATAAAAAATAATAATATATAAGTACATAAAATGACTCAGGTTTGTATCTAATTAATTTATGTACATTGTAAACTGACTTGGCTGTCTAACGATAACTCATTTTTTATTCGACATTTTTAGGTCAATATAGTAAATAGGTTAATATGAACGAGATAAAAATGTCCAATAAATTCAGTAAATAAACGTTATTCTACCAGGTGCAGCTTTGATAGTGCTATTAGCTGTTATTATAAAGTAGATACTAGAAATTCTTGTCGCCCAAATTGTATTCCTCCATTTTGAAAAGGCTCATCAGATTTCTAAGATATAAAAATATGTTTATATTATATCTGTACTCTTTGGTTGCATTGTTCAACAAGAATTTTGTAAACAAACCATTAGGATTCAATGTTTTGTTCTGTAAACAGATTAAAGAATTTAAGTTTTGTGGGTAAAAATAACTGGACGACGATTTTTTTGTTTACTAAATTCACTGTGTTTTTTTTAGTCTTTTTGATTTTTTTTTTTTTAACATACTATTAATTATTATTATTGAGTAATTATTAATTATATAAAACAATAATTACAATGTAAAACATATCGAATTTGTGGCGTGAAATGCTGTTTTCTTGGATGTCCGAGTAAATAAAACGACAACACATTCCTTAGTCTTAGAAACTACTTTTCATTTACTAAGGATAGTTAAAGGTAGGTATGTCATGTTATAGTAGTTGTCATAATTTTATCAGTAATCTATCTATTTTATTATGAATGCACTATGTGGTTGAACAAATCCAAATACGAATCATTAATGTCTATTTATCTTATTATTCTAAACAAAACGTATAAAATACATTATGGTTTGTAAAATATATATTTAATGTCATGAAAAAAAATTGACATTATTGCAGAAAAAGAGCAACTAAAATTGTCATATTTTTTCAATTACATTTAGTTATTTATTTACAAATTATTTGAATGAACAGTTTAAAAAAGTGTATTATTTTAAATTCGGTTGTTTTAGTCAATGTTAAAAATAAAATCCTTTTCAGTTAAGGCCAATATAAAATAATAATGTATAATGTAGATATATAACTAAATATTTGCCTATGTATTATATTTATATTATACAAGTAAAAACTAACACGCTGCTCTTTCAGCTGATTATCTGAAAAAATATTGTATTTAATTTATTATAAATATTTCATATTAAATTTTAGATCAACACTAATGAGCCCTTTCAATTATTATATCAATTTTATATTTTTGGACGGCCATTAAGATCCACGAATTCCCTTATCAGTTTCCATCTTCACTCTGACTTAATCTATTCTGTGATGCATATAGATAATAGAAGAATTCGATGTGTATCTCGTTTTTTTATCAGGAATTTAAATTATTTGATGCAAAATTCAACAATATATTTTGTATTTATAGTTAATTTCCAAATTTTAGATACTGTCAAAATGTCCACCGGTGGTCGATTTTTACCAATTTATTTTTAGACAATTTTTAGACATATGGTATTGTTTTTTTAGGACGGTGAGATTTACTTTATAGTTGAAAATACGATTCTCTCTGTGGGAAGGGATCAGAGTACTCCAACGGTAAGTCGTAAAAGGCGATAAATGATATTGCATCAAGTCGACAGCTGGTGTAAAATTCTCCCAAAGAGTATGAAGAATTCTAAACAAAACTTTGGTGGATTGTTCTATCTCAAATATGCGCGGAAACAACGGATGAGAGAAGATTAGATTAGATGATGTTAGTGAATGATATGGTTTTATTAGAAGAAAATCTGGAATAAGTTAAGAATAGCTTTAAACTTTGAGCAGTAGTACTTGAAAAAAAGAGAATAACGATAAATATAAAACAGAGAATATGTGCGAAGGTACAGAATAAAATAGCTAACGACAATAAGTGGTTATGGAGGAGGTTGAGAGTTTTAAATACTTAGGATTTTTGTACAAAATAACGGTGACTTTCGTGAAGTAATGAAACATAAGATAAAGTATGGTTGGATTAAGTGGAAAGAAGCGTTAGGCGTTTTATGTTACAAGAGAATTTCAACGAGACTTAAAGGTAATTTCTACAAATGTATGATGAGATCGGCTATATTGTATGAACCGAAGTATTGGGTGGTGGACAGAAAAATATAATAAAAAATGAGTCTAGCAGAGGTGAGAATGGATTAGATGGAATAGATTAGATTAGAATAGATTACAATTAGATTGATGAGTGGAGTGATGAAAGAAGATAGAATAAATAATGAATATATAAGACGTAGCTTAGGTTTGGCTTCGACAGTAGACAAAGTGAGAGAAAAGAGACTGAGATAGTTTGGACATGTCAAGAAGAGAGAAGAATTATAAGCAGTAAATAATTACTAAAGCAGTAATAATGTAAGTAAATGTAGAAGGGAAGAAGTGTAGAGGAAGACTAGAAAATATGTGGTTGGATGCGTTTAGAATAATTTGAGGACAGCTGGTGTATATGAGGTAGAAGATCGGGTCAAGTGGATATTTAGAACGGGAGTTGTCGACCCTAAATAGTTGGAATGAAGATGAAGGAGAAGAAGAAGATATTTCTTGGACGAATCACGCAAAGGAAAACATTTAACTTCCATAGAAAATTTTGCTCTGAATTTTTACGATATTAACGCATAACAAAATTTGTATAAATATTGCTAAACCGGCAAATGTAAGTATTGGGTCTTATAAAATTATGAAACTGTTTTCAATATTTATTGAACCCAAGTCGGCCCTTCAAATATCGATCTGATAAGAGGTTTTTTTTCGAATCGATAAATCATTTCTCCAACAAACAATTATGTTATCGAACAGATTACAATGTTTGATAGCCAATTATTAATTGTTTGTGCAACTTGTCATAAATAATAACCGTGCTATACAGTTTGTCAAGTATTCTCAATAATTCATAACTCTCCAGAATACTTAATAAAAGTTGTACACGACTTACTGAGGACCAATTCCAACATATTATATTCTATAATACACATGGGTTTTGACAGCGATTAATTGTATTCGATTTCTTATCTTTGATAAGAAAGTATCGAGGAAAACGCATAAACTTATTTCCAATGACAAAAAGCAAAAGTTTAAAAGAAGGCCAAATAATGAATTACAAATGAAAATATAAAACAGTTTGTGACAAATTTAAATCTGACTTGGGATGGATATGATTAAATGGATTGCAGATTAATTAAGATGGTACTGGTAAATAAAATACTAGACAGAAACTGACCACGAGAATGGTCAAAGAAGAGATGGCTAGACTCGGTTAAAAAATATCTAAAAGAACTAATAGAAAGGAAACGGGGATTTAATGGAAATTTGGATTTTTATGAGAAGCATAAACAAGTAAACTGATTTTAGAAACAAAGACCTCGTAAACCTTTTTTTTTTTATTTTATAGAAACAATATTTTAATAATTACTTTAGGTTTAACTTATTAAAATAATATTTAATTATTGCGTAAATATACAGAGTTTAAATTTAAATACGTATACATCAAGATATTATCATCATGTAATTATTATAATCAGTCATAATATTTAAAATTAATTTTTTTTAAATTAATTGTAATAATTCTACACAGAATATTTTTCAATAAAATTTAATTTGAATATTATAAGAAATTGATTTTATCGAACGAAAACAAAATGAAAAATAAATATTCACACTCCGATCCGTTAATTTTATTTTATGCTTACAGACAGCATAGTAGTTACAAATATAATTTGTTGATGTATTTAACGAGGAGTATTTACTATATATAATTTTATTAAAAAATATTTTATATCAAATTAATCTTGGTGGTAGCGTAATTTAAAAAAAAATTAATATTACGGGTAGGCCACTATTGTAAATGGGTAGTTAAGAAGATATAGTACCTATTGAGTAATTTAATTTATATGGCGTAAACAACAATTGATCATAGCAGAGAAAAAAAGATTCTGAATAGTACACATTAATCGTGTTTCCCTCGTTGCCAAAGTAACACATTATACAGCAAAAATCAAAAACCAATAAAAAGCACCAAGTGGTGCACTACTCATCATGTCAACAAATGTTTTAACAAATTACAATTAGGCAGACATTTCGTCATCTTTTCACGAATGTATGAAAAAAATGGCACATATTCACTAAATTAAAAAAGTGTTTTTGAAAAAAATACGTCTAACTAATAACTTCAAGTAGGTATTTAAAACAATAAATCTGTATTTTCAAAAGACAAATATTCAGTGCGTTTCTCTCAAATGGTAACGTATTGTAAATACTTCTGCGGGATGGACTTAGAGCGAAACGTGGTTTTTATTTAGAAACATGGCGGTATCGGAACATACGTCATTTTGAACCCCACGGAATCCCCACGATAAAAAAACCTATATTTTTATTTTTATTATATATATTATATATCGAATTTGATAGCTCGTTTTCGACAACGGCACCTATACGATGCATATACAATACACATGCTATGTTATTAAATAAAATATTGTCGGGTGCCCAGCAAACCGTCGGAAGTCAAAATGTTGAGCTAATTTTGAAGCCTGGCACAGTTTGTCGATCTCCCCGTAAAATGTTTTAATTTCGACCTACTAGGTATTTATATGTATACATATGTTTATGCATATATATATATATATATGTATGTAGATATATGTAAAAAAAAAAAAAATATAATAACAGTAATAATAACTTAATAAAAACATAAACTTACGATTGATCGGTCGGTGTTGCATATGTTGTTATGATTTATAGGTAGATATCGACTGAGATTTACACAATAATATTGTTGTGACGTCAATGCGTATGTGTTGTATGAGCGGTGTTTTTCAGATGAGTACGTAATTAAAAAAAAAAAATTTAATTTGAAAAGAGAAATATTATGAAAAATGCGGTTTTCCGACACGATGACGTTTGACTCGGCGTGCGCACGATTGTTGTAGCAGATGTGCAGTCTGCACGATACGGATAATATCCGGCACAATAGCTGTTACCTACATTATATAGAGAAAAACGCGATGGTTGTATTTTTATGTGTTTTTTTTTTTTTAAAAAAAAATTATATTTCGAACGATGATCCGCGGTGAATACGAAATTTGTTTATCGCGACGACGTTAAACAGTTAAATAAGTAGTAACTTGGCGTTCGGCACACGCGACGATCCGACAGCAGACTGAAAACTATCGCGGACGCGTAGATAATAATAAAATAATAAATCGTTTACTAAATTCGTGTGGGTACCGGTATACTAAATTGTTATTGCCGTCGTTACGACGTTACGTAGAGGCGAAATTTGAAAATGTATCGCGCGGTGCGTACCGTCGCGTTGTCCGGCCGAGAAGGAACGCGCGACCCGAGACGTGCGTATTAAATACTATTTTTTTTTTTTTTATTTTTTTTTTCTTTCTATAATAGTCTACGCCGCGAACCGCTTATTGTATCCGCGTCATCCGCGTTCCTGCCGCGCAAAAACTAAAAAAAAAAATTCGCCTCTCCCGATAGCCGTTGTACTACCGCCGCCGCCGTGTCCGATAATAATAATAAATAATAATAATAATAATAATATTTGTTCGTCGGAGTAGTGGCACACGCGTGCACACTATTATTATAATTTACGACGGACACACGGAATGATTATATTGTACTGTTATAATATTATATTGGCTGAATTACCCGTCACTGGCAGGTAAAAATCGCAATGTAAAAAACCGTTGAATTCAGTGATTAGCCGATTACTAATTGTTATCTCACCACCGGGGTAGTGAGAAAAATAAACAACCAGTCTCATTGGTTTAAGCGTGTTTTTTTTTTTTTTTTTTTTTGGAAACATGTTTTTGAATGTAAACAAATGTGTAGGTATATTTTTTTTTTTTGTAAATATCATATCATAATAATAGCTAATTATAAATAGAATTTTATCATAATTATTTAAGAAAAAAATAACAATCGTTACAATAGCGGTACTTATCTTTATCCAAAAGAAATGCAAACTGTTTATTTATTTATAAATGTTTTGAAGTTAGAAGTTTGTTGTTATAAGTGTTTTTGTATAGAAAGTGTCTATTAATGTTTGAATTGATAACTGACATAAAACACTACGCAACCCTGCTCGCGACAACAAGTACGACCCTTACCGGTGTTTATTTCAGACCTTCATCCCCGGATGTATTATAAATTTCCAAGGTGGTATGCCAAAGACATAGCTGGATCTTGGAATTTTTACTCCTGAGGAAAAAATAAAAAAAATATACTCAATGACTTTTTTTTATAGCTTTTTAAAATATGCTTATTAATATAACACAATATTTTTTTAATTTTGTTAACAAGATGACTCGTTATCGACCCATAACTCAATTCACATATCATATCACATGTAGTTAACGTATAGTAATGTCATACATTTTCAGGGGGGAGTATACATTTTTCTGCGGGAGCATACCTCCCCCCCGGTCGCCCCCTGAAAAAACTCTACCTTGTTATTTTTTTATTTATTTTTCGTGTGTGTGTGTGTGTGTGTGTGTGTTTTTTTTTATCCCTATCATCAATAAATCGCCCATAAATCAACAAAAATAATATTTGATTTTCATACTAAAAATACCAATAAACATGTATTACCCTTGCCCCTCTCCCTTAGGTCTATAATACAGGGGGTGGAAGTTTGTACATGGAATTGTTATTTCTAATTTATAACTGCATCTATGCAAAGTTTCAACTCAATCCGTTCAGAAGTTTGGACGAGAAGTGGTTATAAACATATTTTATTTGTCCAAAAAAACTTTCGCATTTTATAATATCAATTAGGTATAAGATTAGTAGAATTATTATGACATGTTATATAAAAAATAATACTAATTCGATGTTAACACCCTTTCCGACCGGTAATACACTGATAATATTATAACACTTTCAATATCAGTAGTACGGTACATAGTATAGATTAAGTTACTATAATAGTAATTATACATTATATTTTCAAACTATCGTATACGAATGGTCCTTGAAAACGGCACGGCCTCACGGTTCTGTATATCACGCAGCTGTTTTTTTTTTTTTTTCAGGTTTCCGATAAAATCTCGTATTCATCATAATATACCTACCTCGTCGTAATGAAGACGCAACTCAATTTTATTTTTTACCTCAATGATCAAATTTCACTTAGCTTAAAAAAAAGGTTTAAAAAATAATTTTTCATCCAACGCTTAGACTGATAATGGTTGGAATTATTGGCATGGTTAAAAACGAGGTTTTTATAAATTAAATATGTAGCGGTAAGTGTAAAAGTACCTACCGGCGAAATCTAAGATGTAAAAAATAGTTTGATGAATCCCTGAATGATTTTTGTAGTTAGGACTTTTACAACCCTAAATCTTAGGTAAATTTTAAGATAAACAATTAGTGTAAATAGAAGTCCGAAATTTCATTTAATCAAACAATCAAAATCAAAATAAGTCAAGATTATAATTTTTAAAGTTGATCCTAAAGTTTATGCCCGCACATTAATTTTTGTGGGTAGAGATTTGTATCGCTTGGGTACAAAAGCGAGAATACTCTCTCAACTTTTCAGTTTATGCGAAGACAATTTTTACGAATTGGAATTAATTTCAAAAAATAGAATTAGTCAAGTGGTATCGCAGTTCTCTTTGATTGGTGGACAAAATGTATTAAAGTGTAATAAAAAAAATATATGACAAATTGATGTGAATGTCGATGAAAAAATGTATCATGCAAATCAAAATGCCACAGAAGCCAAACCTGCACGATTAAATAATATTTTTACATAATTATAGTATTACGCGCAGTGATGACGTGAACGGATAACCTATGAATTAGCTGCTTAATGACCAAATTAGGTTGTTGGATAGATGTATATATGGCTCTCTATCATAATATAATATGTTAACGAAAAAAATTTATGTGCATGTAGTGGCGTAACGAACGTTTATTTGAGAGCAATTGCCACTGACTTGTTTGGGAAATGAAGTAATGGGTATCTTTATCATTAAATATCTTTGCATTTTATTAATCACTTTAGTATTTTAGCTTAAATATTTTATTATTATTATTACCCGTTAAGATTAAATCATATTATAAAAAGCTAACGTTTAAAGAAAAATTACATAGATCATTATCATAGATGCAAATAAAGTTTAAGAAGGCCAAAGCAAAAACAAGTTATGATAAGATTATGAAAGACAATTTTTGGCTAGGATGTGAACATTTTACAAATTATTAGGGGCTATTCGTGAATAAATTTGGAAGGGTGGGATTTTTTTTGTTGTTGAGTAAAATGGGGTGGGTAGTTTGCCAAAATATTTGTCTTTTAAAAATTGTGAGTTTAACATGCTACTGAATGCAAGAACGTCTTAGAGTAGTCTTAGTAACAACTCCTGATTCATCTGAGATTTTTCGATATTTAACTGAAATTGCTTCATAGAAGAAAAAAAAACTTCATGCTGCTATTGATGGAACATGAAAACACTTGTTATAGTGCTACCACGGTACCCGACGAACACAGAAAAGTGAATCGGTGTGCATTACTAACGCTTATGTTTCAACCATGGGCCACTGATCACTTCGATTTTTCAAAATCAAACCAATAAAAAACGAGATCGTTGTCATACATCGTTTTTCTCCCATTAACAACTATGTCCATTACCAAACCCGACGACGCTCATCGAGGTCATCCATTCAGTTTCCGCTCGCCCAAACATTCCCACTTCCTCGTATTGTTCACCGCGGTGATCTTGTTTTCACTCGAATGTATTCCGTCGCCAGTGGCGTGCCCAGGGGGGAGATTAGAGGTTATATCCCCTCATTTAATCGAAAATACAACAAAATATGAATAATCTAATATCGAAATTCATCATTTTCGGCCGATTTCTGAGAAAAAGCATGTATTGATTAAAAATTTGATTTTTTTTTACTTTAAAATTACTTATTTCCATAGACGAGTTGGGTAAAAAAGACGATTTTACTCTTTTTTCACGATTTTTATTTGTTACATCCCCTCCTATTGGAAATTCCTGGGTATGCCACTGCTTGTTGCTATTACCTATAACCTTGCACTTTTTACATTTATAATTTGTTTTCGCGTTCATTCGTAGTATTCACAAGATCCGAAATTGATGGTAAATTGTAATTATTTATTTACTTGTTGTGAAAACGGGTTAAGAAAGCACCCATATCAGTACTACCTTATAATTTGTAGAACTATTTTATTCGTTTCATCAGTGCGGGATCTGTTTTCACAATGCTTTCATACTGCTGTCATGGTTTATTAATTAACTTTACAATTAATATTTATAAATCCTGTTTACTCCTTCACGAGGCAGACTCACATAATACTAATGGACAATTAAATACAAACTTAGAGAAAAGCGTTTATTTTTTTAATCACTTATTACTTGTTAGATCTTGAGTATATCTTGTACACCAACTATACGTACTACGCGTATAGATATACGCGGAAATGAAATCGACGCCACTACGCCAGTTATTATTATATTATTGGATGTTATAAATATAAACACGAAGGTAAAAGGAATACCTATAGGTACTATAATTCTTAATAGTTAATGTTAATTACTTCCGCTGACTGCGAAAGAATATTCTGTGTGAATAATAATTTTTTATCGACGAAATAATCGTTTAGGTCAAAAATATTACTGTAACATAATTCGTATTACCTATATTGTTATAATGCTATGAAAGTATTGTGAGTGCAATGTGTGTATGCATATATAATATACCTACTATACACGACAAATTACAATGACTTCCGAGTTCCGGCAGACGTACAAGGTGATCAACATAGCGTAAGACACTAATTATCTCGAAAATTATTAACTTTTTCCAAAATTTGTTTATTAGAAAATTAAAAAAACAACCAGCTCAAAAATATTTTATTATAATTACTTTTTGTCACTCTTATTTTTGGGAGAGAAATCAACACTACCCACTTTTGATTTCCAAGATTTAGTTTAAATAAACGTTGGTGTTATTTTGATTCATTATATAATTTCCGTCAACTCATTTATGAGTTTATTTCACTTTTAAATAGTTGTTTAGTGGATATTTAGAGCTGCTTGTATTCTAAAAATCAAATTCCGAAAATAGTTTATATTTTCCAAAATAATGAGTGCCTTGTGTTATGTTGATCATTATGTCGATGACAGTGACCGACTTATTGTTTTAATTTATTATATTTAATAAAATTATTATTTTTGAATAAGTACTTATAGTATCAGAACATTACCAAGAATATCGAAACAATAATATCAGCAATTAAAAATAAAAAAATTTCTGATTCATAATATTTTTTATAAAAAAAATTACGAAAACTGACAATAAATGCCGATACATTTTTTTTTTTTTTACCATTTACGGGTTTACCTCGACTAAAAGGATAAAAACATAACTAACCTATACTAGTTTACCGATCTATCTTCAATAATAAGAATCGTTTTTTTTTTTGTTTTCAATGATTTATCATCGATATCATTAGTATATGAACTATTTCATAAATAACCCTATATTCAGGGCCGGCTCAGACGGTTGCTTACGGTGGAAAGCTTTCCTAATATCTAAATTTATGTATAATCTATGACTATTTAAATATAAAAATATTTTCTATGATGAGGTTACTAACAACTAATATTAAAAGAATGGCTTAAAATATAGGTATTGACCTTGGGTGGAAAAATACCTTAGACCGGTCGTGACAATATTCTATACCTTCCAAACTTACCATTTACAATAGTGACTTATCCATAGCACGACATAGGTATGCCAGCTCTTTCAAGTTGTAATATTCTAAAATGTTTTCGTGTTTAAATGTGTTTGACGTAATAAATATTATTTAGAAATATTTTGAGGCACGTAATATAAAATGTAACAATTTAACAGAGGTGGATTGCAGGGTCATCCCCGGAGTGGGAAAATGTAGTTACCGTCCTAACCTACAACCCACAATCGGTCTTATACAGTTTTATTCACGTTCAATGAAAGAGCACATAATATTAGTTTTAAAAAAAATAGATAGCCTATAGCCAATCAAGTATAATCGAAATAAATTAATTTCCATATACCATAATAAAATTGTTAATAAGAATATATTAACTAGTGTTGTAACTATCCGGATACTTGAAAATTTTAAAATCCTGATAAAAATCAATTCGGATATCTGTAATCCGAATATATTCAAATATATTCGGATATTAGACGTAATATAAGTGTTTATCCACTATTCAAATATTTGTATTAATCGAATATTCATAAAATAATAATCAAGAATATTTGGGACATAAATGGTTACGCTCATATCAAAATAAAAATACATAGGTATTTGGAAAACATTGAAAGTACAGAAATCCAGGTACAGTAAATATTAAAATATCACGAATAATCAAGAATATTCGGATTTTGTGGAAATTAAATTATATTGATATAAAAATCCGAATATAATAATAGTTATCCGAATATTTAAAATAAATCCGAATATATTATCCAACACTACTATTGACATTACTAGTGATTTTTACTTATATATTATAGCTGATTCCCAACACTCTGGTACATATATAATCACTGACCTCACAAAAGCTTTCTTTTATCACTAACAACATTTTATCAGTTATCACACAATACTTCTCTCAAACTCTATTTTTTCATACTCAACAAGCAGTCAGTAACAAGATAATTAATATTTGTACTTTTAAACTTTTAATCTTCACAATTTTAACGAACTAATTTTTTTATTAGTATTATTAAAACTAAAAATACGGACATACTTCGTACGTGAGAGCAGCCACGGTTGAATATGGGAAGTTGAGAAGGTAGGATACAGAAGGGAATTTAATGTATATCTATAAATAATAGTTTATCTATTGTTAATGAAAAAAAGATTCTAAGTGAAATTCAGTTAATAGTGATGCTTTGTCAACAATATGTATGTCATATTAAAAAAAAACTAATGAAATAGGCATTATCATTTTCTAATATTTGTTCAATATTGTACCGATTTTCCTGATTTTCCTACGTTTTTACCCGATTTTTCATATTTGCATCAACTTCGACAATTTCCTAGAGGACCTTCCCAGTCAGATTTCCTTTCAGAAAAAGTGCTATCATTGTAAATCGGTTCTAAATGACTGATAGAAAAGTTGTCCACAGAAAAAAAGTCGTGATATTTTACTAATATAATTCGTACATTTTTCCTCTGCTTTTTTTTGGGTTTTTCACATTTAATGAAAAAATTGAATAATGACCCCCTTAAAGTACCCCCCCCCAATACCGTTTTTTTTTCAAAAAAGGTGCTACACTTAAAAATCGGAGCAAGATTTCTGGTAAAAAAAATCTCTACAGATAAAAACAAAAATAAACATCTTTGTAAAACCATAAGCTTCTTTGCTCCACTCAAAATCTAAAAATGTTATACATCACTGTGAAACTAGCTTTTAAATAATCAATAACACTGGAAACTTGTATTTCATATAATGATTGTTTTTCAACACTCATAAGTAAAAATCCTACCAATAAATCACTTATATTATATTAAGTCTTAAGTCTCGTTTTAATAAACTTTATTTGCTAAAGGTCCGTTTACAATTAACCGCAATGACTGACATCAAGTAAAAAAAATACATATGGCATACAGTATTACAATAATATAATATAATATTTTTCAGTTAAGTTTATGTTATCTCTTCTTTTATCTGAAATATTAAATAAAACAATAGTTTAAGATGAAATATATTTAACTATATTAAAAAAGTAACTAGTACAATTTTACTACCAAGAAAATTATGTATTCAAATGTTTTACAATAATATTCGTTTTTTAATTTATCCAAAAATTCATCGTCGTCAGTATTGGTAATATTCTCATCCAAATCTTGTTCTAAATGTTTATAATATTATATTTACTAGACATTCGTTGCCTTGAGACTTAAGTTCTTTAGCTCTAAAAAACAAGCGATTCAGTAAGACTTTTCCCTTTATCCCACCGGGCCAGTTCATCTCTGTCATTTAAGGTGCGTTGAACATACGCAGCTATTTCTAACTACCTATGTAGCTGTACAAAATCAAATATTTTAATACATATATATTTACAATTTATAATAATATTATATGTATGTATTTTGTTTTGTATCAAGGACTATGAGTAATATGTTGGCATACAAAAATCAAAACCTGTTTTTAACTTAATCAATACCAGTCAAAATAATAAAAATATATTTTTAAATAAAGAACATTTTACCTAAAACTATTCGAATTTGGTAAAAAAATGTTCATGTTCACATTGAATTTTTAATATCAAATGGTACTGAATTATATTATAAAATATAAATTGCTATACATAAATTTTAGACTTTTAGGAGAGAGTTTAGATCGAAGTATATTACAATCCCATCTACAACATAAAATATCATGCCTTAGCACAGTAGCCATGATTTGTAATCCTTTTAGATTCGGAGCATAGCGAGGGATCTATTGGTTTTAACCCATTTTATTTAGTAATAATTTTGTTTAGACTACGACGCCATGGACGTGGCGGTGATATCCCAGAAGTGCGATTTAATTTCGAACCATATATTCATGTTTTGACTACGAAGAATTCTGTGATTCTCTCTCGAATAACGAATGCTACTTGTATATATTATATCAATAATCTTCTTTACTAAATACCAAGTATTATTTTTATTATCGTATGACCTTTATTGAATGCAATATTATTATTTATTATTTAAATATTATAATATTTAACTCTTACTATACTACTAGTTATCGGGTAAATTAGATTAAACAAATGAAAACGTATAAATTTATAAAATATCGAATATAAACAGATAAATAGATTAAATTAATATAATTGGGTATCAAATACACATACATTACGTTTTTTTTTGGTACTAGATGTCGACGTCTAATGAGTCCAGCCTGTGCGTATGTGATTCAGCCTGGTCCACAGTTTACGAGAAAGGTCCGATCCTGTTGGTTTAGTATATACATTATCCACTAAGAATTCGATAGTAGGGATGTCGCCAGGGCTGTGTTGGAAGGTGTACGGTGATATATGCAATATATCTTCTGATCATTACGAACAAACACAGTACACCTTCTGGTTATAATCGTATGTCATATATTATCTAACAGTGAAATCACAAAATATATTCTAAAAATATTATTATTATTTTTATTTTCGCTTGATTACGAAAAGTAATTTATAAGTTATTTATTATTTACACCCTCTACTAAAACATTAGGTTAAACAATGCGCTTGAGAACATTACACTTATACCTAATAATGATTTAGTTATAACTTACAATCTGCTTTTTTTATGACTACAGCACTGGATCCATTTTTCCTTCCATGTGTCTGGCTAAAGGCATCTACGAACCTTTATTGATCTAACACTAGCAAGAAAAGAGTGATGGAACATCAGTCTTGGCGTTGTAACTCCATCCTCGTGAATTGGTAATGCTGCATTATTTTGTATTTTGTTCATGACCCGCAATACAGTATTCTGCTGGCGAATATGAGAGGGATAGATATTAGCCAAGACTGGTAACCACTGTATTTTTGTAGAATTTACTATACCAGTATTTATGCGAAGACCTTTCCGCAGTTTTATATCAGCTAATCTGCAGTTAGTACTTTCTTCCCAAACCGAAGAGCAATACTCAGCTACTGAGAAGAGTAAGGCCATGGTTAATGTACGGAGGACCTGAGTATTATCATCCCAAGTAGTCCCGGCTAGTTTTGAGATTGATGTAGTTCTAGTTTTCAATTGAAAACTAGTTCAATTTCTTTTCTAGTTTTCTAGATACTATTTTCTTTAACTGGTATTTATATGTTAAGATGCGATATAATGTAACGCCTAAATAGACAGGAACTTTATCGTGTTTTATTCGATGGCCATAAAAGTTGACAGTAAGCTATTGGTTGGCCGCTCTGTTGTTAAAATGAAACAATGATACTGTAGTTTTTGCCATTTATACTGTCATTTCTTGAAATGAACTACCTAATCGTCTGAGGCAACTATTAACCTTTGTATTTACGATAAGGATGGGAGGCAATTCGTATACTTTGAGAGGCAACTCTTATACACCGAAATGTTTTGTTATTACTAGTTTATATCATCCATATTTCAAAACATGGATGAAAAGTAATATAGTTTAATAAATATTTGCTAATAGTCGTTAAAAAGCTGTATTAAAATAAATCAAAGTCTTAAGGTTTTAAATCATCTAACAAGTATAGTAATGAAAATACTAATGAGTGCGAAGATCATGAAATATATATTGGTTTATATTGGCTTAAAACCCCTTCGAATTTACAACTTCCAAAGTAAATAAAGTATCAAATTTCTTGAATAAGAATCCTACTAAGAATTTATTGGTTTTAGAACATTCACCAAACAAAAGTAAATTTACAAAATGCATTATTTTCAAATCTTTAATATTCCGGTCTTTCAAAACATGTATAACCAAACTCCACTCAGAATTATTTTTCTTTAGCAATAATTCATCGTTGCGTACAGATATATACTTAAATTCAATTCTTAGAGACCTTCCTAACTTCTCACTAACAACAGTGGCCCACCCATTGTGCAAAGTATGTCCGTTTGTTTTTTATTATATGTATTGTATAATGTATATGGTATACCTAATTTTTTGTGTTTACACAAGTCTTAAAACTCATTTTATGGTTTAAAAACAAATATTGTAAATAGTAGGTACTAGGTAACCATATTATTAAGTACCTACATAAGAGTTCATGAATAAAAGGGCGATATAAGTAGTTTAAAATAGTAACTAGTATAAATATTATTTACACATATTTTATAATTAATAAATATTTCTTTTTTAGCAGTCTTTCTTAGCTTAAAAAGTTGTGAAGATTTTGTACAGCTGGATTATCTGAAGGGGCAAAATGATACCTTTGTCTAAATTTACGATTTTGATAGTAATACATATTATTATAATAAGTACCCACATACCTCAATCCAATTCGAATTATATTAATTTTATATGTTGCAGACTAAAACAATATTCTGTTTTCGTTTCATATAATTACTATTTGATTTAAGTATAGGTAAGTACTCAACATATACGAATATGTATAAAGATTAGGATATTATTGACAATTCTGTAGGTACCTAAGTCACCATAATAATATATAATAAAGTGATGTAACTGTATGTACTATTACTATGTAATGAAATGTATTAATTGCATTAGAAATTGGAGATAAGATACAAATAGTTAGACAAATGAAATAACTGCAATTAGGTAGGTATTGACATTTTAAATTAAAATTGAAAATTTAACCTAATCTCATAATATAGATACATCTATTTTGCATTAAATAATAATTATAAATTAATAATATGCACAATTTATTATTTATCACGTAGGATTTAATTATATTGCAAAATACAATTTGTACCGATATCAGTTGCTAAGTAGTGTTAAGTATTTATATTAATGATACCTATATAATAATAATTATGTAATTATTTATAGAATGAATAATATAATATAATAATTATACAGACATACCTATCATAAACCTCCTTAATATTATATTTCTATAATAATATGTATTATGCTCAATGTTGATTATTGTTAAATATTGTTGAATGTTTCTTTTAGATTCGGAGAGTAGTGAGGAATCTATTGGTTTTACTTTGATGTGCGTTCTAGATTCAGAGTGTATTTTTTTTTCTGCCTGTAAACAACTTTTCGAAAAGAAATCTTGCTCCGATATATAGAGTATATTACCTTTTCTGAAAGAAAATTTTATCTGGTTAGTGCATCATTTTTTGAATTTTCAAGGGGTTTTCAAAATATTTAGAAAAAACCAGAAAAAAATTTAGAGATAAAATGGCAAATATTTATAGCTATTCGCGGTGATACTGATATCGACGTTTTTAATTTTTGCAACTTATGTTTTCTACCAAAAATATTGTTCCGATCGAAAAATGACAAGGTATCGATTTTATTTCTTTTAACATGCAACTATTTACAGGGAAAATAATTTTTTGATATCTTAAGTATTTTCCATAATAATTGTGAAAAACCAAATAGTATAAAAAATACAATTTTTTTTTAAATTATGGCATAGGGATTTCATTATTTTAAATTTATACGGTTTATATTTTTACGAAGTTTATAATTCGAAGCTGGTTTCCTGGTAGATAAATTGCTCACAAATGCAACATAAAAAAAAAAACACATGTCCCTCACTACAATTTGAATCTGAAAAACGGAAATATGATGTAAAGTAAAATACATACTGCATTTTGAAAATCTGTTGAAAATAAATAACAAATGGTTTTGTACAGTCCCGATTGAAAACTTATTAAACAATAATTTAGAAGATATTTGATAAGTACCTGCCTATCTGAAATAAATTTAATGTTTTTTAAATGTTTAATATAGGTTGATATTTTTACCCCTAAAATTAGGGTAGTAAAAAATAACACTAATGTAATATTTTTGAACTGTTTGTAACTTAAGTTTTCTAAAAAACCTAACCGAAAAAGTTAACACCTCGAGATAATATAAGTCTTACGTTATGTTGAGTACTTTCGTACAGGTAAGCACGTTATTTTGGATTCTGAGTGTAACGAAAAATGTATTATTAGTTTTACAAAGATGATTTTTTTTTATGTGAACGCTTTTTCTACCAGAAAGCTTACTCCAATATACATACGATGTAGACCTTTTTCTAAAAGAAAATTTTCTTGAGGTGGTACTTTAAGGAGGTCATTTTTCAATTTTCTCAAGAGTTTTCCCAACAAATGCAAAAACCGGGAAAATTGGATCAAAATTAAACAAATATTGAGAAAATATTGTCTAGATGGTACTTTAGGAAGTCATTTTTTTTTCAAGCGATTTTTGATAATATCTAAGAAAACCCGGGAGAAAACGTAAGAAAAACGGGAAATTTACGAAAATAATGCTTTTTATCATTTTAAATTGTTACAACAAATAACACAGTTAAAAATATTTGTAGAGACTTGAAATTTTGAACTTGAAAGGTCATTTTTCGATTTTTTCAAGACATTTCCCAACAAATGTGAAAACCGGGGAAAACATAAGGAAAACGGGAAAATCGATACATTCAACAAATATTATTACAGAAAATATATAATACCTTGGTATATAATTATTTTATCAAAATATTACATATATTGTTGACAAAGCACCACTATCAGCTAAACTCCGCTTAGAATCGTTTTTTGTGGCAATGGTTTATCTTTGCTTACAGATATACATAAACTCCCCCCTACTACAATGACTGCAGTGTTGCACCAAGTGCGAAGTATATCCATCTTTTATTTTACAAATCGATCAAAAGTCTTGCTTTATGCATTATTACCTATTGGTTAGCATTAAATTTAGATTATAATTTTGTGTAACCTTTTGGTGAATTATGTTATCCCATAGATACTTTTTCTGTGTCGTTTAAGTAATTTGGTTTGGTATTGATTGTGGTTAATCAAAAAGGACTTTTTTTATTTAAAAAATGATTAAAAATCACGAATTCAATGAAAATAATAATTAATAAGTCAAAATGTTTTTTTTACGTTTTTTACCAAAACAAAAAATTAATTGAAATATAAATACTTATATATAGTTTCTATCACTGTGAGTAATTTAAAAAAAAGAACACAGAATTTGATTATCTATATTATGTTCGGAGATACTACGATGGGTAGGTATATGTTCATGAAGCACCCTGTAAATATACGAATATATAAACATAATAATTACATTTATTCATTTAATTATTTATTTAGAGTTATAAAAAAAATATAATTGATTAATTTATAAAATATTTTATTGATTAAAATTGTTTTTTTCTGATTTTTCAGTTGAAAATGTATGAACTATTATAATAATCATAGTTCTGAAGCCATTTAGTTTTCTCTTGATAGCATTAGTAATGCAAACAATATTTTCTATGCGTCATTGTACTCCTCAAATAGGTTTTTATTAGTAATATATTTCATAATTATTTTTACGACTCTCTTATGCTCCACCCATGTCTCCAATCTAACCCTCCATAACGACTTAGCTCTGAAAACTGTTATTGAAGAAGCACGTATCTTATATATACGCTTTTATAGGCGTCTTCAAATTCATCCTAATCCCATAGTCAAGGATTTTTACACACTTACACTTTCAAAAAATCCTCGCCGTGGACTAAAAAGAAACTGTTGTCACGACCTTCTCCAAAATTAAATTAAATTTTACAACACTTTACCTAGTTATAGATGCATCTTCTCTATATACACAGAGTGATTCATTATCGTTGAATACACATTATTTCGCATAATTTAGACTTTTAAAAAAAAAATATTTGTTTTAACATGTTTTGTGTCTAAGAATATTACATTAGCATTATTTTTATCATCCTTTGTTTTGCTAGTAAAGGGAGAGTAATGGAGCACTATTCAAATGCCGCTTACCGTGCCACCAAACAAATGATACCTCCACTACATTCCTCCAACCCAAACTTAAAAGTGGAATATCCCGTATATGGGATGACAGAAATAAAAAATTTCACACCTACATGTATATACATATATATACATTTATTATTTATATATTGAACTTTTAATAAATTAATATAGAAGTTATGGTAACTCTACTATAATTATAAAAATATTATGTAAGCTGTGTGGTGAAAACAGTT